CACTCGTGATTGATCGATTACTCTGGGGGCTTGGTCTGTCTGAGCCGGCGATGACCTACCGCACATGAACGCCGGTTTCATGTTCAGTCAATTTGACTAGCAACACTTCCTTGGCGTTGACATCGTACCAGGACTTCGAGGACCTCAGTGTGCAAGGCTACACGCATGAGCAGAACGAAGTCCATCTGGATCCCCCATACCCAATAGGCGTCGTCAACGGCTGATTGCCGAGTATGTCTTCTGGTCTGTAGCGTCAACACCACAGCATCATCTACCTGGTCATTGTACTGTCAACCTGCATGATGATCCCACTGATAGGAGGCTCATGCAGTTGCCTGATCAAAAATATCGATCTTTCCCGTGCGTCGATGTTTCCTGACAGATGGCCAGTCAAGAACGCGCCCCCCTTTCTGCAGTCGGTGAAGACCGCTGTTGGCAGTCCTGGTTTCGCCATGCAACTTCCTTTGAGTGGCAAAGCTCTCGCCACATATATCCAGGATCATACATACAGTACACTTGCTGACACCGCGGCTTGAGGATCACACGGTGCCATCATCAAAAGGATTCTCGATTAACAGGTTTATGGCGCAGGCTGTGTCACAGTACATCCAACTACGCCGCCTTCCTTCAATGGTATTGGTCTCATAGATCTACTCAGTCTAAACATTATACCCTACACTAAGAGACAAAAGAATCGGTATGCAACGTCGATGAGTCCCAGGCAGAGTGTGGTGCATTACAGGGCGTTAATATGACAGCACAGTCAGACTTGGTGCCATGAGGAGCATATCCGTTCACGTCTCGAAGTAGCCTTTTGAGCTGTTTGGCAAACAAGGGATGCCTAAGCGGTGTAGCAATGGGCTACCGTCCAGTATCGAACTGGTGGCGCTATTATTCAACCCTTCAGGCTTTTAAATGAGTCTCTCAGGCCTGAGGCAAGAGACCCTGTGGGAGCTTGAAAGCTATACGGCCGTCTTCGCCCACTCGGCGCTCTATCACCAGCACTCGGTGTATACCGCGTGGTCCTATCTGACGACCACTATCAATAAGGCAGGATCTTTCGAAGCAGTGCTATATCTCTCACCTCATACGCCAGGGGTTAGCCGCGGGTATGTCGGCAGTGCTAAAATATCCCGGTACTGCTAGATGATGATGCAAAACCCTGAAGGCCGTCGAGGCGCAGTGCTCTATTTCTGGAATCATATATCTCCTCACTCGACCAAGTTAAGTGGCTTTCTTGACTAATACCTTCCTCAGCTCAAGCTCGTTCCCATCGAAGGCTTCCTTGGAGCTGTCACACAGAATCCGCGTACAGCCAACTGCGGTCCGAGGAAGCATACGACTCATCGTGTGCTTGCTGCACTGTATTTGAAATCAGGGCATTTCGTCACGCCTCTTAACAATGAAGCCAGCGGCAGTCCACAGATGACGGAGTGCCAGCTCGGCAGTGCACCTTCGACAGCTCGCCAAAGCACGGCCACGTTCTACGGCAACGACATGTTGTGTACCCCTGAGATGAGGTTACGGGAAATAATTCTTTTTTCTCTACAGCGGTGCATGGTCCTTTGCAGAATGCACCTGTGTCTCGGCTCCATCCATTGCTGATGTGTGGCTCGCACTCCCGACCCATATTTCTCCATCCCGTCTCCTAAAGTTCGGTACGACTGCAAGTGCGAAACAAGATTGGGGTCCATCTCCCGCTTCTGTTTGCTGAGCGCGGAGGCCTGCTCCTCGGTCAAAAGGCACGGGTTTTTTCGTGGCTGGTTTTTAAGTGCCGGGCCCGGAGACTCGGGGCATGGAAAGTAAGGCCAAGCTGTCTTTACCCTGCCTCTGATGACGCGAGGCACCATTTCAGCTTCTGAGAGTTTGGGAGCTTAGCTGTTGGGCCTCTGTGAACCTGTAAGCTTACCTCCTGCTCAAAGACCTGCTTGTAGGATCAAAGCTCCTAGGTCTTTACGCCTGTCGCGCTTTCGAAGTATTCCCTTTCGAGGTACCCGCCCAGACTAATAACGTGGTTAACCTGGGGTTAGCCCAGGTCTTTAACTTGAATATTTGTTAATAAACTCGCGAATTATGCCAGTATATCCGATTAGTAGAAATCGTTATTAAAAAAAAAGTAAATTTATAAAGCTAATATGTTAAATAAAGTTATTAACGTAATTTAACTAGTTATATACTCGGTCGCATTTACAAGCCTTTATAAAGCTAAATGTCGTATTTTTCATAATAGTAATACATTTAACTTTAATCGACTTTGATTTTGTTATTTTTCGAGCCATACGTAATAATAGCACTTTTAAGCTCAATTAATTATAAACTCGTTATTTTTCAAACCATACGTAATAATAACATTCTTTTAAATTATTAACTTTAAAATAATCATTCTCTAAACCGTTTATAATAGTGATACTTTCGAGCTTTTTTACCTTTTAACTGGTGGTTTTCTATAATATTTATCATAATAATACTTTTTGAGCTTTTTAAAAGCAAAATTATACCTCTTATATTTTTATTTTGCGCTTATTAAGTGTTAAATTTACTTGTTTAAATAAATACTAGGTTGAAATAGCTCGTATATAGCGAGTATTTATTATAATAAGTTTAAAACTTATTGACTAGTTTGATAAAGTAAACGCAGTACCTTATTTTATAGAGAAATAAATAATTATAAGTCGGGGTTTAAAATTTATCGGCTTATTAGATTTGAGTAATACTGTAAATGTCACGTTCCAGAGATAAGATAGGACGTAAGAGCCCTCTATACACTATCTACATATGAAAATCTCTTGGTGAGGAGGGAAGAAGAGATTGAGCCCACCAGCCAATTCTGGTAGGGGATATGATCTGTGTGCCCGCCCCACTATCCGTTGCCTTAGTAGCTGGCGGATTAACAGTCGCTCCGCTCACGTGACCAATGCACATGAGTGGCTTGGAGATCTGGTGGTATGGGTGACCATACGGGTGAGCATACCATCACAGTAAATCTCATTTTTAAAAAGTATTTTTATATAATTGAAAATATTACTAAGCATTTTTATCTTAGTTTTTAAGCTACCTTGTAATAATATTTTAGTTAATTAACACTGCTAAAAAAGAAATTAACTTCCTATTAAAAAACATACTAATATAAACAACCTAATTTCGATCCTTATTACGCTTTGATTAAAATATACCGATTATTTTAAACAAACTAACTTTGTCCCAATAACTCGATTATTCTTCACAACGTATGAATAAAGTTTATTAAATAACAACCTTACTTTAATAAAAACTTCCTCAAAATTTTAGCCGAAAAATAAATAAAGGTAATTGTCTTATTAAGCAAGCTATTAATATAATTAAAATCAACCTTATTCCTAAATTTACTATTAAGATTAAAAGCAAAACCTTTGATTAATATAAGGGTCAAAATTCTTTGATAACCCATAAAAGCTTCCTTATAAAGCTTTTAAACCCATTTTTATCAATTCCGCTTTAATTAAAACTTTTTAAAATCCACGACGATATTTATCAACTCTTTAAATATTATCTTAAGACCTTTAATATAAAAAGTAAAAAGGGCCTTAATATATCGTTTACTACTCTAACTTAAATAACCAAACTTAATAGCTTACTTATTACGGTATATATAATATTACAAACATTTATAAAATACATAAAAACAATTTCATATCTTGTTTTAAAGCACTAAAATCTAAACTTTTATATATATATCTAATCGTAACGTTATTAATTACTTTTAAAAACTGCTAGTCTTTACTAATTCTAATCTCGGCTTAATATACAGCTATACTATTTTATACTTTGAAAACTTTTCTTAAGTTTATAAAAAAGTTACCAACTTTAAAACCAAGCTAGATTAACGTTTTTCTATTAATAAAGTATAAAAAGTTAATAATCATAAAAAGCTGATTCGATTGACTTATTTAATTTTAAACCCTAAAAACAAGAACATAAACTATTACCATACTTGAAAATAAAATCTTCACTATAATTAAAATCTATTATAAAAGTACCCCTGATTCTACTTATTTAAAAATTAATCCACGCTAATCCGGGAAAAAAATAGCCTTCCCATCTTTATCAACATCGCGTGTTTTCTTATTAATAATTTTTTTTTATTAAGTGTAAGAGGTAATTGTTACTACTTCAAACAAAAACTTAACTAGTTCATACCCGATAAAAAAACTCACTTGCTGTGTTAATTATGTTAACGAAATAGGCTTGTGTAACTTTTTAGCTGTTATTATTAAAAATAAGCCAATGGAAACAACCAAAAAACAAATTATATTTTTTCAGAACAACTTTAGGAGAATTATAATGACTTTTATTTTAAGAATAAAGCTAAAAAGCGGGTTTTTTCCGATTTATAAATAAAATTTAATAAATATTTTATTAGTTTCAAGTTTAAGTTTATTAAACATATAAATATAAGTTACAAAGAAAAAAGCTTTTAAAAATACAAATTATTTAAACGTCTTTTAAAACGTGTAAATAAGATCTTTTTAAATAAGAATATTAATAACGCCTGAATCTTACTAAGTTATGTATATACCTTTATTACTCCATTAAAAAAAGAGACGGCGAGTGTGCTGCCTATTTCGGCATGTTCAGCCTCCAAGTCTGGCAGTGCATTTGCCAGCGATCTGTCGCCGCTTTAAGCTGCATGCCCCACCATGCCCCACCATGCCCATGGGCCTTGTACTTCGATGTATCGTTCAAAGTACTCATTTCCCCAATCATGACCCAAATCCTGGACTCTTATTCAGTTCGGTATCTGGTACCGATGCTGTGTCTTTTCCCTTCCCTTGCTTGCTCGGCCTGTCAGCAGCATAACCAGAGATGGCTCATATATTCCTTTTAAATACCAGGTCTCTCGCTCCAATTGGTCAACAATATTTTTGCGTTTTCTCTTCCTCATTACCTCCAGTTGAGTGAGCGCAACCTTTTCTGGTGAACTGCACTTATTATGATCGAGTATCCCTTACAGCTTTGTTAACATGGCCCGCCAACGCGTCCACGATGACCCATGCGACTCACAACTCACCGACGACCTGTACGACATAGACGCATCTTTCTCCGCAGGAAGGGATGCGGATGCTGACGACCTCTTTGACATAGACGAGGATGTATCCAGCCCAGAGAGCGGCGCGACGGAATCAGAGGACTTTAGTGACGACAATTCTTACGTTACAGATCAAGTCCACCTCTTCGCAGGGAATGTTCATCCGCCGGATTACTACCAGAAGGCGCTACGAGAGTTCAACGAGAGTGCTTTTAACAGCCGAGATTACAGTCCTGGAAGCATAGTGCTACTTGACGCAATCAAGAAGCAGTGGCGGACGTAAGTCATTCTAATGCTTTATTTCTTCTCATGCTAACTATATGTTTCTGGCAGGTTCTGCACCGACGTAGTGGGACGGGATCCCCAGACTTGCTTCGAGTCTATTAATATCCGTCTCCTCTACAACTTTTTCGATTGGTCCTTGAACCAAAGGGTTGGCAAGAATGGACGGAAAAAAAAGGGAACGAAGAAGAGCAGTTCACTGGGAACAACTTGGAAGGTCTTTCGTCTTGTATATGAGACGGCCATAGGTGCGAAGCTTGATCCGAAATTGAATCACAACATGCATCAGGTAAGTAGGCATTTGATAACCTACCGAAGACCTATCTCTAATATTTAATTTCAGGTCTTGGGATCACTAGCAAAGAAACACAAACTAAGCGACCAAAAGAGGGAAAACCGCTGTATGACCATTGACGACCTTAAAGCGCAGATTAAGACGACATTAAGCACGACGGAGAAGTCGTTTGACCTCGGGGAGCTCCGGATTCTTACCGTTTTATTTCTTCTCTTCCTGGCACCTGCCGGCTCGCGCCCGCAATCCATCTTGCGGCTCCGATTTGGAGACATCCGGGTTGTATTAGCGAGAGACCCCGACGGCGGGCCACACAAGCTTTTGATCAAGTTTACTCTCGAGTTTACTAAGACGTACCTTGGGACGAAAGATGCGTAAGTGTTTTATTCTGGCAATTTAAGGCTCTTTTATATTGATATCACGGGTGCTTTAGTAAGACCTTCACGATCCCCGAAACCATGTTTGACCCATCTTTGCTTCTCAGCCCTCATGTCTTCCTCCTTGGCATCTTGTTCCAACATCAAGCTTTCCGGGCTCCTAGCCTTGTCTCTCCTCGCCTTCTAGACGATCTTGATATCCATCCCGACGAAAAGGAGTTGCCTTTGCCACTCAGAGACGACCTCAAAGACGTATGTATATTCCGCCGAGCCATTACAACCTCCACCGGGCTGCAGATATCACAGGCGGAACCCATCACCTATGGCATGATGTCGGGGTGGATTAAGAGGATTAGAGAGATTTTAGGCCTTCAATACCCAACCATCGCATATTCATTGCGCTATAATACAGGCAATGAATTGGACCAGAGCTGTACGTTCTACCTATACTTCCAAGGAATCTATTATGCTGACGTTCCAATACAGCCGACGTTAGTGAATCACTCCGTAACCTGACGCTAGATCACGCCAACTCGATCCCTTTCCAAAAGCATTACCTCGGTCGCGCTGTTTGTGCAGACCTGTGGGGAATCCTTCGCGGCCAGAAGCCGCAACAAGCACTATTGAAACAATCTTGCAGTATCGGTCATTCGATGAGCAAGCGGCGTCCAGCAGATCTTACTCCTGAGCAAGCGGCGTCCGTTAATACAGATCCCGACGTGAGGCGGCTTACAAAACAACTTAAGAACCTACAACTAGGGACGAAACAGCAGATCGAGGCGCAGCGGGAACTTCGAAATCTAAAGCAGAGGCTGAAGAGGTTGCTCTTCCAAAAGATCCGAGAAGACTGGACAGATGAGCAGGCCATAGATGACATCAAAAACCAATTGCAGGGCGTCGCATTTACCAAGCCCGTACTGGTGGACATAGCCCATTGTCCGCAACTTCCAGCGCAGAAACGACTAGTCGAGGCTCTGAATGCGCCTGTCGACCCTACTCTCGAAGGCCAATATCGACGAAGGGACGATGCCATCAATGCAATCATTACCTATTGTAGCGTTAAGGAAGGACCAACTTCACGTCGCAAATTCACCTCGCCGACCAAGGAAGCACAATCCAAACCTACGTATGGGCCCCCGGAGGATAACCCCGTGTCTATTGCTAGGCTGTCTATGTTTGTCCGCAATGACAGAGAAAGACCTAGGAGATGCTTCCTATGCATTGGAGCTGCGCTTCCTCTGGAGCCTGATGACCGTCGTGTAGAAGATCTCACGCATGAATTCTGCAACCCCGGAGCTCTGACGAAGCACTTTCAGCGGAAACATTTATCCCTTTTGAAGCCAGATTCGACACTAAAATGTGAAGTCTGCGATATCACACTGTCTTCTAAGATGCATCTTCAGAATCATGCCTTGCGGGTTCACGGCACTGTGTCATAGTGGTCTTTTAGTATCCAGGGGCAGCAACTCAAAGCTAGGAAATAAGGAAAAAGGGCCACAGGCGAAATGAGATATTAGAAACAGGGGACAATGATTTAATAGTTTTATCTTCAATTTATTAATCGCAGTGCGGTTTACTAGTTACAGTCCTATCAAACGATGTTATAATTATATTTTGTTATATATATGTCTGCTTCATTGTCAATCCTATGTCTTCTATCCCCGTGCCAGAGTCTTAAGAGTAGTAGCCCATCGAGATGGCTTAGCTCACCTGACCTGCCTCGTCTAACACCGCCTACCCAATCAAGCCACCTGCTCCAGATACCGCACGCCGCCTGCCTAATCTAGACACCGCCTGCTTCAGTCGGACACCGCCTTGGAATCAAATGGGCGAAGGGGTAGGCCGATTGGGTAGGCGGTATCGAAAACAGTTAGACTGTAAATGAGCTAGGCAGGCGGTAAGTAAAAGTGGACAGGCGGTGAGAAGGATAAGCAGGCGGTGAGTAAACTGGGTAGGCGGTAGGAAAAACAGCAGGCGGTGAGCTGTAGGGCTCTGAGCGGGGTTTAGGTAACTAGCGACACCGAGATGCTCTAGGGAGCTCCATTCTATCAGGTGAGCTCGCATCACTTTTGCAACTTATACGGTGGCATTTATTTCTCTTACTTTCAGTCCATTATATTCAATGTATTATATTTAAATACCTGTAGCGTTGCTCGAGCTGGACGAGAGGCAGGGCAGGGGTCTCACCCCGTAATAATTGCGTATCCCCGTGATGCCTCAGCCTTGCCGCCGCTCATTTTCTCCCACCTACCATGCTGCATCATTGTAGTCAAAACCCTCTCCAAACACACCCACGCGCCTAAGCACGCACTATCAACACTGCGTTTGCCAATACAGGAGAAGGTGACATTTAAAGCTGCTATCCCCGACCTGATCACCATGCACACCATGGCGGGCTTCGTCAAGCTCCAGGCATGCTTTGGCACGAAGCCGAAGGTACGCACTCCCATTCGACGTTGCCTACCTTGATCCCACGTATTACGCCTTAAAGTACGAGCTAAGCTGTCTTCATATCAACTGGGATAAGGTTGTCGCAAGAGCCGGTTTCTGGGACGTTGCTGCGGCCAGAGCTCACTACGAACCATGGCCCCGACACCTCTTTAACAGGCCTGTACTGTTCCATAGACACACCAACAATGAAGGAAATGCGACCAACCCCCTTGTCCCTACCGCCCAAGTCTTCCTCCTCGACACAATCTCTGGCATTGGCCTAGCCCGACAACTCTGACCGAATGCTCGACGAGCCGTCTCCAGACTACGCAGGACTTGCATCTCTTTGAAAAGCCTGTTCCTGCTAGTCGCGGACGATCTTCATCATGTACTGAGTTCTGGGAAGTGACCGGTTCATCGTGGGTCCCGTGGGACGCGATGGACGGGAAAGACGGGAAAGAAGGGAAAGACTCTCCGTCAGAAAGTCTCCCAGACGTGGAGGCCTGCCGAGGATGAAGGACGATGGCAAAATGTCTAGGAACATGTCAACTTGATGTAAACTCTGTCGGTAGTGAACCCTTGCTGTGAGACGTCGCGGCGCGGCTGTACCGGGTTGCGCTTCGGATAAGTTGCGGATTTAGCTCATAGTTTAGGTTGACTTAATGATGTTTTTTTAGCGACATCGAGCAGGTTGGCTGCGCGACTCGGGTCTTGATGGGGCATCCGCTATCTTGTCTGGTATATTGGATTGGTCTACTTCGTAACAGAATCATCTTCCGAGTTCTGTGGTACATATCCAGGAGAGTGACTCTTGATGGAATATCATGGCGGCCTATGGTACTACACATGCAAGTTGCCTTGTTTTCCTGGCCGCCCGTCGGGATACGTCCTAGTAGTCACACATGTCAGCGTTCTGCGCTTATTCTAAAGGAGTCCCGCATCAAGCGTCCCGTCTACAGATCCTCCAGTTCAGGTACCTCGATCGATACGTGACAGAGGCTGGACGGCACGGGGTAGCTACGGTCTTGTACACCGAGATTCGTAACCCGACAAGGTCCAGCCTTGCCCCAAACGGTGTTCCTACTTCATCACCACTCATATGTTGCCCTTGTGCCTCGCCACCTTGGACAGTCTCTTCACGCAGCTGTGATGTAGGTAAGAACATCCAAGACGGTATCCGCAAATATCGCCATACTAGTGTTGCTATCGGCCATGGTTATTACCTAGTAGAGCATGCAGTCAAAGACTCGTAGGCCTGTCTATCTGTCAGGCGTGAAGGGAGGCCCGGTAGTCGCCGTCGAGCCAAACCCCGATCATGTCACGGGCACCACAAGTGCATCAAGCCGTCAAGGCTCAAGTCGCAAAAGGTACATCAATTAAAGAAATGCCTACATAGTACGCGTTGCCAAACCCTTCCATGTAAATAACGCGAAAATACTGCATCAACACTACTGGGCGATAACCCCTTTACCTCTCATTAACTGACTCGACGGCTTAGTCATGGTCTAAACACACAATGCTTACTTCATATTGATACTTCGAAACAGTTGATACAAATGGAGGTTTATGGCGGTTCAATTTGCGTTTGGTTGCTGCTAATGCTGCATATGTATCCCTTGAACAGATGCTATGGTTCGGGGTCTACACGACTCCCATACTTGCTTTCCCTGAGTTCTCGTCATTTCTCTCAGATTGCTGGGCTAGATTTGCCATCTCTATATCTATTTCCTTCTGATAGCGACAGTGTCTTGAGCGTTTTCTCCATCCTCCTATCTCTATTACTACCTCCCTGTGCAACAATCCCGCGTTATCTAAATATGCGAGCGAAGGAAGCCGCATCTATCTGCCCTTGGAATCCCCTGCTGTTGTTTTGTGCCGATAGCTTTCCAAATGACTGATCCACATCTTTTTGAGCTTCGCCAACTATGCCTTGCATAGCAAAAGACTGATTTATCTGCAGGTCTCCAAAGTTCTGGCCGGTCCGCTCTGCTTGAGTGGCTTTCAGAGTAGCTTTGCAGGCTTTTTGCAGGGTCGCAAACCGCCGGAGGCTAGCTTGTTCGTCACCACCCACGGTGTTTGGCATAGTAGTATCTCCTTCCGGAGTAGCGGACTTATTGGATAGCTCCGTAGCTAAGGTGGATAGAACCTGTTCCTGGGCTTGGAACCGTATGTTTAACCTTTCAACACTGTCCGAGGTGCTATGAGAGACGATCCTGGAATAAGTAAGCCTCATTAGTATTAATCAGCTTTGATTTAAGGGTGGTAAGACGTACAATATAATCGTCTCTATAACCAAGGAGATGGTTCTTTGACAACTGCTTAATTCATTGTTGAATTGGGCAATCTGTGATTCGTGCAAGTTTACAAGGCACCTATCACGGATACTGAATCTCGAATCGGTCGAATGGCTCGTATATTTCGTGATTGTCGTACTGAACCTGTCACATAGCTCTTGGGTAGAGGTTAACGTCTTATCGAGGTCAATCGATCGCAGAACAGAGCCAAACCTGGCCTGCAAGTCTTGATTTGTCGATAGCGTTCCTGTGAGGGTGTCTAACGACTTCTGTATTCCTGCGACAAGGGTCTTCGAGTTGGCGATAGCTTGCGGTGCCTCGGCTAAGCCATCGATCACCTTGCAAACGGCTTGAGCGCTCTGCGTGGCAAGGCCAGCAACGGCAATTATACTCGCGGTGACGCTTAACGGATCCATGGAATTGACGACTATGCGCTATGGTAAGCGCGGGCGAGGAGGGCGTCTTTGTATGTCGACCGTGAGAATTAATATTCAGCCGCAAAACCCAGTGGCACTCTGATTTGCTGGTATTAAGAACACGTGATTTTCTCCGCACAGGGTCATTGTTAACAGAAGGCTGCCGAGAATCTACTATATCCCATAAGACCATTTTATCTTGAAAGGCGCTTTTCTATAGACTCTACAAACTCTATATGACAATTGCGACAGTCGAAATACCTCCTAGTCGAACCTAGACACAAACCGGCCCACTTATTAGACGTCTACTGGGTCCACCATGTCGGAAGCGGTGCAGGAGCGATCGGCAATAAGCCAGCAGTTCGGCAGTGCTACAGCGAGCGACGGAAGCCGCGTATTTCAGGGGAACATCCAAGGAGATTTTCATCTGCACCGTAAGTTGTCATAATTCATCCAAAAAAAGAGAAAGAAAAAAAGGTTACGTTTTCCATCCGCTTTATTTTAACTAATAACGCTCTAGGTAGGTTGCCGCTACGATAACCCCCCATCTAGGCGACACTAACGCTAGGTTCAAACCAGAGCCCCCAGAACCCCTAGAGCGACCAGAAACCCCACCGAACCCGACCGCCGTCATTCCTTTCAATCGCGACAGAGACTTCGTCCAACGGAACACAATCCTCGACCAGGTTCACCGCTTATGCAGCGAGCCAGCCTCGCGAACTGCACTGGTCGGCTTGGGCGGAGTCGGCAAGTCGCAGATCGCCATCGAGTATACCTATCAAATCCGAGAACGATCGCCTAAGACGTGGGTTTTCTGGGTCCATGCAAGTAGCGCACCTCGTTACGAGCAGAGTTTCCGAGACATTGCAGACTACCTCAAGCTACCCGGCCGGACGAGTCCTCAAAATAACATCTTTTAACTGCTGTATAACTGGCTGCGCGGTGAGAAGAGTGGGAAATGGGTTCTTATACTCGATAATGTCGATGTAGCAAGCTTTCTACTCGATAAGACGGCCGATCAGAGTCAGCCGCTCGTCTCATACCTTCCTCTCTGCCAACATGGCTCCCTCCTTATCACAAGCAGAAACAGAGATGTGGCGTCCAAGCTGGTCGAACTGCGTAATATCATTACGGTCGAGCCTATGAATCGGGTAGATGCGTTCACCTTGGTGGAGAAGAAGCTGGGAACTCTGGATAAGCAGGATGACATCAAGACTGCCGAATCGCTCGTCAAGACACTCGAATACATGCCGTTAGCAATCGTCCAAGCAACAGCCTACATCGCGCACAGAGCTCCGCGTTATTCTATGTGACAATATGTCGACAAGTTTACACAGAACGACCGGAAGAAAGCGACTCTTCTTGACTACAAAGCCGGGCAATTACGGCGGGACCGAGAGGCCAAAAACTCAATTATTATCACGTGGCAAATATCATTCGACCACATCTGTTAAACCACACCATTTGCAGCCGACCTGCTTTCGCTCATGAGCTTCTATGATCGCCAAGGTATTCCTGAGAGCCTCCTACAGAGTCCGGACAAGAAGGAAGGCCCCACGAGTACACCAAACCGACACCAACGGAGCCCTGCTTTGCACGATTGGGCCAGCGACCAAGAATCAAGCAACGAAGACGTCGAATCGGATTCTAGCATGGATAATCAGTTCGAAAAGGATGTCTCAACTTTACGCGATTACTCGTTCATCTCTATAGTTGAGGATGGAAAGACATTTGAAATGCACAGCTTGGTCCAGCTAGCTACGAGACAATGGCTTGAAGCCGCGGGACGGCAGGAGCAGTGGAAGTCTCAGTTTATCCGTCGCCTTAACGCCCGGCTCCCGACTGGAGCATATGAGAACTGGGCAATATGCCGGGCGCTTCTACCGCACGCTGTATCGGCGGCAGCGCAACGTCCAAAAGACAGAGTGTCATTGGAGGCATGGACTTCGATTCTTTATAAAGCTGCGTGGTATCTTCAACTAATGGGCCAGGGGCCTGAGGCGCAAAGCATGGCAGAGGATGCGATGAAATACAGAACAAAGATACTTGGGAGGACGCACGAGGAAAGTCTTGCTGCCATCGATATGGTAGGCCAAGTGTATAACCTAAGAGGTCAATGGAGCCCAGCGGAGGAGCTGTTTGTGGAAGTGATGGAGACTCGCAAGCAGAAACTCGGGCCGGATCATCCAGACACGCTAGGTATCATGAATAACCTGGCGTTGACGTACAGGAATCAAGGCCGATGGGAGGAGGCGGAAAAGCTGGGGGTGGAAGTGATGGAGACTTGTAAGCAGAAACTCGGGCCGGATCATCCAGACACGCTGACCAGCATGGCCAACCTGGCGTCGACGTACAGGAATCAAGGCCGACTACCAGAAGCTCTTGGTTTGATACGGGAATGTGTACGGGTTGGGCGAACTGTCTTAGGCGCTCAGCATCCACATTATCTATCTTTCCTAGGAACATTATATACCTTGGAGCTCGGGTATACTGGCGTCGGTGCTAGTTAACGGCTAGATAAGCATGTTTAAACTACAGAATATTTAAAAAGAACTTAGCCCTTTAATAATTAGCTTTCTCATTGATCTACTTTATTATTCGAGTTCTTAAGTAACAACGTGTCTTTATTTATCGTTTAAGAGGCTAAGGTCCGGAAGAAGAGGATAACACAGTGGTTAAACGAAGTTAATAAATAAAACTTAAAGAATGCTAACTACGAGGCTGGATAATAGCATAAAAGGGATAACTTATAAGATTTAAAGTATTTTATTAAAGGAGAGAAAGCAGGAATAGTTCTTAGAGGGTAGAAAGCCCTTATATTTAAGATATACACAAGGAATGTATGTGAGAAAAGAACAGGTGTCCTTTTCCAGCAATCCTAGCACAAAGGACAGATCTGGGGTTTTAGTAACATAGGTGGAGTTGAGACCTCAGGGTGAACCAGGACCCCTAGATTCCAACATGGCCATGTATTGCGCGCAGTTTGGGCCCAAGCAAGGGCGTTGTCTTACAGTTTGGGCCATTACGCTAAAGGGAGGCTGGGCGAGATAACGGTTGAGCAGTGTCTATATATCGAGGTCTTATGTCTCGGACAGCATTCAAGTTCTAAACCTTTAAGTCCGGAGCCTTAAACTACCGGTCGTCTTCAGATACGGCTTGGCCTTCGAGCTTGGGGCTTTAACGCAGACCATAGAATGCTGTAACGCTAATCAACGGTAACCAAAGGCCGTTCGGTATAACCTTGGGTGGTACTAATTGCTGTCGATTGTACGGTCTGGCCTTGTTACCGTTACACGATAACGTGCAGATATCGGCCAACGCAACACAATGTTCTCCTTTCAACGGTTAACGGGTAGCCTGCGGGACCACCTCGTCTCTTGTCTAGCTCAACATGTTTTTCGGTCGCAAGCAGGAAGACATACTGTCCTTTTACAGGAATTGACGAACGCGAGCCGCAGTCGATTAGACATTACTTGAGATCAAAGGCCAGGTCTCTTCTTGCAAGTGTAGGACGCCAATGCCATTTTGTCAGCCTTGGGATTATATGGCTGAATATTCTGGGGCAGCGGTATCGTTCACGGGGCTTTAAGAAGATCCTACCAGTGGAAGGAACAACTCTAGATGCAAACACCGTGCTACCTACATAGTACCCACAGCATGTGGTGAATGGTACTGGGTACTGACAACCATCTGAGAGCCCTCTCTGTTAACCATTTAGCTGGGCTTCGTGGGGGTAAAAATAGTTAACCTCCGTTGTATATCTTTGCTCATCTGGTGGGGAGTAACACGTTCAAGCTTTGGGAAATCAACCTGGGCCATCTGGTTGAGCGTGGCGATGTCACTTACAACCTTGCTAAATGGGCCCAATCGTCATAACAAAATCATTCTAAAAGAGTCATCTTTTGCTCAGCTTCACGCCCGATACTATCCGCCTCATCTAAAGCATGCTGTTGGTAGCCTCTCCGCTTAGATATGGTGTACAGTCCTAGCCCCATGTACGTCCTCAGAGGCGGCGTACTGTGGTGAGGTCTAGTTGGAAGAGCGGATCATCGCCTCATATTATCCATACTGGTTGCCTCTAATCCCTGCCATTCTGTCCCGGCTGGAGGGCGTCGAGTCGAGCTTGTCGTGCATAGCCACCCAGCGCCAAAGTGCGGTATTGAGATAATCGAAGACGAACTTTAGATGGAGCGGCCCCTGGGAAAATTAGACAGCGAAGCCATAACCAAGTACGGATGGGTTTCTAGCAAAGCCCATTGACCTGATCACTCGCATTATTTATCCGCGCACGGCTTCGGTCAATGAGCCTATTGAATGGCCGCGGGGACTCTCGGTCAGCGAACGAGTTGTCGGTGCGATCGGGCTTGAGGAATGGTTCGTAGTGAGCACATCCCTCCGTTATTATAGAAAGTGCTGACGATACGCGACCTCTCAAAACGACGGTAAACCGCTGCCGCGGCGGTGGGAGGAGCTCGTAATACGGTCGACGTTGAGATGGTGACCTGTGGCGGATGGGAGGTTGGAAGCTTCGTATCAGTCTTCGGAGCCCTGAAACCCTAGACATGACGTTCTAAAACGAGTGAACGTGTGGGCTACGCTTGAATTGGCTTCAGAAGCTACTTTGCTTGTCACCTCCTATCGTCCTTGAGGATACTCGCTGACGTTAAACACTGCAACTAGCCAGCCAACCAGCCAGCCAGCCAGCCAATGAAGACCAAAACACCAAACTACCATAACAAAGGTCAGGGGTATTGAAAAGGTTGTCGGGTTAGCCGGTCTTAACGATAGGACCTTGAGTGTGATCACCATACGGACTGCGATCATGCTGTTCTCTAGGTCGACGAGCACCTCCAGGAAGTAAAGTCTACAATATGACCATGATTATTTGATACGTAATTCCAGTCTATTTGCAGCACATGTTCACTGTAGATGTGAACTCATATCTAGTTCCGTGTTAGACCAATACAAGCTCATTCATTGTAGTACAGACTTCCTGGGTGACAACCTGCGACCATTCCTGCATGTATATGTGCAGCTGGACGGAGAAGGCTGGGATATTGAATTCGTGTGGAACCAGGAGAAGAAACAGTTTTGGGGTGCAGACCCGTTCTGTACCAACGACGACGAGCCTTTTTCGGTAGATCTCAGCGAAATGACGCAGATATTGTCCGACCCCAATCGGAGCAGCCCGGTGACCTGGAAGGAATGATGTAGAGTAGCGTATCAAAGTCGGATATAGTACAGTGATAGATTGCTCTTAAGGTCTTGTATTTCACGTTATAGCTTGGTAGCGTAAGTATCCCCAGTATTCTTTCGAGTAGGTTGTTCCTCGACTTGAGCCTTCCGTCCAACATGGCAAGTGGTATGCTCTGGACTGTCAGGATGGGTTTCTTGCTTATGATGCGTGTGCCCGCGTTGACGCCGCAGAGAGCGACAAGGCCTCTGTGTCTGCCTGGGACGACATGGACCTCGAAGATTGTTCAAGTCATATCTCCAGAGCTATGAGAATAGCACCAGTATCTGGATCGCCGGAAGGACGTGGTGTCTACCACTTGCCCATTTCCTGCCGTAGTTCTGCCGCATGCCTCCACGTCCACTAATGCTAATCGTTCGGATCGCTTGTGACGGTGCTCGGCACGGTTAGGATTTCCTCGGTCGGTCGGTCAGGGAGTTGTCGAGCCTATCGGGCTTGAGGAACGGTTCGTAGTGAGCTCTGGGGGCAAAGTTCTGGTTGATCTGAACGAATCAGCTCGTATCGTATGGCGGCATGCGTGGGACCAAGTACGGCTTGACTGGGCAGAGACAGAAGTAGAATTAGATGTGGGAGAAAACAAACGTAGCATGCCCAGGAATGCGGGGGACGCTAGATCCCAATTCGACTATAGGGGCCCCCGTCGCTGAAATCCTTCTTGGGGCATTTACCCCACTCAATCCGCCATATGCTTCTTGACTTCTGGTCTTCTATATTAAAGTATGCTGGCCTTGAGAAGTTTGGTCTCCGCAATCTCATTGGTATACCTAGCCAATCAAATCCTGCACCAGCATATGCATGTATCCCGCTGTGAGTCGACTAGCAGCCTCACTGTCGCCCACTGTTCCTGTTCTCCAGTAAACAAAAACTTCGTCACTTGTCAGCATCCCATCAACATCCCCAGCCGTTGTCAGCATCAGCATGGACATGCCTGCGGATCCGCCTCTGTGGTTCGCCTCTTTCCTTAATAAGACGTCGCTAAAACTTGATCAACGATTAACAGCATTTCGTAAAGATGTTGTTAATCACCTGACCCTGGCTAGGTCTAGTACCGGCACCAGCATCGACATTCTCCTCAAGGAACATATAGAGGTTCTGAAAAAGAGCCTCATCGAGGAGATCAAACGAGATTTTCTCCAGCACGTGCAAAGTGCGTCACAGGTTGCGACCGATGCCGCTCTTAGTGGCAAGGACGTAACAGGCACTGTGATTCAGGATAGGCCCCTCCCAGAGCAAGATAGCCAGCTTGCTTCAGCGGCTGCAGGGCGCCCGCTTGAGAAGCGTGCGAGCAGGACGAGCAGCTCTTCTACTTCGGCTCTATTATCGGCCAGCGACGTATCGGCCAGCGACGCATTGTCGCCACCCTCTGGGCCTGACGACGGGAGAATCAAAGAACTCACAGAAATTACTGGTGGGCACCATACGACTGGGAGAAAGGATGATAATTTACCTGCTGTGGTAGCCGTGTCTAAGGATGGTGATGTCGCGTATCGATCCAAAGACGCTGGACCGGAAGACTCTCATGTGTCTCATCGCCCAGATGAGGCTCAGTTCAGGGAAGATAAGGACGAACCCGAGAACGACAAGAATGGCGGAGATGAGGGAGAGAATGAAGGCGAGCACAAAGGCGGAAAGGAGTCCAGAGGAGAAGGTCGCCGTGTGGCCGTTCGCCCGCAGAAAACACTCCTTCCTTCACGGAAAAGGCCCGGCAATAACGCAAAGCCTGAGAAAGCATCGAAGATTCCGAAGACAGGGCGGTTACCAGCAAATCCTGAACTGGCACAGACGGTATCACATATCAGATCGGTGGATAAGCTCTGCAACATCCCTACATGTCCTGTAGACGACCCCCCTAGTCCTGATGTACTTTTCCTGGCATCGGCAGTTCGTAGCAGGGAAGCGATCAAGCAATTTATCTCGCTTGTAGCAAGCAGATGGGCTCCGGACAACATATTTCGCTTTGATTCTACACTGGACTCCGTCCAGCGCATTGCTACCTCTCTCAAAAACGCTAGTAGCAACTCGATCTTTGCGAAATTCATCTTGCGTCTCAGCTAATGCCAGCTTGTAGCACAGATTGATTCCACCAAAATGGGCGCCATCAGAGCAGATCGGACAGTGATAAACAAGGCGATAGAGGAACTTGGACTTGGGAAAAAGCCGTTCCATAGCCACCTTGCCGAGGGCCGAAAGTGGAATATGGTCTGTGGCAAGTTTGATGGCCTCTTGTGTTTCATCTTTCTATCACGGCAGAATGGCTTCGATATTGCCCCTCAGAGTTACAAGGAACTACAGGATCCCTCAAGGCTCCACCGTCTTTTAGACGATAGTTATACCCGGTCTATCTGCAAGGTCGGCAAGGCTTTTCAGGAATCCTTAGCAGACTTCGACGATCTCGAATTCAAATGGGAAACCATACCCGGATGCTTGTCTAACTTGGCGTCCTTAACGGAACAGGAACTGCTTCTTTTCCTCCAGCCGGTCCGGCCGGTCACAGAGAATATCTATGTATCAGTCGAGAGCTGGCCCCGGCCGCCAGGCTGGCCGGAAGATTGGCCGTGGCCTGCCAACCCAACGTTCGAAGGTGCTGCTGGATGCGAGCTCTGTAACCAGGCTAATTGCGATTGCATTAACATGCCTCAACAAACAAGGCCGCGTATCAAGCATTACGGGGAGAAGGGTTTCGGCCTTCAGGCTGTTGGGCGAACCCACGGAGAAATCGTCTACTCCAAGGGTTCAACAATCAGATGGCTGTTTGGGAAGATATTGCCTATTAACACCAAGAGTAATGACAGGGTTATGGACTTCGTGAGGCCTGATATCGCTGGGGAGCCCGTCGTTTGCCAACTTGACTGCGGCGAGTTCAGCAACTGCTTCAGGCTTTTAAACCACGACTGCCATCCGTCGGCTTGTCTCAGGCAGTTAAAAGTGTCGGGCCGTTACGTCGTCGGAGTTGTATCCACGAGGCATATTGGAGATGGTACGGAAATCACCGTCAGTTACGGGCCAAATCACTATGGTGACGGTTGCCTCTGCGCGACTTGTAAGGGTTAGGGGACATAATGGAAATGGGAACGGGCAGAGGTATGATACAAATACCGAGGGGATGTTTAGATAGAGCATGTGCTCCTCCCTCCCTCCCGCATTTTAGAGGATCCGGATGGCTTCCTATAAGCCCGCGCGCGTTTTGATGCTATCTTACGTAGCAATAAATGCAAGTATAAATATATACCAGGCCACCTTGCTTTTACCACCTTTGTTACCATCCATTAGATTCCCCATGGCAGTCACGCCAACCGTGGCGAGCATATGTCAAACTTTCTAGTGTTTTGGTTCATACAGAGTTTATCAACGCCACCACAGCGGTAATAAAAGGAGCCATTAAGACTCACCCTCATCAACTGTCCCGTATGCTAAGTTTGGAGCCAATAGGACGGATTTTCGTATTGCCACTCTATTCTACGCCCAAAATGCCCTCCTCAAAGATAATATAGTTGGACGTCAGCCGAACTCGGGCCATTGCCATGAAGACCAAGCATGCGCGTAATAGCGACGCCAACCCGCCGCCTGGCCGATGCCTCTTTTAGTACGAGGAAGTCGCCCGCTCGTAGTGGAACCGGTTCGTGGATGATTGGAGATGAGTAAATCGCATTGGCTGGCGGCTCTGGTCTTGTCGGCTCATCTAGAAAATGGACGGATGTGCGGATTTTGGTAGAAGAGTGTATACTAGAGAAGCTAGAGCTGCTAGCGTTACTAGATCCCCTTGAAGCAGGAATTATCGCTAGCAGAACCCAATTAGCAGGGAGGTGACATAAAGTCAGGATCACGCGTGTTTGACGCACCTTTCCTTCATTTCTGCGAATAGTGCCAGACAGCTTGCGTAGCCACACTATGCTCTGGATTGTGCAGGTGGTCAAAGTGAGCAGGCTCATCACTGTGGGTGGCCGGATGCTTTTCTGCCGAGTCCAAGCTGCGAAGACCCATATGGTACTCGTGAACATCAACGACCGAGACATTCATGATTGGTTCCCCGCGCGAGGCGAGCCAGCAGAAACTCACGACCGATGCCCTTCCTTAGCGACTGTAGTAGTCGGTTATGGTAGAGTTGGGCAGTCTCGAGACTGCCCTTGGGCAACATGACATGGACGACGAGTATTGGGAGTGCACCGGGGGACGACGAGAGACCGCCGGTTTTGGGCACAAGGACAAGGCGGGTTTTGTCCATGAGGCTGTGGACATCCTGGCGCAAGAGCAACCTGCACTCGTTATCGATGGTATTAACAACGTCCTGCCGCCAGCAGTACTCGGCCATATTGTTACTCTCGAACCACTTTTTGTCGGCAAAGGGGACCAGATAGACCACTTCAGTGTTTTCGATCTGTGTCCGTGGGCTTCGTCTTTTATCAGCTCGAGCAGTCGGATGCTGTCATCATGAATGAGCTGCGTACGGCTGGTATCGGCGTTCATCCTGCTATTGACGATGTGGTGATGTCAAAGCTGGAAGCTGTATGATGAATGAGGTAAGATATATCTGTTGAGGGCCAATACACAAATGTGTCAACACTGTTGTACTAGGTATGCTTGAGGTGTGTGAGGCTATCTCGGCCTGCTAGCTACATATATGGGGAGCAGGGCAACAGTAGTCTGTGCACCGTGGTTTGTCCAGGGATTTTCAGCCCCATTGTGAGTGAGGGCATGTGCGGGGTGAACCCGTATGGTCGCTGTGGGGCACGGGTCTTGTCCTGCAATGATCGCATATCCCCGTCAAGCAGATCCCTCAGCCTTGCCGACGCCTACATCATCACAATCAACTCCTTCTCCAGCGCCCACACCCACGCGCCCAGACACGTACATACAACACTGCGCCTGCCAATACAGCAGAAGATGGCATCCGAAGCGCGATCCCCGATCAGATCACCATGCGCGACATGGCGGCCCTCGTCAAGCTCTAGGAATGGTTTGACACGAAGCCCGAGGTAAGCACTCTCCTTCGACGTTGCTCACCTTTATCCTACACATAACGCTAAACTATACGAGCTTACTCTTTATTAGATCAACTGGGAGAAGCTTGCCGCCAGAGCCGGCTTCAAGGACGCTCCCGCCGCCAAAGTTCACTACGAACCATTCCTTAAGCCCGATGGTCCCGACACCTCCGTGACCGACCGAGAAAACCTCCGCGATGCCGAGAACCGGCCCAAACAAACCGGGGTCAAGCATGTCTTCCTCGCCGGCCCAGCACGCGTCAAAGAAGAAGAGGGCAGCTACAGCTACCTGTACGATATGGAGGATGGCGAGGTCTGATGTGTAATCGAGAAATGCTCGCAGATCATACTGACACGGATTAATAGGTGGGTAGCCAAGTTAGGAAACGTATATGATCACTGCTGGCTGAAATAGGGCAAGAGAATAATTATGGGGTTCTTACCGCGCGTATGTCCACCACCCCTTCATCTATTCCACTGTCTCTCACTCTTTATGACAATGCGACCTGAACTTGTCAGTGGATGGCTCGTGGAGGGCGCGCAGTATTGACAACATGCCCGCCTTCCCGCTCATGAACCGGAACGGCTTCTCCGACACCTCCTTGCTCAACTCAAGAGCATTGCTACACACCGACCTGATTCTAGGCAGGCGCAGCGCCCAAGGATCGGACTGTCCAGATGACCCGAAACTTTGTATATAGGTGTCGCAAATAGCATGTTCGCATGGGATGACGTGCTGTGGTGTGTATGAGAAGCACGTAAAACGGGACTTGCTGCTTCGAATAGCCCACATCTAGAAGATTGCGCATAATTCACCGTATAATTAAATACATTTACCATTCTACCCCTTGCCGATTGTCGCTACCAGCTAGCGAATGTCTAACCAGTTATCCGGCTTTGAAAGTTATCCAACCGATCACAAATACGCCAAAACTTGCCCCCTTTGCATTGTCGAATACAGTAGAAGTGGCTCGTAAACCACCAATCGAGTGACCCTTCCAAGACAAGTGCTACCGTGCTCCGGGATGTCGCATGATCAGGATCGACACCGATATTGGTGATAACGCTGTACTGTTCAGCAGTGCCTCGGTCTGGATTGGCAACGTCGATCACGCCAATTCCCAAGAAAGCCTTGCTGTTATCTCCATGGACGCAATATGTCTCCTGCAGCCAGTCAAGTCTCACCTGCCCAACGGCCATGCTATGATCATTATTGTAGCGGACAAGAATGCCTAGGATGGGAGACCACACATGGGGCCTATAAGCCGTGATCGTTCTGACGTCGTCTAAAAGGCAAGAAGAATGATACCAACGGAGAGGTTGGTCAATATCTGGCTGCGGCGATAGCGGTACAAGTGGCCGCGGGTACGGAATGCGTCGGTAATCGAGGGCATTCTCCAGACCGATAATGTATATTTCAGGCTTCGGGGTGGATTCGGGAACGTTCAAGTATAAGCGCGACGCCGCGTTAGGCAAATGGCGCACCTGGTAGAAGTCGCACTGGTGAACGTCTGGGGGCGGTACATGCCATCCAAACAGGACTGCCTTCTCCCGATCTGTAGAAAACTAATGGGGTTATAAGTCAGCGCTATTTATGAACAAACACTGTGTAGACTCACGAAAAGGGCCAAATCAACATCCGTTCCAGGTGTCTGGTTCGCCGTCGTCCTCCAGGAAATCGTTTGGGTACGTTCGCCCTCGTCGATTGGTAGGTATATCCAGACATCATGATCATCTTGGTTGGAATCGGCTTGCTGGTAAACCTTGCCGGGATCCTCGTTTTCAATGTGACACAGAAGACGGGAAACAGAATAATGCGAACAGCGAGCAGAATATCCTTTCACTGCCGGGGAGTTACACCAGATATGTTGCATTCGTAGTGATGACAAGTCTCCCGACACCGGACCGCAGGTGGCCAGATCGAGTAACGCAACATCGGCTTGTATTCCAGGAACAGACCAACGAACCGATGATATGGTGTCCTGCATGCGGGATTGAGACCTGAGCGGAGATGAGGTCGGCCCCGTGTCGCACTGGAGCTTGACGACTTTCAGGCCATCGCTCTGGATTCTTAAGCTGTGGATTCCGTCGGCCCTGGAGATACGCTTCCACCACAGACCCGGTGTAGGTACGACCCTATCTCCCGGTCTATCGTTCGGCAAAACGAAACGGAAGCACGTCACTCCCAGGTGATCACTCCCAACGTCGACATGTACCGGTAGTTTTGTCGTGCGGTCGTAGTCAAACCGCAGAAAGGCCCCTGGAAGCTGCTCATTGCTTAAGCCTTGGAGGTAAACGATGCCATCAATTGCAACGTATTGCGCATAGACTTTGGCCGAAAGGTCAACGGCCTCGTGTACAGCCCCTCGCGTGGCCCATTTGAAGTCGTCCAGGGCGGTAGCAAGCTCGCTTACCACAAAGGATGCGATCTTCGACCAAAGCTCTGTTGGCAGTTCTTCAGGCCAGCGAAATTCAGACCTGGGGTTTCGGAGTGTTTCTACGCAGAACCGACGCAAGAACTTCCTCCGGCGCGACTCTTGTGCCCAAGAAGGCTCGAAAGAATAATCCGTCGCAGCCAAGAAGTGCTCGTCTAGGGATGGCCCTTGGGTACGGGTTGCGAATTCGTAGCAACCGGGGTGGAAATGGGGTATGCGACGACCGTGATGGCGGAAGAACTGGCAATAACGGCTGAAGCAATTGTGAACCGAAACGCCATGACCAAAATGGAAGCAGTGAGGCTCAAAGGTAATGCTCTTGATCTGATCATAGAATTGGACTGTTAGAGTTAGCTTTTGACACTATGAAGGCCTTGGTTCGGGAGTCTACTAATCGTTGGCTGATTATCGTCGGGCCAATTCTGGCCCATGTCAAAGCGGCAAAGTCGACATCGAGATTCGGTCACGCAGTATGCCTTTCTGGAAGGAGTTCCTTCACATTGAGAGTTTGGACTAGAGGCCTCTGTGTCGGTGTCAGACATGGCGTATATGACTTAATCATTAGTCGTCACCTTCGCACCACGGACTGTGCGGGGCTGAGGGTTTTTATAATGGCTTAGAAGCTGGGGTGGAGCCTAAATTGCGGCAAACTGAAACCAGTACGGCTAGCTGCAGATACCTGCGCCACCAGCACAATGTTAAAACAGGAGTCAATATAACGGTTGGACTGCAAAGTATGGTCTCTTGTTGAAATTAAAGCCAAAAGAAAATTAGATTAATTGGGACATACGAAGATATCAAAGCAAGGAAAAACAGGTATAAAAAAAACTCCAGGTTCAGGTGGAAGTGAGAGACACACAAGTGACCCTTGAAGGCGAAACCAAAGGTGAGGGGACGCACTTCACTCAGAGATTCCTTGCGAAATAATCAGTTCTCCCTCCTTGATAAAGCCACCCTCTTTTCCCGTCAATCTTGTCCGCTTCCCAATCTGCTCTCCGCGTATCTCGGCGCTTCCCATCATGATCCTTGAACCAATATACATCAGGTCTTGTGAGATGTGTTTCCTTGTACACAACCACCTCTTGAAGTGGTCTGGTCCTCGCTGCACCTAATCCTCCTTCCTTCTCTTTCCCTTTCCCTTTCCCTTGCCCCGCACTTTCAGCATCGTAATATTGCTGCTGGTACGATGGTACTGTGCTCTCTCCGTACTGCTGACCAGCGGGCTGAAGTGGAGCCTCTCGGGTTTGGGAGGTTTGGGTCGCCACTAGAGGCCGGTTGTTGTAGAGCTGCTCCAGGAAGGATTTCATGACACCCTCCCCTTGATCGGAGTGAATCTCAATGTACGATTTCCGGTGGCCCAGACGTGCTTCGCCACCATCTATTGGTGTGAGCGGGAAATAGGGCGTTTTCTTTCCCTTTTCAACCATCCAACAACGGAACCGAGTCGCGTCTGTTGTTATCGCAAACATATGGCTGAGTTTGTGCCTGCGCATGGCTCGATAACACGCATCTTGTGCTTGCTGTTCGGCTTCCTCGATGTTGCCGTTGTCTCTTTTCACTTCCACCGGGCATTGAAGTCTGATTTCATGTGTATGAGGAAGGTAGCGGTTGATGAAGACGTCGACACTCCTCCCTGAGCTGTCTGGGTTTTCTTCGGCTACTGCCTCGAATTCATCCAAGGGAAGAGCTCGGCCAAAGTAGGCCCTCCAGAAAGTTGATGACGGTCTCTCTCGACGAGAAGTTTTGGCTGCATCGTAGAGACCCGCTAGGATGCCACTCAACTCCGGGCAAGACCAGATATCGTTGACGGGGTGCGTGAGGTTGGAGTACAAAGCCATGATAATAGAGCCTCGTAGGAGAGGGGATTTAGGGCTCCTGTCGGAAATGATGGTAACTTCAAGTGAATCTGTTCGAGATTGGGTGGTGTCGGCCTACAGATATATCTGCAATCTTTGGGTTCTCTGCCACTTCAAGTTCCCTGGCCTGTCTTTTATATCAAAGCACTGATGTTTACGTGAATCAAGAGGTGTCCCGAAGAGGAACAGGGTACATCATCATTGAATATAGGCAACCCTGATTTCCTAGTGGCATGGTAGCGAAGTAAAGAAGCTATCGGCAGAAGCCAATAATGCCTGAGCTGCACTGAACGAGTATCCGGTATCTACACTGCACCAAATTCCTGCTAGGAAAACGAGTTCATCACCCATGTAGTGGCTTGCATCTAGTACTACGCGTCGTTTCGGCCCTGCTGACTGGCTGGTTTGGTTGGATTGAAGGCTTCTTGACGTTCGGACCAAAGGTTGGAGACTTGAAAGGGGTATCAATACTGATAATTGATGAGCCTATCAGGAAGACTGGCAGTCGAAGTCATATGGGAAATGAAAGAAGACGTAATGATTTATTTAACACCTGTAAAGTGTCATATCTGCAAGTTCTTACATCTGCAACTTTTTACACCTGCTAAATTTCACGCGTGCGATATTCTACCCCTGCACAGCTCAACACCAGTAAAAGCCCGGCCTTCCGCTTGGCGCTGCACCTGATACTTCAAAAACTGCCTAGCCTCTCAAGGGATGCAGATCTGCAGGCTTCGGCAAATGAAAAATTTCACACCTGTAGCTAACCACATACGCTGTCCCACTTATTACATCCAGGACATCCTCGACCTACAAATTATTACACCTGTAAAGTTCAACATTTGTAGCGTTTCATGAGGTCATACACTCATCCATATCGAACAATACCATTACCTGATAATTCCTCATGGATTTGGAAGTGGCTGATGAAGCCACAGCTCAAGCCGGCGCATTTCGACAACGCGTTCACCGACGAGTGCGTTATGATACCAATTCCCGCTACATTGCCAGACATCGATACGATAAACTCAGGGACTTTTCAGTCTCAGACCTCATTCCTCTGGCGTTCTACACCGTCTCGACTGACCTTGAGGGAATTCATGATATCAAAGTTCTTGCTCGAGTGGCTTGTGAAAAGTACGCAGCAGATCACTCGGATATATATCGCGATTCTTTGAAGTATTGCAGTGTTCTCAAAGGGGAGCAACGTGCAGTGGCCTCACTTGGTTAGTAATGTGCTCCTAGCAGATCATATAAATACTCATTGCACATAGAATGCGCTGCATTTTTCGCTGCGCAGTTGATTCCAGACTTGCAAAAGCGTGCAGTCTGGATTTCTGGCTCCCAGGCTCATTTGGAATTATTCAAGCAGTTTGTCCAACAAGATGACGTGGCCAATGAATCGGCCCAGACTTCTCAACGGCATAAACGCAGACGAAAGAATCCGCAGCAGAGCGAAACCGATGAAGCAACTGTCACAGCAATGATAGCCAATCTACAGGAAGTGGAACGGATCTTCAGTGTACCTCTTTACGCTGCTGTGAACAAGGTCCGGGCAAGGCTAGGGGAAGGAGACACCTGGACTGATGCCGTACGGTTAAGGCTTGCTACACAGAAGGGTGAGGATTTCAAATTGATCATCCAGGTCGAATCATCTTTCGCGGATATCATCTCGAAGGCATGCTCCGCGTCTATCGAAACCCTACAAGTTTTGTTCGGCGACTACCTTTTTCAAGGCATGATAGCCAGCAACAGCAAGACAGGAGAATCGGCATTTGTGAACACCGTGTCTGTATCTCATGATGGAGTGATTTGCATAGTGGAGGTGGCGGTCTGTTTCTCAATAGGGCAGGAAATTTTTGCAGCTGTTGGAACAGGCTTGAACGATCAATCATAATACTCGAGTATGGGGTCAAGGTCATGATGTTGCTGATGGTTGGATTGGGAGGTCTAGCTGGACCTGAAGGTCTGGCTAAGTGACCTCGCAATCCGGTATCTAATCACTTATCTTATCATACATGTGGGTCCTGGTATAGGTGGTTTGCAGGCTGGAATCGCATGGATCCAACAGCAGCGCTATATCCTACTTCCGGACCAGTTTGAATTCATCCACGTTCATCACGACCACATTGTAGCCTGCAGGGAGCGTTACATCTGTCCCGCAGATACTCGTGTCGACAGTTTTGACATATCCGGTACCAACGCTCACGCGACCAGTTCCAGCAGACCATGACATCAATCTTTCATATGCAACTGCTTTAAACAAGCAGTAAGTAATTCGTTCAAAATCCCCGTCCTTTGTCTGTTCGTCCTGTGATGTGTTATAGCTACTGCCGCAGAGTGACTGTACAAAGCTTGCGCATACCTCTGGCATTTTAGCGGAAAATAGGATAACGTATGGAAGTTGACAGTCCGCGATAAAATCAAGTCGTATCCGATGATCCGTGATGTAGAGTTGGCGGCGTTGTGTGCGGTTTAAGGATCGTTAAGACTGAGGCAAAGTGCGACTATGTTATTGGAAAGGCGAACTAGGAGGACAATGGTATGCTGTGATAAATCATCCTTGTTGTAATCTTTGCAATTGGCAAAGATCTCGAGAACAAGGTGTTCGAGGAGAAATCCTGTGAAATATACCACACAAAGGTCACCTCGCTAACAGGGCACTGCGGGGCTTGAGAGATTATGTGGGGGCGTCCCATTCGATCGCTATGGGGCACGGGTCTTGCCCCGCAATGATAGCAAGCAGATCTCTCAGCCTTGCTGACGCCTCCCACCCACCAGTCCACATCATCATAGTCAACTTCTCCTCCAACGCGCACCACACTCACCCGCCCAAACACGTACATTCAACACTGTACCTGCCAACACAAAACAAGATGGCATCCGAAGGTGCGGTCCCCGACCAGATCACCAAGCTCTAGGGATGCTTTACACGAAGCCCAAAGTACTCACTCCCATTCGACATTTCCTTTCCCTTATTCTAGGCGTGACCCATATGATACCAGTTGACTCGTTTCAGGTTAAATGGGAGAAGTTCGCTGCCAGAGCCGGCTTCAAGGATGCTGCCGCCGCCAGAGCTCACTACGAACCATTCCTCAACCACGATCGCCCGAAACCCTCCCTGACCGGCCGAGAAAATTTCCACAATGCCGAGAACTGTTCCAAGCAAATCCAGCCGTGCAGCATCTCCACCCGCGAGAGCATCGCCGTCCTCACCATTCCCCTTACATGCGAGTTGGGGTCCCTTCGACCGCATCCTTCGTTCAGACCTTGACCGACTATAACCCAGTTCAATTCAACGCACCGTTTAGCGGCACGTACTCTGCACTCTTTCCATTGTGCAATCACTGCTTAGGTAGGCTATTCTTTATGCCTTCTCTCTAACCCCATTGAGTCCTCCAGTCGCTCTACATCAAGACTAGTTCCCTTCATCCGTGCTAACTGAACCTCTCAGGACCCCAAGCAATTACATCCGCCTCCCGCGATTCCTATCTCAGCACGATACGCTTTGCGGTACGTTGCCGGCAGCGAACATGGCGTCGCGCAGCTCGTCGGCCCTCTAAACGTTGCCAAGTTCCAGCAGGCACATCGATCTGGGCAACCTGGCTACGCTGTCCGATACACTCCGTACATTATAGAAACCACTCGCTCTGTCTTGGGAAGATCTGGTTCTCGGATGCGCCGTTCTGCGAGGCTTGTTTGGCATCTGCTCTATATGATGTTCAAAGCTGATGTCGACTTTAGCAATAGCATTTTTTTCCGACGTTGATTTCGATAATGCCGACACGACGCCCTCGCTCGATATGTTCACCGAGAAAGTCAATATCTCCAAGGATATCGAACAGCTGATCACCCTCGAACTGGACGGAAAGTAGAAGGTCGATAATGCCAAGGTAGCTGACCTGGCTGCGGCTGTCCAAACTCGAGAATTGACCCGAACCAACGGGGCGCGACTTGCTGCTCTTTCGCATCATCTAAGGTCACTGTTGACCATGGCTTACGATGCGCGTGACGAAGACGCTGGAAGAAAAGATAACATGACAGCTCGCGGCCCGGAGCTTCCCCACACTGACCCACAAGTGCTAGCTGTCACTGTCCTACCTATTCTCTCGCTGGAAAGGCTTGTACCAGGCACTATCTGCCAATGAGACAACGATACCCATGGAGGCCAATACGTCCTCACTAGAAGCTGCGGAAAAGCTACTCCATGAACAGGGCTATCTGCACTGGGAAGGCCTGGTGGTCGGAGGCAATATCCGGGAATTAGAGTGAAAGGGCATCCCCGGTCGCCGTCAGCAGGCAGAGCGTTATATCTGAGTCAGAAAAAATTAGTCCGTATATTGAGAATTACTAGTGGCAAGAAGCTCATACAGCTCGCGACTTTCCTGCAAGCTTTGGACCCCTAAAGCCCTGTCAAGGGCCGGAAGCGCAGGGGACGGGGCAAGGAGAGTCGCCATTTTGGGTCTTTGAGATGCGTAGTTATCGATTACAGATCATGCAGCGAAAACGTGGTTACCCACACAAACTTTGAGAGTACGTGATCGATGCCTTATGACGACAAGAAGAAGACACATCGATGGGATAAGCAATCCTTTAAATATTCGTCGTGCGGCACTCATCAATGCCTTCTTAGCGATGAAGGTGACAAACCCCGTCTTTTCTAGATTTGCCAGCCAGTCTACCCATTTCACCTAAGTCGGTGCCGAGCAGAGAGCCAATTCACAATCAAGAGTTGCACAGTACCGACCTCCGGCTGATTTCTATACTAGAGATGAAGTATATCGATTTTTAGGTCGTGCGGACGGGTGGTCACAGAGATTGGCCAGGCTCTGGACGATGCAGTTGGCACATTTCGGCTTGGAATGGCCTGTATCAAATTTCCTGGCACTGCATGAGCGCCAAGACGGTAAGAGGTGGGTGGTATAAGATAGGTACTATGTCTACGACTTGATTTGGTAGGTCGAAGAGACAAGGGTGGTACGGTAATGCGACTCTGGGGCTCCAATGAAGCGACCCAGGTGAGTCATATCATGAGTCCGCTGGAGTCGCCTAAACATCGCAGGCAGGGCTTTGCTCACTGGTATTTCACAAAGCTTGAAGAGTGGAACACATCGAAACGGTAAATTTACGCATACAGCTTGTAATACTGAACTAGCTGGGAAGATTGAGCTGGGATGCACCATCGTACAGTAAATGGAAAGCTCTGAGATGCACCGCGACTTGACTCTTTGCTATCCTATAGATCCAAGAATGCGAAATCCCCTTGTAATAGCCCACATACAACATGTCTCTATTGGGGCCAACAATTGGCAACGTACCATTGCAGAGCGTGCCAGCTCACCCGAATGTAACACAATCTGTCAGAAACAAGAGGCTAGTGACTGAGTGAGTCATGGGTATAGTATATGTGCTTTCCAGGGGCTGCTTGCCTGATCACGCTCCCTATCGTTACTGGCAAGAGCTGCAATGCATGGTTATGTTCATAAGCAGGCATGAATGTTCACTTGGAAGCATGCAGCTTTCTTGTGACGCTAGACGCCCAATCAAATGAACCGAGCTTACGTTGGTATTACGGTGGCGGCTCACGAAAAGGCGATGGAGCAGAACGCCGCATATTTAGAGATTGGTACTATAACACGGAAGGTGGGAGGCCAATGGCAGCCACCCAAGTAACGCGTCAAGAAGTCAATTGGTTCGCCTGGAGGTCCACCAGCTCGTCGCGAATCCACGTGATTATTTGAGGACAACATTTGTCATTGTATTCTTGCTTCCGGACAGGCACTCGCCTGGTATGGGAGGACATAAATGGGAGACCGTTTCTGCAACCTGCGAGGAGAATGCTACATCGTCGTATGGTTTGATAAGGTGGTGAAGGTATTACTCGGCAGGCTTTTCGCCAGGAACCTTCAGCGGAACCGCCTGCACATACACTCGAGGTGGCCACGTCATTTCCTGCCGCGGACGGTTCCGATACATGCGAGCTTCCAGGTGCATCTGTGTCGAGCAGGGGGCGGCTTTGTGGGGACGCTGTCTCCGTTCAACACAATCAAAGCATCCACTTCGTCAGCGATGGGCGGCGGTACACCCCAAGGCTCTATATCCAAGGCGGCGGTACCACTGCTCGGCGAGTGACTGTTATCAGCGCGAGTAGTTGACAGTTTTGCATGGTTGCTCCGGACGCGTTTGAGATGACTCATTCTGGCGACATACTCCAGCTTAGGCGCACCGGGCGTGACTCGCAGGTAGTCGACGTAGGCAAGAACATCGACCTTCTGGCCCTTCTGAGCGTCCGGACCTTCGACCCAGATTGCTTCGACGAATTGGCGCTCATAGGAATACGGGACTCCTTCGTAGGAGTCTAAGTTTGCCTCGTCGCTGGGGTCTAGGCGGTATAGAACTCCGTAGACACCAGGTGCCACGGCTGGTTGGCCGTCTGCCGTGGCGTCCGTCGCGCTGCTCGTTGGTGATGTCTTCGAGGGGCCCTCTGGGGTGGCAGGTCTGGGACCGGTGCTGATCTCCACGGTGTTGGCGTACCCACGCTCGTTGATGATCCAGGTCCAACCGGGGAGATGGGCCAAGCCAATGGGGGTGGACTTCAGGCACCGCTACACCATCTGGGTGGGAGAGAGGTTGGAGCCGTATGCGAAGTATAGCACCTCGCTGGTACTAGTGTCGTTGGTAGCCGGGGAGGGCTGGGGGTCCATGATGTCGCCGCGGGCTGTCATAGGGTCACCAGTGTTAAGGTCGCCTAGAATGTTCCCAAAAACCATGTCTTGGCTTCCAAGGAATGGTCGCGATTGATGCCCAAAAGGATGCTGCCTTTTGTTGACCTGTTTGTGAAATGGTCGAAGCAAGGGTTAAAGCTTTGCCCAATGCCGCTAAAGAGCCCTACAGAGCCCTAACACCGTAGTGAGATTGAAGCAACACAACAAGAGAGATCCTTGAGGAACCAGAAATCCATGTCTTCCAACAGGCCAAGATGAATCAGATTTACCTATCTACAAGTCACCCCTTGTGGTGCGGGGTTTGTCCTGCATATAGGACGAGACCTCATCACACAGGTACGTACCTACCCAGTAAGGAGGGGGCATACCCCGCACCCCTCAGACAAAGGGCAGTAGAATTGGTAACCAGTCTTTTTAGGGGCCATTTGCACATCAAAACGTTACCACGCCGACTTCATGGTTGCGGCCCTTCTGAGATATCAATGCAATGTTCCCTTACATTACAACAACTAGAGCAGATCGGGACGATGAACTCGAGTCACTATTGTCTCAGCGACCCCTCGAGGGAGATACGTTTGCTCGATCTCCTTCCAGCAAGCCCTCCAGGCATCCTCAGAGGTCGGATTCGACGTGCAACGGTCGGCAATGCACCTGTATTTGTCGCCGTATCCCACGTCTGGGGCCAGGAGGATCGTGAAGCCCCCATGCTCCTGGACTCGGGCTGTGGGACCAGATTGGTCCAAGTCTCCCATAATCTCGAGTCGTTGTTCGTGAGACTGCTCGACGATGATTCCCAGGCTACTTTCCCGTTGCTCTGGGACGAAGGTTCCATGGTCCCCATGTGGATCGATATGGTCTGCATTAACCAGGTCGACGCTGGTGAAAAGGCACTGCAGATTCCCCTGATGCGAGATATCTATTCGCAGGCACGTGCAGTCATCATCTGGATCAACGAGGATAGCATCGATCTCCGCAATGCTTTCTCGTATCTGCGCCATATGCTCGCACACGCCGCCTCCGATTCCAGCGACCTTTCGACCTTGTTCGATCCCAGCGGATGGGACGCCGTGAAAGTTCTCTTACGTTGCGGGTGGTTCCACAGGCGTTGGACAATTCAGGAAGCTGTGATACCAACAAACGCAATCTTCCTTTGCGGTGATGATGTGATGGATGAGTGTGCTCTATTTGGCGCCATCGATATGGCCATACGTGTGTTGTTTGCAAGGCCCAAGGAAGTCAAAAAAGTCCAGGACGCCCACGTCGGCTCGATGAGGCCGGTACTAGTCCTGAGAGAGCTGAAGAATTCCTACAAGACCGGTTATCAATTAAGCCTACTGTGGCTACTGGAACACCTGCGGCACACACGCACAACCTTGGCCCATGACGAGATCTATGCCCTGCTTGGACTTTGCGGCCCAGAAGAGGTTGTTGCCAACCCGATTCGTTATGATCTTGTACCGGAAGAGGTCTACAAGACCTTTGCCGTATCACACGCACAACTGCATCAAAACTTGGAGTTCCTCGGCCTTTGTGCGCCAGATCAACGGGACTGCTTCAGCTTGGGACCATTAGAGACCCCGAATTCCCGCCCTTTTGCAGGTCCCTCATGGGTGCCTAAATGGCATTCTAAGCGCCTCCAGCGCTGTCTAGGTCCTGCAATTGTCGACAAGGGGCAAGATGTTTTCAACGCCTCATATAGTCTCCCAGTCACGGTGTCGTTCCAGGACAACAAATTGATCGCATTGGGTATTCAAGTTGACCGAATCCGGGTCATTGGTGATTTCTGTCACCGGAACCGGCGCCGGGAGCTGTCAGATCCCAACTCCAGGCTGTTTCAGCAGTACTTCGACTTCTGGATGAGGCCAGCTGGTGGGAGTCCGTCGCTCTACGAAAACTACAAATGTCGGGCTGGAACTTTTGCCCGGACTATTAGCCTACTCGGAATCTACCTTGATCCGCTACCTTCACCAAGTGATGTTGTGGATATGTTCTGTCGCTGGTGCAGCAACTCAAGCTTAGGTAAGCAACTGGCAGAGTGCGGACTTGTGACGAAGGAAGATGCGGAAAGGAGTGGACAGAAGACGTTCGTCAGAATGAAGCGCTTGTTGGCCTGGGACCCCTTTGTCACCGAGCAGGGATACATTGGTCTTGCTCGCAAGGGTTCCCACATAGGAGACGAGATATGGATCGTTGGCGGTTGCAGTGTTCCCCTTCTCCTTTTTCCGCAAACTGGAAACCCAGCCCACTATCAGGTGAACGGCGAGGTCTTCCTTGATGGTTTCATGTTTGACGAAGCAATGGAAACAGCAGACACTAAGATTCAGACGGCACGAACCGTTACTTTGCTTTAAATACCTTGTACATTTCGAGACAGCCACAAACCACATAATAACCCCAAAACCCGACTTGTTCTTTGGCTTCCAAGGCAACTTTTCTTTTTTCGTCAAAGACTAGTCTAAACTGTAAGCTCGAACCAAGCAACATCTGTGCTGGCACTTTGAGACATAACATAACCCACCCAACTGCGCACCACCCCACAACGCACCAGCTAGCCACCATATAACCAGTATTCAATTGAAGTTATTTACACCACCACAACTACTCAGTATCTAAGGACGTGGTGTTCCTACAATAATACAGTCAGGGTCTACTGATTCCTCACGATTCGGCTGCGGAATAACCGATTCCTCCGGGGCCTCGTCCCTGTATACGGTCCTCTTCCTGAGCATCCTTTTCACCTCCCGAACCTCTGCCATTGTGACGAACGTGGTCCCTGGTGACGGCTTCACCTTCTTGCAAGACCTGTTAACTTTCCTATTAACCTTAGTCTCGAGAAATTTGACTTTGGTCTCCAGGGCCGCGATTTTGGTAGCCTTCTCGTCCAGAGCCTTGCTGGCCTTCTCAACAAGTAGCCGACTTATCGGCTTCCTGAGACTTCGGTCTATTTTCCCTAGCTTTTTCGCGCTGGCTCTGAGTTGTTTAGCTCCCGAGGGGGTCGTGATACTGGTTAGGGACACGATCGCAAGAAAATTTGGTGTTTTTTCGCGTTCCGCTTCGGGTGCTGCTGACTGGCTGTCTCTTGCAACACTCTCCATCTCCAACATCACATATTTCGAGCTTAACGCCTGCTGACGGTCTCGCGGCCATATGCCAGTCTTTTTCTAGGCAATTTTGATACTCTGGATGGTCATTGTATCCACCCTCGCCTGGTGAGAACACTCTAATACCTCCTCCTTTGATGGCTTCAGTCCCAGGCGGCCGCTTGGGGTGTCTTGCAAGAGGGTTTTTAACTTTTTCTTCAGTAAGTTAAAGACCCCAACGTCTCACACCTGTACGACGTGACTGCAATGAGGTTCATAAAAGACAAGCCACACTTTGTTAATAAGGCACTTCCATAAGAACTCGTCGTTAGTGTGTGAATCGTGGCCATCACACACCAGGACCACCTACACGTTGCCGTCTCCTGTAAGGGGCGGAAACATGAATTCAGGAGTTAATGCTGGTACAGCATGACTTCCCCGCAGTGGTATGTAGTGTTAATCGTGGCTCCGTGTTAGGCACAACCCAACCTTTGCTCTTATGCGCCAAATCGGAAGGTGAGGCCTCTGTTGCTTTCCCCGGTGTCCAAAATCTCGATATCGCAGCGCACGACATCATACTGCTCACTTTGGAAGAAGCGAATCTTGCTCTCTGACACTTCTTCTGTGACAAGAAAGGCTTGCCCATACACGACCCAAGCTTTTGTATTGTTCGATGGAGCATCCGTCATTGCCCTGTACTTGCCTCCCCAGGCCACAAGAACACCGCCTCTTGTGCGAGCTGGTCTCAACTGGGGATAAGTGCCTTCAGGAAGCTCAAGGACCCACGAGAGAATCGATAGCTCTGCCAACATCCCGTAGAAAAAGTGCCACGCCGGGTACTGGTCTTGCGCTGGGTTAACACTTGTATGCGCTTCTATGGCTTGGTATTGCGGCAGTGTCACGTCGATGCCTAGGAACGGTGCAAGGCTGATTGGTGATGAGTCTTTCTCTGCTTGAGTGATCTGGATGAAGATCGGCGGGTTATTCATGAGCCATCTCACAATCGCATTCTTTGCTGTGCCGTGGATACCTACATCACTACTCCTGAGACCCCTCCTAGAGACGATACAAATCGAAGAAGAGTAGGTTGGGCTCTGAGGCGCAATGTACAATTTGACGACGATGCCAGTGAGGGCATTGTTTCCGTCGCGTACTGGGAATTGAAACTACCCGGCAGGAAAACCCAGGCAGTCGATTCGCAGATCGAGTCGGCTGGCTGAACCTGCTTGGAACAGGAAGGCATCGACAAGATCTATCTACTCACCGCCTGTGGTACGCTCTTCCGTACCTTCAAGATGTATCCAGATAAAAACAACCCGACAAAGGAACTACGGGAGCCGATGGACGATGGACCTGGAATATTAACAGACTTGAAACACTACTGTGAGATCGACTCTGGTTATGGCTGTGGCATCTTCAGATCCCCCCATCTTAAACCGGCAGGCATCATCTTTCCCCGACGCATGGGATGAGGGCTCGGGGGGTCCTGCAGAAGAACATGGGGTGAGGACCCAGGCTGCACTGCCTCCAGCTGCTGCAGGCTACCAAGAGGGCACAAGTCTCAAAGCAATTCTTTCAATATCGCTTTGGATCAGCCTCAACTGCGGGTTGACCCATGCCCTGCTCCAGTCTTGGAAGGTCTCTTAGTTCCTACCATCACTACTCATCCTGCGCCGTGGATGGCATTGTCGAGATCACACCTTGTATTGAACGCGACCAGGGCAAAGCCAGCCGATGCCACATTGGTGGAATGATGGTGCGCTACGAAGATGGCATTCGAGCCTGCCTGGGCATGTGCCGCCTGGACTGGATGGGAAGCCCGCTTCGGGTGTGCAGTACGCATCTGCACATGGCTGCTGTGCGGTGCCAAGGCGAGAGACGGGTAGTGAGAGTGACTGTGGATGCTGGACCATTACCACCACTGGGCCAGTCAGAGCGCTGGGTGCGAGTCCCCTGGTCCGGGACTCTAGACTGGTGGTTTATTTGGTCTGCTGCCGTCATTAGGCATCGACCTTCTGCAGCGGCAGCTACAGGCGATTCCAAGTAGGGAGTGAGTGAGTGGTTGCCGTCGGCGATCTCTTCGAGCGCGTCTGTCACATTGGTATCGAGAGCGAATAACGACCGAATAGATAGGGAAAGTGGTGCATATAAGCGCACTGGGAAACCCAAATGTATTCTCTTGCCCCCTCTCAGATCCAAATGATCGTATGCCTTTCCTAATTTGGCTATCCACCTATCAATCCATATCTGTATGATCTGCGAGCATTTCCCGACTACGCATCAGACCTCGCCATCCTCCATATCGTAGAGGTAGCTGTAGCTGCCCTCTTCTTCTTTGACGCGCGGCGGGCCGGCAAGGGAGATATGCTTGACTGCGGTTTGCTTAGGACGGTTTTCGGCCTTGTAGGGATTTTCTCGTCGGCCAGGGAGGTGTCGCGGCCACCGGGCTAAAAATGGTTCGTAGTGAGCTCTGGGTGCAGCAGCGTCCTTGAAGCCGGCTCTGGCACAGTTTGTGGGCGCTTGGGTGTGGGTGTGGGTGTGGGCGTGGGTGTGGGCGTGGGCGTTAGAGGAGAAGGTGACTGTGAGGATGTGGACTGGTGGGTGGGAGAAAGCAGGCGTCGGCAAGGCTGAGGGATCTGCCTGACGTGGGGAGGCAGGACCCCTGCCCCACATACTGGATTTACTAGCACATGAGTGCATCTACTATTGTGGCAGTGTGTGGCTTGCCGTGGCGACGCCACCACCCTAGTCTGTGGGGTCATGTGAGGAGGCACCTGTTGCTGGGTGCTATGGGTAGGTAACGGGATCCCTGGATCCACATAGCTGGCGCAGCTTCATCCACTCGACATCATCAAGCCAACAACCAGCACATCATACGGGCACCCATCAATCAGACCTTCACTTTGGATTGAACTTCCAGTCCTACAGGCCCCAATATATTACAACGTATACACTCCAACACCCTGATAATGGCAAGCTTCCAATCGTCTACCGACTTCCGTCCGGCTGCTATGCGGGTCGCCACGTTACAGAGCTGCAATCGATGCCCAAAGACCGACATTTGTGATCATGCCGTGTGGGTGAAGCAATCCAATCCGCGATGGCTCTAGGAGAGCCTCGTGATCGTTGCCTTGAGGTAAGGCGACATCCATGGTACTTGCGACAACGACAGCATTCTAACATTAATCTAGCGCCCAGGACTTCGGCAAGTCCGGTATATGCGAGCGTGTCGGCCTTCTTCAACCCTACGATCTGAAGCGCCAGTTCCAAAACTATAAAGCTTCGATTGACTGGCTCGACATCACTCGAGACACCCCGGGCGACAAAGACCTCGATGTCGATGCGATGATGCGGAACATCAGGGCTGTCACCGAACAGTTCCTAGCCTCGATCGAACCTGCTATGAAGAAATACCAAGTCCTTGCATCCCTTCTTCTCGCCTGTGAAAAGCAGCAGCAGTCACTTGATCAGATCATGCCTCAGCTGAGCGGCCGCGGATGTGACGAGGCAAGCTGGATGGTCTCGCGCTCGTATACCAATACCGTCAGCCAACCGTTGGCAACGCGCCAGCGCTGGTGGATGCCACACGACGAATCCTCTCCTACTGGCAGCGAGTGGACTGACATACAACGGCGGGCGCTGGAAACTCTGGTTGACTTCATCCAGGACTGGAAGTCCATGCAGGAGAGAGTCACTTGCCCTACCTGCAGTTGTTAGGATATGCAGTGGGGTCAACGAAGCACCCATTACATATGCTGGCCTCGGATATGGTAGCAAGACACGGCTTCATACTTCATAGGACGATATGTTATTCGTAACGGTCGCGTAGATAGCATCCGATGAACTGTTGTGACTTAAAATTCACCACTCCCGATTCATCCTCAACCCCTATTACGATTTTACTGTGCGCTCATCTTTTAACTTGTTACAGGTTTACCTATCACGATAGGGGCTTTCAATCTGGACATGTGTGCACTTGCTTGTTTCAATAAGAGGCTCTACTTCCAAAAGCGAGGCTAGAGGAGGCACGCAGCCTCGTTCAATCTTCCCCCACAACTCGAGACTCGTCTACGCGAACAAGATGTCAACGGCCACGCCCTCGTCACCTCCCACGAGAAAGAGCTGTTTGAGGTACTCGGTATGGGGAATGTCAATCACAAAGCGACGTTCAGGTATGCCCTCAGCCATTTCTACCAACGCAGCCGGAAGTACAACGGTCCAGGACTGCGATACTCCGATGTACCTGCTCACGACGACCGGCCTTCTGCGACTGCCGCTATAGACGAACCACCTCGCAAGAAACGACGGGATGCGCCAACCGATCGTAACCCAAGGCCGGCCCAGGTCCGAGTCACCGCCGTCTCCCTGAACGGATTGAGATTTGACAGTCCGCCAGTCCTCTTGATCTGGGCGGTCTCCTCATATCAGCCACTGAAGCGTAGATATAGTACTAGTCCGCCACAACTTCTTCTAGACGTCTAGTGAGTTGACAAGACGTTAAATTGGTACACGAAGAGGGCCAATTTGGTAGGGCGCCCGCGTAGTATCTGACGCCGTTCTTCGGGAGCGATGGCACAGACGCTGCTCGCCAGCCTGTATGATGCTTCAAAGGGCATCCACACTCTGAGCAAGGTACAAACGGCGCAGACGATGTACGAGCAACTTCAGGCCGGGGGGCCACTGGATGTGAAGCCGTGTATAGCTGCTACAAGCTGGTCTTTATGGTTTAGCAAGCAATGTCACCATCACGACTGTGAGCAGAACTGACAGGCAGCTGCCGTCAATGCGACGAGACGAGCAAGATGTGTTTCCACGAGCCTTCCCATCGCGTGTGTCGTCAGGACACCCCCTGGGATGAGCAGCGGGGTAGTGCCTCATTAAATGGATGTACCCCCACTTTATCTCAGCCTTGGATCGGCACCGGATCCATACAGTGATTCGACTCTCGGCTTTCGTACCGACTGGATCTAGTCTTGCACAGTAACAGCCAATGCCAGCCTGTGCCGGTACCGTACCACCCATATTGCCGATGCCAATGCCACCTGCTCCGGTTGCCACGATTCAAACTCCGCAAATTCCGCGATTCTACTTATATGGTGCAGTTCCTGAGTATTGAGCCCTCGCAAAAATCAAGTCGATATGTTCCCCTTTGTTCATTGGAAGATGTACCCAAACGTTGGTGTCGGAAGGGCAGCCATAACTGTTCATCTGTTGGTAGAAGTCCATCCTGGCACACGACTTGTGCTCAAAAATCGAGATCACGTTGTTACCTATGCACTGTGCTAAGTAGCCGAGTACATCAGAGGCATTACATACAAAGTGTTGGCAGCGTGGAGGTGCCGTGAACAATGTTGTTGTTGTTGTTAGGTTCTACTACAGCTGACAGCTACGCGGAAGGCCTGATCTAGCTACAGGGCACGGACCACGTGACCTTCAACAATTGCTCTCTTTCTCATTCCCGCTGTAGCCGGCTCTGCAGCGTCGAAGCCCAATAAACCTACCCACAGTGGTTGCGAGCCTCCGTTGACCAAGGTGAGACAGGCCACGTGTGCGCTGATGTAACAATGGAGCTAGCTAGCCCTGTGGATTGCATATTTCTTCTACCTCCAAACTAGGTCAGCTCGAGGCAGATGATCAGAGGAAAACATAATATAAGACAATTTGGGCTGAGCCAGTGTCTTGGTCAAATACTGCCAGCGAAGTATATGGATACGACAGGAGATGAGTATATTGATGATCCCGGAGAAAAGAACTTGGATACCTCTCCTTCCACCCTGTAATCGCCCTTCCAGTCCTCGGCTGGAGAAACAAGTCTGATACACCGCCTTGTTGGTCTTGCGCTTGGTTCTCTGGACGGCGCCCGTCTTGGCAATACGCGCTGGGTTATCTTCGTAGACAGCATGAGTATGTCACCATCGTGGACCTAGTGCGTGTCAAAAAGGAAGAGAGCAGCTACACTGGCCGCTGCTTTGCCTACGACCTAAACGATATGGAGGACGGCGAGGTTTAATACGCAGTCGAGAACTACTCGCAAATCATACAGACACGGATTCATAGGTCAATAGTCAGGTTAGGAAATGGGATTAACCATTGCTGGTTGAAATGGGAAATGAAAATACGCATAAGTCCTATTGCGCTTATGTCCACCACTTCCCCATCTATTCAGCCATCTTGCGCTTCCCATGCCCTTGTTCGCGTGATTTGGCTCTCTGAAGGGAATTGAGGCAGGGTATGAGATCTCAGCACAGCCGTTCGGGTTGGTGAGCGAAGAGAAGTAAATTTTGGAGTTGAGACTGGTGGGGCAGCGAGATTATATCATATGTGAAATACTCAGTACAATTATGATGGAAACAGGCTGAAGGCAGTACATAGTATCTCCAGCTTCCTGCCAACGTGGACAGCGTCAAACAGCAACAACATATGAGTCGAAAGGACTCGAATAACGGGATCGATGAGCCAACCTATTAGCCAAGTATCCCAACTTGGTGTCCACCTCTTCCTCTCTTCCTATGTCCCACTCCTGTGATGTGGCTAAGACACGCCAATCCTCGTCGACCTTCGGAGCAACCAACAAGCCAGGTTTTCCTGCAGCAAGCTTGGTGATGCTTTCGACATATGATTTGCTTTCCGTGTCGGACGGGTCGTACACCACCACGAGGCCTTTGGCTACCTCCATCTGCCTCTGCGCTTCTTCTTCGTTGACTCCACCCGCATCGACCAAAACATAATCCCGCGCGGAACGAGATTCTCGGTAATGATAAGTGTCCAGTGAAGGCGTGTAATCGGCTGAGGTATTAGGTTGGCCAACTCCACGAAGAATTCGTGGTATGCCTACTTTCTTGCGTCCAAGGAAGACGATGTTGTTAAGCGTCATCGGGCGCGGTGGTACCATCGAGTCGGGTTCCTGCATTGGGTGTCGGTGCTTGGTGGACTTCTCAGCCATTGCGAACGCTGCTATAGGGCAGATCAGGATCTATACAGTTAGTACTTGAAGTATCTTGCGTGGAAAAATCGAAGAATGACACCACGTACCACAGTGAAGATTGGACTGTCCAGGAGGAGGGGAACGAGGCTGATTAGCTGCAAGCTGCTCGCAGCGATCCTAAACCAGCTCCTACACCACATGGTCGTTGACAAAGAGTGGAAAACCACCACGCTGAGAAGAGTCCATGGACCAAGCACAGGAACCAAAGATAGGAAGCCGAGTGAAAGCTCTGCGAAAAGCACCGAAAGAACACAGCGAAGGCCGTTACACCACTCTGGGGGGGTTATATGAAGCTTCCGTGAGGCAGGTTTCCGTGTGCGCTCGGGCAGGTGCTCGGTCGCTGATCTATGAAAGACAAAGGCGTACTGATCTATTAGCCGCTGCTATCGATGGAGAGAAAGATACGTACGTCAAAGCAGAGGCTACCACACGCCACCCAAGTCCAACCGAACTTAACCAGCGCGCTGGCTGGGTGTTTGAAGGTGAGAGCGAAGCTGACAGTGCCAACAATAAAATAGATCGACATGAAGCACACCAGAGCCAAGGACAGCTTGAAAGAACCCCAAGGGTAGCAGCTACACAATGCCATTGTCAGCATCAGAATTAGCATCATGATAAATGCAGCGTAAGCTGCGTGTAAATCGGCCATGTTACCACGAGCTCTGCGTGGAACAAGAGGAAGGAGAAGAGAGAGGTGCGTTGCAAATGATACTTTAAAGCGATTTAGCAGTTTGGGTTATTCAGGCCTGGCGCTGACACTTAGGTATTTCGGAGAAGGTGAATCCCCATTCCATCCCATCCCTGCTCTGTATGAACACCACATGGATCGCGTATGGTTAGGCGCTGTACTTTGTGCCCGGAGCTGCCAGATGGGATGGGGAGTGATAGAAGCCGAAGAGCAGGGGAGGAAAGGGGTGTGGGCCGATAACGACCTGACCCGAACCAGGTAGGTTCCTACTTAGAATACGTCCAACAATAAGGCCGGGAGAGGTAGTCATAATGGTACCTAGGTACCGTAGCGGCATGGGCGGATATGAGTCCTATTGGTAGATTCAAGCTAGAATAATCAACCGAAAAAGAATGATCGTACTCGTAAGTATCACTCAGCTCGTCCGTCCTTACAGCATGCTAGCCGATAAGTGAGCATCTACTTCACAGTGGACGACCCGGAACGCATGCCACCCCGGGGAGCCACGGCGCAGTTCAGGTCATGGCTTGCCAGGCTAACTGTGTATGTGACCAGCTATCACAGTTAATGGCGTTAGTTCATCACTCCATACTGGATGGGTACCCTCTGCCTTTTCCTCTCATTCCTGCTGGTGGCTGACAAGCTCGCGTTTTAACTATGGTAGCAGATACCCAGAGATCACCTTGCCACGAACATATTCATTGCGTCACTGGCACAGGCTGATAGGTACCCCAAACGACTCAGGGATTCGTCTCGCACCCATCTCAGCCACTTCTCATTTTACTGCATTACCTTCTTTCTCATTGGTATTAGCAAAAAACGCGGCGCACACCCGAATCAAGGACCACCTCCCAACCCATTGGGAGGACCTGCTCCAAGCTGCATCTGCTGCACATTCAGAACTCCAAGCTTCTGAGCATGTCTCGGCGCACACCAGCGTTAGAGGCCTCGTCGCAACCTCTTCGGAGTCCGTCAACCTATCCAGCTCATCACTGCAGCCATCCCCAACACCATTTGGTCACTGCACCTTCCCAGTCATCAGGAATGTGGGCATGCATGTGAAATGCCTTTTAAACGCGAGTGGCAACTGGAATCGCACCTGCCTAAGCATTCGACGTGAAAGTACCTGTGCGACGTCCCTAGATGTAAGAGCAAGGGCTTTAATTGCAAGCAAGATCTGAAAAAGCATGGATTGAAGTTTCACCCTCCTCTCTCGTATCCTTTTAACTCTTATCGGGAAGGCGATTTTACGAGGCAAGGCCGCCTAATGATATATATATAAACAGCTTAAATGTAACTCCATCTTGCTAAGCTTTTACAGCCATGTACTTCATAGCCATCCACGCATAGAGCTTACCGACCCTCGATTGCGACAAGCAATGTCACAGCTCCGCCGTCGGAGGGTGTTGGATCCAAGCCTATCATCATAGCATTACAATACATATACATTGGGTATCTACCGTCGGAGGGTGTTGGATCCAAGCCTATCATCGCAGCATTACAATACATATACGTTGGGTATCTACCGTCTCAGTGGCTAATCAGATGGGGAGCACCCCTCCGCACCCTGTCGAGAGATTCACAAGTGAGCCAAGGAGACTGGGCTGGGTACCCAACCCACTGGACTAGAAACATCTTCCCACCATGGCTGACCCCCAAGACCTTGAGAATTTGGTGAAGAAACCTAGGTCCGAGAGCCACATGTCTGCCACCTAGGCTCCCCCCCTATGCTAATGATAAATATTCGTTCTTGAATTGGACCTTTGTCTCCTGCTCCCAGTCGCGGTATTCCAGCCACCTGCCACCCGGAAGAGCCTTTTGACGATAGACGAAAAAGTCTACAACATTGTACTTCACCTCCCTGTGTGCTCTGACGGAGAAAATGGTGTCAGAGTGTAGACGACTATTGTTCAACGCCCCGGGTTCTCTGATACTTCCACCATCATCCGTTTTCCCGACCAATGGTGGCAGCCAGGGTAACAATACCGTGGAGGTGTTGCAGGCTTGCTAAACAGAGCGCCAACCATGGACTCTCACAGGTGTATGCTGCCGCCGGGCAGGAGACTGCAAATTGAAGTGGCTCATAATATGTGAGAATGAGAGATGGCCGGAGCTGTTGCTCGTGCCGAAGATTGTATGTGTGGCCAGATGGCGAGCTCTGGAGATTAGAATGATAGATAAGTACTGGTATTCTTCTCAGAGTACTGATGGACGCCAAGGCGTGGTGCAGGAGTGCAGAAGAGGCAGTATGTCATGCAGCTGGGTGGGTGACGAGTCGATTCACAGGCGAGGGTGTCATGAGGTGTTGGGAACGAGGCTCTGCACGAGGCTCAGCAAAAGTTGTGTGTGATAAAGGCATTGTGCAGCCAGCCTGTACCATCAGTTGGGGTACGAATGGATGAGAGACACAGCCCCGGCCATAGGGATAGTGGTAGTCCCCGTCTCGTCACACATACCTACCTATCAAGGAAGGAAGTGTAAACCGAGCGCGAAAAGGGAGGCAAGATGTAGCAGGCTGTAAGAGACGAGCTATGTGCGCACAATTCACGCACTCACCACCTGGTCGCGCTACGTACATACTGTACGAAAGGGCTGGGAACAGCTCGGTCTCAGATACGCGAAAGTGGAAGATACCATCCGGCTTTGCTGGACGGTGGAGACGCCGGTCCATGTAGGTGCGGCGGGCGAGTACGGGCTTGCTCGTTTGGTGGAGGAGGATCGCACCTTGTTCTGTGGGCTGCGGCCGGTCGTGGAGATGGCACGGTCTATAGGATTGGGGAAGTTACAGAATCAGGGTCAGGCCGTCGACAGCTATCAATACCGGTTAGAACCCGAGTTATCATTGAGCCATCTATTTATCATATAGAGCCATGTTCATGAAGCTTTGGTCTTGTCCTGTCTTCTCTTCTCACAGAAATCCATCGATGACCTTGTACTAGCTCCTAGTTTCGCAACGCCAAGGCCTTACCTTCCTTCCCTTCAACCCGGGTATGCTCACCTGACGGGAAGCGTCCAGATACTCTCATCTAGTAATCTAGAGCGTGCATCTTGACGGCTTCTGACAATGACTTCAGCGGGATTCCAGGTACAGTACAGACTGAACAAATGGGTTGTTGCTTGTTGGCCATAGCGATGAACGCGACGGAATGCTTGGTCCTCGACCTGTTTTGCAAATGCAGGCTCGGTCATTATTACGTAGTTGGCACGTATCAGGTTGAGACCCTCTCCGGCGATACGGGCAGTGGTAATTAACAGCTGAGGATCGTGGGGATCTCTGTCTTCCAGCAGTTCCTCATCAGTCATACGGCAGAACGGGGCATAAAGCGACCCCCGCTTGGCGGGGGCGTCTGTGGCCAGAACAAGAGTTTGGCGTAGCGTGGGGAGTCCCTTGCGCAGTATCAGGGCAATGAGGAAGGCCGTCACAGGGGAAAGGGTAAAGATGATCATCTTCCTCCGCAAGGTACCACGGCCCTCCCCTACGTCCTTGTGCTGCTCATCATCTTCAAGCATCTCCTTGATTTTCTCCCGGATAAAATCCATCTTGCTGCTGCCCGCCCCGATCGCATCGAGGTATGGCCAAAGCGTGTGGTTGCGCAGATCCGTATGTGACATAGTGTTCAGGTTGCCCTTTATGTCTTCTGCACGGAAGCGACACGGCTGTCCCTGGAGCAACATTTTTGCTAGGCCTGGGAAGGTGGCACACAGCCCAAGTTCGTAAAAGCGCCCCCGGTTTCCGAAGCCCCTTTCAACATCGGATATTACACTCTCCAAGGTTGGCTTGGCGCCACGCGACCATTTCTCTATTGACAAGCAGTCCTCGTCGTCTCTAGCGGTATGGAGGATTTCGGGTTTGTAAAGCCGGTCCGTGCTAGCGTTTGGTTGTCGAAATTCATGTTGCAGCCTTGGAAATCGATCAGGGGCGCTTCTCAATGGGTTTTTTTTAACTGGTGTCCCTTCATCCGATAAGTAGCGTTAAGTGCGGCCGCTGCATGAATGTTGGTGGCTTGTTCAAGAACCCCGTGGTGTCAGAGTTGAGCCAATCGTCAGAGTGAAGTGTGTGTGTGTATTCTCTGTCTGGAGTGTCCCTGTGCGACCGTGGCAGTTTTGTGCCAGAGGGGGCTGGATCGGGACGGAACAACTAGCTTCCGTTGTCTATATGTCAAGGTGCCCTCTGGGCTCACCTTTAATCCAACACGTGGGAACGAAGACCTTGTTCTGTATAGTCTTCCCGTAGTCGTACTGGTACACGCCGCCATGCCCATAGCTAGCAGAACTGACGACGTCCCCCAGGCGGACATCGTGCTTGGCCGGAGCACAAAGACCCACTTGATTTTGGTGGTATGGTAACACGCGGCAATGGGAACAGCCCAGCCGCCAGGGGTTTGGATAGAGTCTCGAATCTCTTTATATTCATGTGTGCACTCAGTCTTTCTTTTTCGATTCCGGCAGTCGGTTCATTGATGTCGCAGACGTTTCTGCCTATGTCGCTGGGCACTTTTGCAATTGTAGGTAGCGAGTGCATCCCGACGAGGGGGCTTCGACGAGGGGGCTTGGGCTTGGGCTTGCGACCGTGGCGGAGGAGAGTTTGAGAACGAGCCCCTGTAAGTGCGGATATGCATCGTTCATTGGTTGGTCGTCTCTGAGCAAATTCGACTCGGGGTAGGTCAGAAAGGAACACACTTCACTCTGACGATTGGCTCAAATCTGACAACTTGGAAGCTAAACAAGAAGCAAAGTGTACGTCAATGGCAACGGCGGGTGTCCTTAGCCACCTGGCTATTTCTGGCACCCACCAGAAACCTACACTATGCATCTGGCCCATGGACACGTGAAGATGACCAGGGGCATGGTGATGCTTGAGTTACCTTATCTGTAGTTTAACATTGAGGCTGCTATGGACCTGAATCCCGGTATAATGTATCATTTCCATGTACCGTGCTCGTTGCTAGCCGTCTCCCAAGTCGCATCGCAGGTCGAGAGCGTTTGGCGATGGGTGCCTCCACGCTCAACTCGTCGGCGGACGTATCATAATCGGAAGAGGCGTAGGGTGCATTTGAAGCATGATCCAGTGCTATAATAGTGTTTTGGCTGCTAGGGCCCGTTGTCGTATTTGCTGAGAGGTCAGCCTCAAAGCTCAGCGCCGCCTCGTCAACCAGCGGAGACATGTCCGCCACGCGAGCCCGTTTCACCCTCGCATTAGCCCGCTTGATGGCCTCGTCCCTTTGCAGTTTGGCCCAGTCCCTTGCATTCCGATACGCCGAGGCACCGGTACGAAACGAAGCAGGGTTTCCAGTCAAACTCCACGAATCCATTTGCGTCATGACGTACTTAGGTGCCGCGCCGGTCGTTGGCTCGACAGGATGACTGGTATACATCTTGAGCGTTCCGTCATGATACGTTGATGTGATAGTAGAGGCCGTATTGTTATATGTAGGGGCGCTTGCTTTGTAAAACTGGAGACTGAGCATGGCTCTCGCCCCCAAAGCACCGTCATAATTTGATTGGCGCTTAGCGACGGCAGCTGAACCATCCGGGCCTTTGGCGGCAAGGAAGAAGTTGGGGGCGACGGGGAGGTCGTGCTGGGTTGATGGGGTTATCGAGCCGTGAAGTTCGGCGCGCACCTGTCGGTCTAGCTGCTCGGGGCGGGCGCCGTAGTACCGATCTGGATTGCCCGGGACGAGAGAGCCGTGGGTCAGATGGTCGAGGTTCGTGAATGGGATCTGTCCGGATACACACTTGGTGTCGCGGACGTCGCCCTCTAGAATGGGAATCACCGTCGAAGTAACCTGCCACTCCTTAGCAGCATGCGCGTCCGCCCGTTTGAACCTCCTGAATTCCTCGTCTGAGAATCGAGATGGCGATAAAGAGGGCCTTGGACGAGCAAGAGCTTGTAAGACTTCATCCATGTTGGTAAGCTGTGGTGGGGCGCCTCGGTCGCCTGGGTACTCGTAACCGTCAGGATAGATGCCATAATCAATTAGATGCTGTTGGAAAGCACGATCGTACGGACTGGTACTCTTAGTAGTCGTCGTGCTGTGTGTGCTGGCACTGTTCTTTGAGGGCGATGCCGAGCCTCGCTTGCGCCGACCGTCGGCCAGTATGTGAGAGATACGTTCTGCAACCTCTGGGGCATCCCGCAGTCTGGCTTCAGCGGACCGAGCGTCTGATGCTGGGTGATGAGCTCCGATGTTGTCGGCCCAGATTCTGAATCTCGTAGTATCGTCTTCCCCTGGTCCGGGACTCTAGACTGGTGGTTTATTCGGTCTGCTGCCGTCATTAGGCGTCGACCTTCTGTGGCAGCCACAAGCGATTCCAAGTAGGGACCGAGTGGTTGCGGTCGGCGATCTCTTCGAGCGCGTCTGTTAGCTGCTGTCTTCTTTTCGGTAACTGGCTGAACTCGTCCAGCTGCTCGTTGTCTTCCCAAGAATGGAGATCTTGTTCCGATTCACGGTCTCTCTCTGCGAGCGGCGCTTGGGGCGGGAGGCCAAACATCCGTGATTTGAGCGAGCAGGGAAAGGCTGATAAGGCTCGTGGTTGTTGGGAATCTACTGAAAGAGACGTCCCACCAAGTGCGCGGCATCGGTGGCGGGTGGACTACGAGGGGATGCCGGCTGGCGGGCTGTGCTTTCGTGATCCTTTTCCCTTTCGTTGCCAAGTAGGCCACGTTCTCTGCGGTTGATCCTAGACTGTTAAGGCCTCGCGAGGCAACCTGTACCTCTCGCCTCGTGCTGTCTATCGCAACAGGGGCTATTAAAGATCTCCTGCTTGTATTGGTTTTTCCTAACCTCAATAAATCACGTTGCAACTTGTTACCAGAGAGGTTCGCGTGGAGGAAATAACACGACGTACAGCCAGCCAAGTCATGCAGCACAACCCGTAGAACCAGCTCGGTGGCCCGGGATCCAGCTTCAAGAGCCAACAGTGCAGTTTCATGCATGAAACAGCCACTTTGCCTGCAGCCCGATGCGATGACAGAGCGCGTCTTACTCCATAGCCAACGTGGCAACCCCTATGCTGACAAACTTGCTTCGCCGAGATGGACTGCGTGATAATATATGCCCCATAATCGAGCCCCCGAGCTCCCGAACTTCTCCTGTCCATTCTTATTATCCATCCATTTGCGCGAAGTCTCTCGACCTGTGCTTCTAGCAACGCCTAACACGCTGTGACAATCAGGCCTGCAGCTGCGCTGGTCAGGGCTGATGGGATGAAATATCTAGATTCAACGATATCTAAGGAAGAAGAGGCAACGTCGGATGAGGGAGGGGGAGTCTAGGGGTGTATATGTACATAAATATGTGAAGGTATTATGTAATACCGTAACACACGCTAGGAGTCGACCAACATACTGGTTGCTGGAGTTGTTGTTATTACGACGGCACAGGAGTATCACCGACAGACAACATAAGCCCTCAGTAAGTCTACCCTTATTATCGAGCACGCAAAACGGAGGGAAGATCCTTACGAATCCAGAGTCGAGAGTCTTCTCGACCTCTGCCTCAAGGCCAACAAGCCAGACCCTTCGCAACGTCTTCAGACATGGACGTCGACCAGCGCAGGTAGTCCTTTTGGGAAGGCTATCGCCGACGCCATCCTAGACGACTTGACCCCGAGGGGCTTCGCACTCCACGCATTCGCTCTTCTCGCGTATTATCGGACATTCTACGGCCCCTTACCCCTCCCCTGTATCCCTCCCCTGGCTGGGGTGATTTCCATAACCGCCTGCCCAGTAAGCTAGGTAGCCTGGCCATTGGCCGTGAAGCTCTTCTTGAGGGCTTCTATGCGCTCCTTGAGGAGACTGTCGATGCTAGTGTCGGTACTAGACGTAGCTGACTGGCTATGCCGCGCGTTGCTTATAAGAGCTGGATTTAGGTGATTGATCATGTCTACATGGAATGCTGTCAATCCTCGGTCAAGCTTTTGCAGCGTCTTGCTGAGGAAAGAGGCGAACCATGGAGGCAAATCCGCAGGAGTGTCCATGCTGATAGCGGCTGGGGATATCGATGGGATACTCAGCGACGAGGTTTCGTTTACTGGACAGAAAGTAGCAGGGGGCGGGAACAAGCTACTGGATGCACGCACGCATGTGCGACGGCAGGCTTTGATTGGCTAGGCAAACCAGAAGATTGCTGAGACCAGACTATTTCAGGCCAGTATCACTTCGCTGAGCGTTGGCCCAGGCGGGACAGGGCCTATCAATCCAGCCCCAAGGAAGATTCCAGCGACAGGGAACCCTAATCTAGCGCCCCCCGCGTTGCTAGGCATGCTACTGTTTTCTCCCATACTTCATATCTTCTGCACCGCCGACACCGATTCCTACAGGACTCTACACCGACAATCTAGACTGTGCCTGCTGGTACAGTAGAAATGGCATCCAAAGCTGCGCTGTGGGAGTGCTTTGATATAAATGCCTGGGCACGCACTCCCATTCAACGTTGCCTTCCTTTATCCCACACATGACGCCATACGACACGAGCTCAGTCGCTCTCAGACCACCTGGGAGAAGCTTTACGCCAGCGTCGGCTTCAGGGACGCTGCTGCAGCCAGAGCTCACTACGAACCATGCCTCAAGCCCGATGGCCCCGACACCCTCCTGATCGACCGAGATGTCGCAGCAATATATTGAGTATCTTAAATTGTGCGCTGCTGAAATTCTGCCAGGTACCTACTCGAATACCTCCAAGCATCCAACAGCTCCTCGACCAATCCCCATCCTCGTCCTTCGCTTTTGAGCTATTCCGACTGCTCCATGCCTCCGCCGTCGACCTCCAGCTCCGTGGAGCATTCCGGTCGATGTACATACATTCATCGAGCGCTCCAAGACAGAAAGCGGGGTTGGTATCCCTTTTGGCATCGACACCACCCGACCAAGAAGCCCTAGGGACGACACTTTTTACAAGCGGTGCGAGTTTACGCTCCTATAACAGTAGAGATATGATGATGGGTAAAGCGTCGAGGATCGTGCACATGGTATAAAGGAGAAGCCATGTGACCTGCTTGAGGTCGTCATGTCCTCACGCCTCACGCCGACGGTGGGATGGTAGATACAGCCATCGATCATCAGACTGTCGGTGCCCTCAACGTGCAGCACCGCGACTCGGGAAGAGAAGTCTACTAAGGTGTTCGCTCAACGCATGACCAACCGCTAAACACTCGATGGTTCTCTGGTTATTAGAATGAAGAACTGCCTACTGCGTGGTCACCATTACGTTGCACATTCTGTGATGTTCTAGCTGAAGCATTCGTTGTTCATGGACGCGAATTAGAGCGCATGTCTTAGTCATGTGCTCCCAAACGTCAAAGGGGGTAGTTTTGATAAATCTGCCGACCCCGCGTTGTGCCGGAGTACGTTATTTCCGCATTGCTCATACTTCTACGCCCAATTTTTGAATGCCATGCCTTATCGCTGCCCGAAGTCTTTCCCTGACAATCACAAACGAAGCCCTGGTCAGCCAGCAACTGAATATATTTCTATCGAGGACGAACATAATCTTACGAAATTTCTAGATGCGAGACATTGAGCACGGCACGTTGCATTTCTAGCGCCGAAAACCCCTCTACTACCACCCTCTCCCTGAAACGATTTCGATATCCTTTCGAGCGCGCTGCATCGGCACGAACTTCGATATATCATCTCCGTGTTTTCAACTCGAGACTTCAATCGGATAGATAGTCGTCCATCACTCTCAATGCCAACGACAAAAGAGCAGCTGGTGTGTGACGCCAATAATGCTTTGGGTCCGTTGCAGGCTGATATTTGCACAGGAAACCTGCTGGGAACCCCTCTCCGCGGAGGACGAGCAACTCAAGAACCGCGACAGCTATGTCCATGTTGCTCTCGATACGATAGGCGCGAGCAACAGTGAGCGACCACTCTACCTCCTGAATTGTACAGAGGTGGTATATTTCGAAGAACATACCGAGATTTGGAGCACCAAGTCATGTAGTGGCTTGATGACTTTACCGGCAGGAATCTCAGTCAAGATTCACAGAGGGGCATATTCTATCTGAAGAGCTCATTTGCTATGTATCGATTCTGTTTAATTCGTAGCTCCACAATCTGAGTTACTTTGACGCATCTCGTCCTATTAATCATTCCATTCCGCATTTCCCATTTTCGTAAATCACTTCCCTCGATTTCATCGGCGATCTTATCACTGAAAAGCTCGCGAATCTTGGTCATTGGAACATCATGCCCGGCAAGTAATGCGAGGTCTACATGCTGTCCAAGCTCCACCCATATCAGTGCGTCGCCCCCAGCTCTAGGAAATCGCGACCGTACACACTCGGTTAAGTCTGGGTAAATCATGCGTTCGGAAGCATGGCGCACAGCTTCGGTAATCGATTTGCCAAATACACCTTCGATATTCCCCAGTCGTGCTGTAGGAAACTCGAAGCTGTCAATGTCTCTGGCTGTGGTGTGGGGTTCTGGATCTGTGCGGATGTCAGTAGGGAGGCTTTGTCTGGAATGGATTGCAGTAATACCATTCTCCATGTTTTGTTCGCCGGATATCGTGGGATCCAGATTCGCGTTTACTTTGTCGCTAGCTAGTTCTGCCGCCGAGTAAAGATTCTGGAATGGTTTGCCCTCTGCTAGACGGGATAATCGTTTCAAGCGTACCCAAATTTCTGGACGTTTGACGCACGACACGTCAGATGCCGACATGTAAGCTTGTATATCCGAGGCAACCAAAAGGTTCATGACCGACTTAAGGCGTCTTTCTTCAAAACTAATCGAACAAAATGCCAGTCCATCCAAACTGAGCTTGCTGACTTCTTGAAAAAATGGTTCATCAGGCGCGCTGCTGTTGACATAGCGCGCAAAAACGTCACATTTAGAAAGCGTGTTCGAGTCCAAGGAAGTTGTCAAATTAAGGCGAGCCCTAGCGTGTTCGAGTCCTTCGACAATTTTGATCCGCTCGTGAAGACGCTTCAATTCGGCTTTGACCAGGCTCAGCTGGTCCGGTTCCGTGAAAAGATTTAGATCGCAATTCATTTCCAAGTATGATCCTCAAGAACGATAGTACATGAATACAGTGACTGTTCAGCAGGAAATATGGGTCTTGGAAGTTGGGTTCTGAGAGGGTGTGTTCTAGAAAGTTGGGTTTTAAAGGGTTGGGTTTTGGAAAGCTGGGTTTTGAGAAAGTTGGGGTTTGGAAAGTTGGGTTTTGGAAAGTTGGGTTTTGGAAAGTTGGGCTCAGAAGGTGGAGCCCACAAGCGCTCGGCCACGCCTTCTGAACCCGCATTTCGGTGAGAAGATCCGAGGTCGCCCCCGGCTCACCTAGCTCGTCCAGAACGATGTGTTCAGGGGCTTACCTACCACGACTGAGCTCAGTTCGACTGGATAGGCTGCATCAGAGTGAGGCGGCCCCCTGGCCACGACCTTTTACAGTGGGGGATCTGCACACACTAACGACGAATAACGAGATCCTTGTATGTCAAATTATATTTGCCAGATTTGGCCCGTTCCGAAAGCCAGTTAATCATTGGTTTGTAATATTGTTTCCCGCTCATGTTTCTGATTTGGATTCTACTGGTACATAGACATGCACGAGCTACTAAAACTTGCATCCTCTATACCGAGCGGGCTTCTACATTTTGTCGCAGCGTAGATGTTTTGTTTGTTTGTTTTGTATTTAACGTGTGGGGTAGCTCCTCAGTAGTGCAAACCACACCTCCCAGAGCCTCTGCATCGCAGGGTTGTGGAGGTCTCAAGATAATAAGTACAGTCAGTCCCGCTTACGGGCCCATCCCCGTTGTTGCGGCGGTATGACCTTGGGGTCATCCATCTGGTCCTTCAAAGAAGGTTATCTATCGGGGACAGATTATTGAAAAGAACTTGCTCTTCTCCACGAATTTTGCCCATTCTGTGCTCCTCTCTCCCAAGTATTGTAAATAGGCTGTCCTAGGCGAGTACCTAGGCAACAACCGATTTTTCCCCAGCCTCCTACAAAAGAAAATGTGTTGTGGTGTTTTCTTTTCACCACAGCTGCAGTGGTTGTTCGAGTCTGTATGCCCAAAGCGTTCGTGGTATCTGGCAAAGTCGCCATGTCCAGATCTGGCCGCTAGAAGTCTGTGTAGAGTGCTCCTTTTAAAAGATATAAGGCCTCTTTCAGTTACTGTATGTGAGTATACTTCTTGATACCTAGGTTCTGATTGGTCTTTCCACCATTGATTGAACTCTTTCTTGCCCTTTTTCTTGAGATCTCTCTTGACCCAAGAGATTGTGGGAAGGTTTGTTGTGTCTGTTTTTAGCAAGGCGCCCTCTTTTGTTAGTGTATCAGCAGCCTCATTACCATCAATATCTCTGTGTCCAGGAATCCACTTGACGGTCACTCCAGGAGTGTGTGCTGTGGCAAGTTCTTGAAACCGTAGAAAAATGTTCTGTGATGTCTCGGGTGGAGTCCCATTAAGCCCATCTACCACTGATGTGTTGTCCAGGCAGACATATAGCTGTTTTCTGTATCCAATTGCCCTGGCTGCTGCAAGACCTTGGAGAGCACCATGGACTTCAGCATCCACTACTTCTGCTTGTAGAAGTCTGCCCCTTCCCCGGTATACTTCTTGTGCAGTGCCGCCTTTCCTGATGGTATAACCCCATCCAGTGCGGGTTGTGCCTTGGTCATCCAATTGTGATCCATCTGAGTAGATGACAAGGTCAGTGTTCGTATTTCTCTCCTATAACCATTGCTTGAAGAGCTCTGTTTTTTTGTCCTTGTCTTTACAGACTGGGGCCTTCTTCCATGATGGCTTGGTGAGTATTGGTCTCTGGAAGTCAGGGACTAGTTGGAAGCTTCTTTGTAGCCTTGTTGGTTCTTTGCGAGCTTGTATTTGGAGCCTGCCAACAAGAGGGTGTCTCTGGTCTACTCTTCCGAGTCGGAAGCCGTGACGTCTTCTTATTGACTCTGCAAGAATTCCTGCTGGAGGAATCTGTGATTCAAAGTGTAGGATATGTCCAGGGTGTGTTTTCCAGACCGGCAGGATAGCTCTGATTGCCGTTCGTAGTACAGCATCTATCGTTCCAAGAAGCCTTTTAATGCGACATGCTGATGTCCCACCTAAGCTCCCAATTTTTTCCATTCCTGGGTATCAGGCCTCCAGGCCGTGTGTAAGAATAGGAATAACACAAGTTTTCACAGCCTTCTTGGTTGACTTTACTGGAAGTCCTTTGACTGTGTTGCATAGTCCTCAGAGGTGATTTGCTACCCTACTAGCTTTCTTGGCCCAGTGAGAAACATGGTCTTTGAAGTTTAGTTTCCTATTCAGAAGGACACCTAGCCATCGCATGGAATGCTTAGCTATTTTGTTCATTGTTCCGTGGCAAACTGGGGGATTGTCTGAGTTCTTTTTCCGTGAGAAGTGCATGATCTCGGTTTTGTCGGGATCAAATTCAATAGCATTGTTATGTCCCCATTGATTGAGTAAATGAAGGTTTTTAGAAGCCTCTGTAGCTATTTCTTCAAGGTTCTTTCCAATGCAGAGTGTTGCTAGGTCATCTGCATATCCAAAGCGTCTTCTTTTCATGCCAAGTCGGGCACAGATTGGCTCTGTATACAGCATGTAGAGGATTGGAGAGACTGGTGAGCCTTGTGGGAGCCCACAAGTGAGAGCTTTTATATCGGTCACAGTACCTTCAAACCGAACTCTTGCGGACCGCTCGGACATGAACGACTGGACCCATCTTATGAGAAAGCCTGGCCAGCCCTGTTCTCTCATGCGAACCACCAGCCGTCCCATTAGGGCAGCATCAAAGGCCCCTTTCACATCTGATGTGACTACCGTTGCAACGAGGCCTTGGTCAAGGGCCTGCTCAATATCGTGTATGAGTGCAGCTACCAGGTCAGTGGCAGAGCGCTTTGGTAGAGCTCCAAAATGTTGTGGGGCTAGAATTCCAAGTTTGACAACAAACCAGGTAATTCTTTTCGCAATGAGTCGTTCTAGGCCCTTGCCAAGACATGACAGTAGCGATATTGGTCTGTAGGCCCTGGGATTGGAGTAGTCTTTCTTTCCTGGTTTTGGGATCATCACCACCTCAGCTACTTTGAATGGTTTAGGGTGGTGTCCAATCAGTAGACAGGTCTGGAAAAGGGCTCTGATATGTTCACCAATGACTGGCCAGCAAGCTTTCAGAATCCGTACTGTGAGGGTATCTACTCCCGGGGAGTTGCTCTTGGTTCCTAAAGTGCACCCTTCAGCCTCTTCCAGTCCGACGTGGTATTCAAGGGGGATGTATGGCTTGGGTTGTATGATCTGAGCGGACCAGGGGTCGATGATATCGTTGTCTGAGGTACTTCGTTCAAGCGTGGCTGAGCGTAATGCATTTGCCTTGCTCTCTTGTGACTCGAATATTTGGTCTCCTATGATGATGGGAGGGGAACGCAATCCTGCTGATAACTTGTGCCAAGAGACGATTCTGTATAGGTCCTTTGGCTCAGTTACTGAATTAATTAGAGTCTGCCAGTACTCTCTCCTAGCTTTCCGAACCACGCCGCGAAATTCCTGTCGGGCTGAATTCCGTCCTTCTTGGCTTGTAGTCTGTTTGGAAAGGGCCCTGTATGTCTGAACAGCTGCTTTGCAGTCATCATTCCACCAAGCAGTGGGCCTAGATTGACGGGGCCTCTTGCCCACTGTCCTGATACAGCCTTGGATCATGTTGATCAGGCTTTGTGTAAAGGTGTCCACCTGGCCAGGGGATACACCCAGCCGGGGGAGTTCATGAATCCTGGTTTGGACATTATCTGCCAGCTCCTGTAGTTTATTGTCCGGTACTATCCAATGATTGGCCTTGGGTACTCGGTCCAGATCTCCCTGGATTGGAATGACTATTCGTAATGTCTCATGATCTGAGGTGCACTGAAGTGCATCATTGACTGAGGCTTCAGCCATGGGAACATCAGAGAACACCAGATCTAGTACATTTCCGTCATCATGTCATTGGAGTTATAATAGCCACTTTAAGTCACTAACAAGCAGCAAAAAGATCCAACATAATACGGACCGAAGCATTAAAAGACAATATATAAGTTGATTTCGTCGTTAAGGTAGCGAGAACTTGTAGTAGTGGCATTAGCATATCGTGTTACCTAGTGGCTAGTGCCTAAGCCTGTTGGAAATTAAACATGCCGAGGTATAATAACCTGATTTTATATAATTCGAAGTGAATTGGCATATTTTAATAGCAATGAATAAGGTAGATTAGTAATTAAAAGGAGAGCTTGTTTAGAGGAGCGCTAGAGTAGAGGACGGCCATCGGAGTGTGGCCGGTGCCGATCGCGCACCTCGATTAGGCATGGAGGCTCGAGGTGCCCTCGCGGACATACTGCTTGCCCTTGGGGCTGTTCTTGTTTCCGGACATCGTCTCAATAGTGGGGACAAGTTGGCGTCGTAGGCGTTGCGGGCAAGCTGATTCAACCGAGGGACTTTCGGCACACGTGGGATAAGGCAGCGCCAATATGCTGCCGTCTCATGACACTTCAGTATATATAATAAGACTCTCTCCCATTAATTGTCTGTATCCAACTACATATTGCGACCACAGAAACGAGACTGATTTCGTCACATATCAGCGCGGCCCTCGGCATTGGAGCATCCAAAACCTGACAATCTTCCTAATCGCCACTATGTCTCTGTCCACAAAATTGGAGACGCCAGTCACTGGCATCTACACCCAGCCTACAGGCCTGTAAGTTGACATCAATGCCGTTTCTGTCTTTCTAATACGTTTTTGCCTCGTAATTTCTCTATATCCTCCTTATTGCTAGCGGTCACTAGCTAAGACTCTACTAATAGGTGGATCGATAACCAATGGGTCGAGGCCATAGAGAAGAACAGCTTCGAAGTCATAAACCCTGCCACAGAAGAGGTCATTTGCTCGGTCTCTGAAGCCACCGACAAGGACGTAGAAGAGGCCGTGTCGGCCGCACGAAGAGCATTTGAAGGTTGTTGGCGCACCACCACACCCCAACAACGGGGAATCCACCTCACGAATCTTGCTCAGATCTGCGAGAAGAACATAGACAACCTGGCTGCCATCGAATGCCTTGAGAGCGGAAAGTCTATCTCGACAGCCAAAGAGGAAATCTTTGCCGTTATTGGCTGCCTCAGATATTACGGCGGCTGGGCGGACAAGATTGAGGGCAAGACTCTTGACATAAACCCAGAAACACTGCACTACACCAGACAGGAGCCGGTATGTCACATGCTAGAGTAGGCTCAAAAAAAATTGGGGGTAACTAACGTTCTCGTAGCTCGGTGTCTGTGGCCAGATCATCCCGTGGAACTTCCCAATGCTGATGTTGGCCTTCAAGATTGGACCAGCGCTTGCCACGGGTAACACAGTCGTTGTGAAGACCGCAGAGCAAACGCCACTCGCAGCGCTTGTTTTCGCTGACTACGTCAAGCAAGCTGGTTTCCCGCCTGGCGTGCTAAACATCCTCTCTGGCTCCGGCAAGGTTGCTGGTGCCGCCATCTCCTCCCATATGGGAATCGACAAGGTAGCATTCACCGGTTCCACCGCTGTCGGGCGTACCATCATAAAGGCGGCAGCAATGTCCAACCTGAAGCAAGTGACCCTGGAACTTGGGGGGAAGTCGCCAAACATCGTTTTTAGTGACGCCGACATCGAACAGGCAGTCTCCTGGGTCAACTTCGGTATTTATTATAACCAAGGTCAGTGTTGTTGTGCCGGTTCTCGCGTTTACGTGCAGGAGAGCGTTTACGACGCGTTCATTGAGGCATTCAAAAAACGGGCTCAGGCAATTTCGGTTAGAGACCCCTTCGATGCAAAGACATTCCAGGGCCCTCAAGTCAGCCAGCGGCAGTTCGACAGAATCATGGGATACATCGAGGAGGGCAAGAAGAGCGGTGCAACGGTCAAGGCCGGCGGCAAGCGACAAGAAAGCAAAGGTTACTTCATCCAACCAACCATCTTCAGCAATGTCACTGCAGATATGAAGATCATGCAAGAGGAGATATTCGGCCCCGTTGTTGCCGTCGCCAAGTTCAAGACCGAAGAGGAGGTCATCAAGATGAGTAATGACAGCCCATATGGTCTGGCGGCAGGTGTCCACACAAAGGATCTCAATACGGCCATCCGTGTCAGCAACTCCTTGCTTTCGGGTACCGTCTGGGTCAACTGCTATAACATGGTGCATCACCAACAGCCATTTGGTGGATATAAGCAGAGTGGCATAGGTCGCGAGCTTGGCGAGGCGGCGCTGGCAAACTATACACAAACTAAATCGGTTGCGATTTGCCTAAGCGGTGCCCTATTCTAAGGCATGTGTCAAAGGAGGCCCGACTTGTGTAGTGGGATGTTACAGACCAACAATACTACAGGCTCGTTGGCAGGCCTGAAGGGAAGGTGGCCTACGAACAGGCCAAAGCGGAACAAGGACGCCACACGGAACCAACCCCAAGTGCGCAGTCACGTGATGAGAAGATAGAGGATTACGTGACCAGACTATGCTCACGGCAGCTCATTGAGCAACGGTGAGCACAACCCCATCAGTGTGGGAGAGATTGGATATATAAGGATGGACATTTCCTAGCTAGACACAAAGACAGTCTCTACCTCAGTGATCAATATAAGCATCTTAGCCAACCCTAAGGCTGGAGAAACCTCCTGACGACTCGACGATCAGTGAATCCAGTTCAGACCAAGCCCCAGCATCTAAGTGTCTTCTAGTTGACAGAAACCTCTATCGTCTTTTATGTTGACTTACCTCTCAACATAAACCCTATAGAACCCTTTAACCTTTTACGTTAGACGGCTGCCACATGGGACAACCGCTGCGCCATGAGGCAAAAGCTTTGAGAATGACCCGAACGGTCATTGACTCCTATTTTTATACTGTATGCATTACTCCGCACAGCGGCCCACTATGCGACCGTAACAAAATATTGCTGTAGATATCATGCCAACTATGTGCAAGTGAGAGGATTTGGTGCAGGCTAGATAGGCATGTGTTGTTTTAGCTCGTACTGCTCACGATAATAGTTGCTGTTGGCAGCATGGAGGTGCCGTGAGCAACGTTGTTGTTGTTGTCGTCCTACAGCTGACAGCTACGCGGCAGGCCTGATCTAGCTACAGGGCACGGACCACGTGACCTCCAACAGTTGCTTTAAGGGGTTTCACATAGGGCTGTCATTTTACCCGTTTCAAGTTGAACAGGACATATTTATATTGTATCAAACCTCAGGCGTATATCAGTTATATTTAGGATAGCAGAAGGTATTCGGGATCGACTGAATTTGTATAATTAAAGGTAGGAATAAATGTAGTATTGATTGTCTGTGTTATCTTCTATTAACTATAGATGTGACGGCCTGCACAGACCTTCCCACATGATAAGCCGATACCTCCCAATAAGGGAAGGATCTGACAGGAGGATCCTCTTAAAGGGACAGCCTCCAGCTGTACCTAGCTTTCTCTCTCTTCCTTTCCTCTCTAGTCTTGATATTCTCGTCAATAGAGTAATAGCTGCTTGCTGCCGGCCATGTCCCAGCTCCTCAGTACGCTCGCCGTGACAACTATAGAGCGAGAAAATAACTCCTTATATAGTTAACTCAGTGTTATTCTAGTTGTTTCTATGATCATTATTGTTACGGTCGCATAGTGGGTCGCTGTGCGGAGTAATGCATATAGTACAGAAGTAGGAGTCAATGACCACTCGGGTCATTGTTGAAGCTTTTGCCTTATGGCGCAACGGTTGTCCTACACGCGTTGTAACAATTATAAATACGTAGTATTTATAATATACGTATAGAATACCCTAGAATATTCTGGTTAATTAGTAAAGGTTATTACTAACAAGGCGGACGTGCGCAGTAGCGGGTTTATTCTACAATCAACCTAAGCACAACATACAATATCAAAAATATTGCAACAAAATTTCAGACCCTCGTTATTAACAAATAACACCACTAACTATAAAGAACACTTCGTAAGAACACAGCATAACCATAAGATACTGGAAGACCCTCCTCTAAACTGGCAAAGTGCCAACCAATTTAAGGGTCAAAGATTTCCTTGGTCGGATGTATGTGCAGACTGGATTAACCTCGGCCTTAGTCTCTTCCGTTTGTTCAGCTTTATAGCTGGCCTATCCTGTCCGTGGGTGGCGCTGAACTTGTGTTCGTCAGCACGCCGCCGCTCACTGAATGCCGCTAACTGCAACAGTATTTATAGGGTAGCTTGGAAGGGCTCCACCTGCCTTCGTAGGTTATCAACTTGGGCATCATCAACTGCAGCGATGGGCCTGTCATTAGTGTCGTGTTTCTCCCTTTGAAGTAGTTCGATGCGTGCAGCGATTGCAGCTGCAGTACTGACTGCGCTTTGTGCGTTTTCCCGGTGTCTAGCAGCTTCATCTCTGAAATAATCCCTCTCGGAACGAAGCTTCTCGAGGTTTCGTGCTAGTGCGTTGTTGATCTCGAGTGCGTGGTTGAGTTTTTCGACTTCTTGCTGATAGGCTTGCTTCCACCAGGTCAAGTGGATGGATACCTGGTCACATTGATGTTGGGCCAGTAAGTTATGAACTTCTCGCATCGTATTTGCCATGTTGTACAGGGCGTCTTGAGCAGATTGAACGGGGTTAGGCTCGATGTTCCCTTGAAAGGGAGTTCCTTGTTGTTGGGTTGGGCGAGTGTCAAAGGACTGAGAGCCATGCTCCTTGAGCTAAGAAAGTTAGCCAGAGCTTAGCGACATAACAAGCTACCGGTCAATATACCTGGAATGCGCCTTGGTCCGAGGCCATGATGATCGAGATAATCAGAATCTGCCACAGGAATACGAGTAGGCCACGGGTTGTGATAAAACTGTTTACTGACAGACTACGGTTACATGATAGGTGGCTGCTATTATTGGGCTCATATAAGAATCATGACCTATCTAAAGGGATAATATATCCCTCCCGCAGGCGGGTCGGTATAGTAACCACTCCGACCTCCGACTGGAACAGAGGAATATCTGCTCTCCAGGTCGTGCATCTGTGCGGCCAAACGACTGCCCGTCGCCCGAGACCTGCCAGAGGGCAATATAACGGCGGGGTATCGACTCAAGTCTAGGATGCCAGCGCTCATCAAAGCTTGAAGCCGACAAGTCTCCGCTTGATACATTATCCCCGGACCTGCCGAAGCCTTCCTTATCCGACGTATCCCTGGTCGCACATGAGCTTATGTACCGCCGAGACTGTACTCGAGGGAGAGCCTTTCTTCCACGAGGCGCTATTCGTCCCTGGCTCAGACGGCAACACCATTGCACTCTCGGTATTCCAGCCGAGGCAAACCAGCCGCACTTCAACCCTGGTTCCCCCTCTCCGGCCATGCAAAGTTTCGATTCAAGGCGGCGTAATGCTACTTACCAACGCTTTCATAGGCCTTGAGGCACCCCTAGCCTGGGCCAAGACGTGCAGCGCGATCGTCATAGCTTTAAGTATCGCTTCGCCCCTGCGCATAGCCTGCTACACGGCTTCATGAGGGACTTGTACTTCATGCAATGCGGACATTATAGGCATCCATCTCGAAACGTTGCTGGCGTTGGCGCGGGCGGTGGACTGGCCGCCGGTGTGTCGCTCATGGCAGAGACTATGTACTGGCGGGTGGGGCCCATATCTATGGGCTGCTGCTCAGTAACCCCATGCTAAACGATCGATTCTAGAAGGCGTTCGGAGAGCAATCCAGTGGCTAGTCGGCCAGTGTATGGAGCACCGAATGTAACGAAGTAGCATGAAAGGATGTTCTAGTGGATCAGTACGATGCCCATTGAGTCAACCCCTACGCGGTCCCGGCAAGAGCGACAGACCTTTCCTGGTTACCTCCAAATTATATTGATGTGGCGTCAGTAGGTCTCTTTCAGGATGACTGTCTCGAGTATGCCAGAAGACAGTGGCGTGCTGGTGGGGAGGTGAGCCTGCACGTTTGGGCCGGCGGCTTCCACGGATTGGACATGTTCGCACAAGGAACTGGTTTATCGAATAGGTCAAACGAGGCAAGAGGTGGCTGGGTCAACCGGATCGTAGGTAGAGAGGCAAGTGCAAGCTCATAAGGCAGTATCAAACGAAGAACCGGAAGTTTGGTAGCGGTGTACACAGCTACTTAGTATATACTTTTAACCCGCTAATCTTTGTCTGCCTAAAGCCAATCGTCAGAGTCAAGTGCGTGTCTTTTCTGCCGAAAGTATTCTGTGCGACCGTTGCAGTTTTGTACCAGAGGGGGCTGGGTAGGGACGGAGCAACTATCGTCCACTTAGGATGGTGCCCTCTGCATTACCTCTAATCCCACAATTACATTCATGTCTTATCGCTTTAAGCTAAACACACTGGCTGCTTTCACATTACACAGTCTTGGTAATTCCCATGAAGTAGTCCACCTGTTCTGCTTGTCGGGTCTGGGGAGGCTTTTCGTCCATAATATGGGAGTGCGGCAATAAACCTTGAACCAGGAAATAGGCTCGCCCTCACCTATGCCTGCATATTAGCACACAAAGACAAAGGCTTAAAATAGAGAATCATTCAGACTTGGCCGATAAAGTGTTTAAAATAAAACTAATTATGCTCTTTCACTTGCAGCAAGTCCAACCTCTTGAAGCCGACTTACCCAACACCAATAAGTTCAAAGTTTGTCATCTGCCAGCCATGAAGCTTCTAGTAGGGAACGGCGTAGCCATTATCTCCAGGTGGAAGGCCACCCTTTTAAGAACGAAACATCATCTAAAGCCCTTACAAGCCACAGGATCAACAGACCAGCCGCCAGAAGACCCGCCAGAAGACCCGCTCGAAATTCTCACGGCAGAACGTGGGATCTTCTCCACAAGTAGAGCAGTTTACATCCGCCGGCGGACTGTGGCACCGCTTCCAGAGGCTTCGGGCAGCTGTTTAAGCGACGATCGAGTACAAAGCCACGCGACGATCGAGGCTAGAGCACCAAGCGTTAAATCGGTCAAAGTCACTAGAAAACAATGAACGCGAATTTGGGCGTGGCTTGATGGAGGCTTTGACCTACTCCACGGGTGAGCGGTTGTTACGACCCGACAAGACATGACCCGCTAACAAACCCAAAGAGAGGCCTGGAGACAGACCAACAGAATGCAAGACAACCACTGGGACTGAACGGATCATCGGGGCATCCGGCCACGCGAACAAACTGCTCACGACTGCTCGGGCGAGCAGCAGTCAGCACCACCTCATCAGTGAGGGAGGGATTGGATATATAAGGAAGGACATTTACTATCTAAGCATCTTAGCCAACCTTACAATGGGAGAAATCTCTTAACGACTCGACTATTCAGTGAACCCCGGTTCAGAGCAAGCACCAGCATTTGAGTGTCTTCTAGTGGACAGAAGCCTCTATCGTCTTTTGTGTTAACTTAACTCAAAACATGAACCCTATAAATCCCTTTAGCATTATAAGTTACAGCGATCTTTTAAACTAATAGATTTAAAATGCAATGAAACAACTGGATAGCACCCCATCTAACCAAATCTATCGCCTGGTTTATACAGGCGATAATCTAATGTATTCGATATTTAGGTAGGACTGGACTTAAGAGGTTATATGTATCGATGGCCAGCGTTAAGCGGCATCCTCCACGGCAATCTCTTCACATGAACTGTTGCTTCTTTAGGCCTCTCTTGCGAGCTGTCCAACGACTTAAGTCTGAAACTTGCTGTCTTCTGACTTCACCGTCGATGCCAGCACTCTGCTTTAGCCGCTGATACTTCTTGAGGCTCACTAATCTAGCGCTGTACAGCGTGTAGTTCATCAGAGCCGACCTGGATCTGATGCTTGGGGCGGGAGGTGTCTTGGACTTGGTTTTCGATAGCGTCATTGAGGCCAATGATATGGGCTTTGTTCTTGACTTAGGGGTATTGGGTACGGCGCAATATAGGAGACGGAAGTCAGCGTCGATCAAGTTTTGGAGGCATTACTGCATAAACGTTGGGCCGGCTGTTGACGAGCGAACCTTTGGCACCCAGGAAGTCGCTCCCTCGGGCCGCACCGAGGTCTTTGGCCCTCGCGTTGAGAGTCTTCTGTGACCTCGTCGTCGCCCTCGTCGTCGCCCTGAGTGGCGTCCTGAGCCCGCGATTGGCCCTAAAGCCTCTCCTTCTCCGCGACCACCACGAGGATAACAAATGTCTGATTAGGGTCCAACACAACCTTCTTACGCTTAGAAGGCTTTTATTTCGTTGGGGTATGCTCCAGAACCTGGATTTTGGCAAGGGCAGAGGCCGTATTAATAGCTGAAGTATCTAGAGCCTTGCCGACCTTGTTCAACAACAGACGGGCCGTGGGAGTCGGCTCACACCTAACAGCTTCTGAGCCAACCTGTTAGCGTCCCTCCAGCTTCTAGGTGTCCCTATTGCGGTAGGAGTCATATTCTCCTGAAAATCGGGCGTTGATTGCCGAGGGATTATTAGGGCAGGGATGGGTTTCCGGGTCACAGCTTCGTGGCGAACGAGCCTCGAATTCAGGTGGTTCGAACGGGCCCTAGGGAAGATGCCAGCCACTCTGAATGTTGCTCTTTCGAATGGCAAATATCCTGGCGTGGTAGTATGCCCTCGAGAACTCCTGCTTGCCGGGCTTGCCGTTGCAAAGGATGAGGTAGGTCTAGGTCAGCTTGCGACGATACGTTGCGTGGAGGGACGAGAAGACACCCAAATCCAGGGGCTGTAGTAAGTGTAAGGAGTGCGCTGGCAGGGAAAGAAACCGTGTACGGGAAGCACCGGAACATGATGTCTTCGGTGGTGTGACAGTTGTGGCCATCCAGAATAAGAAGCCGCCACTGATTAGGGTCTCCTAGCTCCGAATAGGGGATGAACACCTCCTTGAGCCAGCTGAGCTCCTTGCTGGTCCAGTCATTAGGGGATGCTATAAACTTGCAGGAGTCGTAACCCACGAGAAAAATCACCATTCACGCGCTTGTAATCGATCAGGCGGCTCCTCATGGTTCGAAGAGGGGGTTCCTGGCCAAAAACCGACGATACCAGGAGTACCCTAGGGTCGAATTGGGGTTACTCGGCCGCAGAATTGCGCTAAGCATACAGGCGAAAGCGTGAGACTAGTGGTTTGAGCCCTAGTTTTCCCTAACCAATCACCCAATCGGCTAGATGGTATTCCTGGTTCTTTGATAGCTTCTGGAGAGCCTCAGAGACGTTTTTGTGTGATCGTAAACCGACGATCCTGTTACGTAAGTAGGTCCTTCCGACGTGGTTGGTCTTCGAAGCATTGCGAAGGGCCTACCCTTAAGGACATCGTCAATCGCGTTGTTGGCTCGGAGCTGCGTGGCGAGACCAGGCATTATGGAAGGAGGACAAGACGAGAATGAAGATGATGAAGAAATAATATCGATCGGACGATAATTGAGGGTTCCTTTATGGTCAGAAAGCAAAGGTTGGTGTTGAACGCCTCGGAACTCTGGGTGGCACGGAGAGAGGGTGCTTTGCGACCCAGGCATTTGGCTTACTTGGCCGTTTGGGGACCTGACTGATGGGTACCTCAGCTGTATACTTGTTATTGCTGTGATAATAATTACAAGTAGACTTAGATTTCACCTGGCTCGGCAAGTGAGTCTCACCTTTGCCGCCGAGTCGGGCAAATGGGCGGTACAATCACATCAATCTAATGACGACATCCCATATGCACACTCTCGTGTCTCATCATGGCAGATCGCAAGGATGGAACACACGGGCAGTATCAGTACGATTACGCGTCGAGATACCATTGGCTCGCCGAACATCCCCAGTAACGGCAAGGTTGAGCGTCAGGCTACTCATGCCCAGCTCACAGGTATAAAGGGGAGGCAGCCCGTCATCCGGGGAATCGCAAACTTCCTCTCCTTTTTCTCCATTTCACTCGTTCTCAACCTTCTGTCCTCGACTTCTCCATTTTCTACGACATGGCAAACTGCAATCGACTACTTTCGACCCACGGGAGTTTGACTCCTACGCAGGGCCAGGCCGAGTCAGGTCTCGACAGGCTGCTCTTACCAACACAAGCTGATAGCGACAACGAAGACTGGTTGGAGTACTTCGACTTTGAGGGCTTTACAGGTTCTGGTCCCGCCAAAGACGTGGTATGTGAGGACAAACGCGTCAGCGATGCTTCGCCCGTCGACGACCCGAGGGTCTGCAATCTGGATCTCGATGTCCCTGCCAGCGTTGATCCAGACGGTCTCCGAGCTCTCGCGCGGACATCCTCTCAAGCTGAGGCTCGTCACGATGATCATCAGGTTGCTGTCATACCGCCTACAATCAATCATGCCCTCAGTATCTCTACGCGCATGCCTTGTGTTGACCGAGACGACCCGATGACTGCATCATCCTCTATCCTACCAAAAGGTGCGACTGCGCCTTTTTGCGGCGTTCATCACGACACCTACCCCGAAACCACTCCGCCCGCCCCCAACGCCTCGGAAACCCTGCACATACACCATGACCAAGGGGGACTCGGCCGCTGTTCCACTTGTCGTACCACACCTGGGGTCACTGGGGGCATCAGTCTCAATACCTTCACGGGAAACGCCACAGTCACCGTCGATTGTCACCCTCCCGAACTAATCGATCTTACCTTTTCTGCTTCGGGGTTAGGGGGTGAGGCACTGCAAAGAAAATCGAAGAGACCGCTCTCAAACGATGGCAATAGACAGGCCAAGATGCCAAGAAATCGCAGAAACTGCATGAACCTACGGGCTCAAGGGGTGCGTTGTGTTCGAGGATGAAGAGAAGCCATACAGATGGGATCATCGGGCCAATGTGTGGAAGCGGTTGGATGGAATTGGGCACGCAGAGTATCAAACGGTGGAGGAGTTCCTGAGCGAGAATATGCGACCGGTCCTGTGCGTGTCTGTGCGGGCTAATGGAGAGGGTTGGGTAGTTGAGCTGACGTGGAACCAGGAAAAGGAATGTTTTTGGGGTGAGGATCCGCTGGGCATCTCCAAGCCTCTTCGGGTCGACCTTGCGAAAATGACGAAAATACTTTCCTCGCCCGGTCGAAGTTGGCAGGTGGGGGAAGGGAATCAGAACGCTTCATAGTGTATTGTAACGAGTCGCATGATCCACCAGGTTAGAAGGTTATATAGGGTTTGTGTTCTGGGGTACGTCACCTCTCGGCATGATAGAGGCTCTTGTCAACTAGGGGGCGCTTATGACATCTCTCGCACCTTAGAGTTGTTGGACTATGATCTATCCTAAGGGCTCCCAAGTACTGTTGCCTGTTCTCTGCCTGCTTGGTTCTGCTCACTGGTCTTTAGTGGTCATCTTGTGTTGTCACGTGGTGTTTCGCCACGTTACCTTGGGCCCATTGCCCTTCGATCCTCGTTTCCTACCATGTAATCGCCCTTAGCCGGGGAATTAGGCTTAGTTTATTTTTCGTTGTCGGCTGGTAACACGCATTGGTCTTAACAGCCTGTATGAAATTGTAACATAATTGGTTTCGAGTGTCTAGGAAGCCTGGCCTGTTATAACAGTTCGCTAGTCTTTGTTTTAAAGGCCGCTATCTGACTATCTCCTAGGGTAGAGAGCGAGATGAAAAACTGCATTTTAAGCACGGATAACATGCCTTGATCGGTGAAGTACGAGACGTCTCAGACCTGAAATGTATTAAGGGTCGAACTTAAGGAATGCTGCTCGCGGTTACACTGCTATATGTAACGCAACTGCTCTATCATGCAGCCAATATAAAACAGCGCTATCTAGTACTTTGTTGTTATAATAGGGGTATGAAAAGAGCCCGCCGGTTCTAAGGACCCTTAGTGTGTATATGTAGCATGCTATACTTAGCTGAAGGAGCTAACAAAGGTTTCTATGTTGTAATAAATCATATATTTTCCTCGCAGTAGACTTTCAAAAGCATGTTGTACTATTAATGATAACTAGCAAATAAACATTTCAAAGTGGTGCATATCTTCATAGCCATGCAATAACCTTGGACCTACGAAACGAAACCCGGTGTTATAGCTAACTAGCAAGATAACGTTGGAGCTGTATGATGATGTTGCTCACATTAACCTCGGAGTTTCCGGCTTCGGCCATGACGTCGGCAATGCGCACGGATGCATGGAAAAGTCGGGGAGGCATATCTCGTATTGCCTCTGACGCAAGATCGTGCAGCGATGGCTGTTCGATCTTGAATGATTTCTCACTGTTAGCTAGTCAGCATTAATGACACAATCCGTATAGAAAGGACATACATTATCATTTCAGCTGTGTTAGAGTAAGTCAGCAGCAGGAACGGCGACGGCCCGGCAAGCTGTACCCATTTCCGAGCTGTTGTCTTGCGCTCGGAAAGATCACGCCTGGTTGATTCAGCATCTGTCAGGTTTTCTTGGGCGCTCATGTAGATATCCATCGCAATTGTCGCGTCTTGGTATCCAGCTGCGCAGTGCATTAGACCATTCGATCTGTAAACGGCAATTGTTCGTTCCAACGAGTCAAATAGAGTTATGAGCTGGATGTAGGCCAGTCTTCTAAGAAACTTGTCTGTTTGATTTAGCAACAGGCTATCTATCGTCTTAAAAGCGGCAATGATCTGGGCGTCGGCACTGCGAACATTGGTCGGAATTGCAGTCTGGCGGCTCCAAAAGGCCCAATATGGTAAAATGAGTCTACAGCTGTCAACAAAGGAAAGTGTGGCGTCTGTGTTAATAAGTTTCGATGACAAGGCTTTCAACCCCGTACCGTCTGTCCTCTTTGGCATGCGGCCTTTTCTTCGTCTAGCCGTGGAAGTTGGTAGTTCTTCAAAGTCATCGCGAATCTGTTCGTCGGCCAAAAACTGCTCAGCGCCGATAGGAGGATCAAGATCCATTGAATCGGAGTCGAAATGTCGGCCTCTTCTTTGAGGCATGGTCACCTGAGGCAGACTGGTTGGGAACAATTGTTTTGACAGATGGGACGTAGATATATAGGTAATACCCTGTGCAGCGTTGTAAGTTCAACGACGCCCCATTGAATGTACCTAAAAGCTGGAACATAGCCCAACTGTCGGCCTACCATTCCGCCCCATTTTATGGTAGTATTATCCACGAACACGTTTCCTATTACGAGAAGTAAAAAGCCCCTACGATAGCTCCCACTTTGTGGACCAAGTCTCGCAGTCGAGGGACTTTACATACTGACGGTGTCACTAACGTGGGCCCATTTTCGGGAGGGCGTTTTTAGGCAACCTCGAGCTTGTCTCGCTGGATGGCGCCTAGCATCTAATCTCCGCAATTTGGGATATAACAGCGAAGTCTATGCAATTTGGCAAAAGTTAATCAGCTATTCATGGGATGTAGGTGTGGCCTTCATTGATACAAAATGATACATCGTCTCCTCCACGCCGAATTCAAGCACATGTGCCCGCACGAGCTGTCAAAAACAGGTAGTGACAGTGGTTCACGTGGCACTTATAAAAGCCGAAGGTTCATTCTGCAATATACAGGGCAAGTGCTGCAGTAGAAGTCTCATTTGTGTATATATCAGGGCGGAAATGCTAGCTTTGGCTGGACCGACACGGTCAATGTGGAAGTAGGGTTTCTGAAATAGCCGATGGTTTACACGGCTGGACGCTTCAAGAGCTAATCGCACTGTCGTCGGTAAAATTCTTCGGATCAGACAATTAGCAACTAGGTGACAAGGAATCATTAAAGGGACTGCTTTACGAGATAACAGGGATCCCAACCAATGCTCTTCGAAAAACTCCGCTGTCTTATACGAGCATCGATACGCGAATGACATGATCAAGAGGCCGGAGATGTTCACATGCCGCTCATCTATGGCGAGGGAGAGAACAAAGTACTTACCAAGACCTAGTCCTGCATGAAATACCCCAGCCTGTACTATAGCATGATCTATCTGCGGTCCCAAGAGTGTGTCCCTATCTTTGCCATCACTGACGCTAGCCGAGGCCTTGTCGAGCGCTGTCGGTGGTTTCGCAGGTCGGATCTGGTTCGTTCGGGGAGGAGTCGGTTATTCATTATGTGCCGTCCACCGCCACAGTGAGGCTAACTCAGCCACCCCCTCATTTGTACAGCCGAGCAAGGCAGACTCTGGGCAGACTCTCTTCAGGTAGAACTTCAAGTCGAGGAATATCTTAGCGTTCTACTAGAACATTCATTGCCCCACCAAGTCCGACCGCCTTGTCGGCTTATACTCCTACATCCAAAGCGGCAATCGCAGCCATGACCGACCCATTCTCGGTCGCTGGAAGTGCGGTCGGGATCATCTCCCTTGGCATTCAAGTGACGCAGTCATTATTCGACTATTACACCGCCGTGAAATCGCAACACTCCGACATATCCCACACAGCAGAAAGACTAGAAAGCCTTTTAGAACTCCTCGAACGCTTGCGTAACCACATTCAAGACCGCAGATTCCGAGCCGACGAAGAAGAATCAATCAGAAGGATTGAATCGCTGATTCAAGAATGCGAAGAATGCATTCGGGAGCTCCAGGGCGAGACGGACAAGTTCAAGAAGACTCCAGTCACCACCATCCAGTCCGCCGTCAAGGCAACAGCCCGCCGTGCTGCATACCCATTCCGCAGGAGCACGTTAGAGAAGCTGGACGAGGACATTACCGAAGTCACCGACCGTCTCAAGCTGGCTATACAAGTACTGCAGCACGAGGTCATCGACCGGGCCCAGGATGATGTCCGCGATATCAAAGCACTGGTAGAGCTCGTCAGGTCCTCGCAACTGTCTTCCGAGCTCCAGAGTTGGCTCAAGGCCCCCGACGCCACTATCAACTTTAACGAGGCCTGCAAGAAGAAGCATCCCCGTACTGGGCTCTGGCTTGTCCACGGCGATGTCTTCCACGACTGGCTTCGTAGCGCCCGGTCTTTCCTATGGCTGAGAGGCTTTGCCGGGTGCGGCAAATCGGTACTGTGTTCCACTGCCATTCAGTACGCCTTTCGACATCGCAGATCGCATCCGCGAACTGGTATTGCTTTCTTTTTCTTCACTTTCAACGACGAGAGCAAGCAGGACGCCTCTGCTTTATTCCGAGCCCTTATTCTCCAGCTGTCGATGCAGCTAGATAACCACAATGACCTATCCCGCCTGCATGGGAGCTACCGTCATGCTAGTCCGCCTGACGAAGCCCTCCTGGGCTGTCTCCATCAGCTGGCAAGAGCGTTTCAAGACGTTTACATACTAGTTGATGCGCTAGACGAAAGCCCGCGGAACAAGCATCGAGAAGTGATGCTCCAGGTCATCAAAGACATGCGTGGGTGGGAAGAACCAGGCCTGCACCTCCTACTAACAAGCCGGAATGAGGTCGATATACGGGAAGAGCTGGAAGCAATGCCGGAAGAGACCATTGAGATGAAGAATATCGAAGTGGACCGTGATGTAGCCATTTTTGTTGCGCAGAACCTCCAAGACAACAGACGATATCGGAAATGGCAGCGATACTCTGACCGGATCGAAAAAGCACTGACAGAACAAGCAGATGGAGTGTTAGTGCCCCTGCAACGTGTATATGTGGTGACTAACAAACTCTCAGTTTCCGCTGGGTAGAATGCCAATTCAAAGCGCTGGCAGCTTGCCCAGCAAACCAGCATCTTCTCGATCGACTCCTACAATCCCTGCCACAATCGCTAGATGACACCTATGCCCGGATGCTTAGGAATATCGCACCTGAACTGCGGGAGTATGCTCAGCAAATGTTGAACATATTATGCTGTGCTATAAGACCCCTCACGGACTTGGAGCTGATCGATGCGCTTGCGGTCGAGCTTGGCGACCAGCCTAGGTACGATATTACACGCAAGTTTAAGGACGTCCATGATCTTGAAGCTATCTGTCCAGGGTTCATTGAAACCAGCATGGATGTTGGAATGGAAGCCACAGTCCGTATTGCACACTTCTCTGTACAGGAATACCTTGAATCTAAAAGAGTCCTCCACCATCAGGACCTTGCTCTATTCCATGTTCGGAAACCAGTCGCCCACATTGACATGGTAACCGTCTGCTTGGCCTTGCTGCTCGAGCCTCAGATAATAAAGCTGCAAGATTCTCGTTCGATAAAAAAAAGTTATCCATTGGCTGAATATGCTGCCCGCTACTGGCCTGAACATAACGCAAAAGGGACCTCCAGGGACAAGACTGAAAGGCAAATCCTACAGCTGTTTCAAGACACGCAGGACTCCTTTAGCAATTGGGTGAATATATGGAATATTGACGAATCAGATGGCAAGTTGAGCTACTCGCGGATACCCTCATCCATCTATTACGCTTCCCACTTAGGGCTGACAGGAGTTATCGGGGAGCTATTCAACCAAAAGGCCGATGTTAACGCTCAAGGTGGACGTTACGGAACGGCACTGCAGGCGGCATCAACTAGAGGTTACAAGGAGATCGTGGAACTGCTGCTCAGCAGCGGGGCCGATGTCAACGCTCAAGGTGGATATTACGGGACGGCGCTGCAGGCGGCATCAACTAGAGGTCACCAAGAGACGGTGGAACTGCTGCTCAGCAGCGGGGCCGATGTCAACGCTCAAGGTGGACCTTACGGAACGGCGCTGCAGGCGGCATCAACTAGAGGTCACCAAGAGACGGTGAAACTGCTGCTCAGCAACGGAGCAGATGTCAACGCTCAAGGTGGACCTTACGGAACGGCGCTGCAGGCGGCATCATCTGGAGGTCAGAAGGAGATCGTGGAACTGCTGCTCAGCAACGGAGCAGATGTCAACGCTCAAGGTGGAGATTACGGAACGGCGCTACAGGCGGCATCATCTCTAGGTCGCAAGGAGATCGTGGAAGTGCTGCTCAGCAACGGGGCCGATGTTAACGCTCAAGGTGGATGTTATGGGACGGCGCTACAGGCGGCATCACCTGGAGGTCACAAGGAGATCGTGGAAGTGCTGCTCAGCAACGGGGCCGATGTTAACGCTCAAGGTGGATTTTATGGGACGGCGTTACAGGCGGCATCACCTGGAGGTCACAAGGAGATCGTGGAAGTGCTGCTCAGCAACGGGGCCGATGTCAACGCTCAAGGTGGATTTTATGGGACGGCGCTACAGGCGGCATCACCTGGAGGTCACAAGGAGATCGTGGAAGTGCTGCTTAGCAACGGGGCAGATGTCAACGCTCAAGGTGGAGATTACGGAACGGCGTTACAGGCGGCATCATCTCTAGGTCGCAAGGAGATCGTGGAAGTGCTGCTTAGCAACGGGGCCGATGTCAACGCTCAAGGTGGAGAGTTCGGAACAGCGCTACAGGCAGCATCATCTGGAGGTCACAAGGAGATCGTGGAGCTGCTGCTCAGCAACGGGGCAAGATTTAACGTTTAAGATGAACGATTATAAACAATACTTGCATGCCGATACAGGTATAAACCTGTGCTTAAGCTTCTACTCATCACAGTTGTTATTGTCACGGCGAGCGTACTAAGGAGCTGGGACATGGCCGGCAGCAAGCAGCTTTTACTCTATTGACGAGAATATCAAGACTAGAGAGGAAAGGAAGAGAAAGGAAACAAGGTACCGCTGGAGGTCGTCCCTTCAAGGGGTTCGTCTAGTCAGATCCTTCCCCTACTAGGAAATATCAGCTTGTCATGGGGGAAGGTCTGTGCAGGCTGTCACAACACGGAACGACCGGCCCTTATATCGCATCCTGTGTGTTCCGACTCCTGGGTCAAATAGGACTGACTTCACAAGTTGGTCATAGCTGTGAAAGTATTCAGGTCCTGTTCCTCTATAGTAACGATGATGGCAATGCCGGACCATATGACCAAACCTGCCATGACCTCCTATATAGGCCTCTAACTTTACCTAAATGAGTTGTTCGTTATCGGAGACGCTCCATATCCTGGGGTAATAATTTGCTACGAGAAATGGACTTTACATCGGAATGCAACTATACTCATATGTGTGACTAGCAGCTAACTATAATGACTACTTAGCTCATTACTTGCTCTTTTAATTTTATGTTGACTTGCTTTATGATGCCTTGATGAGTATACGTGTTGAGTGCTAGCACCGGCTTATGTGGCCCAGCTAGGGTGCCTGAGCGCTGTAGAATTAAGAATGAACCCCCCGGCCGCGGTTCCAGGGCCACCGCTGTGAAATCCAGATAAAGCCCTCGGCTAAGGTTCCAAGGCCCCCGGCTGAGGTGCCTGACCCCTATAAATTTGTGAATACGGCCCCCGGCTGTGGTGCGAGATTGTTGTAGAATCGAGAATGAAGCCCCCGGCTGAGATTACCACTACTTCAGTCCATCGAGCGATTGGTTTCTCCACGACTCTGATGCCAGCGCTAACCGAGCTGGTGATTGCCGGATAAAAGCAGTCTATACCTGTATCCTGATGGCGTATTGATTGACTAGCATGGAGCTTAAACAATGCCCGATGCACCACGTTGGCTGGCCAGCTAGGCTTTGAGATGAGGATTGCGGGCTGCCTTTGTCGTATAGGGGAGCTCAATGGTTGAATGTAGAGGTTGATCTTGGTTTGGGTGCTGATGATGTGCGTTGCAATTGGAGAAACAGGGGCTTCCTTGCCCATGTCCATGCCCAGTACGATGCTAGTTGGATGGTCCATGGTGGGCGTGTCTGCCTAGAACCAAATGCTACTTGCGGTGTAGTCAGACTTCTAAGCACACATACATATGATCGACCATCTTTTGGCAGAATGTAGATAAACGTCACTTCTAGAAAGAGCCAACTTAAGTGCTAAAGAAATAGTACTTAAATTTCAAACTAGGGAATTCCCCTCTACCATGCGATCATCACTTATCAATGTGACGTCTAGTTCTTCACTGCCAGTATCACTTCATCGTCCTGTTGAATGGCGCGCAAGCCACCGTGGCGTTCAGGAAGGTGGCAGTGCATCAACAAGGCCAATAGGGCATTTTTAGGCCACTTCAACCCACAGCAGGATTTTCACACAGAAACAACAACAACATGGATTACACCAGAATGTACGTTTTCACTCATCTAAAAGCCCCTACGCACTGTTCAACACGTCCCGTATCCACCACTTGACATCTTCCAAGATATCTACGTGGTCCCCCGGCCCTGTTAGCCCATAGGTTGTAGCTTTTTGGCGTACCAGATGTCAGGCAGTCAGTACTAGGCTATTGATTAAGACTCGTCCGCCTTCCGTAACGACTGTGCGATAAATATCACGGTGGCGGTGTGTGTTATCGTGTTTGAGTTCATCGGGAACCTTCACGCCGGAAGCGCAATGAGGTGCTGCTGTTTGCAGCTACCTTGTGCGAACGGTTTTTGGCCAAAACTCTTCGACGTGGTATCTGCATCTCATGAAGATGACTGTATAGTATAGCTCATTGTTCCCTTATTGTGGAAAACAAATTTCATCTGGCCGGCTGGGAAGGGCCCTTGAAAGTTAGTACCCTTTGGTAACAAAGCCACCTCAAAGGGCGCGGAGTCTTTGAATGCCTGGCTGCGAAGATCTAGAATTTGCTTGAACCGCAATAGTGTGTGTTAGTGCCATGGCCACCTCCGTCGCTTGCTCTTCGTCACCTTGGCCTTTGATTTCCAAGCCACGTACAGGTCCTTGATGCGCAACTAAGGGAGCAGGCCCAAAGATGTCAATATCCCCGCCCTCTCGCCTCTTCAACCTGAAGCTGGAAGATCCAGAACCGTCATCTTGATCAAGGTCGGTGATCTGATGTTGCCTTGTACCCTGCTTTCCAGGCCTTGCCGCATCCCCTTCCGAAAGCCGGTGCCGAGACTTGACTCGACAAGTACCTCTATGGTCTCCACCGAGCCCCGAGTCAACAGTAGAAGACCTATTACTACTGGTTGATTTAATTGCAAGGTATACCATCGAAAGACTTGTATTTAATATAGCACCGAAAATAAAAACGACTAAATATGAAATGTGCCGCGCAGCTATCCATGGCGTGAACTTGACATCGCAATCTCTAGACATGGTGCCTTGCCTTCCAAAATAAATCACCTAGGAAACAAGAAACAGGTTCTTCGGGAGCTGCACCACCCTGCAGCTCATTTATTCGGGAGAGGCTTCCGACTGACGATCGCGACGAGCCCGCCCCTTGGCAATGTTCCGATGCATCGCAGAGGGCATAGCTCTGCGGCATTCTTGAGGACTGTCGAGCTCTGCAAGTTTCCGCTTCCTCGGAACTGCAATTCGCTTGGACACTCGGCCCCTTTGTCCTCCTCCATGTTCCCAGCGCTTTGATGCGTCATGCAACAGCGGTTGCGTATCTCTGTTATTGGTTATAGACGACCCTTGCAGTGCGCTGGCCTCCAACTGTGGCAGTGAATTATGGAAGTGGAATCCAGGTTCGAAGACTTCCTCTTCTAGCCCGCCCATATCACCGAATACCAGCTCCCGAGGGTCCAACGTGGCCATGCCTCCGCCCCATGCAAGGTTATCAGGCTGGATTGTTTCTGCCAATGGGCCACGGGCATAAGGATCGAGGCTGGCCCCCCCAACGCTGTCCTCGCTGTCATCACTCGAAACGGAAATAACATCGTGCTTTCCGGACAGTGGGGATAGGGCGCGAGCACCATAAGTTGCATCACGGTAGAAATCCGAGGCTTGGCTCTCATGAACTTCCGGCCCCTCTCCGTTCGTATGATCAGCAGGAAAGTTTGCCTCCACGAATGCGCCGAAAGATGAGGCGCTCCCCGACTCGACGTCGTTTTCGAGGGGAGCATCCTCCTCACTGAGGATTATCGGCAGACCCTCGGGGTAACTATATGTGCCCGCATTATGTTGCATAGACGGGCCAAAATAGCCGATCTTTATCTGTGCAGGAACCGTGTATAGACATAAAAAAAAAGACTTGATGAATTGTCTGTTTGTGGAAGGCCAGCCTTCTGCGTCGTAGCGGACCTTCTCCGTGAGAACGGCATCCCAGACTCGCAAAATGGATTGAATCTGATCCCGCACACCGTAAAAAAAGCCGAGATCGAGATGGAGATTCTTCTCGAAAACTGCTGAGAGGTCGGGGCTATCTAGTATCTGCTGATAATAGGCAACGTCTTCTGCGCTGAGCGTCTTATGCACAGGTTTCATTGAGTTCGTCTCTAGGAAGTACCTCCTTTGATAGTAATCTCCGAACCTGAGGATGGTGTCGTAGACATCGATTGCGCCAGTCGATGCCATTCTGGTATTGCAACGTAGAATCGTAGGTAAAGGTGGTAATGTATAAAGCTTCACTTCTAATTAAGTAGAAGTGAAGACAATCCAGAGCGTAAGACCTTCTATCTGCCTCGTAATGGGTAGACAACGCAATGCCCTCCTCTTTATATTTGCTATCCTGGAGATAGCATGTATGTCGGTTACTCAACCTGTACCCAGGACCTGGGGTCCCCTATTGACCCATGACCTGATTTCGGCTCCTTGCCCCAGTACTGGGTCGAGAACATGCCCGTAACGAATTCATGGTATGTGTATTTGCTTTTCGCATTTATTACATCTGCGTATGCTTTCCTGTCACGTTGTTCCAGTGGCCGTTGTCCACCGTGCAAACCACACACCTTTCACTCAAAGCTAGATATGGAGCGCTGCGCAGCTGACCCCAGCGCCGCCCCGGGACTTGACTCCCCGGGGACGCCGTCCTCGAGACGACCCCTCACACAGGCGCAGAAGGACAAGAGACGCCTGAGCACAAAGATATCAAAGCGGCGCGCTACCTTATTTAGAAAGGCCCATGATTTTCACAAGGACTGCGGATTTGAAGCGTACCTCCTGCTGTGGAACGGCCACCGCTCCTTCGTTTACAACTCCCGGCCTGTTGCACCGCCTGAACACGCACAAGTTGTCAGTACACGAGGCTTAGCAGGATTATACATGGGCTAACAAACACTCAGATGGAAAGCTACCCCCTACCCATTGTCTACAACCCAGAGGCTCATAAAGACGACGATGGAGCTAGGTCAGGCAGTCAGGGTTTGTGATTTATAGTAAAGGTGGAGAGTAAAATTAAGAGCATCAGAAGTAACATTCTTATCATATGCAACATAATATCAAGGTGTGTTATACCACCTCGTGCTGAACCGTAGCATGTTTGCGTCAACGTGATTCTCGGGCGGATGTAAACATGCACACAGTGTGTATAGAGGTTAATAGATTGCACACCATTGATAAAGAATTAAAGATCGTCTACGAATTTAACAGAGAACCCCAGGCAGATCACCATCTGTAGACCCAAGGAGCCCAGCTCCCGCAGGACAACAGGTTGTTGTGAATTGCAATGGGAGCTCCTAGATTCTGTCTCAACCTAACAATAGCATGACAAGCAGCGGTACACTCAGGCGGTTTGCCGGGCTGACCTGTGTCAGAACCAACGAACTGTTGGCCCTTCCGCTAGCAGACGAATGAATCCGGGCCGTCGTGGTGGGGATGGGGGACGGGGCTGAGTGGCGGTATTCGCTAGGTAGCCAAGCAGATGCAGTCTCACCAAGGTGCGAAGCCGGAGTCGAACGAGAAGAGTTCATCGCAGTCAGACCGAGTGACTGGCATACAAGGCCACCATCTTCCGAAGCAGGCTGTGTGCTTGTATTCCTCCAGGGCATCGTGTTCCCCATGGCAGAAGCCGTCACTGTTAGGAGCGATCTTGGCCCCGAGGCGCCCGGCAAAGCCAGGTCCGTGGTCGTGGCAGCATGGGTGTCGTCTATTTCGGGATACACCACGCATGCGACCGCGCCCGCCTGCTCAGCCTCCTGGGCGAGGTCTCCGGTGCCGTTCGAGATCTCGGCCCTGGAGCAAGTGGACTGCCCTGAACAGCTCCTGCGGCGCGTTAGCTACTGCAGGAACACACAGAGGGTGGTGGGGGCTGACCAGACAACATCGACCCCTCCATTCGGCGAACCGGCAGGTAGGAGAAAGCTGGTCCTCGCCAAGCCCGCGCAGCGCAGGGGTGGGAAAGAGTACGTGATCGGCTCGTAGGCGGTATTTGCAAACTGCAGTAGCGCGCGACAGTCCTCACCAAAGGGGTTGTCGTATCTAAGGAGCCGTTATCAACTGTCACAGTTTAGAGAGATCGAAGGCGGTGCCTACACTGCCGAGACGTTGGACACCCCGGCAACCAACTGCAACACAGGACTCGAGGTGCAAATAAAGGGCGTGTCTGCCAACCCACGGACTGTGCTTGCCATCAGTGCGAGCAGGCAAAGCGCGGACATGGTCGGAACGGTCTGCTTCCTCGAGCGCCGTGTCGGGTCAACGAGCGGGCCTTTAAGAAGACGCGAGGGCAGCAGGAATAAAAACAGATCCTGGATCCAGGCAGTGCCCATTCCAGGGAGCTGGACAGGTCGCCATGGCATGCAACTGTTTACTGGCAAGTATAAGAGCTGGACCAATGCATGGAACTCGAGGGCTTCTACACAAGGGCCACATCGACTACCATGGAGCCACCAGCCCAAGACAACTTCTTTTGGGGATCAGGAACCTGGCTGGATCTTCTACCCGTCCCAGACGAACCAGTTCCCCTCGACCTTTCTCCGGGTGCGGCGGCTCTTCCAGCACCGCCCGTGGACCTTCCGGTGCCAACCCACAGCCACGACCAAATCGAGAGTATGAAAAAGTACAGAACCCTTCCCTGGTTCTTGGATGTAATCGCTAAACCTGCATCAGTGTTCTGATTCTCATGTGTACCCGCATGGACAAGCTGGAAACAGCAATGGGAGAGATGACACGGACGAACAGCCGGGTGGGGGACGTTCTTAACCAGGTCCTGGAAGCTATCAATCAGACAAAAGACTCCATTGAGAGGGTCAGAGAGGGCTTGAGTGACTTCGCTCGTACCGTTGTTCACTACATGAAGGGCATGCTCGGGCACGAGGATAGCGAGTAGGTCATGGGACGTAAACCGACACATAGTGTATTAGACCAGTTCCTAGATGGCGGTAGCCGCATCCCAAAGCCTGGGTGGTGGGGTACCGATAGCTGAGGAGTACTTCATCTCCCTCTTGGCAACGACTTCATATAAATGTGCGAGGAGTACACCTCCAGTGCGGCTCCATGACACCTATATGAGTCTATAACCTATGGGGAACAAGTGGGTTGAGCTTGTCTACGACCTTTGTGCAAGGCGTGGCAAAGTAAGTCAGTCACCCCCGGCACAGCAGCTTTCGGAAACAGCCGACAGGCCAGAGATCGTCATCACCAGGATGCTCCCAGGAAAGAGAGTTGCGGCACCTCTACACGACAAGCCCCTGCCCACCCTTCCAGTATTATGTGCGACGCCACCGTTGCCACTGTCACAACGGCGTATGCTGCAGCCTAGTCGAGAAGCCGTACACGACCCCCCTCAACGGGGGATCAGCTGGTCCGAAGATCAAATCAACGCGCTACAGAGCGAAAACAAAAAGTTACGACAGCACATTCTAAGACACAGGAGGAAAGAGTCCGAGAATCACGAGACCATTGCGCTGCTCACCCAGCAAAACGTCTGTTACCTCCGCGAAATCGAGCAGCAGGACGAGAAGGTAACACGAATAGCCGCATTCGTTGCAACCACCTTCGAGGAGTACAAACACAGCAGATGGAGTAGGCCCAAGGAGCCTCGCGCCAGCTACCACACCACCATCAGCGACATCATTGGAATTTACAGCGAGCTGTAGCCAGGCACCAGTCTAGCATGCCAGAACCCGGGCCCCGGCTTGTTTGCCTTCACACGGGCGCTGCCCAGATCCCGGGTCCACGCTGGTATCCATCCGGCTACATATACAGCTCCCTGCATCGCTACGCCTGTTACAAACACAGAACTCGCACCCAGCTATTCTAAAACTGCTACACGTGCCAGACTGTCTTCCGCGACTTACTCCAAGACAATGGACCTCCCGAGAGTGATCTTCATTTTCGGGTTCGCGTACCTTGCCGACATGCTCCTGTAAGCGCGCTCTGTCCTCAAACAGGCGAGCCCCAATGCTAACCAGCCTCGACAGGAATGGGACGCGAGCGCGGACACTTAGGCGTCGACAGCAGCAGACCAGGAGATACGGTTGATCTCGGGCTCATGTCGCGGTCTCTATGTCAACAGATTGCAAGCGGGTTATTTGAACTCCTATTATGCGGCGCCAGGGGTATGCGTTTAGGTTTCGGCTTGTAGGGCTTTCATAGTGTCGTTCGATCAATGTTTCAAGCCTGATATAGCCTCTCTTTACCGTCACATGTAAAAGATAAAGTGTAAAAACTATGCTTCGCTGTCTAAGTTTAAAACGTCTCGATTTTAGGTTTCATAATTTGGTGCATGGGCTTGCTCGTTGTAAGCCTCCAATGAGCTACGTAGAAACCAACTCCCTTCTTCATAACGCTAGAAGTGTAGATGCGAAACACTGCCATATCGAAGTTACATTATTGCTGGGCGATCCGCAACCTGGCTGAGGATCACCCTGATGCGCGGGCTCGATGTCCCGGCCATTGTCATAACCAATGGGGACGGACTTGGTGGGATTCAGAGTCCTAACCTTACTTAGAGTCTAAGTAGCCACCAGTGAAATTAACCATACATCAGAATTGCAGCATCCATGAAAGTAACATTGACAAAATGACAGACCAGTTAACATAGGACCCATTAAGACTCTATGGCTCAGGCGTTTCCAGCACGCTCCGTTGTAGACACCGGTTATGCCTTCTCCCCGGACGACTCCGCGATCGGCATTGCCGAGCTTGACGTAGTTCTAGGCGGCCGGAATTCCAACTCGGCAAAGTTGACAGGCCGGTGCGGTTTGGTCTGTGAGAGGACAGTTTCGCGGACCTGCGTCGTGAAGTCTGGATCTCCGCATGCTATCATCCGTTAGCTCGCCAGGAGAGCTTCCGGGTTGAGAAGAGACCCACCCACGACTATGCTCCTCCCGGGGGATTCAATGTCTTGAGAGATCAATGATTTCAGGTAGCGTTCTTGCTGTGCCGGCCCATCTTTTGGGTAGACACATTTCCAGAACTGTGAAGTTTCGAACGGTGGTGGTTTGTCCCAAGACGACGGGTAAATACACCAGACGACAAGGAAAGCCTGGCGTGTTAGTGCGCGGCACGGCTCAAGGGGGTGGGGGGTTCTACATTCTTTTCGTCCAGTCTCTTTAAAGCGTTCAGTTCCATAGTTACCCATTCTTCTTGTATGTTTTCATCGAGGCTCCAGACAATGGCCACCTTCCTCGTCCGGTCTCGGAAGAGATCTGCTCGGTAAGCCCTCGATTTGCTGGCCTTGATCGCCCAGTCATGCTGCTGGCGTTCTGCTAGATCCAGAGCAGACGCGAGGACGCCGGCAATCCCAATCCCCTGGGCGGCCATGATGACTGTCTCGTAATGCCGAAGGCCAAGGTCTTGACCGTACGGACCATCGAGGAGGAATTTCTGACCCTTCTTCAGACGCAAGAAGGGGGAGCTTTTATCCTCATGGGATATTAGGAAAGTCAGCTGGCTAGCATCCGTGCGCGTTCGGTCAGGGTGGCGCCACATCACCATAAGCGGGCGACTGTTCAAGAGGTCGTAGCCGAGTAGAGCACCGGGAAGGAATAGATAGAAGTAACTACCCGGGTAGGTACCGTCAAATGGATTCCTGGACACAGAGATATTGATGGCAACGAAGCTGCCGACACACTAGCAAAAGAGGGTGCCATGCTGGAAACAGACATAACAAATCTTCCTACAATCTCTTGGGTCAAGAGAGATCTCAAAAGACAGGGCAAGAAAGAGTTCAACCAATGGTGGAAAGACCAATCAGAATCTAGGTATCAAGAAGTATACTCACATGCAGTAACTGAAAGAGACCTTATATCTTTTAAGAGGAGTACTTTACACAGACTTCTAGCGGCCAGATCTGGACATGGCGACTTTGCCAGATACCATGAACGCTTTGGGCACACAGACTCAAATGATCACTGCAGCTGTGGTGAGAAGAAAACACCACAACACATTTTTTTTTGTAAGAGGCTGGGGAAAAATCGGCTGCTGCCTAGGTACTCGCCTAGGGCAGCTTGTTTACAATACTTAGGGGAGAGGAGCACAGAATGGGCAAAATTCGTGGAGAAGAGCAAGTTCTTTTCAACAATCTGCCCCCGATAGATAGCCTTCCTTGAAGGACCAGATGGATGACCCCAAGGTCATACCGCCGCAACAACGGGGATGGGCCCGTGAGCGGGACTGACTGTACTTATTATCTTGAGACCTCCACAACCCTGCGATGCAGAGGCTCTGGGAGGCGTGGTTTGCACTACTGAGGAGCTACCCCCACGTTAAATACAAAACAAACAAACAAACAACAACTACCCGGGTAGGTGTTGACCTGTCGTTTAGTGCTCACGCAGATGCGGTTTGTTGTTTCGGACACCTCACACCATTCTACCTTGGCCGCTGGTAGATAGCAGAACGTCCTCAGAAACCGGTACAAGGTTGTTAAACCCCATAGCGCACTAGCAATGAGTACGCAGATCTTAGGGACCAGGTTCGGCTGCGAGAGCACGTGCCAGAAGATAGCTGCCAGCGAGATCAAAGACAGAAGACCGTGCTGGACGCTGAAACGGGTTCGGAAGAAGCGGCGCATGAAAAAGGGTGAGGTGACCAGGAGCATCAAGAGTCCCCCAACGGCCTTCGGACAAGAATGTTAACCTCGTATGGATGGCAAGGGGCGGGACCTACAATGTATCCGGAGATGGTAACATGGTCCGATCGGGATCTCCTCAAGCTGAATGCTGCATGTATCAGGCCTTCCAAAATGGCGATCCTCCCGACCCAGTGATGACACAGGTAGTACGTTGATAGAGGAACTCGGAGGAAGTCGGCAAGCGGGTTGGTACGGCCTCCGAGAAATAGCGGTGCCATGTTGATAATTGCGAAAACCGCGGTCCTTCGTTGCAGGTCTTCAACGCTGCGGTTCCACAGGGCGAGTAACAGGACATTGGAAGTCAAATAGACTATGAAAACAAGAAACTCCAGTCGTGTGATACTCATCCTATGGTTGCTCCGCCGCACAACTATAGGATACCGCACATGGCGGGCAAAGCTAACGACGAGACGCGGCAGGACCAGGTGCACAAAGAAGCGAATGATTCTATACAAAGGGTACAGTCCGATAAAACCACCAAACAAAATGGAATAGATTTCAACTGTGTCCATCATAGTTGAGTATGTATCCACCCGCGCCTATGTGCGAGATAAGGATGGCGTTTTGCAGAGATTTGTTCGTTGATATCTAAAAATTCCGTGACAATATCGCCCTGCCGGATATGAGGTGTCAGGCCTTAAACGCGGTTCTTGAAAAGCCCTACTTGCGGCTTTGTTGTCACTGCCGCCAGATCCCAGAAACTGTGGCGCGTATAGCCGGGACCTTGTACCAGTCATGCCTTGATTTAGGATCTATCAGGTGCCATAGTGTCCCGATGGACCAAAGGTTCGTAACTTTAGGCACCTTACCAGTCACACGGACAATGTGCCTTGCCCTTAACGGTCTCCCTTGGTTGACTGGTATGAAAATAACGTGCATTACTAGTCACGGTCTCCTTCTAGTACCAAAATCGGGTAGCTTATTAGTCACGGCCTGATACTGGTATGAAAATAGTGTGCCCTACTAGTCGCAGCCTCCTTCTGGTATGAAAATAGTCCGCCTTCTTAGTCAGATGGATCCTGCATGGACCAGTAAAGCCCCTGACCAGTACCTCCCAGTGTTGCATCCTTACCAGTATTACGATGACACAGTTTATTAGCCACCGTCTGGGTGAGCATTACGAACGCCGACTCCCTTGCACAAATATTTCCGTTGTGCCTTTGAGCTAAAAATACGACTGACGCGCCCCGTTCCACATGACAGAATTTGTCCAGAGTATGGGACCACCCCTCCAGATGACCACCTGCCACGATGGGTCAACCACATCCCAGACCCAGGCAGTGGTCGCTATATAGGGATTGCACAACGCCAAGCACGGTACCCCATGCCGGGATTTTAAGAAATAGGCATCCCCGCTTGCGATTCATGCCTTACCTGCCGCACAATCTCGCCACTATTCACAAGCGCTCACTCCAGATCGACCACGCAGCCTGCTCACTTCGACAAAGAACTAGCTTCGGAATGGCGCGGACGCATACTCAGAAGGAAAGGAGGGCATTCGAGATGCGACGAGAAAGCTTGGTCAGGAAAGTGTACGAGATAAACAACATTACCAGTGCCCATGTGGTGCTTGTGGGCATCAGCGGGGGAAGGACGTTCGCATTTGAGCCAGAAGAAGGCATGTTGCGTCGTCTCGGATTCACCTCGCCTATTGACGACCGCATTGCACCGGATGACATCCCTAAATCTAGCAGAATTGGCCGCCCCACGCCTTCCTGCGAGTCCATATCGAGCGACTCTACCTGCGCGCTTGATTCTGGCGCGGAATCGCCCATACGGGCACGAGGTGCAAAGACTGGTGGTGCCCCAAGGTTGAAGAAGAACTTTCGCACGTCCCGACGAGGACGATCTTGGAAGACTTCACCTCATCTTCGGGAGGGAACCTTGAAGTTGCTAGACGTCGAGTTTTTCGCGCCCTGATCACAAGTTTACTACGGGCTGGGGGCGCTGGACGGGCAATGAGTAGCCGGTAATTGCGGAGACGAACCAAATCCTGGGCTTGGGACTCGCTGCATCCCAATTACTTGCTCTGTGCTAAAAGCTCTGCTATGATATAAATAAGATGCCTCATACCTCACATTGGCCTTATAGGCTTGTTCATCGCTAAGTTCTAAAGCATCTTTCTTGCCTGCTTCCTCTACATGAAAGGGGAGAGACCAGACCGGGTTTTAAAGTTATCAATACAAGATGGCCCCGTTTGGCCTTTGCGCGTTGCTTCTTGCATTGGCAATTTCTATTCGGCCCATCCTGACACATTCGTGGGTCGAGCAGCTTGTGAGGATTGCTCCTAATGGCACCATGATCGCACCGGCAGGCTATATCCGAGGTTACGTTGGTCGCACAGAGCCAGGGTTCAATGATGCTGAGAACACGTACCTGCTCCCCCCCAACGGTCGTCCTGATGGCAAGGTGGTCCACTCCGACGACCGCATCTGTAAAGCAACGCAGCAGATCGGTAACTACAGCGAAGACTACCCGATGCTGCACGTTGCGCGCGGTGACCTTGTTGCCTTGCGGTACCAAGAAAATGGCCATGTAACCCTCACCAAAAGCAACGCAAACGTCAAGCCGGACAAGAGTGGCATCGTATACGTGTACGGGACGGCAAACCCCCTGGCCAGCGACACGCTCTTGGGAATTCACCAGGTGTGGACTGCGGATGGGCAAGGCGGCGATAGGAGAGGACGACTGCTCGCCACGCGAAACTTCGACGATGGACAATGCTACCAGATTAACGACACGCCCATCTCGAAGTCGAGGCAGATCCAGGCCTCCAAGGAAGCCGAAGATCCCCAGGGTGCCGACCTCTGGTGCCAGTCGGATATCCGGCTACCCTGTGATTTGCCCCGAGCTGGGACGTACACCCTTTATTGGGTCTGGGACTGGCCGACGCTTGCGCCAGAGACGAACAATCAGTCCGCCGTCGTATCCCCCGAGATATACACTTCCTGTATGGACATCAACCTAGACGATTTCAGCCAGTCGGCGGACCAGAACGTGAACTTTATCCACGAACAAGACGCGAACAGCAGGGTTATCTATGAACAGCTTGACAACAACTTTATCTAGTGTTGAGTAAGAACCGAAGTCGTGTATTGTGTCTGCGGATGAGAGATTATGGGGAGGGAGACGGGCTCCGCGGATTGCTGGCCGACCGGAGGGACTTTAGGAGGCTTGGTCCATAGACTAGATTCGATTGGTATGGTTTATTAGGTCGCACGCGGCAGGTCCGGTTAATGGCTCATGAATTTACTTTCCTGCACTCATCCCTTGTAACGCAATGCGGGCAGTTGGCCGCGAAAATACATGTTTGCCATGCCAAAGACCTGGATTCTGGATGATCACGTACCATAAAGCCGCCAGGTTACTTTGGCGGTTTTTTGTTTTAGCACTGCTATTAAAGCGACGCGAGACTTCCTCTTTTAAAACTTGATATACGTGTCTGCTTGCTTTACGTTCTACCAGAGGCAGCAAGTCAGGCCCTTAATGTTCTCCATTACATTTACCCACCACTGTCGAAGGGTGCGGCGCGCGATTGCGGTGGACACCGGCAGGGATTCTCACCGTCAACTCTCACCCAGTACCGTGTCAGCAGGTTTATTTCATCCCGAGCCTCGCGGTTCCAGTCCCAAAACCGACCACCTTCTCCCCAAGAAACATTGCTTCCGGACTAGAAGCGAGCGGGTGACGATTCTGTGTCGGTTTTGTTACGAAGTCTGGCACTTGGAAGTGAAGAAAAAGACCAGAGCAGGGGATGACGGATACGACGAACCTGAACAGCGTCAGCGGAGCCGAGCCGCGATGAATCCAGAAGCTAGAACAAGACGTGATCAGGTGGAACAAAGGGGCCCCGAGACCTCGCGGGAGCACATGAGCGAAGAGTCTGCTGAGTACCAAGAAATTGTGAAAGAGCTCTGGCGAAACTTAAGGATTGCTGAGTACAACAAAGAAATCACTCTTTGTGATACATCACCAAGCCAATCATTGAAACGTGTTCGGTTCGACCTGAGCAGGTAATGCACCAATGCATACCCAGCACACGGGACTGAGGGTCTATAAACGCTCTATTGCGGGCGCAAGAGGGAATGAAGGGAGGCCCTCGGCGATAGGGAAAAGAGGAACTCCGAGGCCAGGGGACTCAACCACGCAGGATGGTCATGACAGGGTTTGTGGACGGAGAGACCAGCGCGGGAAACCGCGACCATGGCATCCGATCCCCCGCGCCAGGGAACCGAGCGACAGGAGCTGGGAATGGCAAGCTTGCTCGTGTAGCGAACTTGTCTCCGGGCAGGCAATATTCCAATGTTTAATTGTATTTATCGTGAGGAACGAACAATATGTCTAATAAATGCAACTTGGATGCGTGGCGGGTTCGGCACGCAAGTAGAAGTACTGCACGATTTCATACATTCCCAGTCAAGACACAACGAGTGTGATTGGTAAGGGTTGCCATCATCATATCATTTGGGCTCCGCGACTGGTAGGCGGCACCATTGGAATACTGGTCATTGACAAGACTAGTCATTATCGGACCTGTGTGACTGATCAGGCGTAGATCTTCAATACTGGTCATAGGCCATAGTGGTCAGAGGCCATAGAGGCCATACTGGTCCGAGGTCACACTGGTCAGAGGCCACAGAGTCCATACTGGTCAGAGGTCTTATTGGTCAGGAGCCATACTAGTCATAAGGCACATGAGGCAGTACTAGTCGTAGGCCATACTAGTCAAGGTAGGCGACTCGGCACAGACTGTACTACTCAAGGTGAGATCTGGTGGGACTGGTAAGGTTCTGGTACTGGTAAGGGGTCTACGTATGTGACTGGTCAGGTGCACGACATGAGCAAGGGTGGCTCGTAGCCCTGGCGGCATGCCCTTCCCTGTCGGTAGCATCGCATCAAAGCACGCCTCACGTTTGACAGGGCGGCATCAGGCCAGGGCAGTGCTCAAGAGGATCCTGATTCGGGGTCTCTAGCCCTAGGTTGATGGAAGTGGAACTGTCGGATGCCGTTCGTTTGACCTGAGCCGTGATGGTGGGGATGCCATCCACACATTCGGCTGTGAAACTTGGGCTCACCGTCCGCCGAGTTTCAATGTTAAGGCCCACGCACCGACGCAGCCTGTAGAAGCTTGGGCACAGCCGCTTTGATCCCTCCCTTCGCCAGGTTATCATGCAGTCTCTCTAGGGAGGCCAATAGAAATCATTCGTGGATACAAATCTCGGGTAGCATTTGTCCAAGGCTAGGATGATTTGATAAGAGCCGGAACGGGCTTACGGATCATGGGCATATAGCGCCTCGTCAAGGAGTGCGCATTTTCAATTGTGCAACACAGCATAGCCTCCTACTATTACTAATAATAGGGCTGACATGATGAGCTACGACAGATATTTACGATTGTTTTAGGGACTTATAAGGCAGCGTCGGAGTAAAGACATAGTCACAACGTGCTTCATCATAGCATCGACAGAAGTCTTACTCAACAACATAACAAGACCTGGCTAAGATGGAACAAAGCACCGTACATTCTCCCGTGAGGGCCGCACTTTGACCGCGCTAACTTGCAGCAGGACGTTAACGCGAACGCCGTTGGCAACCAATTCAATAACGAACCAAACCCTATGTCTGAGGTCCTATCGTGGTATAAGCGACTGGCGGAGAACCTTATTCGAAAGCAGGCCACCTTGACCGCGGCCTACTATGAGCTGGAAGAAAGGTACGAAACGCTGCAACAGCAGGTGCAAAAGCGCACGGGCGAGGGGGACAAGAACTGTATTCATAACACCCCGAGACATCAAACACGCGGCTGTGCATGCCTGCCCAAGAACTGGCGAAGGATATTTTCACACGGGCGGGCAACGGACCAGTAAATCCGGGACCGATTGGTCGGGGCCCCAAGAAAGGAGATGATTCAGTCGCCAGCGACTATGTGGCACATCCACTGCAGCTGCGCACCACCTCCAGACCCTTCACATCAATAACACCAGTGCAGCATACTTGCCTCGCTTCTGGCCTTCCTGCTGTGCAACAAAGCCCAACGCTGTTCTACCCAGTGATTTTGGCGCAGGACCAACAGTCTTGCCGGGCCTACCTCGCGGGCCGCGGTGGGTTTCCACCCGCAGAGCTAGATGAGTGTTGAGGCCAAAAGCTGTCTAGCAGTCGTTTGGGCAGTTGAGACTTGCTTCCCGCCACGTACGTGCGGTGGCTCACTACCGTTAGCTGTATTCTCGCTGCCGCGTTTGAGAGGTGATCTCACCGGGATTCTGAGATATGGAAGAGCCCCCAAGTCACAAGGTTGGCGAACATGAGGGTGCAGGCGGCCCACGAGATTGCGAGGAGCTTCGTACCCCCACGAGCAGATATTCCCATACTCTTGCCAGCATCATTGATTCCAGAAGCCCCTTTTACAGCCACCAACGTGGTGATCACACTGGCGACGGCGAGCGACAGGCCAGCAAGTCCAGCAATGACCACGTGCGCTATCACGATCTTTTTGAATCCTTCCCACTCGCGTGTACGAAAGCGCAGGGAAGTAGCCACTGTAAACAGAATCGACAAGCCACAGAACACGCAGCTGACGATGTAAGAAATATATACGGCCAAGAGGAGACTGTTTATATATCCGGTCGCTTTATAGACAGCGTCGAGCGGGAAATCTGCAATGCTAGCATGGCGTAGAACGGGAAACTCGTCGGTAAGGATTCTCGAGACGTTTATCCCACCTATAGAATCTCGTTAACTAGCGGCGTGGCATGTACGACATCGTGCTATTTACCTGCTGCTTTCAATGGCGTACAGTCGGTAGTATTATATCGAGGGTGTGGCACTGTGGCGTTTGGAGCATAAAGGCCTTTACAATAATTGGTGACGTGTAGTGAGTACCATTGCGGAAGATGAAACGCCTCGGTAAAATTCTTGAGGCCATTACCTATAAGATCGCCGATATCGTCAACCGTCTCGTTCCGAAACGAGTTGACAGCGTCCCCAATGCCACCCGTGATGTTGTCCGCATTGCTGTCCTTATCATCGCCCACTCCCTGGGCAGAGTCGACGGCGTCGTTGACACTATTTGTGATGCTGTCCGCATTGCTGTCCTTATTATCGCCCACTCCCTGGGCAGAGTCGATGGCCTCATTGATGCCATCTGTAATGTCGTCCTTGCCGTCATCGTCGCTGCCCTGGAAACCGTCAACAGCGTCCTCAATATCATCTAGACCGACAGAGCCGGTAGGAAGTTTCCGCAATTCGAGGGCAGACAATGATCGCTTTGCATGCATCAGGTTCAATCCGAAACGAGATATTTTAATCTTACCCCGTTAGTCCCATCATCCCCTTGATGACATTAGACATACGGAGATCATGTGATATTCCTCAAGCTGCTTTGGGTGTGAGCCGGTGCCAGCAAATAGCGCGATGCTCGCGAGTACGAAGGCGACAACGGGAACCAAGATAGATAAACCGGTTACCCAATGGGGAGATTTGAGACGACTGGCCTGCATTATGAGGCTGCGAGAACGGAGTTGTCGCTTTTTCGAGCTCGGCACGTGAGGAGCTAGGTTCGAGCCTGTTGCATATGGGCTTGCATTCTTTTCAATTGCCTACATATATAAGACAATCTACAAGGAAATCGTGCGTATTTGTATGCTGACAATCTCGTTCGACTGTATATTTAGCAGGATACCGAAGCCCAGGTCCTGGACTCCGGCTACGGGCCGGTTCTTGTAGGGCTAACCTCCCTAATACCGGGCAGGCGATATTGTGCGGGGTCATGGAATGAACATCTAATCTCCCCCACGAGCACCGTCTATGGGAAAGACCTTGGACGCAAATTTACTAAAACGATAGCACCGCCTTGTCAAGTGTTCCGATGGACGCCTGGGACCTAGATTGCACCCCTAGAAGTGTCCGTGCCCCGGTTTCCGGTTCCTAGTGTCCATCCCGGTTCCCGGGGCAGTAAGGCCGTCTGCATTTACGTTCAATGAGTAACATGTTTAAACCTAATCCTCGAATGCAGCACACCAAGCACGGCCGGTCGATGTCATCACTAGGTGACGGGAAACTGGTTTAACCTACAAACGATACCTAGGGAGTTGATAAGGTGTGAGGACTAATGAAGCGAGATACACTTGAATGGCCTAGTATCTAGGCCTTTATACTCTAGCAACGTAGAAATTCGTCTTTTATCCACAAAATTTCTACATTACGCTAAACATGTAGCCATACTTCTTTCCGTATTAACATAAGGCAGGCCTTCGATAAAAATGAAAGTTATTTGGTTCGGTATCCTTGCAGGCTGTATCTAACTCCGCCCCAGTTTATTGCCTGCTCTTAGTTGTCTGGGTGGCTGATCCTCTCCGCAGATCTCGGTAGACGCACTCTCGGGAAGTTTCCGCCGCTCATCGGATGTTGATGACTGCAACTGTTCTTGAGGATTTCCGTAGAAAGACTCTGTCGGCTCTCGTAAGCCATCGACTCGGCCTCCAACTGATGCAAGGTTTCCGGCGTTACCCTCTGACCCCTGCTCCTCTCTCTGAAGCTCCTCAATGCGCGTAGCGAATGTAGGTTCAGCGCCAGCAGCGTTGTTCGTGGGGGTGAGGTGTTTGGCAGCTTTATTTCGGGAATGGTCCCTTTCAGAACAAAGCTTTTCGATTTTGCGTCCAAGTGTGTTGTTGATTTCGCGTGCGAATCCGAGTTCACGCTCTAACCAGGCCACCTTCCTAAGTACCTGGGAACACCGATGGTGGGCCAGGAAGTTGTGCACTTTTTGCATTGTGTTCCACATGCTGCGCAGATCATCTAGAGCAGCTTGGAGGGGATCGACTTGGGGGTTCTCTTGTAAAGGAGTTCCTGGTTGTTGTATCGGGCGGAAATAGGGGGGATGAAAGCCAGGGTCGCTGGTCTAGGAAAGTTAGACGGAGCCTGAGGACATTGAGAGTCACCAGTTTACATACCGGGAAAGCATTTTGGTACGAAGCCATGTTGCCTTGGATGATCACAGTTGAGGATGGAAATCAAAACAGACCACAGTTTGTGTTACAATGGCGCAACTGCAAAGTGTGATTGATTGCACAATAATAAGTTGCTGCCGTGGTCTTATATGGGACTGCAGTAGTCCGTGTGTTCCCGCATCTAGACTATATCCCTTTCGTTGGTAGGTCGGTGTAGTGTCCACTCCGGCCTCCGACGGTGGCAACACTCGGAATTGTAGGTAATATTTCGTTTGTTCGCCCCGACAGCGGGTGACAGGGCCCGGTTTAGCGTTATCCTGCCCCTTTTAAAGGCCAGGGTATTATCTTCCATGGGAGCACGGCAGGTTCACGTCGCGAATCGGCTGTTCCGTACCCGTGTCAACCCATATTTTGGCAAGCTTCCAGGCAGTTAAGGCGTAACGCCGTGTCGCAGATACTTGGGTTCGAACCGATTGATCACAGGGAGAGTGATCTAAGGGATTGTCTGAGGGAGAGTGTTCCGAGGGAAAGGGACCGATGACAGGGCTGGTTGGTTGTATTTGTAGCTTGATGACACAAGGGCAAGACCGACCGTGTCGACTTGCAGCACGACCCGTACTGCCACCGCAAACACTTCACGACGCGGTGAGGCGTGCTGAAGGACCAGGACGTGTAAGGCGCACCGCAGGGAGGATCTACCGCCCATTGGGACGATTGGCAGTTGACCCTCGTGACCGAGGGCAAGCTTGCCGGTCTCTGGGTTGATCTTGGCAAACCCGATTACCTGCGCAATGCCTACACCAAACGAACAGGCCTAATCGACCTCATCTCTACGCATCTGCTCCTCTACCGCATTGAGGCCAACTTCGCCGCCCCGCAGTGCACGAAAGAGGATGGGTACAAGTGTGCCTGGTCCTTTCATCTCGGGAACCGGGACGACCCCACGTGCAGCCTGGTGGTCCGCGAGCACAAGGGCTGGCCTGGCCGTAGCGTACTTTTTCGGTGGTAAAATGGCCAGCACAGAGGCCATCCAGCTGCTCGAGTGGCTTGCGGGTGACAACTGCCCGCACTCGTGTGACGAAATACCCTACGGGAGACATGCTTGACGAGGAGACTTGTGAAATTCAGAAAATGGAAGGCTCTATATCATCCCGTGTTGTATAATAATTGTCGGGCATTGAAAAGCACTACATTACTACAATGATTATGAACCGTTCTCATTTAGAAGGGCAGATTGCATCCGGATACAGCTGCCATAGCCATGGTTTGGGACGTGGTTCATCCCCCATAACTGGAAATGGATTCAACGGTGTGGGCACATTCCTTTGTCAACTGGGGCTGGTCGGTCTTATTTGAGCTTGGTGACCTAAGGGCAATCATTCTTTGAGGGAGTGCACGTCCGTGAAACTTCCCAGATGAAGTAAACACGTGTAATTCGACACTGGAAGGCCACCTACATCGTAAAGTCCGTGACTAGGAGATAGCACGGTTAATTACATGTCGTGTAAAAGATTACTGGTCACGATGACACGAGTGTGACTGGTAAGCTCTGCTATCATAGTACTGGTCGGGGCCTACCATTTTAATACTGGTCGTAGGCTGTACTAGTCAGGAATGTGCATTGCATGACTGGTCAGGTCTTTCTTACCAGTCAGGCAAAGGTGGGCCGTGACCGGTAAGGCACGCTTTTCCTACCAGTCAAGTAGAAGCGGCCGCGACTAGTATGTTTTCCTACCAATCAAGTAGAAGGGGTCGCGACTGGTAAGGGGAGCCCTGACTAGTAAGGCCTACTATTGCCTTACCGGTCATCTGTGTGACTAGTACGTTGTACTAGTAATCCCTACCAGTCGGTAGGGGATTCGTGGAACTTGTAAGATGCATGATCGTAGCCTTGCATGAGCGTGACAAGCGTGTGTGACTGGTAAGGTGCACCTAAAAATATGCAGCCACCGTTGCCCAATCATAGACCCCATGGATAGATCCTCGATCAAGGCATTCCGGGTCCCAGGTCGTGGTCATGTCGATCTACCACGTCCCCTTCCAGGTCCCGGGCCAAGGCAGTCGCAAGTGGGTTTCCTAGAAACAAGGGGAAGGGCCTGCCATCTCGTATGGGGTCTTTAACCATTAGATATCAATTAACAATCTCTGTAAAACGCCGACTTTCCCTGCAAAGCCCATAGGCTAGGTACAAACTGTAGCCATGATGAACGTACAATCTTGTGCCGCTTTCTTAGGACCTTTTTTTACCTGTCCGGGCGGGTGATACAATGGTCAGAGGTGTCCCAGAAATCCTACCGCTTCGGCCTGAGCTGTAAAAGCCACGCTAACAGGCACCCGGGAGTTACTTTTATCTATTTCCTTCGGCTGCTCTGTTCGGCTACGATATATTTGGTAGTCGCCCGAGAATCAGCTCATGGTCATGTGGCGCCACCCTCCCTAAACGCCCACAGATAGTAGCCAGTTGACTTTCCTTATCCCACGAGGATAAACGCTCACCCTTCTTACGTCTGGAGAAAGGCTAGGAACTTCTCTTAGTGATAATAACAGTGACATTGTCCTTCTCACTTAGCCTTCGACTGACGGAATGTATATGCATATAAAGGTAATAGTTGGTGCTACGTGTATAGCGCCTCCTTATTCTTAAAACGTAGACGTAGATTCGCGCTAGATTTACCTCGCATCAATCTAAGGCTCCGAGTTGTGAACGACAATCAGGATTCTTGTTGTTTATGATGCTCGTTGTTATCTCACGCTTTTACCACTGCTACAGAACATTTACAGTTGGTCTTACGCAGATAATTAAAATCTATATATGATACGTTGTATTGTTAAACAGTAGCCTTGCTATAAGATTTATTGTAACAAGTGTAATTCCTAGTAGTCTGCGCTTTATTTGTGTTAACACTTACTCGTGTATACCGAAGAATAGCGACCGATGGTAAAGATGGTAGAACAAGCCTAGAATAAGAACCCATTTCAAATAACATAGTGGAAACCAATGTTGAACCAGCAACATACCCTCTGAGATCTCACCACTATCTCATTCGCCAACAAACCGCAATTTAGGCTTCGTGGTGATTGGCTTCTGCCCGACCATTGTTCGCCTTTCATTAACTTGCTCATCTATAAAACTTCGGCCAAACATGTTAATGAACGTGGACCTAGTCCAGGCCCTAGGTATGCTTGGTCCTTCACGTGTTATGTAGCCCGAGCTAAACGTGATAGGGAAGGTATATTTATTCTTTTGGAAAGCGCTCGAGATGGACAGGATGGTTAAGTCGTTCCACATGCAACCAATCAGGCTCTTCCTGTCTGAGGTCCTGAGGGTCATCGCGTTGCCGGCTTGTGTAGATTCGAATCGGGCTCCCTCATCTGCGTAATCTGAACGTAAGACCAAGATATGTCTCTCCTTGGTTGGGTCTTGCGGATGCAGAAGAATCGGCAGAGCGACGTCCAGATACCACCCGCAAGACATCACTATCTTGCCTTCAACAGGTTGGCTATTGCCAGGGTCTCGTTCAACATCCGGGTCATTCGCCAGCACTATCTTATCCCAGCCAGGGCTTTCCTCCGCCATATGACTCTGGGATGCAATCTCTTCTCTATCTCTCTCAGGGTTATTGCTGAACACGCTTTGTTCCCTGGCTCCATTCAGGGTCGCCAAACCAATGTCGTTGCCGGGAGAGCCCAAGCGGCTGTGGTGGCTGGGAGAGTCACGGCGCGGGGTGGTTCGGGGGTGTGATGTGCGGTATCCATGATACGCCTCGTACAGGTCTGCATCGCCGTAGAAGCTCACCTCTAGCTCCTGTAGTGCCCCCGGGCACTTCTCCATCCATCCGCGTGCAAACTGCAGTAGGCTTTCGGACGTTGGCTTTGTCTTCTCGTGTTTACAGTGAAACTCCAGGCGGAATAGCACGTCCATGAAGTCACACCCATACCACTTACACTCGCTGATCAGAGCCTGCCACCCAGGCCGAGACAATTTCTGTCCTATGATGTGCTCGGTTTGTGGGCATAGGGCACGTCGCAACTCATGGTCCTCAGCAGCGGACCCTGGTGATGGGCTACTTCTGTTTAAGGGTGGCGGTGAGTGAGGTGCATCCCTTGGTGCTGGGGTCCTTCTGCTGTTGGAAGATGGCGGTGCGGGGGGTGCATCGCCTGGTGCTGGGGTACTTCTGTTTAAGGGTGGCGGCGAGTGAGGTGCATCCCTTGGTGCTGGGGTTCTTCTGCTGTTGGAAGATGGCGGTGCGGGGGGTGCATCCCCTGGTGTTGGTGGTCGTGCTTCACCCTCCCTTTTGATTGGATTAGTCTGCTCATTTGAGGCTGCCGGGGCTGCTGTATCCTCTGGTGACGCCACCGGGGGGGTTGTATCTGTTGGTGCCGACGATGGGGTTGCGCCGCCCTCCTTCGAGGGCGGCACACTGCTGTCGGGAGTTGTGCGAGAAGTCTCCGCGGGGCCCCTTTCGCTACCAGAGCTGCTCGGGGTCCCGCCGGCACTAGCAGTGTCTGCACCGCTCATGCTCACATCTTCGACCAGTGCTTTGTCTTTGGACTCGGCGTAGCGTTTAAACTTATTAAGCGCGCTTGTGAGTGTTCGCTTGCTTTCAACCCATTCCAATGGGTACGGTGTATCCTTTTCCTCAACACTTGAAGGGTACTCTTTGTTGACAAGTTTGTGCAAGGCATTGAGCAAGTCTTCGGTAATATCTTCCGCAAACGAATGCCCAGAATCATTCTTGAACCGCGTCAACTCTCGGATCCTTCTTTGCTCTTTGGCTTCGTTGAACTTCACGTTTTGAGTATTTTCGGAAGCCATTGGTACGTGAGAAGAGCTGTTCTGCTAGGTGCTTTTGGCTGGAATGTGAAATCAATAATGAGGCAGTTAGACAATAGCTTCATGCCAAAAGGTTTAACGAAATCTTGCGCCTTTTAAACACGTCTCTGCACCGAGCTGTCGATGTTATCCACCAAAGGTTGGATTTAAAAGTCCCCACAACCAGGTATTGGTAGCATCGGCAACCCCAGTTTTTGGATTTAGGTTCACTACACGGCTGCAGAGCAGAAACCTGTTTCTCGGACCTCTTCAAACACTGCCTAGCCTAGTCCTAGGAGTATGAGGTTTCTTGCGTGTTTTACGAGAGATTAGCATGTTGTCATTTATGTTCCTTCCACACGAAGCGCTGATCTTCGAACCTCCCTTTGTCTTCCTCGACTTGGCCAACGCGTCTCCATGGCAGATGCAAACCTCATCGGGATCATCAAGGTCCCATTGTGTGCTTTCACCTACCAGACTGAAGTAGGTAGGGAAGAGTCTCCGATCATCGTGAAGAGACTAGCCAATGTATTTCGCAGGACACGTTGTAGGTCCAATCGATGGGAGAACCACGTGCAAGGACGTATCAACAGTAACACCTTAGAAGCAATACTGGCAGCTCTCGGCCGCACAGAAGAACAGCTCTATTCAACTGTATACGCGGGGGATTACCCTCAGGTCTACCTGAAGAGGCAAATCCTTTGCCTTGATGGAAGACATAGGCTGGCGGCAGCGAAGAGGGTTTTCGGTAACGGGGTATAGTGGCCGGTGAAGCTCTACACTACCCCGCCAGGTACGCACCATCGCGCCAGGGTGGATCAGAAGAGACTGACGCAGACAACAGGACCGTGTTTCCTTCACCAGACAACATACTCCGACGGGGAGATATACCGCGGGAAGAGGCTCTGTCAGCTGGCCAAGCAAGACCTCCTGGCTCGGGAATGGATAGTGCAACTATCATCGAGCAAGCAGCCGATTATTCGGCAGCTGTCCAGGAATATCGAGATTGTAGAAGCACTGGATAAACTCCTGCCGTACCCGGGGCTCTGGACGGGGCTGAGAATTGGCAACCTGCATAAATACCTTGCACTGCACTGTGTCGAGCAGATTCTCAACTACCTCGGCCACATAGATCACGTCTGGTCGACAATAACGGTCGGCATCATGCCGGAAACGGTTGACAACAGTTCGGTTGGCGTCCTGCAAGGCCGTGCCCCGTCCATCGCAGCAGACCGTATGTACATTGAGCATATGTTCAACCAGAATCAGATCTTCGTCCGCGTTACCGACCCTGCAACCCGCAGCCGGCTATTAGACCGAATCCTGTCGTTGGACAAGATGATACCCAGCATAGGGACATTTGAGAAAAGCATGAAGTATTTCGAGCTGGGTGCGAGAATTCTGAGGCGCGAGCTGTTGGGAGACCAAGAGAATGTCGACCCTACAGCCAATGTTCATCCGGGGACCAATGTGAACCCGGAGGCCGAGGAGCCCACGCTCCTCCAGAGACTCAAGTGGCAAAGTCCAATGAGCCCTACCGTCGAGGTGGCCGAGGGGGTCTTCGTGGAATCTACTGTCATGACTAAGGAGACAGCACTCAAAGCGCTCTTCCTATTCTCCCTGCGGCACTTCCCCTACTTAGGACCTGATCCGCCGCTCCAGGATGTAAAGGGCGAAGGTATCGTAGCGGGCCTAAGCGACCTGCATTCGCTTCATCTCCGTGCCCGGGCCAGGGAATTTGGGTTCGTGTTGAGTATGCTCGATCAGGAGCTGTGCCAATTAGATCCCCTTGTCGTAGACCCCATGAGCACAAAGCGACGGTCTATGCCTTGGAGAGGTGGCAAGCCCTTTGTCAGTACGTTCTTTGAGCTACGACCAGTCGCATTTCTTCCTACTCTAGACGCAGCCGATCCACGTGCCGGCGTTACCCCGGCGTTCGTATTAAAGCACTTCATGGATGCATATTTCGGCGCTTCTTCCTATGCGGTGGACGTGCCGTACTCTATGGACGAATCCGGTATGTCGTCACATAGTCTGCCAGTGCCTTCAGCGCAACCACCCTTCGGCTCCCCACGCTCGGGAGAAGGCACAGTCCATTTGCCACCGATTGGATCACAATTCAGTAACAAGCCAAAGGAGCACCGCGGGCGAGCCGTAGAGGGGGCTCAGAACGCCGGAGAACCGGCAGGGGATGATAGCAAGGAAATACCGATGAACGGCGAACTCTGGACGAGGTCCCCGAACGCGCCTACTTTACGAGAGTCCATGGACCAGTTCGACGTTCAGCTCCCTGATCGATCAGTTCAACGCTCCCCGATCTTCACCCCGGAACCTGAGGGCGAGACACAAGAAATTCTGGAAGCTATTGCAGGGCAGTCAAGCCTAGCTGGACATGCGAGCTCGACAGGCTTCCGTCCTGATGTGGCAATTGACGCCAGCGTATTCATGGCCCCTACGCATCTGGGCCCGAGGCCTAGGACCTATCTCAAGAAGGAGGATAGGAAGAAGGATAAGAAGGATAAGAAGGATAAGAAAGATAAGAAGAAGAGAGGATTGAATAGAATCCGGAAGAAATCCCTCCGCGAGCCACTGGTTCGTCCTGGGCAGCAGTCAGAGATTGACGGTCCCAACTTCACGTTCCGGTCACGCAAGAGACGTGGGAATACTCCGCCCATACCGGAAGGACCCAGTCACAGCCCAATCTTTCGCTTGTGGGATGCGCCACGGGAGCTCAAGAGAAAACATACTACTGCAATGGCCGAAGACCCCTGGGTAGACATACGGCCGGCAAAGGACCCCTCCCAGGGAAAGAGACCAAGATTGCATGGGCCCCATGGGAAGGCTGGGACCAAGCGGACGCTTTCTCAGACAGGGGATGGTTGGAAGTCTATCATACGGCGACAGAGCAGCAAAGGCAAAGGCAGGGAGAGCATGCCGAGACCGCGGCGGGACAGCGATAATGTTCCGGCAGATCCTCGGCGGGACGACCAATCTGTTGAGCGTGGAAGATCACCGCCGGAAGACACAAAATGTCACGAGGGTTCAGGCGCGATAGCAGGAAGCCAGACTCCATCTTCTACTACCCAGGTCTGATAGACCAGGATATGCCCTTGAAATGCAGAATATAGATGCTAACATGATGTTAGGGTGCCTCCGGCTCGCGACTGTCTCGTGAGGGCGGTGCTTGGCCCCAACAAGCCAGAAGCAGTAAAGAGGTGAGAGAAACTTCGGGCCATACAGAGGAACATCCCAAGCGTGGAGCTTTTGCTCAAACGAAGGACGACTACCCTGTGGACGAAGACTGGTCTAGTGATACGGAGATTCCAGTCCCCACTAGGGAGAGGTCGGCACCGGCGTCTCCAGAAGATGACGGGATTTTATGACGCATCGGGAAAGTAGGAACAAATAGCAAAAGGCGTATCAATAAAGCCGACATCGTGATCTATTTTCGCGGTCGAGTTTTACAAGGCAATATATCCATGACGTACTCGACTCACGCTGCGGTTTTAACATTATACCGTATCTAATCTTAGAAGGTAATTAAGAATGGACTTATTCTTCACGTAGATCACTTAAAGCTTGTAGTAAGTAAAAGCATCTAGTAAAACGATAGGAACAGCATAAAGACTGTTAAAACTTAGATTATAAAGAAAGATCGTCACACTTAGTCTCGTATGCATGAGATAATAAGGAGTGATACCAGGGCTCAAACCGGGGTCGAAGTCTTAGTTAATAACCCTAAAAATCCAAAGCCCAAACCTATACCCTGTGTGCTCTATAATGTAAAGTTGAGCAAGAATAGCCCCAACTTAATTGACTCAGATAGTATGAAAACGAAACCAGAACTAGAGCTATCTTTGCTTCCGCCAGAGACCCCTATCGGCCATCCCACCAAATCACGTTATAAGCCCATGCTATAGTTTAGGTCCGGCCAGTCTGCCGTCGACGTTTATTTGTTCGTCCTGACCTCCCGCTCCTGTCGGGAGTGGTCAGCGTTGGGCTATGCCAGCTTAAAGATAAGCTTGAACATAAGACAGGCCTACCAGAGTATAACAGCAATACACGCGAACCCGGCAATAAAAATCGCTCTCAAGAGGTCCATGATGCCGGGGTGTCTTGCGCAAGGTAGTTTGACGGGCGTAACCCTTTTGGAATAGGCGGGTGTAAATTTCGAAATTCAATGGGGGACGGCGATATAGTGGGGCGTATATGTAGCCGGACGCAGCCTGGATCTGGGCAGTGCGAGGGTGAAAGGGAGCGAGCCAGGGCCCGGGTTTCGGCATCCTGGGCTGGTGCTTGGCTACAGCTCGCTGTAGATGCGAATCATGTCGTCAATCGTGGTGTGGGCGCTGATGCGATGCTCCTTGGAACCACTCCATCTGCTGTGTTTGTACTCCTCGAAGGCGGCTGCGACGAAGCCAGCTATCCGCGTCACTTTATCGTCCTGCCGCTCGATCTCTTGGAGGTAGCAGACGTTTTGTTGGGTCAGCAGCGCAATGGTCTCGTGGTTTTCGGACTCCCTCCTCCTATGTTTCAGGATGTGTTGTCGCAACTTCTTGTTTTCGCTCTGCAGCGCGTTGATCTGATCTTCGGACCAGCTGATTCCCCTTTCAGCGGGGTTGTGTGTGGCTTCTTGGATGGGCTGCAGCACGCGCCGTTGTGACAGTGGCAACGGCGGCGTCGCCCCTAATACTGGCAGGGCGGGCGGCGGCTTGTCGCGTGGCGGCGCGGCAGCGTTAGGGTCCGGGCGCATGATGGCCTCTGGTCCCTCCGCTGTTTGCGACTGTTGCTGTGCCCGGGGTGTAGTGCTTTGTTTACTGCGGCTAGCACAGCAGTCGCGCAGATAGTTAACCCACTGTTCCCTCATGGGTCACTTATGTATTGAAGTGTTATTATGATGGGCTGTCCTCTCGGGCGTTTACTCCCAGGAAGATTTATAACAAGTTTATAAAGCAGGAAATGCAGCGTTTTAGTTATTTATGTCCAAGTCCTAGGCATCGGAATAATGGCACCAAGATCCTGGAACTGGTCCAATATACTATCTGCTGGTTCGTATCCCCCACGTCACTCGCTGTCCTCGTGGCCGAGCATAAGCTTCATGTAATGAATGACCGTACGAGAGAAATCACTCAACCCCTCCCTTACTTTTTCGATACAGCCTTTCGTCTGATCGACCATTTGCAGGACTTGGTCCAGCTTCTCCCACGCTCTATTGCTTGTCCTGGTTGTTTCTTCCATTGCCGACTCTAGCTTGTCCATACGGTTGCACATCAAAACCAAAACACTGACGCGGAGTTAGCAAGTAGCTTTCAGGGGCAATAAAGATATATCCGTTACTTTTGGATGCTTCCAATCTGGCTGGTACTGGAGTTTTCCGGTTGAAGGTTTGTTGGCTGCGGTGGAGGAACCGACGCGGACAGGGAGAGGTCGAGGGAAATCGGATCCTCTGGCATAAGATCTAACCAACTCCCGGGCCCCCAAATGAAATTGTCTTGAGCTTGTTCCTCCATTGTAATTGGTGCAACTGTCGTGTAGAAACCCCTATCTTACGGATTGGTGTTTGGTCACTGGTCCTGCTCTTATACTTACTACTAACCGATTTTATCCCATCGCAACCCGTCACGCTCCCTGGAACAGGACACTGCCCGGATCCGGGTTTTGTTTCTATTTTAATACTGCATCCATCCTGCTTAAAACCCTCCCGGTAACCCTATCACGGCCCTCGAGGAAGCAGATAGTAGGTGAGCATGTTTGTCCTTGGCCTGCTCGCACTAATGGGGAGCGCAGCACGCGGTTTTCCTGGCACGCCCTTTATTTGCAATTCAAGCCCTGTATTACAGTTGGTTGCCGGGGTCTCCAATGTCTCAGCTGATTAGTCGCAGCCATCGATCTCTCTAAACTGTGACAATTAATAACTGCTTCTCAAATACGACAACCCCCTTGGTGAGGACTGCCGCGCGCTACTGCAGTCTGCAGATCTTGCTTACGAGCCGATCACGTACTCTTTCCCACCCCTGCGTTGCGCGGGTTTGGCGAGGACCAGCTTTCTCCTACCTGCCGGTTCGCCGAATGGAGGGGCCGATGTTGTGTGGTCAGCCCCCACTACCCTCTGTGTGTTCCTCGAGTAGCTAATGCGCCGCAGGAGCTGTTCAGGGCAGGCGGCTTGCGTCAAGGCCGAGGTCACCAATGGCACCGGAGATCTTTCGAAGGAGGCTGAGCAGGTAGGCGCGATTGAGTGTGTGGGACATCCCGGAATGAACGAGACAAAACCCGTCATAGCCACTGATCTGGCTTTGCCAGGCGCCTCGCGGCCCAGCACGCTGCCGATTATGACAGCCTCTATCATGCCCACCACGATATCGTGGAGGGATGTAAGCGCACAGCCTACTTCAGAGCATAATGTCCATGCATGCCCTTCATCTAGCCTGGCCGCGGAGAACTATTTTTGTACGGGAGGGACATCGCACCCCGGTGGGACTGCGCCGGCTTGGCCATCTAGTAGCTACAACCCCCCAACTCCGTTACTCACCATCAATACGATGACCCCAGCTCGTCTGTGGGCGAGCGGAAGAGCCAATAGTTCGTTAATCCTAACATAGGTCGGCCCGGCCAATCGCTCATATGTGCCATTGCTTGTTATGCTATTTTCAGCTTAGGACAGGATGTAAAAGCTCGTATCGCAACTCGATTTAGGCCATCTTATACGAGAGCTCCAGTGTTTGGGCTGACAGGCTGAGGGATTCCCCGGGGGAGGATGTGCTTATCCCTTCAATGGTTTCTTATTTTGATTGCATTCAACGATCTGCCGGACTTTATACGAACTCTGCTGTGTTTTCAGAGTCTACTAGATAACACTGGAACGCAAGTATGCTACAGTTGATGGTGGGGTATTTTAACACGTGTTTATGTTGAATTTTATGTGATTTAAGCGTTGTTTTCAATTTGCTCTATAAGGAATTGGCCTCGCCAATTATCGTGAATCCTGAGAACATTTCCCAACTTTGTCACCCTTCTTTTGCGCGTCTGGGTTATAAACAACTGGCAATGGGTAACTCTCCATCTAAGAAAGTATTAGCTACTTTAAAAGCCCGCATGGCACTGTATGCTTACAACTTGCGCATATTCTGGTGGGGCAACGCGCCGAGAATTATAAACGTAGGAGCGATGGCCATTCCATAGCAGCAGGTAGGCTTCAAATCGACAATCCGTATGAAAATCGTGAATCTTTTTCAGTAAGGTTGCTCGCCGTTTTAGTATCTTGGTACTTTGCCGTTTCCTAGCCTTTTGGGTTTGCGTGAGAGTCAATCGTGGGCAAGGCGAGGTCGAGGAGTTCACCTCTAGGCAGGCTCCCTTTGGGATGGATGGGTCCTCGATCCTAATATCGCTTGTTTTCTCCATGCTGAGGTTTGAACTAAACGCTTCTGCCTTTTACGGTGATTGATAATAGTGGTTGGAAACTCATGGCATGAAAGTAGATACAATAAATACAAAACCGGATTCCTCTGCCTTTGGTTGTCGGATTAGTCGTCGCACCTAATACCTGGGTAAGGAGCCCGCAATCCGGATACGGGTCGTGACACACCAAGACCTAGGTCCAGGATGAATTACCCGCATCCCTCGCATATCCCAACCACGGATTATAAAGAGAAGGGCTTTGTGCGTTTAATAATTAAGAATTACATGGTAGATATCACGGGCCGGACAACAGCCGCTTTAACCACTTGACAGAATCCTGGCAAAACACCATTCCTACCAACGTTTTCACGTCGCATCATCATAATGGCAACAACCGGCTCGAGCGACGTTTACGACACAATCCTCAGGTTTGGAGACTACTACCAAAGGAGATACTTTCTTGAGACGAATGCAATGAGAACAGCGCACAAGACGCTGAGTCCGGAAGACGTTGCTTATTATGAGCGAATCCTCAACCAGGCAGACCTCTCTAAGGTCTTTGAAGACCAGCTGAACCGTGACACCGGCTTTTATTGCAGCGTGATGAATCAGATTCAGTCCATCTTGCGAGTCTGGGATGCAGTTCTTAGGGAGAAAATCCGCTTTGACGCAGAAGGCTGGCCGTCGACTAACAGACAATTCATCGAGTCGTTTCTTTTATGTCTACGCACTGTCCCCGGCCAAATGAGGATTGGCTATCTCGGGCCGTCTGGAGACCATACTACGGGCGCATACAGTTATCCAGAGGGACTCCCGATAATTCTCAGCGAAGAGGAGCCACCCCACGAAAGGGACAGCCAGACATTATCCCAGTCTAGCAGCGCTATGTCATTCGGGGAACTTACTGGGGTGAACTTTCCTGCCGCGGTTACTGAAACAGGGCCATTTGACAAGATAGAGGGTCAAGGTCTCCAAGGCTCACCTAGTGACACGGCTTATGATGCTCGCACTCTCCGCCCGAGGGCCAGAGATCACGAGGTTATTTCCGTTTCGAGCGACGACGGCGACGACAGTGACGAAAGCTTTCGTCTTGTTTACGGTACCCCAGTCCCCCTACCCCAAGAGAACCAGTCCAGCAACTACACCTGGGACGGAAATATGGCCACACTGGATCCGAGTGAGCTGCTGTTTGGGGATCTCGACTACCCGATTGGCGATCTAGGAGTAGAGGAGATTTTCGATTCCGGTTCCCCTGCTCAAATGCCCTCCCTGGAGGCCAATGATCCTTGGTCAGGGTCCTCTGGTGTGGATATAAGCGATACACAGCCACTGCTAGGCACCATGCCACAGGAGGAGGGGGATGGAAAACGACGGTCTAAAAGACTGCGACTTTCCAAGCCAGGGCTTCTAGTTCCAAAAAAGCGCAAATTTTCAGAGCTCGAGAGTCTCGAAGAACGCCGCAAAGCAACACCTTATGCAGAGCATCGGTGTATGGCTAAGGGGCGGGCCCGTCGCCAGCAAAAGACCGCCTCTCCTAAATAAACGAACCACAGGACGGCATAACTCCTGATGTACTCACTCGTTTTTCAGATCTTGTTGGTTTTTCTTTGGCTCTTTGGTTTGCTGGACCTGAGACTGTCGTTGGGAATTGTCACGTTGGATTTTAGCTATATCATACTAGATAAATACCACTCTTTACGCTTAGCGGTTTTCTTTTACGTGCCAAGTAACACATTTAACCATAAGAATGCCTCTAGCCAAGTATAGCTATCTCCCGTGAAGGCAAGTCCTTGATCTAATCTACCTTACACTGGCTCCGACCGAATAGGAAAGGATGAAACAGAGGTCAGCTGCTCTCGGCTAGACTGTAAGAGGTAGTCCGCATAATCTGTCGACCCAATGTGAAATACACCACCCCTGCTGGCCAATGTCCTAGGCGACCCCGACGAACCAACGAGAGTCCTCGTATTGCTTGGCGCATCTACGCTCGTTCCTGTCGCGAGAGAAACTCGCTTGATCAAACCAAACCTTCTCGCTTCTAGAAGAATGGGCTGTCGGGCTTCCATAAGCAGACCAATATAGTTCAAAACCTACTACATTAGCCATAAGAGTCGCATAGAGAGACTGACTACGTACCAATAGCTGGTCAAGGGGAGACTTTCCCAGCAAGCTAAGAAAGTTGGCACCAAAGCCGAGGGCGTGCCAGGCAATAGCATAGTTTCGTTTTGTCCTGTCTGGTCGGTCTGTACTGTAGCAGAATAGAAGCAGCGCAAGTGACATCCGGTGGATTGTACAGCCAGCAAGCACCCACCAAGGCGAACCTGGAATGGTCTGGGGAAACCGGCCTACAATCGAGAGGCCCGTACTAAGGACGAATGGAACACTGGGAGCGAGTGCTGCCTTCAGGTCGACGGTGACTGCTTCCAGATAACAGACAACCTATGCCTGTATTAGCGATATATCGGTTCCGAGGGGTAACCTCATAAAGCTTTACCTCGCCAAATTGACTGCTGACCAGAGCTGTCCAGACAGCCCAAGTCACCATGGTAGCATTGGAGACTTCCAGGCCGACTCGGCTGGCACGGGCCAGTGCAACGCATATGGTGATAAAAGCTGCGATCCCGATGGCAGAGCGACAGGCGTGGAGGGTCAAGCTCGCGTCCGGGTGAATGCAGGTGACCCATTGTAAAACACGTTGTAGAGTGGATGAAGCACCGACTAAGAACGACAACAAGCCACCAACAAAAGCCACTATCGTTTGCTTGTCGACATGGCAAGCCATCTTGCGGCTTATGAATAGTAATAATAATAATCGGAAGATAGGAATAGCCTAGCAGGAAAATGAGAAGTATGCCGTGCGGTTGCAAGTCGACCATGAAGAATGAGCAGCCAAGACCGTGTTGCGAACACAGCAGAGTTATATATCCATGTCTCCGCACCCTTGCTCGCCATGGAAAGGCCTCCGGATCATGCAGAATCCAGGGTGTATGAGAACGGCGCAGCACGGGTATGGGGGCCTGTCCGGCGACGCGTGGGCGAAGAATGATCGGCCAAAGCCTTGTTCATTCCTCTGCTCATGCCTCTTCTTCACTGGCCGATCCGATTGCAAGAGCCCAGGGGTTTAGCTTTGGGTGTTGTTCCGAACCTTCTTCTCAGACGAGTGCACCCTCCAGAATTCACCCAATAATCCGGGGGACTGGGTCATCCGCTTCTCAACTAACAAACACCGTGAGGATCTGGTGAAGCCTCAGAGTCACGGGAGACCCCGGATTTCGATAACGGTGTGGTCCATGATATGGCTATTTGGCGGAGAAGTTGGCCTTGGGAAATTGGTCTTCTGCGGGCCCGATCCGGACGCTCTTCGCGGAGGAGTATCTTCAGCTTCGTATCAAGAGTTCCTCCAGGAAGGGCTCCTTCCTTTCTAGGAGGCTGGGGACCTTTTCATGCAAGATAACGCGAGAATTCATAATTAAGGCGCCACTCCCGAGTGGGTCGAGAGCCATGGTACGGCGGGCGGAAAAAGCCCGCAAACATCATTTCCTCGGCAGGAAAGGCGGAAGTCAGTGCCCGAGTGGGAGGGCACATTGCCATGATACAGCGAGCCCTCACCATGGCAGCGCGTGCGGTGCTCCCCATATGGCGGACCAACCCTACCTACACGGTCTACAGAGACGCTGGACTCCCAACGGCGGAAGCAGCTCTGGGCCAGGCCCTGTGGCGCTTTGCGTACAGGCGGCAGAGTCCTTCAAGGCATGGTTTCGAACACTGCCCCAGAAGATGTGGTGATGTTCTCGGACGGATTAAAGGACAAAACATGCATAGGATACGGCTATGCGGTCTACCAAGGCGGGCAACTCCTCGCCTCAAATAAGGGCCGCCTACACCCGTGCTCCATCGTATTCGATGCGGAAGTAGTAAGAGCCTGGAAAGGGCTCCAGTGCGTTACCAAGGCCCCTCCGGAGCTGAGCCAGCGCCGGATCTGGGTATGCGTGGATGACACAGGGGCGATCTGGGGGCTCCGCGGCGACGCCGCGGTCTCCTGCCAGTGGGCCTACCTAAAGTTCCACGCTGGGGCGGGAATCCGGAACGTTACTGACAAGTGGTGTCCTGGCCACTGCAACGTCCAAGGCAACGAGCTTGCAGACAAGCTGGCTAAGGCCGGCTCCAAGCTGCCTGTCATCGACAGCGACTGCACCCCCACAGCCTACGGCATCAAGTCCATAGCGCGAATGAAGGGAGTTGCGGCTCGTGAGAAATGGTGGGACAAGGCACAAGCAACACTGTCGTCTCGCTACAAGGACTGGAACCTTGGTTATCACCTGCACTGTTACGAGGAGCTACAGGTGCTTACAAGGCCAGCACTACATCACCATCTCGCCATCCGCACAGGGCACGGCGACTTTGCCTGGTAACACGACAAGTTTGGACACCCAGACGCCATCCGTGAATGCTCTTGCGGGAGAGCAAAAGCCCCGGAACATATCGTTCACTGCCGGAAATCCATCAAGCAGTTCAAGAAATGGCCCCTGGGCCCCTCCCGGCAAACTACCAGACCGGAACGACAGCGCTACTTCTGTAACATTATGGACAATCCTACAGGTTGCCGTGAATTACTCGTAGTTATAACATTATATAGTGGCATCTACCCTCGTCACTGAGAGCAATAGGTTTTCCTTTTGTTTAGGTGGCGTCCGGGGCATCTACTTTATATCTCCTTCCTTTGTGGTGCACTTGCACGTGAAGCAGGAGCACCGACTCTGCAGAACTTGCCTTACAGCGCGAATCAAGTTATTTGAATTTGGGGATATGCTATGAAACTAAGCATTGGGAACGACGTCCGCACCATCCCTCACCCAGAGGAGGGGGTCACGATGGGAACCGCTGCTTAGATGCAGTGGCTGTTTACGAACGAGACCTGCTAGCTAGGCAGCTGTATGTATATGTATAGTATGAGACCTAGCCTAGCACGCCCGCGCGCCCTTTGAACAACAACAACAACAACAACAACAACAACCCCATTGAAGCCAGGAGTACGGCTACTGACGAATGGTCTAGGACCGATCAAGGTCGTTTTACTAAGAACTATATGCCACCTGGTTCACCTGGAAATGGTCTTTGTGTATGGGTCTTCTAGTGGTGGCTTAGCCTGGTATTAAGTTACCACTTGTTGTAGCACAGCTATACCCCGGGGATTGCAACATCTCCGATGAAGAACAGCTCATTGATGTGGGGTTTAAGGCATCACATGAGTTCTCTTGCATGCTTACGTGTCATTCTTGATACGCCAATCATAGCTCCAATGCTGTCCCAACTCTCTGGGAGCCCCTGCACCTGGCAGCAAAAGCATCTTGGGTGTAAGGGGTCCGGTTCGACATAGTCTAAACTTGAACTACCTCCTATATAGGTCTTTGCCCGGTTAATCTAAGATCAGTGGGGGTATTGCCTGCTGAAGAGTCGTGATCGTCTAGCACCCCTCCTCCCTCCTCCTCCCTCCTAATCTTCAATGTCTAAAGCCAGGATAAAGGTCGTTAACAAGCGAGGAAAAACTTGGCTTGCGTAACCAAGGCTTATATACCCCGTATTTACTTAGAAATGGGACTTTGAAATTTATATAAAGCATATTGCATATTGCATTGATCTGATAAGATTGACATAGTACCCACGTCCAAGCTTATATTCCAATCATTTCCCAAGTCCACCCGTAGTCATTCCTTCCCGTTGGTTCTAATACAAACCTATTTATCTTATATATGCATATGTGGTCGCCAAGGGCAGCCGCTCTTGCGGTGTTTGCAGGTGTACATCACGTAAATCAGTTGGAAACCTTTCCTTCCACCTCTAGTTCAGCGAGGCTTTTAACAACCAAATTGACTTTTAAAGCAACTTTGTTCATTATACTGTCACGGCGTGTAGCTCCAAGCACCTAGGTATCCAGGCTACTTGGTCCTACCGCCCTGTCGGCTCGACGGTCATCGGCCGGGGAGTCTGGTACAAGTTTCAACAGCATCACGCTATTAGATGTTAGTTTCAAGGCCATCTTCGACAGGCATGAGTTCATAGCCGACAAGTCCTGTTTAGGTTCCTAGAGGCTACCTTTTGCATTTGAAGGCCACACCAGAGACCCCCATTGATGTTGATCAATGAGTCGGGCGCCCGTATTCAGTCTCTCCACCAAGCCTCACGCCGCCCAGCAGGTTCCCTCTGGCCAATTGGTACTTCGTTGGCCCTGTCTTGTGGTATTTCTTCGTGGTTCCGATCGAGGCTCCGACATTCGGGTGAGCAAGATCGTCGGCTTGAGAGCCTTTCCCGTAGTTCTCGAATCTTGTTCGTGACAGAACATGCTTGTTTTATCGGTGCCTTAATGATAGCGGAGTCGATGGAGCAGCGCGCAGGAATTGATCGCAGCTGAGCGGCCGGCCTTTGGAAGACGCGAATGCATTGGAGGCTAACAGGTACTGTGAGCAGTCCACGGCTACCATGGGTGGATTGTCTCAACGTACTGAACCTTGGGGTCAAAGTCGGAGCCGGCGCGGCAAGATGGCATACTTGCAAAGTTGCGAACATATCAGGACGAGAGATCAGGTCAAAAGTGGGCAAGTCGCGACCATGGACAAAGCAATGAATTAACTCCATTGTGGTTTATAGGTGTACGAGCGTACGGCGAGGAACGCGTCTGGCACGAAAACGTGAAGAGCATGGCTCTGCCTGGCGTGTGAGTCCTTTCACAGGGGAAGTCAGGGGTCTATCTCTCGTACTAGAACGACAGGGTGTCGGCCCAGGGTCGTCAACCACCTGCCAATGATATCCGGCCACAGTGTCCCTAGGCCAACAAAATGGTACTGCCGGCCTGTTCTAGCGAGCAGGGTTCTTGCATAACTACAGAAGACATCCGACTGTGTTGTAGCCCCGCGCCGGGCTTCAAGCTCACTGGTCGAGTAGGAGATAATCATGTCTGTGTACCCAGTGGGAAGACACTGTTTGGACACTGCAAGCGCGGCCTGCCATGCATCCAAAGCAGGTTCCACCTGCCCTTCCAGGTGAGTCACCATGGCCAGCCCGAGGCGGGTAGAGAGATGGTGTATCCTGCCGTAAAATGTGGCAGGGAAAGTAGTGTCGGCCAGCCGCTGGAAGATGCTGCGAGAGACCTGTAGCGAGCTCCGGTCCAAGGAATCCCCCTTCATGAGAGTATGCATGCACCTGAACAGGTGCGCATGTGCCAATGCGAGCTCGACCAGTGCGACACCTCTTTTCGTTGCTCTGGTGGCAAGGTGCAGATCAAGCCGCTGTATCGCTTCATCATATTGGCCAAGCTCACAAAGCACAGAGCCGAGAAGTGACGTGTTCTTGCTGTTGTCATGCGGTAGAGATGTGAGGATCCCATGAGCTTCTTGGAACCGACCTTCACACCGGAGGATCCTGGCCTGCATAAGACTTACGCGCCCGCTTTGGACACCTCCCAGCGACGACACACGGCCGTGCCAGGAGGGATCGAAACTTGCCAGGTGCTCCCAAGCGGACGCCAGGGCATTAAGACAGATGCATTCCCGGGCTTGAAGGAGGGAATTTTCGACGGAAAATGCATGAGATCGGTGGTCAACTACGGGGAAAGGGGCATTCTGCCGGCTTGGCTCTTGGTACAGATGGGCCAGTTCGGACCTCCTCACGTCAAGCATTGCGACCAGGAAACCCCGCTCGACGGCGTGGTTCACTACAGAGACTGCGTCCGATGCGATCGAGATGGCTTTGGATTTCCACGGCTTATCGCGGAAGTACGAAGTTGACAAGCATGTCTCGATTAGCTGCACGAGGCATGTTTGGTCGACCAGCGTGGCGATCTGCAAGTCACCCAGGTAGGAAAACAGGTTCTCGACCTGTGGTTGCAGCGACTCGCACTGATCCATGTAGCTGAGTATGCGGGTTATATTAGCAACTCGGAAGCGCGTTCGAGACATGCCGCTGCCTTACCTCGCAGGTTCAAGACCATAGTACTTGGGGAAAGCGTGAGCGACAATCCTGCAAGCTTCGACAATCCAACCCTTCTGTTCAAATCGTTCCCGTAGGAGGTCTGCTGTGCAAGGATCCATGGTGATTCTGCCCTCTAACCTGCGTACAAAGCCAACATACTCCAGGCGGGCCAGGGCCTCATTGAACTGCTCGATGTTGGCGATCGAAGAGTGTAGCCTGGGCTCGACGCCGACAGGCTCACCGTTTGTACCCCATGTCAGTGACGGCTCTCGTGCACGACGGATGATGCTTGTCGACATGGTCGGCCCTAGGCATCGTATGATGCTTGCTAGATTCTGACACTTGGGTTCGAGTCTGTCCAGGATCCGCGTCAGCCAGCCACTCATTGATCGGTTGCACGGGAACGTGCTTGCCCGCATGATGAGCTGGAGTCGGGATTCGTCGGAAGCACGGTTGAGGAGGAAATCTAACACCTCACGGCTACGAAGATTACGATGCGCATCGAAGGTAGCGTAGAAGATGCCAGCCAGAGCAACAGGCCCGCCACGGCTGAACGACGAGTGAATGAGGTCAGCTCTCGGGGTTTCCAGGGTGCGCGCATCAAGTGTTCGTTTTAGGACATATGCCCTGGAATAGTTCTCCTGGTTCCCCTGGAAAGCCAGGAGCGCATCCCGGACAGCGCGCTCGGCTTGTAAGAAGTCCAAAGTATCAGGGATGTACTGTTGACACTGGAAGAACGCATCAGCTAACAATCCACGCACGGCGTAAGGCTGCTGCTGCATAGCAGTCGCTATATCCAGGGTACCGCCGTTGTCGCATATACAAGCTAACTGCATGGCTGGGGTAGGTAGGATTGGGTGCCTTGTTCCTTAACACGCCGGGTACAACCACCTGGCGTTGTGAATGAGAAGCGGAGAAGAGATTGTGGTGTGGGAGGCTCAGTAAAAGCGGGACTAAACTGGCAGGGGGAATGCAGAGTTGTCTTGCTTATATAATCTTTTGCCGTTTCGAGACTAACCTAGTACCGCAATACCAGCGACACCTTGTCACAGCTATCTTGCGCGAATTGATCGGTCGGTCCTAGTAATCGACCTGGAGAGGATCCGCCCTCACCGCTAGATGGCAGACGAAGCCCTGTAATATGACCTACTCTGGGTACCTATACAACGGGTCGTACTGTGGTCGGGCGTAAACACATGAGTCCTAGGCTAGGATGTAACGCATCCGACGGCCCACTGAGAGGGGCGGTTGGCAATGGATATAACTGTGCGCAGTTATAAGAAAGCACTTCAGACCGAATTGTAGCTGGTTCTGTTACATGGCCTTCATTTCTAACACACGTTTGACAAAGGAAGCCTTACTTATCAATCCCCTTCGAGTCGAATCAGTAAAATCACACTGCTCTAAATCCTCAATCGATTCTCACCATTACCCTGCAAGATGTCAGCCAGTCCAACCGGGTCAGCCAGTACAACCGGTAAGAAGCACCTAAAAGAGTAAAGACAAGTGGATACTAAAAGAAGCAAAGCCAACCAATACGAACGAGTTCTAGACATGGATAATTCAGCTGCTCAATCCCTTACACACAGCAATTCAACGACTTCGGGTTCTGCCTGCGCCGTTTGTTGTAAGGGCTGTGGTTATGGTACCTGTAAGGAACTTACCTGGCAATGCGAAACAGCTTGGGGTAAAACATGCTGTATATTAGGTGGTGTCTGTATTGTGATTGGAGGTCTTGGTCTATGCGGTGTGTGTGACCAAGTGTGCCACTGATTGTTGAGTGGCACTGGGGTACCTCGACTATGGGGAGTTGTGCATGATTGAGACGTCCTCGAGGGAACTGCCGGAAAACCAGCCATCCGGCCATTCAGTCATTCGTCACCCAGTCTAGTCGACACTACCCCACGGTGTGGGGAGCATGGTATGAGCAGGACTGGAGTGGCAGGGGGAAGGGGTATAGACCTGTTAATAACATCCGTTTGGTTACTAGCCGATTCGAGACTAGGCAATTCCGCCGCGCATAGATGATAGCGGCCCGCCGCATGTAGTCTGGCTTCATCATATCGTATACGGGGTCATGGGCATCTCTGTTTTCCGCAGAACGCTGGGGACAACCTTGCTGGTGGTTGCAACTACAAGAAGGTCGACCTTGACGCAGCTGCAGACCACCCTGGCAACAACTTCCTACCCAACTTCCCATGGCTGACGAATCATGGTTGGCGGAGATGGCGCTCTCTAAACGAATCCGTGACCGCGGAGGAGACCATACTAAACTCATCGAAATTCCATCATGGAAAGTCAGGACCTACGCAGAACATACCCGCAGCTACGAAATCCGAGTTGCGGTTCAGGGACACCCACTAAACAACAAATATTACGCACTATGTCCAGATATCGGCCATCTCTTCCATGCATCCTATCCTACTTGGTCCATTCCAGTGCCCAAGGACGACGCCGATCGACTTGCGCATTGGGCCTCTTTTTCAATCCCCAAGGATGTGTTCCTCGTCTGGGCAGAGAAACACTCGATGCCCGACAAGACGAGCTGGAAAGACATCCGGGTGGAGACATCAACGCATTTGATACTGGATGCAAACGACCTGGAACGATACAAGATTGTGACGGCCGAGAAACTCAAAGAGCTTGTCTCCTTATTCTTTGCAAAGCGCGTCGAACGGCATACACGTAAGAAAAGTCGACGGCATCAATACAAGGCCCGGCAATTGCTCTTGACGGTTATGATGGAACGAAAATCGCATGCAGCTCTCGGCACTCGGTACCCCGCGAAGCTCCGTATCGATAATTGCTTGATCTTTCAAGATGACCCTTTTGGCCGGCCACTGGCAGCGAATCGCTTTCGGGGTATTCGGTTTGGACCGGGCAGGGGTGTCAAGCCGCTTGGTACATCGGGCCGTGCGTGATTGCTGTATTCCGGAAGACTGCGCACGCACACGTTCGGCATGACAGGTTTCAGTGTTGAGGTTGGCGATGCAACGGAGATCATGCATTTACTGTCAATGGTGCTGGGTAAGGAATGAGAACTAATGTACATCCGCTTCCGCCTTGACGCGCTTGCTGCAACCTTGAAGATCAAGATCACTATCGCCCGCGCGCTTTCCTGTTTTTGGCTGTTGAACCGTGCGATATCCCCTGTGAAATGCTTCTTCGTGCAAGCTCTCAGTCAGGAGAACGAGAAATTCTTCCACGTCCCTCAAGGAGTACTCTTCGCCACCAAGCTTGTGTTCAGTGCTGCCATAGGCGACCGCCGATATGTATTGAGAGATACCAGCCTTCAACCTGTGAGTGGCGATAGTCATTTCGCTTTGAAGTATCGCAGAGTAGAACCGTACGTGGCCCTTTTCCAGTTCCGGATAGTTCGTAACCCGACTTATTTCGAGCTCTTGGATGCGCGGCCAATTCGTCAAGTGTCTGCCGTCAATACCCGACAGGTCGTCGGAAAGCGCTTTGGACAACTCATGGTACTCGCTGACGAGTTCGGCTCGTTGTTTCTCGGTTAGCCGCAACTGGTCGGCAAGATAGGCCATCGGCAAGTCTTGGTCATTAGGACGGCCCCCCCTGGATCACGTGCTCGGCCTGTTGGCTCCGGAGTTGCTGCATACGCTCGTTTTGGTGTCTTTTCAGGGTGTCCTGGATCTGAACGAGGTGCTCTTGTCGGAGTGGTTCATGTTCATCCTTGATCTCCTCTGAGGTGGCAACTGAGTCGGGGCTGCGAGGCACGGAGATGGTAACAGGACTGGATGGTGACGCCATGATGCATGCTCTGTGAGAGCTTCGGGGGTTCGTGCGGTGTTGTGGGTAGATGTCACAGTTTGATTGCTAGTGACTCTAGAACGATTGACGAGAGAAACTATGAAGCTAGCTAGAAGACATGGTCATATATATAGGGGTCAATCCTGTGAGGCTATCTAGCGCCGTAACATACCTTTTCACCTTATAAGTATACTGGCAGCTTGTCGGGGCGAAGTCAGCTTGAACCCTTTCCTTACTAGGATCAAGGTTCGAATCGTGAATTTGACAGCAACTAGCGTCTGCCTCACCGGTTGGTCTCACCGACCGGTCGGCTGCGTGGACTAGCTAGGTATCGTATCTCAGATCGTTTGCATCACCCGCATGAGGGGTCGTACAAACCTCATCCCCCCTCCCCGACCCAAGAAGGGTGGGATCCTGCTGGGAGTTGCATGCGTCAGTAGGCACGACATTATTGGTCTTGCATTGCATGTGCCTACACAAATTACATGGGATATTGGCTCATGACCTCAGACGTGTTTGCACTTCCTTGACACCTTCATAAAACCATGCTGGCACCCACTTATCCCGACGTTAACGTGATGTAGCAGCCCATCATGTCTGTTTGTCCTGCGACAGATCAAGCGCACTCACAAACCGTCTCGGACCTTGTTCAACAGGTACTCGATCATCATGACATCAGGAAGGTGGCCGAGGGAGGGGTTTTGCAAATTCACCTTGGGTGTATCAACAAATCGGTCTCCATAAACGTGTCTCCCCAAATCAGACCCAAGTTGAAGGTTCAAGAAGACGAATCCCGCCTTCTAGCCTCGGACCATCCCATCTCTTGGGGTAGAGGGCCTAATGAGGCAAAGAACATGGAAGCACACCGAGCCGCGTTGGAGGCCTTTCTGAAGAGCGGGTCTACTTCCGACTCCTTGACCAATAAATGCAGCTTTGTTGAAGCAGTAAGTGCGAAAAAATCCTGTCGCCTACTTGTTCTTATTGATTGCAGCAAAGATGAAGCGGTGGCTTGCGGCAAAGGTTCGGCTTCGACGGGAGAATCAGGTAGCGAGTTAGTTGGACCTCAGGTGGAAGACCGAATTGGCACCCTTAGCTCCCCTTATGAAAAAGTGGTCGGCGTGCGATCTGATTAGTGCGGAAACTTTCAATCCCGGTCCGGCGCTAGACCGTGTATGGTAGCGGGACTGGCTGGCTCTCCAGGGCTCCTGGCAGGCTGGCAGCACACGGACCAACCTTCGCGTCATGAACTTCTCTTCCACCTCCTGGGTGCGCCGCCACACAGAAGCTTGAATGCTGATCGCGTCTCTGATTTAATTCGCTCACAGTAAATGCATGTGCTACTCGACGGATTACCTAATGCTGCCGCCTTACCAGCCAATGAAATGCGGCCAACTGGCCGCTCGGGCCACCCTCGTGGTTGAAAAGGGGCTCGCCCCCTGGACTGGCATGGGGGTCACTGACGCGATAACATGAACGAAGCGACGAGCATAGAGGAGAAAAGGACTGTATCGGATTTACCAAGTGACTACTAGAATCTGGTTTGGATGGCGTATAAGCTGCTTCATGTCCTCACAGCTCACAAGCAGATCTCGCTCCTCAATAGGGTCAAAGCCAACAAACTTCCCAACAACGTCCTCGTTCTCTCGCCCACCCTCAAATCGAAACTCAAGTGTCTCCCCTTCCCCGTTAACTCGCACATGCACTGAGAGGAACTCGCGTACCTCCCACAATGTCGCCGAGATACTAGGGTCGACGTCCTCTTGCCGCAGCCCCTCCCGGACATGAAGCCCTTCTAGATCCAAGTCATCGCATGCCCAATGTCGCCTATTGATATAGAACGTGTAGGTCTCATCGTCCATATCTACTTCGACACGCTGGATGCGTAGCGTAGCTTGGCGATCATATGGCGGTGCTTCGGGCACCTGGTCTCGGGGCTCTGGAGTGTGCTCCCTCTCTAGGGCAATAGTGAGGTCGATTGGGTTGTTGCGACTCCCATGGGGGTGTGCTATAGAAGGTGTCTTCTCTCCCAGGAATATTTCCCAGACACGCTCATCAGAGTCCATCTCGTCAAGAGAGGGGTAGTCGTTGAACAGATCGGATGGTTCGCCCAAGTCCATTGAGGAGCCGCTAATGGCGCTCCATGACTCAGAGGCAGCAGTGTCGGGAGCTCCGTTTAGGCTCATTGTAGGGTCGTCAGGAATGATGTTCCAGAAATCAGGGTTGCGGCGATCGTCGGGGTCAGCGTCGAACAGGTCCCGTGAGAAGTCGTCAATGGCGCGCCATGAATCAGAGGCAGCAGTGTCGGGAGCTCCGTTTAGGCTCATTGTAGGGTCGTCAGGAATGATGTTCCAGAAATCAGGGCTGCGGCGATCGTCGGGGTCAGCGTTGAACAGGTTCCGGGAGAAGTCGTCAATGGCGCTCCATGAATCAAAGGCAGCAGTGTTGGGAGCTCCGTCTAGGCTCATTGTAGGGTCGTCAGGAATGAGGTTCCAGAAATCAGGGTTGCGGCGATCGTCGGGGTCAGCGTCGAACAGGTCCCATGGGAAGGCAGGGTCCCCTGAGAAGGCAGGGTCCCAGGAGATATTCTGGTGTCGGACTTGACTCATAGCGGTTCAAGTGGGTGGTCGTGTGAAAAGTGAGGGTAAAGAGGGAGAGTTCATGCAGCGAGGAGAGGGGGGATTTTCGGGTTTAAATATCACTCTATAGCCCCTGGCTCGGGGGCATCCTTCTAACGCTGTCCCCGTGGGGCACATGGCCGTCGCACTCGGTCATTGGTAATTCCGCCTAGCGCCTCTGAGAGGGAGCTGCCCCTGAGACGTGAACTTCGGAACCAGTTGGGGATGACAGGTGCTCCCCCTGATAGCTCATCGAGAGTTCCAAGACCAACAAGTAGATGGAGGAGGATCTCCACCCTTGCGCACCATGGTTGCTGAAGCACTTCAGACATGAGACAGACAGCCTCGGGAGCTTTGCCAAGGAACCCGTCGAATATCTCCATTACAAACAGAACGCGCTCGGAGTAAGTTCTCCGGTCAAGCCTCGAGAGACGGTCTGTGATATCTCCCTACCAACGGTAATCACCGGGGTGGGATATCCTCGGTCTGAAGTCCCCAGCAACCCTTGTATTGCGAACACGACTCGAAGCCGTGGACAATGTGCCAGCTTGGCGTTTTCGAGTCTGCGGTGGTGGGACTCGGGTCACAGCACTGGGTGGGCTGTCAAGGGCACAATGGACAGGGTCGTGCTGAGATGAGTTGCTGGCGGATGCGTCCTCCTCGGTTGAGCGGTGATCCTCGTCTGGTTGGTGATCTTCGGTTGGTTGGTATTCTTTGGTTAGCTGGTCACATGCTCGGCCATCCTCTGTTGGCTCGTCTGAAGGATGATGATGGGGTGGTCGTCGTACGTGGGGACTGGTTGGTCCTGCTGCGCTGGATCACTATCCTCGCATGGGGCGTCGTGCCTGGTTGGTCCCTCGTGATTGTTCTGGGCAGGGAACTCAACCAACTCAGCGTCCAGTCTTGAATCATGCTGGGATGGGTTCTTATTGCTTGTCCTGTCGTTCTGGATCTGGATTGGTGCAATTGTTTGGGCTGCGTTACCGGTGTTGTTGTCCCGTTCGTCAGCTCTGGCCAGTCTAAGATGCTGGACGTGATGGTGACCCTGGGCGGGAATGTCTGGAACTACGGCCTCTTGTATGGGCCGTGGGACAACGGGAGTTGGTCTCCGCCTTCACGAGCCTGGGCTGAAGAGATGTATGTCTGGGTTGGATGAATGCCCCGAATAGGGCTAGGATTCGAACCAACGATGTCCGGCGGGGTTAGGACATCCATATATAGGAGATGCTCAAGATCATATCGGGATGACCCAGGTTTCTCTTTCGGGGCTTGCTTGTGTTGTTTCTTGGTAGAATCGTGTTCCCTGAAAATATCTTTGCGGTTGGCGGCTACCATTCTAGCGGTTAGGGATCTTATACATAAGAAGGGCAGTACAAGCAGGGTCTTAATAACGATAATTAAAGGCGAGAAGCTGTAAAGAGAAGAACAAACATTGTATTTAAAAGAACTATGTGTAGGTTAGTAAGGCTCTAACTATCCCTGTTGCCGGTACAAGGGGACGACTTGGAAGTACAAGCCGCCAGCAAATCCATTCTTCAAGGTCCATGCGGAAGCTTTCGAGGATATCGTAGGGGACAGGCTTCTCATTGCTATTGTAGCGGTCGATACAGGCTAAGATATATGAGTTGATATGAATAGGGGAGGGTCCTGTTAATAGTCTGAGCTGCCGTGCGAAGCTATGAATATTGCTGTGATTGCAGCGTAATCTACTGCCTCGAGTCGCCTTCGGAGGAACGTTTGCAGTAGGAAACCTCGGATCTCGTGCTGCGCCTCGAATCGCCTCTACAGGAACGTTTGCGACAGAAGATCCAGATCTTTGGCTGTATCCCGAGTCTCGTGTCAGGAACGTTGATACAGTAAGATCTGGTTGTTGTATCTGTGTGAAAATCCTGCTGTGGGCTAAGTGGCCCAAAATGCCCTATTGGCCTTGTTGGTGCACTGCCACCTCCTTGAACGCCACGGTGGCTTGCGTGCTATTCAACAAAACCACGGTACGGCGGAGATGGCCAACACCAAACTGGGAACCGATCAGGGGCACCTGAACAGAAGAAAAAAGATACAACACTCTGAATACAATACACCAATAATCACCCTCTAATCACTGAACTCGTTTGATTATAACAACAACCTTCATTTAGCTTGTATACGTTATTAAACAACTATTAAATCATGGCAAGCTCGGCATAACATCACTTTTTTACGGCCTTGTTAAGCTATGGGCGTTATATCCCTTAAACGAACATAATGTTGGATCTATGCGATTCCAGCTGCAAACCATCTATACCAAGACCCACATGTATGATTAGATAAGTGATTAGATACCGGATTGCGCGGTCACTTAGCCAGACCTTGTCACGGCGAGCGTACTGAGGAGCTGGGACATGGCCGGCAGCAAGCAGCTATTACTCTATTGACGAGAATATCAAGACTAGAGAGGAAAGGAAGAGAGAGAAAGCTAGGTACAGCTGGAGGCTGTCCCTTTAAGAGGATCCTCCTGTCAGATCCTTCCCTTATTGGGAGGTATCGGCTTATCATGTGGGAAGGTCTGTGCAGGCCGTCACAACGGCTAATCTATCAAGTATAAGGGACTTCAATAAGTTGTAAATATCACATGGTGAATTGCAAGTGGGTGAAAAGATTCTATTCTTATTGGACGATATCGTCTCATGCCTGTACTATAATGGTCTACCATGGGACAGCCCAACTTTTGGTTGGGTGAAGCAATAACTGGTTTATGTCCATGCGGCTTGGACCAAAGCTTTCCCCCTGTACAAGATCAATGGCAATGAATGAATCTTCTTCCCATTGAAGTTTGACAGTCTCTCCTTCGCCATTTACTCGTACATATACTAAGAGAGAATCCAGGCGCTCAGAAAGACGCTTCGATATGGCACTGTCGACTTCACCATCCCGTAAACCGTCTTTCGACACCCCAAGCCAGCTCAGAGCGTTCGGATTATCCCATTTCCAGCGCAGCCTTTCAAAGCGGAACGTGACGACTACATCTTGAAGACGGACCTCGACACTGTCGATTCGTAACATCGGTTGGCGATCATAAGACGAGCCTTGATGTTTCGGACCTCTGCCTCCGCAGCGCTTGAGTGGTCTTCTTGCGACTTTTGTCTTTGATGGACGGCTGTGAACGTTCGGGGCGGCGGCAGGCTTGAGCCTATGAGACTGGGCTCTGCGTCCCGAACCTCGAGCTTGGGGGTGTCTGAAAGGCCTCATTCCCTGTTCCCCTGCTGAAGAGGGGTGAATATCTGAGCCGTCGGTAAGATCGATAGGGTTGTCAGGACTCCCATCCGCTGGAACGGGAGTCTCATCGGGTGTCTCGAATAGATTCGCCCAAAAGCGCTCATCAAGATTAAAGTGAAAGAAGTCGCTCGAAGGAACAGTGTAGGCAGGTAGCGCGGGCCAGTTGTCGGGTACCACGGGGGCGTGGTCGGGAGGAATGCCCCAGAAATTGCAGTCGACATGGTCGTCGTCGCATGTATCGAGAATGCAGAGAGAAGATGGCAGTTTAGGGTCGGAAGCCCAAGGGTAGCCTAGCATTTTTTTGAAGGTAGTCCGTGGTGAATGAACTGGATGGTTTTTTCTGGGAATGAAGAAAGAAAGAAAAGGAGGTAAGATAGAGATCAGGGCGCGAGCGACGGCCGCCTGCTTTAAATATTACTCCCGAGCACCCTAGCACATGGGAGCGTCTCGAATCCCAGCTGCCGTTTTCGTCCTCGCCTCAACGCTTTCCATGCGCTCCAAGGTACAGTACGCTTGGACAAGGGGCTTGACCTCCGTGGATGCCAGAATTCTTGCCCTCCGCAGTGCCTGGTGCTTCTAAAAATGGCTTGGGCAAGCTGTCAGTCGTACGAGGAGCCTTACCAGTGGACAGCCTGTCACAGAAATGATCCACATCGTCAGCACTGCCGCGAGGCTCTCATTTTGAACGGGGGAAAGCGGCAAGAATGAATTCGCCATCCGATACCTGCGTCAAAGGACCCAAGCGAGACGGGTCAAGGCAGGCGGCCTCCGAGGTGCTCGGAATCAGTACTCTCACCAGCCAGCACAAGTGTACTGAAGCCGTTCTCCCGAGACGAAAGCCAGGGTTGCTGGCTACCTCCAGTAGGGCACTCCCATGTGTATATATGTAGTCCTGTGCTCCCTTTCGCTAAGTCGGCCTCTGTTTCTCTTCTCTCTCCTTCTCCTCATCTGCCGCCATCTTTCCCGATCTCTCCCCTCTGCTCCATTTAAAGTCGATCTTCTTTCAAGCTCCAAGTCCGTTTCGAGCACGCCCACCCTCAACGTCGGCCCGCGACCACCTTCTCTGCGGTGAGCCCAGCCTCCACACCCATCACAACACCCTAAGCCCTATTCCAACCCGATATCCAGCCTCATGACTCTATCGTCTGCAACCTGCCAATCCATTCCATTGCACTTGCGGAGACTTCCCTTTCTTGCAGCTCGGAGTGAGTACATACCCACGCTCACGCCGCTCCTCTGCCTTCTCGTTTCTTGCCAGCAACAACACCCTGGCTGACGGCGAGTCCCAACCAAACACCACTCCCGTCACGCTGCCGCCCGAGGCATCACCTCCAGAACTCTGACGGCCTTCCGCACCACGCCTTCCATCTATGGCGCGCGTCGCCCGGTCACGGTACGTACTCTCTCCTCGTATCGTACTCCGCCTGGCATTTCTTTTGGTCAATCCTCCACTCTGACTTTAGTCAGTGCCAAGTCCAGTACTTGCTACATCAATACCCCATCTACGACCTTCTCTTCTACGCCCTAAAGTCTCTCGCTGTACGTACATCTTCCTCTTCACCCCTAGCCTTTGAGACTTCCGCACCTGCTGCCCTTTCAGCACTTCCTGCATGACCACTCGTCGGCCTGTCGTACCGCGCTGACCCCTGCCGTTTCCAGGCACGCATCACCCCAGGTTCCAGTGTCTCGTTGATCAGGTACCAGCCAACATGGCCCACGTACCTACGCTCGACCTTGTCTCTCAAAGTGATAACGAGGTTCGCGGAGACCCACATCTTAGCACCCTACTTGACGCATTCTGCTTGAAGAACGGGCTCGTCGTAATTGCTGGGTCAGGAATATCCACTTCAGCTGGAAGTACGTATTAATATCCTGCTGAATTGGAATACTAGTACTAAGACATGTTTTAGTCCCAACGTTTCGTACTAAGGATGGCCTGTTTGTCCAGCTGAAGCAGACATACAGGCTGAAATGCTCTGGAGAAGACCTCTTTAGTGCCGATGTATTCAAATTCCCCGACAGAGCCGCAGCGTTTCTTGACATGATCCGACAATTATATGGCCAATGCAAAGAGGCTGAACCTACGCCCTTTCACTTGCTATTACAGTCAATAGCAAGAGAAGGAAGACTTCTACGGCTATATACGCAAAATATCGATGGCTTAGACACGCGGCTGAAGGAGCTCAGCACCACTGTCCCCTTGACAGCCACCAACAACGCATGGCCACTGACCATTCAGCTACATGGCAGTGTGGAGTTCATGCAGTGCGAGAAGTGTACCAGTGTGGTCTCACTGTCCCCATGGGCCCATGGTGAAGATGATCTTCCAAATTGCACAGGTGATTGTGCACAGGATCGACGTCGACACGACATGCGGATACAACTACGGCCCGCCGTCCCTGGTCGCCTACGACCAAGAATATCGCTATACAACGAAGAGCCATATGACTCTCAAGCGATTAGCCGAGTCATCGACCATGACACGAATATCTTATCACCCGGTCCTGTGATCGTCGTTGGTACGACACTGAAAGTCCCTGGCGCTTGCCAACTTGTCCGCAATCTCGCCAAGAAGGCCAAGGCAAACGGTTCACCCGTGATCTGGATCGCGCCCGATCGTCCGTCGAGTAATTTGAAGGGCCTATTCACGCTTATAGTCCTTGCGCAAGCAGACACGATTGCTGCAAAAGTCCTGGCCAGAACTGCTAAGACCGCATGGGATATACATAGTCTCCTCGATTGGCGTCAAAACCCAGACGACCTAGAAAGGATGCAGATACTTGTGCGATGGCCACCGGTTGGCGGAGAGGAATACGCACCGTCATATGCAGAAGAAGATGCCATACAGGAGGGCAGCCCGGAGCTCTTGTACCAGTTCTGGTCGGACAGGGGCGGACGCACCGAGGCCATTATACAAAAGTACCCCTCCCTCAACGGCCGCTTGATGTTCCACGTGTTCAAGATACGAGATCAAATTCAATCTCGGTATCAAGTACAGTGGGTGGGATATAGTGATCAGGAAATGACATGGGAGAGCGCAGAGTACATGCACCAAGTTGCTCCTGAGTGTGTTCTGGCTTACCAAGAAAAGCGCAATATATAGATATAAGGTCTAGCGATTAGGAAATCGTGGAACAAAAAGCACAGGGCACTCGACATTCAGCATTCGACATCTATATCTGCGTCAGCCCATAGTCTGCAGTCGAACAGGATATCCATGGCATAAGTTGTTTGCGATGGTTCCTCAGCGACTTAATATTATGAAAGTATTGTTTCCGCGTCTATCTTTCACTCTCCTGGCAGGTATATGATATCGGTAACGTACACAGGATCCCTGTTTTCGCTACTCCTCTGCCTGATTACTGTTTTGGCCCCATATTGAGTAGCTGCATGCGCACGGGCCACAGGACCTCAACCAGGGCTTAACAAGTTAAACCCAATTTAGTGACTTCCGCAAGAACGCTTGGGGGAACGTGGATAATGCCATGAACATCGCTGTTAATACCATTAAACAGAAGGTGAAACGTGTTCAAACGGAAAGTGCTCATAAGTGGATACACATAGCCGGTGTCCTACCCCATGTTAATCCATCTCGATACGTTCCTCGAAACAAGATGAAGCTCTTGCGTAAACAGGTTTTTGACTCCCTGACATTTCACCCCTCGTTTCCTTTTTCGTGTCTGCCTATTAAGACTAATAAGACCGAGCGGTTGACGGTTTGGGAGTTGTGCCCTCTCGAAATCGACGACCATAATGCATCCACTTCGCTCGTCATATAACATATTCCGCAGTTCTGCATCGCAGTGAAGAACGCCCGACTTGTGTAGTGCAACGTAGGCTTGGGTAGCCGTCTGTAGGATATCGGCTTTGCCGATCTGGTCGGTACACTCGAACAATGGCTGCCCAGCCCAGCTGAGAAACAGGAAGTGTCCAAACACACCACTGTCGTAATAGTACGGAAGAGCCAGGTTTATCATGCCGAGACATACAGGGACGTGCTTCCCCTGGATGGGCTTCAGTCGGTCATATACCCTGCCTTCATGCTGCAAACGTCCAAGGTCCAATGCTTCCATTCCCTTGGCGACGAGGGTGTAGCCGTGTGATGAAAGCCGCACCTTGAAGAGCGCGCCGAGCGATCCACCCAGATAGAGAGGCACGCAGTCTGCATCACGACCGCGGTCCTTGGCAAGTTGGTTGCGGATAAGGCCAAGAAATTCCAGCCGATCGATGTGTTTTCGCCCGTGGGAATGGTAATTAGGACAAGTGTCATCCACTGGCCCACCATACGCCAACCCCAAAAGGCACTGCTGAGTGCAGAATGGTCGATCTTGTATTTTCGGTTTCGTCACTTGGCCTTTCGACTGTTGCCCTCGGCCTTGCTTCGTGCTAGGGGGCTGAGGTTCTGACGTGGCTGCATTCCTACCAGAACGCCTGGGTTGGTTCGGAGTGGGGGAATGGGCACGCTTATCGTCGTCACTGCTGTCGTTATCGTCCTCGTTCCGAGGTCCAATGTCGCTACCTGGTTGCTTGCAGCCCGAGCGGGTCCTGATCGGCGACCTCTGGAAGCCCTTCCAACGCTGGGGCTTGTATGGGGTGCCGCGCTTCTCCTTACGTACCGTCACGGGGATATCCCTCAGCACGTCGTCATACTCGACGGCCCAAAGATCAAGGCCCGCGGCTGTGTCGTGCCAGGACGCTGGGGGCGGTTCCGCGCCGATGGCTTGTAATATGAAGGCAAAAACCTGGGCGACAGCCGTACGATGCAACCTTGTCTCGTCGCCGTCCACAACGTCCAGGTCGGGTACGCATACCGAGTAGTAGACGATAGTGGGATCATCTGGAATAGAGAGGAAGATGAAAGCCTCTCCTGTACATACGTATCCGTACTGAATACCCTTGCCGATCATATACGAAAAGAGCTGGGTGACGACGGCAGCGACCAGTGTCCTCGACGCGAAAGCGAAGCCGTCACCATGTTTATGAATTGTATCCCGTTCGGGCTGGATCTCGGAATCTAGACCCGTAACTATCTCGTCCCGGGTGAGCTTGTGTGGGGGCTTGTATTCGATGGCCACGGCGGGGACGTTTCGGCCCTGCGAGGTCCTGTATATGCAGAACTGGTCCGCCCGGTTACCCTTTCCTCTTGCCTTGTGTCGGGTGGTCTGCCTCGGGGCTGGTGCTACAGCGCCAGCGTGCCACTGCCAATAGACATGTGCTCCAAAGGTGCCGATATAGAGTCTTTTATATCGCCGAGGTTCGTGTGGCTCTCGAATGTGATGACTCCCTGTAAACCAAGACGGGATCGCAGTGCTTCGTCCTCATAGGCCCCTTCAACCAGCTTCCTTACAGCATTTTCGACAGTGTCGCGTTCAAAATCCCTCAGGCCCAGCTCACTACTAATGGGCCGAATCAAGGATGTGACGTATTCTAACTGCTTCGAGGATGGAAAGATGGGTTGCGTGGAGAACGAGGATCTGGTTGAGAGTTAATGCCAAACTCCTTCTTGTTCTGCTGCGAAGTTGTCCCATGGGACAATCCTCTTGGGATAGATTCGTCCTGTCGGATTAGTCGTCTCGCCTTGTGTAGTCGAGGAGCGGTTGATAACTGGCTGAATGGCAAGACTCAGCAAGTGGCAGGCCTCGAGGTATTGCTGAATTGTCTGTGGCAGTGGTTCCTTGGCGCGTTCTTCGGCACTTTCGCGACGCTTCTGCTCATCTTCACGCTGGCGCTGTTCAGTCAACAAGCGGTCTTCAGCATCCGCGCGTTGTCGGTCGGCCTCCTCGCGTTGTCGGTCGGCTTCCTTGCGTTGGCGTTGCTCATCCTGAAGTAGGCGTTGTAGCCTCAAGATCTCGTCGTCCATGAAGAGCTGGAACCAATCCAACGTCTCGTTTGCTTCATGAAAAAGAGGTTGGTAGTCGGCAAGAACAAGAATGGGGATGATGAAAAGATACTGCAGACATGCAAGTAAACAGAGGGCTTGAAACTATCTACGCACGGGCATCTGCGTTATGTGGGACCAATGCACAATTGGAGGAAGGATTAGGCAAGATTAGGCACGACAGGGCGGCATGTCCAGGTAACTGGGGTAAGCCTCCTGGACCCCTCTTTCCATTATTTACAGGCCTCGACGGCATGCGGGTCTGCTGGCGGCGCCTCATCTCAGCGAGCAGCTTCCATTTGTGAAAAAAGGAAGCAAAAGTGAAGGTGTAGATGGATAGATGATGACGATCCTGGTGTTGGTGATTTACGCGTTGGTGGGTCAAACGCGCTGGGCCGTGGTGGAGTGGGCCACAGAGGGGTGATTGATGTTAGAATTCTGTGTAAGTGCGACTCTCGATGGTGTAGTCACTTCACAGGGGAAATCATTGGTCATTTCTCTCGCACAGGAATGACAGGGTGTCTGCCCAGTGCTACTAGCCCCTTGCCAATAATGTCGGGCCACAGTGTCCCGAGACCAATTAAAATTTACTGCCGGCCTGTACCAGCGACTAGTGCTCTTGCATGACCGGCGAAGATATCCGACTGTGCTGTAGCCCCCCGGCGGGCCTCAAGCTCACTGGAGGAGCAAGAGATGATCATTCTATGGCGATCATGGGCTGGCCCAGATCCATTTGGTTCAGATTATTGGGTTGGCCCCGTGTGTTGTATTGTCTTGTCCTGCGCTCCTTGAGCGTGCAGGAAATTTGTGATGTCTGCCCTCTGGGCGGGTCAGATGCCGGACCGGTCTACATTTCCGGTCCCTATTCAACACATGGTGATGGCATTTGGAATTAGGTGGCCGGAAAGCAGGGGTGGCTGGAAAGTAGGGGTCCGACGTCAAATAAGTGGGACAGATAAAGATAAGACCCCTCAACTTCGATGTCTTAGTACAAGCTGAACCTGCGCCAGCTACCTCGAAATCACATCACCTATGATAATGTGCCGGCCTTCTATCGTGAGTAGACAGAGGCACACTGGCTGTATCTCCGTTTTTATATTCAGTGAGCCGGAATGTTCTGCGACAATGGAGAAATCTTCAACAACGACCGATCAACCGCTAGCCGACTCTCGGTTCAAGCGATGGCCAGCGAAGGTTGTCTGTACTGTGTTGCTACTCGTCTTGCTCAGCCTCTATCGCGACCTACGGAGCGTATCTTACGATGGCTTCCATCTTCAGTACTGCGCTGCCCTGACTGGTAGCTGTGCGAGGAAAACCCCCTACGGTCGTTTTCCACTTCCCGACGACCCGTTCCATTTCATGCCTTGCACGAACGCGACTCTTCCTCCACCTCTTGATGACCCAACCCCACAGCGCACCTGGGCTCGCCTCCTCGATCCGGATGCTAGACATTGGAGCTGGGGCAACAGGACGAGCGAAGACATCCTGCGGGCTGGAGATCCATACGCTCAGCGTGGCATCTACTTGTGCGGCTACCTCGACGTTCCGCTCGATTACACCAACGGCTCAGACAGCCGCATCGCTCGGCTCGCTGTGACGAAGTATCAGGTATCTGGCCTTGTGCATGCCGATGAAATCATTAATATTGAAGCGACGCCTTGTCCTGGGAGTAAAAGCGAGAGAACGATTGTTATTGAGCCAGGCGGCCCCGGCGGAAGCGGCACTTCGTACACGTGGCGAGTTGCGGAGGAGGTATCCCAGCGCCTCAGCGATAGACGGTTCGATGTTCTGGGATGGGACCCTCGAGGTGTGAATGCGTCCTTGCCCGCCATTGCCTGCTTCCCATACAATGCTGACCGAGATCGCTGGTCTCTGCTTACGGGACAGTACCGGGAAGTGACTGGATCGCCTGAGTCTCAGCTCGAGCTGGCCGACGCAATGAACGAAGCGAGATTCCGTGCGTGCTGGGAGCGTCACGGGGACCTGCCGCGCTTCGTTAGCACGGCCTTTGTTGCGCGGGACTTGGAAGAAATTCGTAAAGCACTCGGTGAGGATGAGTTGACAGGCTATCTTGTCAGCTACGGTACCGGAATTGGCCAGACCTATGCCAACATGTTCCCAGGCAGTGTTGGTCGTATGGTTCTTGATGGCACGGAGTATGTTCGCGACCATCGACTTCTTGGTGGCTTCGGATGGACCGCATTGGACAACGCCACCGATGCTTGGCACGACGGCTTTCTTGGTGAGTGCCTACATGCGGGACCTGAGCATTGTGCGTTGGCTCAAACGAAAGGCGACGAGCCGGTTACTCCCGAAGCGTTGGAGCATCGGATGGACAGCTTGATCACTTCACTTATCGCTCGACCGATACCGGGCTACACTGCATCGAGCGGACCGTCGCTTATCACATATTCGTCGGTCATCTCAGCTATCTACGGAGCCATGTATAACGCCCAAAGCTGGCCGGCGCTGGCCCAAATGCTATATGAGCTCGAAGATGGCAACTCTACTCTTGCTACAGAATTTCTCGAAAGAGCCCAGTGGGAGTACGACCCAACACTGCCATCCCCACCATCACCAAAACCGGCATCCGATGAGCTCGGGTCACTAGTCATTTGCGCTGATTCCTATGATGCCCTGGAGCCACCTGAGGGTCTCGCATGGTGGGAATCCTTGTGGGCTAACATGACAGCTCAGGCCTGGATATCAGGAAACTCGCGTTTCTTCGATGTTCTGCCTTGCCGCCACTTCTCTACCTACTGGCCGAACCCGGCAGAGGTGTATCGCGGGGATCTGAACAAGACCTTGAAGAATCCAGTGTTGCTTATCGCGGAGACATACGATCCTGCTACGCCCCTGCGTAACGGCAGAAGGCTTGCCAATGAGATGGGTGCCAATGCTCGACTGATTGTCCACCATGGATACGGGCATGCGTCCAGAGATAGGTCTACGTGCACGGACACGATCGCGAAAGCGTATATCAATGGCAAGGTGCCCGGTGAGCCTGAGACGGCTTGCTACGCTGACGAGAAGCCCTACCTCTATGGTGTTACAGCGGTGGAGGGCGGCTCAGCAGGACCTGACGTCCGTGACCTGGTCGCCATGTGGCGGGAGCATATTCTAGAGCTATCCCAATGGAACCTGAGGCTTGTGTCTTAAGGGGTAGGGGGATGAGACTCAGTTCGAGCATGCAATGTCATCATCGGGGTAGGGTACAGACCTAAGCTTAGGTGATACCAGAATCCCATACGAACCCTGGCCTACCAAGCTATGAATACAAGATTTTACAGTATAAGCAACATGGTAATGTGATGTGAATCAGCCAATGACCATCTATTCCATTACACTATTATCAACGTCACCTCCAACTGGAGCGAGTTTATCTTTGCCATACGCGGTGACATCACTTAGCTTCACATACGGCAATATACGGCGCAGACACCTGCACAGTCAGTCAATCATTACACGACTTAGGGCTCCTGTGGGGGTTTACTGCTGAAGAATAGGCGACCAGTTGTAGCGTCATGAAGCACCGTCGTAGCTCCAGGCAGGACCTCGGCCAGCCTGTCCTCAATGGATTTCGTGATTCCATATGCACCGTCTGGCCTCTCGACAAGCTTCAAAGCAGTGGTGGGCGTATCCTTGTGGTAAGGGTCGTTGTTCGCAGCAAAGAACTTGATCGAGTCTGGAAAGGCAGCGACCAGGATGTTGCCATCGCGGTCGACAAACATATTATCCAAAGCGTACCCGACGTTGATTGCGTCGAACTTGGTCAGGTTTTTATTTGGCAAATCTCTCCCCAGCAGGGGTGGTGTTTGCTTCTGCTTCCGCTACGGCCGTGGCTACTGTCTGAAAGGCTCCTGCGATCACCTGGGCGCCCATCTTTTGCACCCTGTTTACTGCAGACATTAGGGACCCTCTACAGGCGTGTGCCCATACGTTAGATGCGTAGTCTACCACTGGTGACACCGTTGCAACGAATAGCTGTCTGGCGGTGGCAGGGGAGATGGATGTCAGGCGCTTCAGTGCCATGGCCGCTTCGAGACCCTGCGGGGCTGCGTTGACGATATGTTGCTTAAACCGGAGCTGTGTGTCCATGACTACGCCTAGGGTCTTGGCGTTCTTGGGTACCACCTGGGCCCACTTTACTGTGAACGGTCCGTTGTCTGTCTCCCGGGGTTTCCTTGTAGAGTGAATGATTGCCGTCTTGTCTTCCCCAAAGGTAGCGCCGCTCCGTCTCTCCCACGCTGTTGCTTGGTCGATTAAAGATTTAATGCCCTGGTATTTTGAGGCTGATGACTCCCAGTGACCCATGCTGGGTCCAGGTCATGTTATCCACGAGAGAATTGTCCTCGGAGCCCATGGATTCAAGCCACTTGCCTCTGTGGGGTGATAAGCGAGCCTCTGCCAGAGACTTTGGCTCGTGAGCCTCGTGAGCCTTGGTACTGAGGTGAAAGAGACATTTTGTGTATTGTTCCTGCAGCTTCAAGGCTTCCCGCCGAACTTCAGGGAGTCGTATTCGATGCTTTAAGTGGGTTCGTCAATAGTTGGCATGCCATGGAAGAATAGGAATTTGTCTCGTGTTGTTTAAGAGTGGACTTGAAGGGGGGTAATTATGAGATTTCAAATTGTTCTATTCTATTCCTTCTAGTAAGAAAATACCACAAGAATATTCTGTCTTTATATACAGCGTCTGCAGACCCCAATGCTGTCTGCTGTTGAATGGCGCGCAAGCCACCGTGGCGTTCAGGAAGGTGGCAGTGCACCAACAAGGCCAATAGGGCATTTTTAGGCCACTTAGCCCACAGGAGGATTTTAACACAGACAACAACAACACGGATCACACTAGAATTGACGTTTTCACCCATCTAAGAGACCCTACGCACTGTTTGACATCTGCAAGCAGCATTGGTGCCTATAGGCAGCGAGGCTGCCTATCCTGCCAAGCAGGCAGATTATAGGCAACAGCAGTTGGGACCCCTCAGGATGACTCATAATCCAACAGTAATGGGACATCATCTGTAGTGCTCTCTCCCTCTATCCAAGCTGCATTCTGCTGTTAGCTGCCATTCCTTAGTCTCTTGTATTGGCCAACAACCAACTCCGTTATCTTCCCCCAAGTATGAAACAGTGCCAGGTCACGATTCTCGTGCCAATGCCTAATTGTTATCCGCCCTGGCCTCGACTGCTCATGCCGTTTCCCCAGAAAATGCCGCGCATAGCTCATCCATAATGTGCAAAGCCCTGCCCTTGCTGAAGGCCGACCCTGACATAACTTCCAAACTGAAGCTCTGCCGGTCTTGCAATGGTGTGCCGTAAAGCCACAAGAAAGCTGGATTCACCGGCAGATCCAAGTCGGGGTGGGCATCTAACACGCTTCCGGCCGCGGTGGGCATCCCTCGTAATGTGGGCCGGTCTCCGATGTTCTGGAACTGCGTGGTGCAGCCCGAGGTAGCCGAGGAGAGGGCGAAGTCAAAGCCCTGGAGGTTAGCGCTCACGGCTTCGTGCGGTAGCCCATCGATGTACTGGCGTTGGACGGCCGCAAGAACGTATGCCCGACTATCGCTGCTGTTGGCGGCGGCGGCGGCTACTCGGACAGGGACCGTATTGATACATGGGCCGATGACGTCCTGGAGCGAGGTAGACAGCGTCGAGCGCGTAGAGACCACGCGACCAAAGACTACGTCGGAATCATGCTCAGACAAGCCAGAAGCTCTTGCCAGAGCAATTGCACAGGCAGCGGTGAATATTGTAGCTGGTGTGATTTCCGTAGTCACCCGAGGAGCGCGGACAATCCGCTCCAAAACAGCTGGGGGGCCATCGCACACAGTCTCGAGAGGCAGGTCGAACGCTGCCGTCGGGGCTGTGGTGCCATCCAAAAGGGCTCGCCAGTATTCTCGGGCCATGGTGTCGCCGGCCGCGACGTGGTCAATGTAGCCGGCGAAACTGGGGGGTGGTGGAAGTGCCTCGCCCCGGTAGAGGGCGCTCAGGTCACGAGCGATGTGACCGAGGCTGATCCCGTCGTACATGGTATGAGACATGCTTAGCACGAGGCGCACACCGACACCGGCTTTTCGGAGGACCTTGACTCGTAGGAAATGGGTTCCAAGTACTGCGGCAGTTCTGATCTCCTGCTCGCGGTCCACCTTGAAGATTTCTTGGATGTCTTCGGTCGAAACATCATGTCGCTCCACTGAAAAAGGAAGGTCCTCGAAAACTGCTTGGTAAAAGCGACCATGCACAGAGACAAAGACCGATCGGAAGATGTCGTGCCTGTTGAGCAACTGCGTACAGCTCTGCGCCAGCCGCTCCTCGTCTACTGTCGGCAAGAAGTCGATATAGAACTGATACCACGACCTCCGGGGCACGCGGAGCGCATCTTCGATGTAGGCCTTCTGGGTTGTCGTCACCGGCCACACATTGGAAGGCTTAGCAGCCTGGCATTGCACACGCGGCAGGATTTCGCGCTTGACAAAGGTGCTGCCCTCTTCACCCAAGCCTAAGGCCGCAAAGGGCATGACAAGGTGTGGGATAGATCTGGGAGATACTGCAGTGGAAATACATTGGGCTGCGAGTCCCTCGAGGTTCGGCGTGGTAAGAACTTGGGAAACGGTTAGCGAGAGTGCTTCACTCCGCGCCATCGACACGAGTTGCATGGCTTTGATGGAATCGCCGCCAGCTCGGATGAAATTATCGTCGATGCCGAGACTTTCGGGTTGGACATCAAGTAACCGCGCCACCAGGTCATGAATCTTGGCTTGCGCGGGTGTCTCTGGGGCGCGCCTCTGCATATGCTGCCTTCCAATATTCATATCCTGCCTCTTCATGGATGCGCCCTTCTTGCGCAGTGCTATGCGGTCTGTTTTCCCAGATGCAGTCATTGGAATACTGCCAACGGGGACATAGGCTGCTGGTATCATGTAAGACGGCAACGCCTGTGTAAGTCGGATGTTGGCCATCTCCGTCGCGTCTAGTAGCATTTCCGCCGGAACCGTGGGGCTGCTTTCGTCCTCGGTGAGACACAGGAAAGCCACAAGCATGGGGTCGCTTGTCCCTATCGGCGTAACCATCTCGGCGACGACCTGAGAAATGCCGGGCAGGGAAGCAAATGCAAGCCGGGTATGGTGTTCCACCTCCCCAAGCTCCAAGCGCTGTCCCCGTATCTTTATCTGAGCATCCTTGCGGCCCATGAAGGAGAGAGTACCATCGCTGTTGTACCGTCCGAGGTCTCCCGTGCGGTAAAATCTGCCTTGCCAGCCCGGGAAGCCAGACGCGCTGCCACGAAGAAGCCAAGGCGGATCATCGATAAAGGCCTGCGCTGTCTTGTCGACGTTGTTCAGATAGCCCTGTCCTACCAGCGGACCACCGAGCCACAGCTCCCCCACGGCTCCGATGGCGGCCAGCCTGTGCTCCGTTCCACTCGTGTCCACAATCCACGTTTGTGCCCCTACTCCTCTCCCGATTGGTGGTTCACCGTCACTATGCGGCTCTACCGGTTGCACAGTTGCTACCGGCGTGCATTCTGCCGGACCATATGTGTTAATCACGCGGGCCTTGCCTTCCCAGTAGGCTGCATCGGCGGCGCTGAGTGGCTCGCCGATAAAGCTGACAGTCTTGAGATCGGGCAGATACGACCCCTGCAGCAGGCGAGCGACTGTCGGCGTCAGGTGTGCGTAGTTAACATGCATCTGTACGATTGCCTGTGCCGGATCCTGCCGCCGCTGATGCTCGGACGGGATACAGAGGCACCCGCCAGCGCAGAGCGTCTGCAGTACGTTCGACCACGAGACGTCAAAAGCGTAGGACACAAAGTCGTACACCCGAGAAGCACTGTTGAGCTCGAGTGAGTGTTGTTGATAACGCACGGCGCTCGCAAAGTTGGAATGGCTGATTATTGCACCTTTCGGCGTACCAGTGCTGCCGGACGTGAACACGACGTATGCCGTAGATGACGGATTCACTGACGGCAAGTCCGCCTCGGCTGTCGAATGAAGAACCGCGAGCCCTTCGTCGACTACCATGACCGGCTGCGCCAGGTGCATAGCGTCGTGTTTGTTCCCAGCGGACGAGAGGATGATACGCTGCTCGGTTTGCTGAACAATTGATCCAAGGCGTGCCAGAGGCAAGGTTGCATCTAAAGCAACAGAGGCGGCACCTGCCTTCATCACACCCAGCTGTGCTACCGGCATCCACTTCGACTTCTCGAAGAAGAGTGGCACTATGGTACCGGCTACACCACCTCCCGATGTTTCGGCTGATAAAGAGCGTGCCAGCTGGGTCGAAAGGTCGTCGAGTTCCTGGTATGAAAATTCGCCGTCCCACGCGCAGACGGCTGGTACGCTGGGCTGCCTTCGTGCTACCTGTCCGAACAGGTCATGGACGCAGGTCTCAATGCTTTCCAGCGGTGGATTCCAACGGCAGATGTCTTGCAGGTCTTGGGCGCTGGCCGTGTGAACACTCGAGACAGGTTCACCCCTGCGACCCTCGGCGCATAGCTGGCGAAGAATTGTGGCTAGTTGCTGGCCCATCCGTTGGGCGGATATTTGGTCAACGACGTGGGAGTCGACACTGATACGGAGATGCATGCCCCGCGCCCTGAGCTGGCACTCAAGCATCAAGGGGTACGTATTGAATGTGGCGAAGTCATCGTATTCGTCGCCCCCAGCATCGGGCCGTTGGAAGAGCAAATACTGCGAGTGGTCCCCCGCCCGAGACTCGGGCTGCACAACGAGCAGCGTCTGGAACTTGGATGCCTGTTCGCAATCAGGGTCCAACTGCTGGATGCGAGGCAGCCCCGCCTGCTCAAACGGCGTCATATCGATGCCTTGTGCCTGAACTCGTCGCAGAAGGTCCTCAATGCTTGTGTTCCGGTCTATCACGATCCGCAGCGGAACTGTCGCGATCGTGGGCCCAACGATCAATTCGATGCCCGGAACCGGCGCCTGGCGACCCGACACAGTCACGCCGAAGACAGCTTCGGCTGAGTTGGTATAAGCGGATAGAAGTATGGCCCAAGCTGCTCTGACCACCGTTGAAGCTGTGTAGTCGCCTGTCCACTCCAAGTCGTCAAGCTCAAGCTGCAGCATCTGATCCGACCGCGGCTGGTAGCTGGGAGAGGGCGAAGTGAAAATAGGCTGGGCCTCGCTGCCCTGAAGCTGTCCACGCCAGAACGATTCTACGTCCTCATCAGGCTGCTGCCTTATGTATCGGACAAAAGTCTGCATCGGGGTGGAATCCGGTATGGGGTCGCCTTGATACGCCTTTCTCAGAGCCTCCTCGACGAGTGCCAAAGACCATCCATCGAAGAGCGCGTGGTGGATACTCCACACGAAGTAAGCCTGGTGTTCGTCGTTATGGTGGCTCTCTACGAATGCGAAGTGAACCAGCGGCGTGCCCGAAGCGACAGTGTCGTGCTCGAGTTCTCGCATCATGCTCGCTACATCGCTTTCGGAGCGCCATGCCACACCGTCCTGCTCGATGACAACCTGGGCGAGTCCCATGCCCGGCAGGTGAGTAATGCGAGTACGTAATATGGGCGTCGCCGCCACAACTTGCTCCCAGGCCCGGCGGAACCTCTCTGGATTGACATTCCTGCCCAGCAAACGAGCCTGTCGGAGGACATAGTCGCCGGGGCGACGCATCGTCAGAGCAAGCAAACCCTCCTGGAGAGGCGTGCAGGGGAAGACGTCCGCAATGTGGGCTTCGTCAACTCCACACAATGACGCCGCTTGTGCCCTTACCTCCTCAGTCTTCATACGCTCGTCCAACAAGGAGAAAGGCTGCACGACGATCTGCTGGTGTGGCGGTGCCACCATGGGGGACCTTTTGTCGAGCTCATGCGCGAGATCGACCAGTACTGGCCACTTGAAGATGTCTGCTACCGAGAGGCTCAGGCCACGCTCACGTGCAGCGGCCACCAGCCTCATGGCATTGAGTGATTCGCCCCCCACGCGAAGGAAGTTGTCGTCCGGCGAGAGACGGGCGGCGTCCATCCCCAGCACGGTGGCCCACATCTCAAGCAGCAGCGCCTCGGTGGGCGAGGGTGCACGCCCATTGCGACATTTCCTCCCGGATGGCTGTAGTTCAGTGAGCTGATCAAGCGTGAGCGCTGCACCCATCGCTCGCAGCCGCCGACGGTCAGTCTTGCCTGTTGCGCCGACGGGCATGTGGTCGACGGGGATGCAAGCCGTGGGTATCATGTAGGCGGGCAGGGAGTCCTTCAACCGGTAATCGAGCCCTACTGTCATCTCCAACCCAGCGGCTCCGTCCTTCCGAGCGACACATACAAACGCAACAAGCATATCGTTGGTGCCGTCACGCGGACGGATCATGTCGACGAGCACCTGCACCTGGTGGCCGTGTTCCGCTGCCAGGCTGTCTCGGACATGGGACTCGATCTCACCCAACTCGACCCGCTGGCCGCGGATCTTGATCTGGGAGTCCCTGCGGCCGATGAAAATCAGACGCCCACTGTCGCCACCGCGACACTCGTATCGTACAAGATCGCCTGTGCGATACAAGCGGCCGCGTCGGCCTGGCCAGTCCGGCCCCCCACACAACAACCACCGCGGATCGTTCACAAACGTTGCGGTCGTCTTTGCCTGATCGCCCAGGTATCCCATGCCGACAAGTGGCCCCTCCAGCCAAAGCTCGCCAACCACTCCCAACGGTGCGAGCCTGTCCGGATTGTCAAGGCTCACGACCCAGGTGATCAGACCTTCTCCGCAGCCGATGTCATTGTCCGACGACGACAAGTTGAACGGAGCCATAGTCGCTTTGACGGAGCATTCCGCAGGCCCATACGTATTCAAGAGCCCCGGGTGGTTCGCCCAGTCCCCGAGCGTAGACTTGGTGAAGGACTCCCCGCTCAATAGGATCTGGCGGAGTTGCGGCAGTTGCCGAGGCTTGAGCAGACGTAAGATCGATGGAGTGAGGTCTATGAACGTGGCCTGGCTAGCTTGTAGGGAGCCGATCATGTCATTCTTTCTCTCTTCGTCTGAAGGGATGCAAAGACAGGCCCCTGACGTAAGTGAATGGAGCATATTTGACCATGTTACGTCAAAGGCGTACGACACAAAGTCGTACACTCGGAGACCTGGTGAATACCCCAATGCACCCTGCTGGTAGCGGACAGCCGAAGCAAAATTCGCGTGCGTGATCATGGCGCCTTTCGGCGAGCCGGTGCTGCCCGATGTGAAGACGACATACAGCAGGTCTGATGGCACCGATGTTCGGGGTGCGGACTGACCACGGACGTCATTCTGAATTCTGTCTAGAAGCGTCCAGTCCAGGAGAAGCAGCTCATCGGTATCAAGCAGGGACGCTGACTCTTTGTTCGACGGCGATGATATGACCAGCTTTGGCCGAACTTGATTCACAATCGCGCGAGCGCGTTCCACCGGCTGTGTCGAGTCGAGAAGCACCGATGCGCCCCCAGCCTTCATGACAGCCAGTTGGGCGACGGGCATCCAGAGTGACTTCTCAATGTAGATGGGGATGATTGTGTTATGTCCCACCTCATGTTGAACAAGATAGAGGGCCAGTTGAGTGGAGAGGTCGTCAAGCATTCGGTACGTTAACTCGCCATCCCATGCAGAGATGGCAGGGGCCTCTGGCTGCGCCCGAACAGCCCTCGTGAATAGGTCGTGGACTAACGTAGTGGCGGGCTCGGGTACAGCGCAATTCCAGCCCCAGATTCTCCGCAGGTCCTGCTCGCTGACCGTTTCGACGTCACGAACCATGCGCTGCGAGTGGGCTGGAGCGCTCAACCATCTCAGCGCGCATTCGAATTGTTGTAGCATCCTTGTGACGAGGTCGTTCTCGACAGCTTTGCAATCAAAGTCGGCACGAAGCCGTATATCGGAAAGGCCGACGAAGCATCGGATCGTGAGCGCGAGCGGACGGGTGGGCAGGAGCAATTTCTCGACCCCCTCGATTTGTTGCTTGCCTACTACCTGCAAACCCCCTTCTTCGGTGCCTTCCGTTGCAGGAAGGATGATAGCAACAAGGGTCTGGAATTGACAAGCACGCGCAGCCTCCTCACTAAGCAACCGAACGCGCAGAAAGTTCAGGCTCCGGTGGCCGGGATGACCGGATTTATTTGTATCCAGGCGGTCGAGCAGGTCCGAGACTTTTACTTCGCGATTGAGCGTGACTCGGGTGGGTAACGACGTCGCGAGCTGCTGGGACGTTGGCTCCGAGTCGCAGCATAGAAGCCCGAAACACACGTCGTTGGAACTGTCATGGGCGGCTTGGACGCTCGCCCATGCGGCCTTGACTAGTGACACAGCTGTAGAGGACTGGGGCCAGCTTATGTTGCAGATCACACACTCGACTGAGGCGTCAGCTCGAGGTTGGTGAGATCCCAGCGGCAGCGGAGGGAACATGGTCCCGTCGAAATGCTCGAATTGACTCCTCCAGTGTACTAACTCGGAGTCCTCCTCGCCACCGTGGGTGTTCCTGAAGTATGCATGGTAGAGCGAGGGGATGTGGCCGTTGGTGTATGGTGCTGGTGACCCTGCGCGGTCCAGGGTGCGAGAAAGCGTCCCGATGAGGTATGTCATGGCCGATCCCAAGCAGCCGGCAATGTTTTCAGCAAAGCCTGTACTCATGTAATCACCCCTGTACTGGACACTGATGTCCGTCTTGTCGTCCTCCAGCAACGCACTCAGGAGAAGGTCGTACTGCGCATGTGTATGTTAGTTACGGCACGTGTATGAAGCGGACTGCACCGAAAATAGACATCGCGGCACATTCGCCAGGATCTGACTCCGACCGCCAGTCCGAGTATCTCGGCGTACAGCTGTCATTTTACTGGCGTTCAGACCATCGCCTCGCCTGCCTAGCTAATGTTGTGATTTACGGACGAGCAGAGTGCAACTTACCTCGTGAGGATCTTCCTCTCTGACCTCCTCCAGACGCAGCCCGTGCTCGCAACCGTACTGATAAACCTCCCGCACCGTGATAGCGGTGTTGAACAGAGGACCGCTGACGCCGATTGCGTGCTGGACTTCGGCAAGCGAGGTGTGTTGGTGGCCGAGGTGCTCGATCGTCTGCTCGCTGATTGCCTGTAGCACGTCCTCAGTGCGTGTTATGCCGAGGTTGATCCGTGCTACGAGCATACTGATGAGCGGGCCCACGATAGACTCGATGTTGTTGATAGGCGTGTCGCGTCCCGAGCAGACGTACCCGAAACACACCTCCTCCATGCCCGTGAACTGCGAGAGCACCAGGGCCCAGGTGAGCTGCAGGAAAACGGCACGGGTTATGTCCTGCTCCCGACAAAAGGACGCGACCCTGGCGGTTGTGGCTTGGGGGAGAGTCACGAGGCCATATGACCTCCTGCCATCCGTCCGGGGGGCGTTAGTGATGGACAGGTCGCCGAGGAGCTCGCATCTCCGCGCGCCGGCCAGGTGGGCTTGCCAATAAGTCAGATGTCGCGACATGGACTCACTGTGCTGGATGTGGCTTACTACCTCTCTGAACAGTGGCGGTTCTGGCACTGACTCTGCGCTTTGAGTGGCGTATATCTCGGCCAGGTCACGCAGCAATACGGGGATGGAGGAAGCATCAATCAAAGCGTGGCTCATGTCGAGGCGGCACGCGACATCGCCATCATCATCGCCTACGTCGCAGACAGTGATGGCGCATTCGGGTCCGCAAGCAGACGTCCCCAATGCCACATCCATCTCTAGTAAATACTCCGTCGCCGACTGCGGTGCAGTGGTGCTGACACGGGTACAGCTAGGCTCTGGGTCGCGCAGAACGATTTGGATATCGCGTCCTGTGTCCGGGTGGGTGGCAAAGATGGTCGCAAAGACCGAGTGCCGGCGGGCGACGGCTTCCCACGCAGCCACTAACCTCGCGGCCGACATGCTTGTAGAGCGCTGGTTTGTCGAGGATGGCGCAGAGCTACACCGCCAGACCCAGCTGTTGTGGTATGAGGCAGTGCCTTTCTTTCTACTCAGCAGGATGCCCTCCTGCAAGGGAGTGCACGGGTAGATGTCCTGTACGTTTCCCGCCCCGACGCCGTACGTTTTCAACTGCTCTGTTAGCAGCGAGTCCAGTCCCGCGTAGGTGATGGACAGCAGGGAAAAGTCAGCTAGGGTGAGGCGCGGTGGTGCCTCGAGGAGATCACGCGGCGCCGCGCGCAGCGCGGCAGGCAAGAGACGTAGTAGCCAATGCTCCAGGCGATCGCGGTGCCGCATGCGAAGATGTGTTGTCGTGGAGACACGCGCACGGCCATCCTCGATCACAATGTTGATCTCAATAAGAGCCATGCGCTGGTAATCGGCGCCGAATTCGCGAATGTCAACAGCGCGCTGCCGCCTGTCCTCCCGTCGCAAGAGAGCGTCGGCGTTCTCCAGCTGCTGGAACACGCCGCGGTAGTTGAGAAGGAGTTCTACATTGCGGTGGCCAGCGAATACCTCACGCCCGGCGGCGCTGTGATAGCGACAGGCAATATACGGCCGACCCTTTCCGGGTACCGCGGCCCGGGTGTCTTTAGCGTGGCAAACGGCCTCGACGAGAGACTCGTTGGCGGCGCATGGCACCTGCATAGGACATAGAGTGGTAAACCAGCCCACAGTCTCGGCCAATTCCACGTCGGCATTAATCAGCGGCTCGCGGCCGTGGCCTTCGAGGAAGACGGCGGGAACGGGGCGGTCCGCGAAGGCCTCACGGAATGAGTGTACCAGGGCGCCAACCAGCACATCCAGAGTTTCGGTACGCATGCTCTCGTTGCTGCGGCCGAGCAGGAGAGCTGTGGACTCGGCGTCCAAAGTGGATTCGTAGATATCGCTGTCCGCAAAACGATTATCCCCTGCCTCGAGACCCCAAAAGTCCAGTTGCGCCGCTTCGACGGTGTGCGGCAGAACCTTTCCAGGCTCCAGCGTGTGGCCCTCATTGCGTTGCAGGCGACACCACGTTTGGTATGACAGGGGCGCCGGGGGCAGACGCGGCGAATCGGCCTCCTCCAGGAATCGGCTTATATCATGCCATATGACGCGCCACGATACCAGGTCGATGATGATGTGGTGCGCGCTGAGTAGCAGGCTCTGGTCTTCGTCCTGGCCGTTGAAGAGGTCCGCCGCGAATACAGGCCCTTTCTGGATGTCGAGCGAGGTCTGTCGGGCTTGCACTATCCGTTGAAGGTTGCCGCCAGAATGATACGGATGCTCATCGAGCGTAAAGGCGCTATGGTCGGATGCGACGACTTTCTGCTCCCAAGCCAGGCTGTCTTCGCGCCGCCGGAAGCGCACGCGTAACATGCTGTGGCGTTGCACAACCGCTGCCAGTGCCGTTCGCAGTGCTTCCATTATCGTGGGCCGGGTTACGCGCAACAGGAAGCTCTGTGTGTAATGATTGAGGCCGTTTGGGTGTGCGTCGAAGAACAGCTGTTGCATTGGTGACAGTGGCCAGGCCAAGCCCTCGGCATCTTCTTCATGAGATACGGCTGCAATGGTTCGTACCACCGCCCTGCTTTGACTGGCGAGGGCTTTGATGGTGCGTAGTCGCAGTACATCGCCGACTGTGATGTTGATATTCTGTGCCCTACAACGAGAGACGACCTGCATAGCCGTGATAGAGTCGCCGCCGAGGCGAGTGAACGCAGTGTCGGTCGATATCTTGTCGTCTGAGATATTGAGCACGTCGCTCCAGACCTGGAGCAAGATCTGCTCCGACTCGGTTGCTGGCAGCATGCGTTCCTTCCCCTGGCTCAACCCTGCATACTTCCAGAACGCCGCCGAGGCTGCTTCGCGGAGACTGCGCCGGTCCGTCTTCCCGGTTGCAGTCGTGATAAAGCGCTCGATTGGAATATATGCCGAAGGAATCATGTAAGCTGGCACTACCTCCGTGAGCGCTTGCTCCCATGCAATAGCGGCCTTGCGAACGAGCTCCACCACGTTGAAAGAGGGTATACCATCGCGGGGACTGACCAGTGCAACCAAGACAGGGTGTATGCTGCCCTGCGGCAGGATGACTTCTGCGATGACGTGGGTTCTCCTCTGGTCCTCGAGAGACAAGCTGCCGCGCAGGTGGTGCTCAATCTCCGACAGCTCGACGCGCTGGCCGCGGATCTTGACTTGGGTGTCTTTACGTCCAACAAAGGACAGAGAGCCATCGTGGCGATTGTAGCGTACGAGGTCACCGGTGCGATACAGACGGCCCTTCCGGCCTGGCTCGACTGAAGTATAGCCGCGGTGAAGCAACCACGGCGGGTTCTCGATGAATACCGCAGCTGTTTTCTTTTGGTCGTTGAGGTAACCATGTCCAACTAAGGGACCTTCGATCCACAGCTCCCCGACTGCTCCGACCGGCATGAGTCGAGCTCCGTCCAGGCTGACAACCCAGGTACAGGTACCGAGACCGTGGCCGATCGGTGGGTTCTCCTCTGTGGATGACTCAACCTCTTGCATGGTGCTGGTAACCGAGCATTCAGCCGGCCCGTAGGTGTTGATGATAATGGCCCTCTCGCGCAACTCCTGGACAAGCGAACTCTTCAGCTCCTCGCCGCTAAAGTGTAGGACCTTGACGCTTTCTGGCAGATGCTCAGATGAAAACCAAGCCACCGAAGGTGTAAAGTGCGCGTAGTTGACCTTGTACTTCCGAAGTGCGCTGGGGATGTCTTGCTTCCGCTCTTCTTCTGACGGAATGCACAAACAACCACCGACTGTAATGGTGTGGAGGAAGTTGGACCAGGCAACATCGAACGCATAGGAGGCAAAATCGAAGACCCTTTGGCCTGGTCGGAATTTTAGGGCGTGTTGCTGATGTTCAATGGCGCTTGCAAAGTTGGAGTGGGTGATCATCGCACCCTTCGGAAGACCCGTACTACCCGAGGTGAATACGACGTAAAGTCTGGCCGAGGATGCGACGAGTGGTAGTTCCGGCGTGTCCTCACTGGTGGAAAGCTGAGCAAGCGCTGCCCAGCCCACCACTATGACCGGCTGCCTGGACAGGCCACGGGTGGCGGGCTCGTTCGCTACAGATGTCAGGATGAGTCGTGGATCAAGTTGATGGACGATCGACCGAAGCCGCTCTGCGGGCTGGGTCCTGTCCAGAACTACCGACGCTGCGCCTGCTTTCATCACCCCAAGCTGGGCGACGGGAGCCCACATAGATTTTTCAATGTGTACTGGTACAATCGTGTTCTGGACGCCATGCTCGACCAGTCGATACGCTAGCTGCGTTGAGAGCCTGTCCAGCTCGCGATACGTGAGCTCCCCGTCGTGGGCCGATATGGCAAGCGCATTGGCGTGGTTCGCACGATGCCAGCGAAGAGATGATGGATGGGCGTGCCCGACTGACGTGGGACTGTCGAGTTCCATCTCCAGATATCGCAGAGGTCTTGCAGGTTCGCAAGCCGCAGTTCTGATGTGAGTCGGCCTTTTTCGGAGGCCGCAGTGTAAATACCGTGAAGAATGTACTCGTATTGTGAGCGCATGTGCTGAAACATCCCAACATCGACTGCGGCTGAATCGGTGAAGAAAGAAATCTGTACTTCGTGATGCAGGAGCGTGAGAGCCAGCACTGCATGGTAGTGCAACATTGTTGATTCCCCAGAGTTTTGCGGATCGACCACTCCCGCTGCAAGGGTCAGTGACAGCATGAGCCCTACCCCGGCATGGCTAACGTATTGCAGGCATCCGGCAGTGTCAGCAGGGATTTGGGCTTGGACATTCTGTAAGAAACTGTGTACATCCGAGTTCCAATCCACGTTGATGCAGAACGCTACATCTGCTGCCGAAGATACAGGTGCTTCCGCAGCCCCCCCGCCATCCGGTACCACAGTGAAGAGCACGTTATTTGAACCAGGATAAGATGCCATGAAAATGGCCAAAGCAGCATAACTAGCCGTGGGCCCCGAGACCACAGCATTAGATGCCAGTAAAGGAATCCTAAAGCTGAGGTGAGCCCCAGTCTCATGGCCGGGGCAAATCTCCAGAGAACCATTGGCCCTGTGATGATTCCCAGAGTGGCTGGCGTACGTGGAGCACGGGAAGCTTGAAAAAACACGAAAGGTTAGGATGTAATTGTATATTTCAGGTCCACTTTCAAATACCTGTTGGACGCTGGAACCTGACCTGGTGCAAGTCCCAAGGGATCACTGCAGTGAGAAACGATCTTCTGGGCTGGCTTGGTCTGGACGTAAACCTTAGACTCGCCCATTCTGGAACCGTGATGGGCCAGGGGAACCGCTTCGGCTTGCGAAAACAGCTTCAGGGAAACTCCCACCTCGCTGTTAGTGCTGGTCATCGTTTTGACGGCAGTTGGACTGAAAAGACAAAGAAAGGAGAGAGGAAAAAATGAGGCAAATGTATGCAAGTGTTTGAGACACGCCTAAATGCTGCGTTAAGGAGACCTTTTGAAGGGTTAACAGATGAACTCATTTGTATGTCTGGACAGGCTTCATCTAGTCGCCCTAGCACGTAAGTTTATATAGAGGGTGGGAACAATTTCGAGGGTAAGACCACAGTGGCCCGACGACCCATTGATCTACGTATCAATCCATAGCTATTATGTGAACACAAGACATCCATCTTGATTTCATCCTTCAACCTGCATGATCTTCATCAGAGGGAGTATGCAAGCTGTGTGTGACCTTCTAAAAGGAGATGCCGGTGCATCTACCCCTAAGCCTTTACTTCGTGTTCAAAGCCTAGATATCTGTATCCGCCTGCTGAGAGTGGCTACGGAGAAAGCTATGGTGCTGCATTGTACACGAAGAGACTTTTTGGGGCTTCAAGGCCTTGGCTACGGCTAAGTACTTGCCTTTCTTTCCATAAGCTTTACCATCTTGGATACCGGTAGGGATGACTGGGGTTGACTGTGGTGCTCCGGGACTGCAACGAAGGATTCCGAACGGTCCGGGACTTTACACCGCTATATGCAGGTCAGAGGAAACTGAGGGGCCGGTGTGCTTTCTAGTCCCACGCCGAAGGGTAGCTATAAGTTCTTCTTGCTCGTGTTCTGGTGATTGGTGGGTATTGCTTGATTGGAAAAGACTCTACTGGAAAGTTATGGCGCTCTGCCTTTTGTTCAAAGGCTAGTGGATGGATGCCTAGGTTGTGTGAGGCAACCCGTATTCTCAGCAATCACATTTCTAGGGATACACACCGGTGAAGTCAGCTTCTTGCGGGTACACTGACCTGACAAAAGTCTCCGTACGCCCTATATATTGGCATATGTGCACACTGTGGATCCACTACAGCAGATGAGGCAATAATATGGTATTGATCTAAACTATGACTGGTCTCGTGTCCAGCCAGCCAAGAGTCTACAAGTTGGCCCTGAACAGAGAAGGTATTTATCTACCAAATATAGTGGGGTTGTACCTGCAAGGGACTTCCGGTGTTTGTCCTCCGTTGGTCCTGCCGACAGGCTTCCAGTGGCCTCCATGCCGGTTGCCTCATCTGCTGTAGTGGATCCACAAGCTAGTAACTCCTGGTTATTGTCTGATTTGAGCTAACCGTCAGCGGTGAAGTCTGTCCTTTGTATTCTGTCTGTCTGGAAGGCTGTTGTGCGTGCCTCCTATATAGAACGATCACGGACCCCTATCTAGCGTCGGCCAGGGTGTGTGGAGCCTAGCGAGTTACAGCTGGGGTGCGCCCTCACATATATATTTGCTTCTCCTCAGCGTTATACTGCCTTTGCCAGATTTTAGAAGAGCAGCTCCCACCAGCCAGAAACCATCATGAGTAACGCAAAATCCAACAGTTTTCCGCAGGCCTCCTTGGGTGTTCCGGCTGCCTCTTTGGCTGACCCAGTGAATGTTCTCCCTACCTCCATCTTGGATCATAATCCTCTTCCCGTGGTAGCTCTGGAACACGCTACCAGCGATTCTGACGATCCATCGCTCCCGCTCAACTGGAGCACGACTTGGAAATGGCTCGTTGTCGTCACCATTTCGGGTATGAGCTTCATTGTGTATGTTCCCCCCAACGATATTTCTTTCTTTGATTGTCTGGACCCAGGTAACTGAAACTGGCCGGTGTAACCAAACAGCAATCTTTCAACCGTCATTTGCGCACCTGCGAGTATCCAGATCTCCGAAGAGTTCAATTCCCACAGCAGCTTCCTCGCCATCTTCTACATTACGGTCTGGAACCTCGGAGAGGCCATTGCGCCCCTGTACATCGGCCCACTATCGGAGCGGATCGGGCGATTACCCGTTTACCATTTCTACAATGTTCTATTCATTATATTCACAGCTATCACCGGCTTCAGCACTAGTATTGGCATGATCATCGCCTTCCGGTTTCTGACCGGCACTGTTACCACTTCGATTTGCTTGAACCCTAGCATTGTGGGTGATATGTTTGCACTCCAGGGCCGTGGAGCTGCGATGTCTATTATGAGCCTGATGCCTCTTGTGGGCACCGCCGTTGGTCCTATCGCTGGTGGCTATGTCACGCAGCGTCTTAGTTGGCGCTGGACGTTTTGGCTCACCGGTATCCTCACCGGCGTCGTTGAGCTGGCCATGCTTTTTGTCTTCCGGGAGACATACCTGCCGCGCATCCTTCGTCAACGGGAGAAAAAGACGAAGGTCCGTTCCAGGGCTGTGGCTGCGCCGGCGACAGCGGAAGCCAGAGTGCCTGTATATTTGCTGCCTTTGGCTGGACTACGCTTTGTCCTCCAGCCGTTTGTCATTCTCTTTGGATCTCGAGCCGCCACGGTCGTTGCGCTATACTTATCCATCATTTACTCGTATCTCTTTCTGCTTGCGGCAACGCTTGCCAGCGTTTTCCAAGAGATATATCTCTTCTCCGAAGCAGGCTCGGGTCTCATCTATCTAGGGCTAGGTTAGTCCCCTCTATCCTATCATCCTTCAGGCCTCTTGCTTCCGATGCTCCCCCCACCCACTTCACACAACTCTGGCTAATACTGTATGCCCTGTACAGCCGTTGGCATGTTCATTGGAACGTTGTTCTGCCGCTTCACGCTAGATCGGTCCATCGTCGGCTCGGCAGATTCACAAGACCACGGCAGTCACTCGTCGGCCACGGTCACAATTCAATCAGAGAAAAGACTGTTGCCGGCTATCCCAGGCATGGTGATTCTGCCCGCAGCGCTGTTCACGTACGGCTGGACCCTAGACGCGCGGGTTCACTGGTCGGTACCGACCATGGCGACTGCGCTGGCAGGATTCTGCCTTTCAACGACTACCATTCCCGTCATGAACTACCTCGTCGACATTTTTGGCGACCTTTCCGCATCGGCCATTGCTGCAGTGTTGCCGCTGCGCTACGTCATCGGTACTTTCCTACCTGTTGCTGCCCCTTACATGTATGCCCGGCTTGGCTATGGTTGGGCCAACTCGCTGCTCGCTTTCGTTCTATTGTTGTGCTTGCCGGCCCCCCTGCTGCTCATCGTCTCGCTCAAGAAAAACTCTGCCCTAGCAAAACTTTCTCATCTGGTTGGGGGTTAAGCTGCGGCTTCAGAAGTGGAGATCAATCAGGATCGTGATAGGTTATGAGTGACAAGGGGGCCCTGCCCCTGCAACATCATAGACACCTCTGTATCTCACTGCATTAATGCGTCCCATAATGTCAATTAATTTGTACTTGCCCAACTGCGCAAGACGCGTCCTGTTAACTCCCCTGCCAAACCATAGAACACAAGGCATCCGAGGCGACGGTCAATCTGACTTGAAGAAGCGCAGTGACTAGTCACCATGCATGCCTGCACAAGGTGTTACACCGGAAGAAGTCATCATGGTTCATTAACTTTGCCTAGCATGCAGAATGGTATGCGTGACACGCAGAATGGTATGCGTGACACGCAGCAGCAAACGAGGTATTGATTGAAACCAGGTCGCTTGTCAACTGACAACACGAAGCACTGTATACAACCTACCGGTACTGTAACGCTGTTGCTTTGCTCTACCATTTACATTATCCGATGGTTGGGGGCTGAAAAATCGTCAGGGTTGAAATAAGCGTTGCACGTCCACTGAACCCGGACGTGCGTAAAACCCCGCACTATATTTTTGCAATCCTGCGGCTAGGGCTAGGCTTACCATGATGTGGCTCTATCCGGGTAAGGTAGCAAGGGTAACGGGCAGGTTGGAGAGTTGGAAGGAGTCGGTCCGGACTTAACTATGGCGGGCCGGCGATCGTGCTTTGCGACTACCAATCAGAAGATTGAGTCACCACACCCATATGTAGGTCCAAGACTCACTTCCAAAGGGAAAATGCATTCTCCACTCACCCATGTAGCTTTTTCGCGACGCTGGACGACCAATCAATCGAACCGGGCTTACCTGCCTCATCAAAGCCCTTAGGAAGGGAAAGCGTAATCCCCCGGATGCCGTACTATCGCAACGGAGGCTTGCTGTGCGGAAATTACAGGCCTCATTTTCACAGACCGGTGACATAGGCCTGGAGGAGATGCGACTGATCACATTTCCAAATGGTGGCAGGCTCTTTATTTTGCACGTCCGGGCCATGTACAATCGTTCCTTATATTCCAAATCTCATTATAGCGATATTACAAAGCCATTATATATCTAAGTGCACGTCGATGAGGACGCTGGGACGTCTCGCCGGGTTTGCCCATCCCAGGTGCTTACCCCTCGCACGCCCTCACCCCTAAGCTTGACCTCAACACCAGACCTAATGCCATCCACTGAAGACCTCGCCAACGCGGCTAGAGGCACCGAATACCTCGCAATCGTAGCTGGAGGCACAACCCATCAGTGTGAGATCGGATCGGGGATCAAGACCACGATGGGACCCGAAGGACCCGTGTGTATCGACCATTATTGGCACGAGGTTCAAGTCACGCTCAGGAGAGAGCGGTATCCTCCGAGTCGATGGAGGCGTCACGGCCCGACTAGCCAGACCAACGGAACGGATGAGATCTCGACGGAGGCATCCATCCATGACTCAAGAAGTATATCATCTCAAAGACTACCAATATATGCATGTCAGATCGCATATGTGTGCCATATCTACTATTAGTTTGACCTGGAGTGATGGCGTCCAACGTAAGACCGTACCGTATTGCTATGACCTGGTCCCTGAGGCTGCGTGTAGCTTGAGAAGGATGAGCGAGCCTTACAAGAGCCTGAAGCCACATAGCTCCATACACCAACGAGACAGGCGACATGTATCACAACGAGGAGGTCTGATGGTCCCATATTCCAGAAATGATCACATCAGTCCATACAGGTTTTCCGACCTCATGTCAGAGCCATACTAGGAAATTCTAAGCGAAGTCAAACATATCTGTTGCACCCGTTGGATCGCCAGAAGTACCCAAGTACCCGATCGAGGCTGGTGGGAAGACCGGCGAAGCACCCGAAAGCGTCCAAAGAAACATACGTCAATATTGACTGAGTTTGCCAGTTGCATGGATACCGTTTCATCACAACCAGCACTCTGCTTTTGAGACGACGTGGCTGATCTGTTCGCTAGTAGGCGGTATGCTGCTGGGAGTTGAGCCGAGATGATCATATGCAGCACGTTGACACTCTTCGATGGGGATACATCCCCTCGATCGCACCGACACGGCACATCCCTCGGCATTGTGCTGTTGGTGCAGGGTGGTCATCAGAAGGGTTTCAATGTGATCAAAATGGGAATCAACAGTCCCAGCCCCGGTCCTTCAACTGTGATGGAACACCGGTGCACTCGACCAAACCTTGCCTCCCGTGATACCCTCTGATGGATCGTCGGGTGGTAGCTAGGTTGCACGGAGAGAAACATTGATCATACATCGATACCACACTGTCGTCCAAACAGTTGTATCGTGGCGCCAGTGCTAGAACCACCCCTTCTTCGTACAAATTGAAATCTGATTTAGGTTGGTCGACCTCGGGGCTACCCCAATCTTCTGCAGCACGCGGTAGGCTCTCCTATTTACATGCTTTAGTTTAGGCAATGGTCGCCGACGTTGTACTGATGGCCACTCGGACGTCTGAACCGCGAGCTGTGTCACACCATCCAGGACTTGGTATGACATCGGAGGACGTTCGTGTTGGTAAGGCTCGCAGGCCTCGGTAGCATCCGTACATGCCCGGAGCCTCAATCACATACACTCATTTGCTCACATGCTTCTTGACGTGACATTACAATTCTGCAAAGGATTCGTACCAGGGGAGCCCGCCTGGAATCACATGAATCTGACCAATTAGGTTTGCAGTACGAGCAGGCGATGAATCACCGGCATCCATCCGTGGCATGCAGGAGGTCGTTGGACAATTTGGAGACAATTGTTGTTGGTACAGGGCAGCAATGAGCGCGGATGCATTGACGGCACCCGGCCCGACCGAGGTTGTTGGTCCATTCCGCAACTTGGCTGTTGCCGGCGGTTACATCGAACCAATGCCACTGTAGAGCAACCTTAGGCATGCACAAACTTGTCAGAACTGTGGCGCAGTGCATCGGCTACTTGGATGCCCGGCCGTCATGTTTAGAAGTACATTCACAGTGTCACGTTGGTGCAGATGTCTGGACATGACACCCGATTTGATTGGGTAGACCAGGTATCTAGGCATAGGTATGTGACCACAACCTGACCCAGCATGTGCAATGTGTGAAGTATGCATCTTGATCAGGCGATGGTTACCTTACCAAAGTTTGAACGGGAATGACGGCAAAATGGTGCCGTCGGATACCACGCCTTAACGTTACAGATGGCCCGCGTGGGTCATGAATCCCAAACATGTTCTAGGATTCTCAAGCCACTGATGTCTCGTGGCTGGTTAGACAAGCCGTTGCATCCTCAATTGTCTCGATGCTGTATGCTATTTCAGTTCTTCCGATTTGTTGGAGCCCAATGAAACCCCTTGGCGATGAAAGTCCTGGCAAGGGGTAAATCAAATGACGCTCATTGGTGACTACAGTACCTAGCTTCGATGGAATATGAGTTGTGGCTTCTTGCATTCATAGGCTCCAACTCAAAGTCATTTCATTACCTCTGACACAAGAGAGCGAGATGATACTCTGGAACTGATATTCATTATGTATGATCGAGAGTATCTCTACATCCAAGCAAGTCACTGGACAGTAATCGGACCGCATGCCCTGCTTGTTACCTGGACAATCCTCAACACAGACGCTGGTGCATCGACCGCGCAAGTTGCTGGCTCATTCATCCATCAACTTGGCTTCCATTCGGCTACCATTAGCCACAGGTTCGCGCCGGCAGGCTGTCTACCCCACTGGAACTCAAAGCGAGGGTCAGCGAGCTTGAAAAGCTTCGCCCAAGCGCCTAGCTCTCGTTCGTGGGAATTCTGGATCTCGGTCATCGTGAGATCCATTGAACTAGGAAATCGTATGTTAGCATGCGTGCGACTGGTGCATGGGGGGTGGGGGGGACGTACCGAAGGCGGTTCTCCTGCCACCTAGACAAGACCCCTGGCTTAGGCAGGACATTATCATTCAATACGATCTTGGCCCCTGGTTTGAGCGCAGGAATGAGGCTCTGCAAGATCTTGATACAGTATTTGTCTGACCAATTGTGCAAGATCCATCGAAAGAAGTAGACGTCAGCTCCTTTGATGGGTTGCTCAGTGAGAAAATCGTGTCCCATGTACTTGATGCGAGAAGCCAGTTCGGGTGGGACTTGTTCCTGGGCACCCACGATGACGGCCTCCAGATCTTGGACCACAAACGACAGGGACGGAAACTTGTGGGCAATGGCCATGCAAGCAAACCCCTGCGAGCCACCAACCTAACTGTAGTGTCAGGAGATTCTTCACATGCGAAAGTACACAAAGAGGGAGCGCCCAAATGATCAGGTAGAGAGATGGTGTGAGCCAAGGGGATACTTACGTCCACAACCATTCCGTCCTTGACCTCTCCCCATGAAAAGTTCTCCACAACATGACTCAGCTCGAAACCGGTGCCCTCAGTGAAGGAGCGCATGGCATTCCCAAATCTGCGTGCGCGGCTTGGGAATTGGGAAAACTCCTCGTAGATGTTCCTATCGGTCTGGTTCGCGAGTGCAAAGCCCTGCACGCTAGGTTGTTAGCGTCACTGACGAAGGTCCTGCCGCTCATTGCGTCCTAGTACGTACTGTTTCATTACTTTCCTGCGAGCCTGGAAATTTCTCCAGTGCGTTGCATGTCTGAGCAGCACCCTGCCACTGTTATCATAGCTTGGGTTAGCCTTGGCTCATCAAAGATTCTACTCATATGACAGAGGGAGTCACTCCTGGTGCGTGGAACAACGTCACGCGGCGGAACAATTCCTGATATTGCCTACCAGATCATCTGTACTCGCGCCAACCCAGTCGTAAATGACTTGATCTTCGGCGAGCAAGCGCGACACTGCATTGTGAGCGACAAAGCCGGGACGTGGCTCGACAAAAATGTCCTTCACGATGGCGTGGCGAATGAATTGTTGCACATTGGTCTCGTTGAGACTAGATGCCGCAGCGATGTCCGAGAAGGAAGCCTCGCTCCCGACGGCGAAAGCATGAGTGAGGCCAAATCGCGTAATTGCTTGTTAACTAATAAGCTCATCGTGCTGGAATGCAGTCAGGAATTTGGTCTCTATGTATTTCAGGCTGAGGTGGAGACTGACTGTATAGCTCATAAGGTACTCCCGAGGCCCAAGGACCAGGCGCCTCAGCTCCTGGGTGTCATCGATGATCGCAACACGGGCTGCTTCGATGTCGAGTTCGTTCTTCGGGACCAAAGTGTCCGAAGGTCCATCAATGTCAAATGACGGCGAAGGCAGGCCATTGGCCACCAGGTAACCGTTGAGCTTCGAGGTGTTGGTTGCGATGTTGTCGGCCAACTCTGCGATGCGGGAAGTCGCCATAATGGACAAGCGGGGATGAGACTGGCTACCTAAGCAGATGGGCTTAGACAGAATGGCCTGACTCAAATATGATCCGAGGTTCAACTCGACAAGATGATAATGAGAGAGATCGATCACAGCAACGCATCGGGGTTCAATGGAAGCTGAGATTATGATGGAACTGACAATGGAGCAAAGCGTGGGTGAGGCGAAAACCCCGAAGCTCAGTGTGAGGTCAGAGGCGGAGAATGAGAGACGGGCCGAGGGTGGCAGAAGGGCAGTGTAACGTCAAGCAGGCTACCAACGTACATAAAATCGAGGTGCGGTAGGCGGAGGACAATGTAACATCAGGCAGGCTACCCAAAGTACCTACATAGGCGCCACTTGCCAACCGTGGAACATGATAGGCCGTATGTGATTGTTGGAGTAGGTAACTTGTACCTACTCCATGCATCCAGGATCAAACGGTACTACATACCTAACCTAGTAGGTATCGGCCATCTACGTGACCGGTCAAATGCAATCTGCGCCGGATGCTACCCCGCGGGCCGCGGATGCCACCCCGTCCGGGAGGAAGAGGCTCACTGGGAGGGGTTCGCGGAAGTTGTGTGGACGGTGCGGAGATCCAGAGGTTGTTCATGTTTACGGTGTTAGGACTTCCCCTTTCGGTCGTTAATTTGCTCCAAGGTTGCGGCAGAGCCTGGATTGATTCCACAACGTGGATCAGCATCGATATCATCTCTTGATCTGTTTGGTTGGGAGCACGAAGTCACCTTTCGGTTGATTCAATCATGAGAGAGTGGGAATAATGAATGTAAATCTGAGCCAGAGGAAATGCAGCTTATAGTATAATGAACGCAGTTTGGCTCTCAACAGCCTACGATAATCGACAGGAAACACCGGAGTTCAAATGAGCAACGGCAGAAATCGACCCGACCTGACGTCAACGACAATACATACTGTATGTCCCCGCCCCATATTTGACTGCAAGCAGCAACAGCCTGATTGAAACCCACCCCCCAAAAGCGCGGGAGTGGCTTATACCCGTCGCTCATGCTCAGACTGATGGGTCTCTTTCTGCACGACAATACCAGGCTGCTGTCGGAGCTCGATCTCAATTGGCAAGTTCTCGGAACTTGCCAAACGCACAGCTTCACACCTGTTCACGAACCGCGCAGCCGAAGACTCACTGCCATTTGGCAACGAGTGATCCCACTTGCCGATGCTGCCCGCGTGACTGTTGCCTGATGACTTGGTGCTGCTGCGGATTGAGAGCCTGCTGGCAAACTCATGCAGGAACGTCTCCAGCGAGAGCCCAGAAAAAAGGGGTCGCAGAGTTGGTAGACAGGCACTGACAATAGCGATGCTCGCTTCCAGTTCAGTCCAGTAGAGATTCGGTGCAATGTTGACTGCATGTAATCAGTAAATAGAAATAACTTCACACTCAAATGCAGCACATACCAGTTATGTCCAAAGCATTCGCATAGCTGTCGGTAGATTGATAGAAGAAATATATCCTTGCAATAGAGATTCCGATGACGCTATGCCAGTGTCAGCGTGAAAGGATGGTCACGTTCTGTGAAGGTCGGGTCGACTCACAAGGCACCTAGGAGGAAGATACTGCTGACAGCCAACTTCTGTCTTGTAGACATATTCAAGCGCCACACGAAGGGCATTGGGAGCGTCAAAATAGTGATATCCATGATCATGTTCGTAATGGCCGTGGCGATGAACATCGGGATGTAATTGTAACAGGACTTCTTGTCAGATATCATAACAGTGGCGTACTTAGCCTTGTTATGATGTCGTCCTGTGGAATCACATGTTAGCTGTCAGAGGTCCCTTTCCTACCTATTTAAGTAGGATGGTACCCCCATCAGCTATCCCTTCTTTCCCTTCTAATACAGAACGGTTTGAAATCTCACACTTCTCATGCTGAGGCGTCCCAAACAAAGACTTCCATGTTTCTCCGATAGGCGTACATTCGAAGAGGGTGGCGAAGAAGAACGAGACTCCCCAAACCACTATGAACCCAATAAGGACCCAGCTGGTTATAGAAAATCGTGGGCCCCGGAAAATTCGCCAGTAGAAGAAGACAATCGACAGCTTGGTGAAGACTAGTGACAGAACGGAGAGTAATTGAGTCGCGAACTCCGTCTGAGATTGAAGTAAGCCAACCATCTCAATGCATAGGTTTCTTGGAATCTCTGACCTGCAAGAAGATGGACAAGGTTTAGTTTAGTTTAGTTTATTTAACGCCGTAGGGGCTCTAGGCTCCAGATCCTTGTGGACATTCGGTGTGCAGGTGACTATCTCAGGGGCTACTATACAAGCCTTACTGTAAGGGAAAAGGGGCATGACTCCCTATTTCCCAAGATAACCTGCAAATCAAACCTCGAGGGCACACATGTTATTCCGTCAGTTTCCGTTGGCCCCGCCATTTGGGCTCGTGCTCTGTGATATCTGGTTCGTAGTTGGTAGTCCGAATAGCGTCGAGGAGCTCCGATCGCTTTGACATGGTAGTGCCTTGCGTCTGAAAGGCTGTAGGCTAGAAGAAAATGAAAACATAAGGAAAGATGGTAAAAGTAGTAGAAGAAAGATGTGGTAACAGCCGCAGTCACGCGTGGTTGTCGATGAACTGATGTTCTGTAACTCTGGGACAGACTTTCGTGTAGAATTTTGTCCACTTGTAGAAGTCTCCGAATTTCTTTGGGTGCGTTATTAGCCATTTCTAATAGGCCCTCCCTTCTGGTTCGGGTTCTCCGTTATCTCCGCGGTTCCGTCGTAGCCACCTAGACCGTTTTGCAAGGGCTCTGTCCGTTTTAATTCTCCCGCAAGAGCAGTTGTAGTGTTCTTCGTGCTTGAACCTCCTATGGTACCAGGAAAAGTCTCCGTGGCCAGTTCTAGATGCGATAAGCCTGTGAAGCGTTGGCCTGTCGAGCTTGAGCTCTTCTGGGCACTTGAGCGTAGTTTTCTGAAGGCCGAGACTTTTGTATTTGTCGGTGATGTTCTCGTCCCACCATTGCTGGTGTTCGCTTCGAATCCTTTCGTTCAGAAGGCCTAAAACGCCTGCAAACGTAGGTTTGGCCGCGGTAGGGATTGGCAAGGTAGTACCTTCTTTTGCCTTTATGTCGGCCTCTTCGTTGCCTTGAATGTCCATATGCCCTGGCACCCACCGGACCTGTACGTCGGCGTACTTGTCTGAAATTCGTGAAATTCTAGGAAAGCTTCTTGGGAGCTCCGAGCTGGTTCCCCCCGCAGTCCGGAGATCACTGCTGTATAATCCAGGCACACGTGGATGGGAGCGCCACTACTGAGCCTCAGAGCCTGCCTGAGTGCGTGGCGGGCCCCTTCGGCCTCACCGTCAAAGACCTCTGCCGCGTGGCCCAGTCTGCCACAGCCCGAGGCTATGTTTGTCTGGCCTCTGTAGATCACGTATCCATAGCCGACCGCCCCCTCCAGGGATTTCGAGCCATCGGAATAGGCGACTATGTGTGTAGGTGGTAGCGATTTTAGCCAGTCTGTGAAGACTTTGGCTTCCTCGGCTTTGCTTCTTGTTATAACGGCTTTGCCAGCGTTCGTTGCATACCTTGGTTCCGTTAGGATCGGTCTTGGGAAATCCGGTGTGAGTTCATACGTCCTCTGGAGCCGTGTCCTTGCGGTTATCCTGACCAGACCCCTCAGGCCTCTGCTCACGGTAGGGTTCCGGGCTGTAATACATCGGACTAACGGATGTATGTTATCCATAGCTCTGATTCTCAGGCTGAACCGCATCCAGATCTTGCTGAGTATGGTTTGTACCGTTGGTAGGCCTGATTCTTTGAAGAGTACCTTCTTTGGTGTGGTTCTCCAAACCGGGAGAATCCCTCTAATGGCCTCTGTGAGGACTCTTTCGAGGTCGTCTGTGTAGCCGTTCTGGCGGGTGCTCATGTCGCGGGCCTGACCGTTTCCTGCTCTCTTGTAGTCCCCAGCCCCCCAGACCTCTGCCCCATAGGTCATGGTAGGAATCACGCATGCGATTACCGCCTTCCGGGCGAAGAATGATCGGCCAAAGCCTTGTTAATTCCTCTGCTCGCGCCTCTTCTTCACTGGCCGATACAATTGCAAGAGCCCAGGGGTTTGGCTTTGGGTGTTGTTCCGAACCTTTTTCTTAGACGAGTGCACCCTCCAGAATTCACCCAATAGTCTGGGGGACTGGGTCATCCGCTTCTCAACTAAACAATACCGTGGGGATCTCGTGAAATCTCAGAGTCACGGGAGACCCCGGATATTGATAATGGTGTGGTCCATGATATGGCTACGTGGCGGAGAAGTTGGCCTTGGGAAATTGGTCTTCTGCGAGCCCGATCCGGACGCTCTTCGCGGAGGAGTATTTTCAGCTTCGTATTAACAGTTCCTCTAGGAAGGGCTCCTTCCTTTCTAGGAGGCTGGGGACCTTTTCATGCAAGATAACGCGAGAATTCACAATTAAGGCGGCGCTCCCGAGTGTGTCGAGAGCCATGGTATCTGGAAGATCCACTGGCCGGCTCACAGCCCTCCTATAGTAGTAGGCGAAAGGCTGACTATCCACCCCGTACAAGAGCCGCAAGGCAGCGAGAAAGAGCCGGCACTGCGGTGCCTAAGGGTGTGGTTTGACCGGAAGTTTACCCTGAAGAGACACGTTGCTGAACGTGTGTGCAAGACAACGCATCTTTGCAGGCACATACGCAACCTAGCTAATATGAAAAACTAACCACCAGCGTCCGGGCTACGAAAGGCTGTGATTACCTGTGTCATCCTAATAGCGCTATACAGCATGGAGGCATAGTATGGCGGACGGAAAAAGCCCGCAAACAACGCTTCCTCGGCAGGAAAGGCGGAAGTCAGTGCCCGTGTGGGAGGGCACATTGTCATGATACAGCGAGCCCTCACCATGGCAGCGCGTGCGGTGCTCCCTGTATGGCGGACCACCCCCACCTACACGGTCTACAGAGACGCCGGACTCCTAACGGCAGAGACAGCTCTGGACCAGGCCCTGTGGCGCTTTGCGTACAGGCTTCGAACTGTGGACAAGCTACACCCTCTTACGAGGCGAATCGACTTACCGTCCATCACACGGGGCCGGGGTGCGGGCAGGTTTGAGCGACCCAAGACCAAAGTCCAGGTGGTAGCAGGCATGCTGCCCCAAGTGCAGCGGCCCCTGCTGGTGCCCCCAAGATTCACGAGGGGCTGCAGGGTTGATCCAACGAGAGGTCAAACTAAAGAGCAGGCGGCAGAGTCCTTCAAGGCATGGTTTCGAACACTGCCCCTAGGGGATCTGGTAGTGTTCTCGGACGGATCAAAGGACAGAACATGCATAGAATACGACTATGCGGTTTACCAAGGCGGGCAGCTCCTCGCCTCAAATAAGGGCCGCCTACACCCGTACTCCATCATATTCGATGCGGAAGTAGTAGGAGCCTGGAAAGGGCTCCAGTACGTGTCCAAGGCCCCTCCGGAGCTGAGCCAGCGCCGGATCTGGGTATTCGTGGATAACACAGGAGCGACCTGGGGGCTCCGCGGCAACGCCGCGCTCTCCTGCCAGTGGGCCTACCTAAAGTTCCACGCTGCGGCGGGAATCCGGGACGTTAGTGTCAAGTGGTGTCCCGGCCACTGCAACATCTAAAGCAACGAGCTTGCAGACAAGCCGAGTTGGAGGCCTTTCTTAAGAGCGGGTCTACTTCAGACTCCTTGACCAATAAATGCAGCTTTGTTGAAACGATAAGTGCGAAAAAATCCTGTCGCCTACTTGTTCTCACTGATTGCAGCAAAGATAAAGTGGTAGCTTGTGCCAAAGGTTCGGCTTGAAGGGAGAATCAAGTAGCGAGTTAGTTAGACCTCAGGCGAATGTCATCTAGGGTTAGGTGGTGGTTTGATGGGATTTTAGGTAATCTATAAAAGAGAAGTTCCAAAACGGAGTGGAAGAACGAATTGGCACCCTTAGCTCCCCTTATAAAAGGTGATCGGCGTGCGATCTGATTAGTGCGGAAACTTTCAATCCCGCTCCGGCGCTAGACCGTGTATGGTAGCGGGACTGGCTGGCTCTCTAGGGGCTCCTGGCCGGCTGGCAACGCACGGATCAACCTTCGCGTCATGAACTTCTCTTCCACCTCCTGGGTGCGCCGCCACATAGAAACTTGAATGCTGATCGGGTCTCTGACTTGATTCGCTCACGGTGAATGCATGTGCTACTCGACGAATTACCTATTGCTGCCGCCTTACCAGCCAATGAAAGGCGGCCAATTGGCCGCTCGGGCCACCCTCGTGGTTGAAAAGGGGCTCGCCCCCTGGACTGGCATGGGGGTCACTGACGCGATAGCATGAACGATGCGACGAGCATAGAGGAGAAAAGGACTGTATCGGATTTACCAAGTGACTATTAGAATCTGATTTGGATGGCGTATAAGCTGCTTCATGTCCTCACAGCTCACAAGCAGATCTCGCTCCTCAATAGGGTCAAAGCCAACAAACTTCCCAACAACGTCCTCGTTCTCTCGCCCACCCTCAAATCGAAACTCAAGTGTCTCCCCTTCCCCGTTAACTCGCACATGCACTGAGAGGAACTCGCGTACCTCCCACAATGTCGCCGAGATACTAGGGTCGACGTCCTCTTGCCGCAGCCCCTCCCGGGCAAGAAGCCCATCTATATCCAAGTCATCGCATGCCCAATGTCGCCTATTGATATAAAACGTGTAGGCCTCATCGTCCATATCTACTTCGACACGCTGGATGCGTAGCGTAGCTTGGCGATCATATGGCGGTGCTTCGGGCACCTGGTCTCGGGGCTCTAGAGTGTGCTCCCTCTCTAGGGCAATAGTGAGGTTGATTGGGTTGTTGCGACTCCTATGGGGGTGTGCTGTAGGAGTTGTCCACTCTTCCAGGAATAATTCCCAGACACGCTCATCAGAGTCCATCTCGTCAAGAGAGGGGTGGTCGTTGAACAGATCGGATGGTTCGTCCATTTCCATTGAGCATTCGTCGTTGAACAGATCGGATAGGTCGTCAATGGCGTTCCATGAATCAGAGGCAGCAGTGTTGGGAGCTCCGTCTAGGCTCATTGTAGGGTCGTCAGGAATGAGGTTCCAGAAATCAGGGTTGCGGCGATCGTCGGGGTCAGCGTCGAACAGGTCCCATGGGAAGGCAGGGTCCCCTGAGAAGGCAGGGTCCCAGGAGATATTCTGGTGTCGGACTTGACTCATAGCGGTTCAAGTGGGTGGTCGTGTGAAAAGTGAGGGTAAGGAGGGAGAGTTCATGCAGCGAGGAGAGGGGGGATTTTCGGGTTTAAATACCACTCTGTAGCCCCTGGCTCGGGGGCATCCTTCTAACGCTGTCCCCGTGGGGCACATGGCTGTCGCACTCAGTCATTGGTAATTCCGCCTAGCGCCTCTGAGAGGGAGCTGCCCCTGAGACGTGAACTTCGGAACCAGTTAGGGATGACAGGTGCTCCCCTGATAGCTCATCGAGAGTTCCAAGACCAACAAGTAGATGGAGGAGGATCTCCACCCTTGCGCATCTTGGTTGCTGAAGCACTTCAGACATGAGACAGACATCCTCGGGAGCTTTGCCAAGGAACCCGTCAAATATCTCCATTGCAAACAGAACGCGCTCGGAGTAAGTTCTCCGGTCAAGTCTCGAGAGACGGTCTGTGATATCTCCCTACCAACAGGCACGAGGCCGTGGTCAGGCTGTTCGCAAAGAAAACCAATTCTGATTCTACTGAAACTACTGGACCGGCTGCACTCCAATAAGCAGCACATAATCAGCACGATGCAGTCGAACACCTACAGCTTGATGGTGGTGTCTTTTATTCCGTATGTGGTCTGTGGGGCTACATATGCAATTTCGGCGCAACCACAGTCAGGCCACTCAACCTGCCATCTTCAACAACCTATTCACGCGCAAATTTGTCGCCAGAAATCCCTTTCACCCGCCCACAGGCTATTGTACTTACTAGAAGGAGGGATACCAAGGAAGGCGTTGGTTAATTGCTTGTTTATTTGTTTTTCAAATCTCTGGGGCCTCCTAGATGATAGCTACTCTCACTGCCACATCTAACGGCCGTAGCCCCTGAATCCTGTCCGACGGCACGGATTATAGGGGCTTCTAGAATGCCGTGCTCTAACCCTAGGGCTTGGCTGTAGCTACCTTCTAGACCAGTGCTCTTGCCGCCAATTATATGCCATATGATCTCCCACGAGATTCTCCCTGTTTGCTGTGAAGATTTGTGAGATTTGAAACCGTTCTATATTAGAAGAGGGAAGAGAAGAAGAACTCTGGGGGAGAAGCCCCCATATATGTGTACAGGTGTGCCATCAGGGTGACCAGATTACCATGTGAGAATCACGCCATTTGAATGGCCTGAAGCTTAAGCCAATTAGCGCATTCAGCCCCCAAAGCTTAAGCCGGGTATGATATCCAACAAGATTACTCATAGATCAACATGTCCATGGCCTTTCGCTGCTTTCACCGAATGACTAGATTGACTAATACAAAAACTCCCTTAGTAGTTTGACTTTAGTAATATGTAGTCAAAGTAAATGACCCAGAGTCTTTAAGAAGTTTCACACAAAGACTTCACCAATATGACTAGCACCACCGTCCTGCGTTGGCCAACGCCTAGCGATGAAGAGAAACATGCAAGTGGTCGGCCTGCTACACTATTACACAAGTACTCTCAGGCACTTCGGCAGAAGGAGTCGTCATCCATCGGAGAGATATCCCACCAGTGGGCCGCTCGCTTTCCAAAGCTAAGACGTCGACTCATAGAGGCCCTTGAAGACACCCTTATGCCCGACAGTCGGGCATCGCGCCATGTTGTGGGACCGTGTGATATGTTCCATTTCGAAGTCGCCCTGGACCTATATGCCGGCTCTACATTCCCTAACGGCTCCAAGCTTCGAGGCATAGTCGACCTCGCCACTTGCCAGCCACGGCTGTATGACCATAGCTGGAGATCTGTAACGTTGGTGTTAGGACCAAGAGAGCTGCACATCTCCCAGTCCGAGCCGGAATTTTGGGACCACGGTGAGCGGGTGGAAGCCTTCGCATCTCCAGTCACCCCAGCCCCTCTCTACCTATCGCGATCAGTACCATACAATCCGTGTGCCGTTTCCAGATGACAACTGGGAAGAGACGTTCGCTGGTCTAGCTGAACATATCGCTACGAAGCATATAAAGGACCAGAAGCGCACAGCCCACAAGGCCCCGGAAGCGCGTCAGGATGCTCACCCTCATACGTCAGGGGGCTGCAGGGTCCCAAGCGCCATGCAACTCTTATCGAACGTTGCCATGTACCAGGAAGTCTGGTCAGCTCAGAATGACGGTAGCGGAATCTCTGAGGGATGCTGGACGCGGCGGGCCGTGATCGTGTGGACTTTCGCCCCTGTCCACCAGCGTCGAATTGAAAATGGCAAGGCCATGACTGGGGCGCCTGGCACTACGTGGCAGTTCCTGACAGAATTGGATCCATTATCGCAATACTATCAGCAGCATGCGTATCGTTCACGCTCGTTGACCGGGGCGGGCGGCATGATTACTTCACGGCAGCAATACGTGCCTCCATTTCACACCGAACAAAGCCCCAGCACGACCTGCGCTGTTGCACAGGAACAGCCAGAGCCCCAACCTCCCGACGAGTTCGCCAGCGTAGAAACCCAAGCGCTCCTTTACCCCTGTGGTCCAAGCCACTTCCTAATCTTCAATGACGACAGCTTTCCTACGGGCTTTTCGGACACGTACATTCCAGATATCAGCGCTGCCATGCCGTGGAATAACGGTCGCAACCCTGTCTGGGATTGGGATCCACTGCTGGATGCGACCCTGGGACTAGGTGTCCCGTGGTGTTCTGGATACAACAGTGAGGCGAATCTGACCATGGCCGACAGCACGGGGCTCATAGCGTCATATATCCAAGCGCAGAGCCAGGGGCAGAAGAGGATGAGCAAAGAGCATGATGCGGAAACGACTATACGAAACGGTATGGGTGCGAAACGGATACACCTCGTCCTTTCAATGCCGTGAGGTCAGCCAGCTGGTGCCCATCAGCGCGAGGCATAGGACGGACACCGCCTCGGCCAGTTTCAAATCCGCCACGCTCCTGCCTACATCTATGCGAACGACTCCAGGTGCCATATTCGCATCTCGTAGAGCCCACCCGCGTCACGCTGAAGTGGCAGAGAGGCGTCTCTGCCAATGGCCGCGCGTATGGGCGGCCTCTGTGAGACACCCTTTGTAGCCCAGAAAGCTACAAGGCATGCCCTGACCCAGTCTTGCTGATCATGACTCCAGGGGAGTCACGAGTCGGCATGAATTGAGAGGGAGAATCTCACCCAAGCTGTAGTTTCAACCACCAAATTGTTAGGAGCCCAACCTCGCTTATATTGCAATGGACCGAGGCCTAGGACCTAGGCGCAGGGCCCTTCGGAATCAGCACCTCTCTTCCCGCCCCGTATTTACGATGGGCAGAGAATATGCACATATTAGGCGTGGTACGTGGAAGCGTCAGTATTTAAGGTCGGCCGTCATCCTCTTTGGCCGGGCCTGAACCTTACCTTTTCCTTCCCACTTCTTCCTGTCTTCATGCTTTCGCCCCTTCCCATCTGACAGCCATGGATGTGATGTCTGAGTCTCAACAAATACCCGCCGACGCCTTCTGAGATAGCGTAGCCGACGATGGCAATGCCCATGACTTCTGGGGTATTGCGGTCAATAATGACAACCATGGCGGTCTTATTGCGCCATCTCTTGTCGACGTTACTCCTTGGGATGCGATCTTCATTACGATATTTACAGAAGTTTCTGAAGAAGAATCAACAGACTTCTTCCGTTCAAACAAACCTACCGACCACGGGCTTGAGCACGGGCGTGAGACAACTCCGGCCTCCCTTACGCCCGCGCCTGTTATTATTGATCTTACCAACGACGCGAGTTTTGACAAGCTTCGAGACGAGACAAAGGTACCTCAGACATACTAGAAGTCTGAACCTTTGAGCCAGGCACTACCAACAGTCCTAGCTAAGCAGAAGGAACATCCAGGGCGCCTTTCACCTCAGAGCATTTCACGGAAGAGGCCAAAGCTTAGTTCTGAAGTAAATGTCAGAGCATCACGAGTACTTATACCACTCGACAGTCCGGAGAGCTTCTGGGAGTATACGTGGAAGCGGGCGAATGATGGCCAGAAAGGTTGGGTCAGGGAACTTGGAGGAGGCAAGAAGGAGATCGTCGATGGAAGATATCTGCTCTGTTTCTCTGACCGACTGTCCATCGAGATTCGAGCCAATGGTGATTGGCTGCCGATCATGCTACAATGGGATGAAGAGGAGGGGGTGTTTCAAGGACTGAAACCTATCGATGGCAAGACCTTACGAGTGGCCCCTGAGACTATGATCGACATGCTGTGTAGAGGTGCAGGCGAACAGGTGGGCTATGTACATAAAGATGCCGGTTTAGTTGGGCATATGTGACATATATAGGAGACCTCGCCCTCTTATTCTTATATCATTGATATGATTTGCTACATGCTACGATATTGTCTTGATAGTCGACCTGATCTTAGCCTATGATGACTTGAAGACTGCGATTATCATTGAGCTCAATGAGTCTCGCTACGATTGCAATGAATAGCGGTGTGGTCACTTTGTTTCCGGGACGATGCCTGAGTCTGGCGAACTGCCCAGGAGTTACCAAATGAGAGATGATCTTGGGAACCCGGCGCGGTGAGAGCACAGTCTTCCACCTCGGGAGGACAAATGTCCTTGCGCAGCTGACGGTACAGCCAGCGGTACAGACGGCGGATGACCTGTGGTGGTTTCTGGGAGGAGATCGTCATCAAACGAGAGGTATCGCACTAGGTTCTTGATGGAGTTCAGGTTTTGGATCGTCTCGATGGGACGGGTGGACCGACGGAGAGTGATATGGTAGACTTGATGAAGTTTAGCGTCAGTTTAGAGGACGGCGGCCGGGCCGCAGCTTGTTTCAATCGAGACAGTCAGGCGTCTCGATATCAAGTCAGGGTCATATTGCCCTTGTTTGTGTCTTTGTCATATGCCTCCATTGTTATATCTATCATTTATCTCTGGCTCAAGCCCCTTTGTAGATAAGACTGTGGCTAGAGCCAGTCATCTTGATCGCCTGGTCATCGCGGTACAAAGAATACATGATTATCATTATTGTCCTTGTTGTCTATACCTGGGCGTAGCTCTTGGTTGTCGATATGGCTGCCATTGGCAATCAAGCTTGCGCCTCTTTGGAGGTTGTTGGCAGCGTGGAGGTGCCGTGAACAATGTTGTTATTGTTTCGTCCTACTACAGCTGACAGCTACGCGGAAGGCCTGATCTAGTTACAGGGCACGGACCACGTGACCTCCAACAGAGATCGATGTAGGGACAGAAGAAGACAACACCGCCGCTGGTCGGTACATAGCTGGCGCGGGTGGCATAAGCTCCATACCACTGGTGTTGATTGAGGTGCGAGGTGTTGGGGGTGCTCTTCCTTTCACTGCTGTGTTGCTGGCGGCTAGAGCCTGTCCTCGCAGGCTCTTGAGACCCAAGCAGCCACAACGGGATCTTTGTAGTGTGCAAGTAAAGGTCCGCCTAGTTAAAAGTAAAAGTGACAAGGACTACGCACTGCAGTCCGAGTATGATCTAACGGTAAGGGGCATTTGAAATGGTGAGAGAGATCTGCTGTTAACAAAGATAGATTGAACCTATAATGTTACAGGTCCAGCTAAGGGTGACTACGCCACACTCACACAGTGTTATTGAGAACTGATGTGGCTGTAAGCGTGGCACAGGCCTCATTACCCACATCGGGGTTAGGCAGCGGGGTTAGGTGGCAAGGCAGCATTCCCAAAGTCGAGCCTCTTTGCACTTCCCCGCACCACATAAAAATGATCTCACGTTTCCACCTTTCTCATGCCCAACTCTAGGTGACTTACCTCAACATGTATTTCGACAGTTCGCTTATATAAATGATTTAACCATGCGCCTTTTAAAACCTAACAACTCCGGCGGCTTTAGCCTTACAGAAGATCTGGTTGGCGACAGAATTCCCCAATACGCGATTCTTTCACATCGATGGGGTCCAGAAGAGGTCACCTTCAGAGACCTAAAGGACGAACCTGGTCTGAGAGACCTGCAGAACGGAGCTAGGCCGAGCAAGCACGGTTACGACAAGATCCAGTTCTGCGGTAACCAAGCCCAACGTGATGGCTTGGTGCACTTCTGGGTAGACACATGCTGTATTGATAAGTCCAGCAGTGCCGAACTCACTAAGTCCATTAACTCCATGTTCAAGTGGTACCGCAATGCGGCTAGATGTTACGTCTACCTGGACGATGTTTCGAAACCCACCTTGCAAACCGGGGACGAATCCAACGACCCACTCTGGGGTACAGGATTCCGCGACAGTCAGTGGTTTCGTCGGGGATGGACTCTTCAAGAGCTTCTAGCACCAGCTTCGGTCGAGTTCTTCTCTAGAGAGGGCGCTCGACTAGGAACCAAGAGATCTCTAGAACTGCCTATCTCCGATATCACAGGAATCCCGGTCAAGGTGCTTCGAGGCTTTCCTCTTCCCGATTGCACTGTCCCCGAGCGCTTCGCATGGGCCGAATCCCGGCAGACCACAGAGGACGAAGATTAGGCATATTCGCTTTTAGGTATATTTGATGTCCAAATGCCTCTGATCTACGGTGAAGGGAAAGCGAAGGCAGTCCAGCGGCTCCGAGAAGAGATCAACAAAGCCTCTAAAGGTAAGTCACTGTCTCCTTGTTCAGAAACTAAGTTCACAGTCGACATAGGTGTTCAACTTGAAGATTTCGCAGTAACCTTCAGCCTCACGGGTGTCCCTGAAATTGAAGACTTTGTGGCCAGAAAACAAGAGCTTGCACAAATGCGCGAGCAACTCCGAAGCAACGGCAGTCGTCGGACAGTTGTCGTCAACGGCTTTGGTGGGGTCGGCAAGACCCAGTTAGCTATTGCGTATGCGAAACTATACAAGGACAGCTACTCGGCTGTGTTCTGGATGAACATCAAGGATGAAGACTCTCTGAAACAGAGTTTTGTTAGGGCAGCTCAACAGATCCTTCGAGACCATCCCTCTGCCCCTCGCGTTAGCAGCATCGATACGAAGGATCTTGACGAAGTGATCGCTTCTGTCAAGGCATGGCTGAGTCTCCCAAACAACACGCGTTGGCTACTAATCTACGACAACTACGACAACCCGAAGCTGCCAAGCAATTCAGACCACGCAGCAGTAGATGTCCATGAGTTTCTTCCCGAAGCGCACCAAGGCTTTATCATTATCACCACCCGGTCAACAGAGGTTAAAATTGGCCATGATATTCGAGTTAGAAAGATGGAGGATGTGCTCGATAGTATCGAGATTTTGTCAAATGCATCAAACCGAAAAGACCTGATACATGGTAAGAACTTTCGAAAGTTTTGCACCTTGATCTAACTGGAATGACAGACACCGACGCCCTGAGCCTTGTCCAAGTGCTAGACGGCCTCCCCCTTGCACTTGCTACGGCTGGGGCATACCTTGACCAGACTACAACCAGTTTTGCGGAGTATCTTGATCTTTACAAGGAATCGTGGGCAAGACTTCAAAAGGCTAGTCCACAACTAGGTTCATATGAAGACCGAACACTTCACTCCACATGGCAACTATCATTTGACCATATCCAGAAACAGAACGAGGTTTCCGCCAAGTTTCTCTGCTTGTGGGGATACTTCGATAATCAAGATATCTGGCTTGAACTTCTCCAACACGACGACGTGGACAACCCATCATGGCTCAACCAAATCACCAAGGACAGGATAAGCTTTGATAGCACAGTTCGAGTGTTGAGTAACTACGGGCTGGTAGAGGTTCATTCATCTTCCGACGAACAGATCGAGTCAAAAGGGTACAGCATTCATAGCTGTGTTCACCAGTGGATAGTGCACATTCTAAACCATGAAACGGACAACGACCTAGCAAGACTAGCTATAACACATGTGGCATCACATGTTCCTGGCAGCAAATCAGAAAAATGGTGGCTTATTCAACGACGGCTTCTTCAGCATGCATCAAGGAGTTCCTTTGCCGTTCTGAAGAAGTCGATTACAATGGATGAGCTAGAAGTGGCATACCATAACCTAGGCCTTCTTTACTCGGACCAAGGCAAGTTGAATGAGGCAGAAGAGATGTACCAGCGGGCTCTGCAGGGAAAAGAGAAATTGCTTGGGCCTAACCACATCTCAACTCTTGACACAGTCAACAACCTAGGCAACCTCTACTCAGACCAAGACAGGCTAAAGGAGGCAGAAGAGATGTACCAGCGGGCGCTGAAAGGCTATAAGAAGGCGCTTGGGCCCAACCACACCTCAACTCTCGACACAGTCAACAACCTAGGCAACCTCTACTCGGATCAAGGCGAGCTGAAGGAGGCAGAGAAGATGTATCACCGGGCGCTGCAGGAGAAAGAGCAAGCGCTTGGGCCCGACCACACCTTGACTCTCGATACAGTTCACAACCTAGCCAACCTCTACTCGGATCAAGGCAAGCTAAAGAAGGCAGAGGAGATGTACCAGCGGGCGCTGGAAGGGAAAGAGAAGGCGCTTGGGCCTGACCACACCTCAACTCTCGACACAGTTCATAACCTAGCCAACCTCTACTCGGATCAAGACAAGTTGAAGGAGGCAGAAGAGATGTACCAGCGGGCGTTAAGGGGCTTCAAGAAGGCGCTTGGGCCCGACCACACCTCGACTCTTGGCACAATTAACAACCTAGGCCTTCTCTACTCAAATCAAAACAAGCTGAAAGAGGCAGAAGAGATGTACCAGCGGGCGCTGCGGGGCTATGAGAAGGTGCTTGGGCCCAACCACACCTCAACGCTTGACACAGTCAACCACCTAGGCCTTCTCTACTCAGACCAAGACAAGCTGGAGGAGGCAGAGAAGATGTACCAGCGGGCGCTGCCAGGCTTTAAGAAGGCGCTTGGGCCCGACCACACCTCAACTCTCAACATAGTCCACAACCTAGGCAACCTCTATTCAGACCGAGGCGAGCTGAAGGAGGCAGAGAAGATGTACCAGCAGGCGCTAAAGGGCTATGAAAAGGCGCTTGGGCCCGACCACACCTCAACTCTCAACACAGTCCATAACCTGGGCCTTCTCTATAAAGACCGAGGCGAGCTGAAGGAGGCAGAAGAGATGTACCAGCGGGCGCTAAAGGGTTACGAGAAGGCGCTTGGGCCCGACCACAACTCAACACTCGACACAGTTAACAACCTTGGCAACCTCTACTCGGATCAAGGCAAGCTGAAGGAGGCAGAAGAGATGTATCAGTGGGCGCTATAGGGGAAAATAAAGGCACTTAGGCCTGACCACCAAAAGAGCATCCAAGCTCAACACAACCGACGGTGAGGAAAAGCTTCATGGAGGATCCGGCATCTCATAGCAACTTCAGGGTGTAGCTATGCCACATCGTTTGGAACCCCAACCGGAAAATCTGGAACCTTGGCCGGCGGGGCTGGAATCTCAGCCGAGGGGGGTTATGTCCGGTCAGCCTAGTCATATAAGTCCTTGTGTTAAGAAATATTCCGCTTCCATTGCCATTAAGGTTCCCTTATCAAAGAAATGCGGCGCCGCAACAGGAAGACTATAAGACTCTGAGCCAGGTTTCATATATTGTTAGCTGATTACAGCCAATGTTTCGAGATGCTCTTACATGCGCGTTTACTAAAGCATGCCGTCCGAGTAGGCTCCCGTTTTGTCCTTTATGTGAATCTGTACATCACGATCCACGCTGCGCCGGCCTGGCAGGGCCACGAGGTGGTTTATAGATTCATCACGTTGCCTTGCGAGATGTTTCCTCCGTGGATTGTGTAATCGCCACTGAAAGTCGAGCCAAGCTGGATAGCGCGCAGCGGAGCTCTCTGCTTAGATATTGGGGCTGCGGGAGCTCAATATAGGTCAGCACAATACTGACGTGCCTTAGCGGGAAAGCCTGGATCACCTACGGTCCACGGTCCAAGACGCCGCGCCCGACACCAGACTCTTGATCCGCTCTTTCACCACAATATACGCATCGTCGCGCCGGGACACAAATTTGACGAGACCCGAGTGGTCAGCATCCAACGGCACGATGTCTTCCTCGGGCACCGCGGTCAGGCCGGTGCTGGTCGCCGACTTCCTCGTGACCATCAGAACGGGCGGGCCCGACTTCCGTAGCGTACCGTCAGGTTGCCTCTAGACAGATGATGAGCAGGAATGAACCAGCGCAAATTTGGGATGACTGGGCGAGACGTACCGCAACAGTCGCGCTCAGCCGGCGCTCGTAGAAGGCAACTACGCGCAGCCGGTCTTGGAAACACCGCGCAAAGTCGTCCGCCATGCGGGCCAGGAAGTCGGACGGTTCCGACTCGTTATCCACGACCAGAGCGCGAATAAGAGCCTGATTTGGCCGCCCTTTTACCATGGAGGCGAGCTTCTCGTTTCGCAGACCTAGCTGCGGTACCCCGAAGAACAGCAGGCCGCAGCAGGTTTGCGAGAGGAGCTGGTGCGTCGGGCTGCTAGCGGGGCTCCTAAAAGCGTGGACGAGTGCCTGCGACAGGTCAGCATCGACCGGCGCAAGGGACCTGGCAAACCTGCCTCTTTAATAAGAAGGCCGCCCAGACTGTGGCCTAGTAGGATAATCGGACGACGCTCGGTCTGCGGTGTTGTTAGCCAGCCCCATGTCGACGGACGACGAACACACCTCGTCGCTCGTCCGGAACGCCGTCAGGCTTTCGAGAAACCGCCGGCCCAAGTCTTCTATGGAGGACTTGGCGTTGCTCTTCAGCAATGTCGTGTCGTATCCGTACAGGAGCACACGGATGTTCGGGATGTCGCCTGAGAGCCAATCGCGTAGCCAGAGATCGTTCCTGCCCGGCGATTTCCACGAGCCGATTACATGGCTCGCCAGGCCCGACACGGCGATTACACTGCGAACGTATAGGACAATCAGCTAGAAGGACGACGCTGGGTGGGAAGCGAGGTGCATACTCGCAGTAGGCGCCGGCTGGGTCTTTGTAGAGCGGCGTGATGCCGTAGAACGTGCAGTCGAAGCGGTACTGGGATGCTTTATGAGCATGCTGGAGGAGAGCCAGCAGCTGGTCCTCTGGAAGCACCGTCTTGGCCGTCGCAGTCGCGCAGGCGCAAGTACGGTCTCTCGGCGCAAGGGAGCGCACGACCAAGCCGTCGAGCTGACCTTGTAAATCCGGACTTGCAGCAACGACCGACTGCAGCTCATGTTCCAGCTCCGCAGCAGTTGTTCCCATAGAAACCTCGTCCACGCGTAGCGTCAATTCGCGGAAACGCGGCTGGCCGAGTGTGTCGCTACCTGGCTCAGGTCTCTGCTGTGGGGAACGCGCTCCCCAAAACAGCTGGTAGAGACAAGCGGCCAGGAGAGCCACCACGCTCGTCCCAACAAGGAGCTGGCCGGGAGGTTCCATGGCGTTGATTCTCGAGGACGTTTGCGTCGCGAAACATGATTCTGCAGAGACATAAGCACTGGAGAACTGAGGTGATCCTCCCTGAATTTCGTCACAGCTGCATAGCCGAGAGGCGCCAAGGCACACACACGCCAGACATCAGCTGACCCGCCAGCTGGGCTGACACGCGTCCGACGAGCAGGCCATTACATGCAAATTAGATGGGTTTCCGTGAAAGCTTCGCTCGCCTGCCCCAGTTCTTTCTCCTGCTATGTCCTGCATCGAGGTTTACGTCGTGATGTCTGCTACGGTCCGGGATACGGTGCAAGGTGCGCCGGACAGCGTACCTTCGATTGTTCACCATAATTGGAAGGCCCAACACAATCAATGAGAGTCTGCTACAGAGTTCAACCGCATTTGTTCCGGTAGAATACACGCGATCCTTTGCTAGCAATTTATAGAGTGTCCTCATTCTCGAATGTTTCGCTACGACGGTGCGAGCGTTATAAATTGTTCATGCCCCCTAGAACCCTCGTTTTGCAAAGAAAGTAAAGAAAGACGAGAGGGTTAAATGGATCAAAAATGTTTTAGAAACGTGACAAATGAAAGAAGTAGACCCGACCGGACGAGCAACCGAGAACAAGGTTCGTGCCTCGCTCTGTTGTAAACACGGCAGACTCAGTTGGCCGGTACTCGGGAGGGAGCCAGAGGACCTCCTTGGAATGCTGTAAAATCCAAGCCCGATCGGGACTAAGAACGTAATCTCCCTGTTGCGCAGGCTTTTGGGGATGCGTATCGATATCCAAGGAAATCGACTCCTCTATGCAAATGTCGCCCGCGTCGGTATGGATCAGGGTGCCGGTCAGATCGAACGAAACGGTGGAGGTGTAGCCGACCTCATATGAAGAAAGGCACGCGCCCGAGGCCGCATCCCAGAGCCGGACGGTCTCGTCGTCAGACGCCGAGACGACGCGCCGCCCGTCGGCCGAGAAGGCCGCCAAGAAGACGGGAGAGGTATGGCCCTCGAGGATCGCTTCGCACGCGCTCCATTGTTCCGCTAACTCTGTTTTGCACTTGACCCATCGTGGTGCCTCGTGCACGAATAGACCTCGCATTAAGCTCTGCGTTGAACTGAACACGAATGGTGAGGTGTACGCTTGAAGCGGCCGGCTCTCAATTGCCGGCCTGAAGGTTTGTAACAGACGGTAGGCGTCTTTTACGAGCGCCTGAAGTCCAGACGCCCCCGACCGCCCCTTTATACTATTAGCTCTGTAAGGCCGTGTAGCAGAAAGTATTGACTTACCTGCAAATGCCGTATTAGCCTCTCTAATGCGAGCATCCCTTCCGACATGCTCCGGAGTAGACTCAACGACTCGATCCAGTAGAGACCCTTTCCCCGCAGGAACCTGTCTGCCGCCCCGTACTCTTGTACGCTGTCGTCCCTACCCGGAGCCTTGCTAGCATCAATCAAGTGGTTGACCCAGTAGACACAGGAGTATCCTATCACCGCCAGTGGGTCTGGGTCAGGTCTCCGTCGAGGGACATCCTCAATAGGGAAGCCCGGGTCGTGCAGTCCGTATATGTCACGTTTCAGTGTCTGGGATACGGCCTCGATCGACCTGGAGAAGATTTGGCCATGGACGGCTACTTGCTGTTCGGGGGAAAGGATGACCGTTTTCTCTTTCGTTAAGAAGTCCTTTGCCGACTGGTGGACGAAGTAGACTATGTCCTCGCGAATAGTAAGGAACGAGCCACAGAGACTGACAATCTCCTTTAGCGACTCGGCATCTCCTACCGTGCTGCCGTCTTCTTTGATGAACGTGGTGGACTCGGCAAGTGAGGGTGGGCGATAGGTCGTTGCTACGAGAGCAAGCACCTGCGTGCAAAGCTCGGCGTCTTCCGATTTGTGGATTTGATCTATCATCCGTCGATAGAGGGAATCGAGACCCGACGGGAAAGACTTGACTTTCTGTAAAGCATTCCCTTGGCGTGTCTTCGCAAGTTCCTGGCAGACCAAGGCGACCCAGAGAAAAGTGCCGTCAGCGTTTGACGACAAGTACTGGCGTACTTCGTCGGCGGTGTTGTCTCGATAGCTCTTCCGTTGTACAAGTTAGGACACCTTGTGCAAGATGTAGCTGTCCACAGCCGCTGCGACCGGCTTCGCATTGACTTTGAGTGATAGCCTGTGCGCCACGTTAAACAGCTCTTCTTCAATCTGCGGCCAGTTGCGGCTTGAGACGAGCCACTTAGCGCAAGTTGCTTGCGAGGTCTCGACAATCAACTCGAGCAGCTGCGGTAGGCCACCTATACACTCGTCCAGTGCGTCGACAACGAGGCAGACGACGTGCAGCTTCGGGTCGCGGAGCATATTCGTGAATATCTTGGATAACGCATACCAAGCATTATCGCCCTGGAACAGCCCCTCGCCAGCAACATCGTACTTCTTCTTCATATGCGATACGAGGGAGGCGTCTTGGTCGAGTAGCATGTATATCAAGCCGCGCAGCACGGCCGTCGCATTGTTGATGCGCTCGTCGGTAGCTTGGCAGAAGAAGTACGCTAGGCGGCTTCCTTGGGCGAGCCTCGTTTCGAGATGATCGACAATGCCACACAGGAGCATGGTCTTGCCCTTTCCCGGGTCGCCCTTGACCCAGAGCAGCCGCTGGTCCTCGTGGTCGCGCCATTGGCGGAAGTCAGGGTTGCCGAGCATCCAGACGTACGAGTCCGCGAGCAGGCTGCCCTTGGTGTCCTGGACGCGCTTCTTGTCATGGCGCGGGTCGGTGACGCGGAGGTCGATGAGGCATCGGTTGGCCGTCTGCTGGATGTTGACGATATTGCCTTGGTGGAAGGGTCCTCCATGCACGGTGACATTCCCGCTGTAGGACGATCCGCCTTGGTATATGGATGGATCTAGGCCGTCATTCGCCATTGTGGAAGACCTGACGTTTGCTCTTAGAAAACACGAGTCTGGGATTTACGCGCCCGAGAGAAGCTAGGTGAGCTGCGCTGGCTTCCTTCAGAGTTGCGCAGCCGAGAGGCACAGGCACGCTCCAGAAGCAGGCTGGCCTGCAGGCTAGGCTGGAATGCGTCCGACTCCCCGAGCAGATAGCCTTGTGAACTCTTGGAAATACCCTGTTGTATGGACGAATAACCGCTGCGGAAAAGCCGGTGTGCCGTGCCGATGGCGGTTATGCGATGCGTCCTGGGCCCAACTTAAACCGGCTCGCTATGGGCCTCGAGACTGTGTGCGCCTCGCCAAGCAGAAAGATATCATACTGGGCTGCCAGTCTTTTAGAAATCGCACCAGGAACTGCCTTGGATAGTAGAAAGCTCACCGCATGATCTCAAAGCAGCATGGTGGGACAGCGTAACAAGCAGCTATTTCCGAGCAGAGCCTCTGGTTCTGCCGTCGCCAGCCGCTCTGAAACCCGTTTTACAGCTTGATTGCGGTGGTAGGAAAAGGGCATTGTCATTGTCAGCTAGTGAGATGCTTTCCGGTACCTGGTACTGAGAGAGCCTTACGTCTTGGCTTTATTTCAATAGCAACGGGCTTACTGCCTCATTGAAACCGGCTATAACCCAGTAGATTTCCACCCGATGTGATATTTGAAGCTGACATAGCAGTCGGACATCTGGTCCGTCGAGCCTATCGCATGGTCCGAGACTAGGAGCCGGTCCGCGTCCAGGACGGCAAAGCTAATGCGCCAGGACGGCCCGTTGACCTCGATCAGCGGGAGCATCAGCGAGCCGCTGAACGGCTGCTTCTGTCAGATGCAAACGATTTCAGATTAGTCAGGTTGTCAGGTGTGTTCTGTTGTTCTTTTGCTTCACCCCTTGAGCGTGCAGAAATTGATGATCTATCTTCTAGGTGGGTCAAATGCCCTGTACGTCTTTGGGTAAGGACGGGAGAATAGGCTGGCAACCGCTGCAGGAACCGCCTGGATGCCGCTTGCGCTTAGCACTGCAGCCATATCTTACAGGTTAGCACCAATCATCTGTTGAGTGCCAACAGTCTTGGGGGGTCTCGGGTTTGTCTGTACTAACCCCGCTTCCCCAGACGATCCACTGGGGCGGCTAGCTAGCTTTAGCACTGTCCGCCCAATTCATGCCTGGCCCCGTGTGGCCGCATACGCACGCGCCACGAACCTTCATATGTATCAACTATCCCAAACGCTTTGCCCGTCCCTCCTCTAGCAACTGAAGCCGGTCTCGAATCACAAACTTCCACTCCTTTCCCACTTTATATACCAAGAGAGTGCATAGATACAAAAGCATACCACAGCTGCATAAAATCATGGTTAAGCTCACCCAGAAAGCCACAGTTGAGAGCAACTGATTATTCTCCTTATCGGGATGACCTTGATCGACAGCAATGGCAACCTGTAGCCCACTCAGAATAAGTGACACCGCGCCAATAACGAATAAAACCGGCCCATAAAACCGAGCAAAGTATGTCCCGTATTGATAATCAACACGCTGGAAGTACGCCTTTCGAAGTAGGAATGGAGCGTAGAAGTTAAGCCTCGTCAATCGAATCTCGCCATAGGTATAGCGTGTAGGGACGTCGTGGTCGGCAATCGTGGTCAGATCGGATACAAAACGGCAGAACTGGTCCCATGTGATGTCGGGCGGGATGAGGTGCAGGCTGGGGTCTTGGGCGATGCGAAAGTCGGACTCGTACCTCACCAGGTACAGCCATGTACGGAGATAGCCCAAGGCTGCCCTGCGGATATCGTGGGCATCTTCCCCATCGCCACCCATGTAGTCCCGCCAGAATGCATACGAGACGATGTACCGGGGCAGCGGCTTGATGAAGATTCGATTGTGGATCCAGACTAGATGCAGCTTGGGATCTTTGGTGACGATGACGGCGCGCTGTTTAACCAGTTGCCGGTGGAGCGGGGAGATGTTGGCGCTGTCTTGTTTTGACATCCATCACAGCCTGCTCGCCATCTGGGTTAGGTCCTTCGAGCAAAATTCCTGGTCAAGGAACTCCCACAGCTTGCGTCGATCCTGGAGCAGGATACAAGGGTAGCCGGGCAAACATTGGGTGAGAGGTCCGTTGTTGTCCAGGTCCCAGTTCAGCTGGTGCTCTGATGCAAAGGGCGGCCCGGCAGCGGGTGGTGGGCACATTATTGTTGCAGAATGGAGTACCTAGAACCTGGGGGTGGTAGGTAAGGCCTGGTCGGGTTCAGGCTTGAAACTCTTCGCTTATATAGTCTGGGGTGACAACCGTCTGTATATACACACTGGCTGCCTCAATGGTCTTCGCCTGTCTGCCTTGCCCTCTCTGCCTTGCCCTTACCCCTCACCGATCTCACAGCAATATACTCTGCCTTGATTGATCGACACCAAGCTTCTGCAGATTGAACAACTCTTTGCCGCAACCCTCTCGGTCTCTGAAGGGTCCAGATCCCCTCAGTCCGAGATGACATGACTAGGCCAGACTTGTACTGTTCTCGATACGCGCCTAGAAGGGGAAGACTCAGGGTACTCAAGGTAACCCGGTGAAAGCGATTTGGGGTACCTGCGCCGAACATACCTTGGCGCTGTCCTCTGCTCACGCGTCCTCATTGTATTTCGATCTTTCTTGCGCGACATCCCTTTTTGCAGACAGCATGTACCACTGGACCGTGATATCTGCGATCTCACACTAGTTGAAACAGGTGCACATGTATAATGCATAGCCGGTTCTAGGATCTGCCTTTCGAGTTGATAAAGGGCTTGGCTTACCTCGTACTGATACTCTAATAGTTGCCATCCAATAACTATGCAGGCCCATGCTAGACAAGAGCCCTAGTGCACCGGCCGGTGCGAAAGGCGAGAAAGCCTCGGGGGCTATGCTGGAATAGTAGGCCACATATTGGCCCTGTTCAGCCGCTTATATAGACGTATTAAGACGCAGCCCGCAAGGCTGAGCGCGCATATACTTACCTATGCTTACCTATGCTTGCCTACCTACCCCTTACCCCTCCTGGCTTTCCTGTCGTAGCCTTTCTGTCTTTAGCATCAGCAAATCTCTCTCTCTCTCCACTATCGCTTGTTGCATTTTCATACCATCGAACCTACCGACCGAGGCAGCTTCGGTCACCGCCTGCCCCACACGTTGTTCTGCACAGATTGCCATTATGGTTGGCGTCCTTGACCGACAAGATGTTCTGGCTGGGCGCGCCTGGCCGCTCGCAGTGGCCGCTATTGCCATCTTCCTAACTTCGGCCCTTTATCGCTACACGTTGTCTTTTAAGGAAATGCCGCCTACAGAAAGACCTTTCCGATATCTGACCCTGCGTATCGACGAAATCCCGATCGACACATCCGATGCAGCCCTGGACAGCGAACTGAGGGCGATAATTACACAAGCCCCAGGCTTGCGGGACACCGTTCGCAGCGTCAGCCGCATCGCTCTAGCTCCTATGGACAGCCGCTGGGCCTGCGCTACTGCCACTTTCCACACATCAATCCCAGTAATCGAGTTGGTGCGCCGCCTACAACAGGCCAGCGGAGAGCGGAAGTACAAGTACGACTCAGACTTCTACAACATCACACCGCTTTATATGGGCGTAACCCGAGTCGACGTCGAGTGAGACTACCTACAATCATCACTTGACTGCCGTTTCAATTGCTGACTTGTCGTGTCTCACCACCAGCATCGTTGCAGTGCCCGGCCTTGCAAGCCACGCGTTCGGGTTGTGGAAGTCTCCTAGCAGCAACGACATCTGGCTGCGAGATTACCTGCCCGCGGATATACCCAATGCGCGAGTACTCATCTACGGCTATGACACGAAGCTGTTGAAGAGCGATTCCAGGAAGTCGATCGAGAACATGGGGTCATCTTTTCTCGAGGAACTTGTAGCATTCCGAACCAGTAGCGAGGTATGTACGTCCGAGCCTAGATCTACGGTACAGTGCTCATCTCAAGGTAGAGTACCTGCCGTCCTATAATCTTCATTGGACATAGCCTGGGCGGACTCCTTGTCAAAGAAGTAAGCCGATCGTTACGGGACGCCCGATCGCCCGGCTAATTGCGACTAGGCATTACTATACGCCCAGAAGAAATCGTCCATCGAAGCCAATCTCGAACTGACCCGCGCATGCTGTGGATTACTCTTTTTTGGTGTTCTAAATCTCGGGCTTAGAAATGAGCAGCTACAGAGTCTTGTTTATGGCCAACCTAACGAGAAGCTAATTCACGCACTACTCGTTGATCGCGACTCCGAGCCCTCTGATTATCTGGCGAGAATTTCTGGTGATTTTTCCAATCAGTGCAAAGGAAAGTACCGAGTCATCTCCTTTTTCGAGACAAAGTACACCCGGACTGTGCAGGTAAGATCTACGCAGTTACCCCTATTGGTAAAATGCTCAAAGTTATCTAGATACAGGCTGATGGTCGCATCACGAAAACCGGTCCGCAGATGCTGCTGGTGACAAAGAAGTCCGCTACAAGCACAGGCTTGACAGCGGAAGCTGACGAAGACAATGTCAGCCTGGACGCTGATCACTCAGGGCTTGAAAAATATGACTCAAAAATCCGTGGCATGTATCTCGTTGTGCGGCAAAGGCTTGAGACGATTGTGGCCAAAGATGTACCTTGCGTGGCAAGAAGCTTTCGTGATAGTACGCATAGTACATCCCCAGAGCAATACCTTCTTATCTCCCTTTGCTCTTTTGCTGATAATAATCACACGCAGTAGATACCAAACTAGAAGGTGAGTCGGCCCTTTGACTCGGATGAAACGGCCTAGCTAACTGGTGTAAAAGATGTTCTGGCCGAAAATCCACGAGCTGAAAAATGTCACTCCGATCTTTTCGAAACGGATCCTTTCGAGAATATGAAATCTCTGCAACGCAAGAAGGGTGACCGCGCCAAAGGCACTTGCAAATGGATAATCGAGACAGAAGAGCTCGCTTCCTGGCTCGGCCCTGAGCACGCGGTGGTATCGACTAATGTTCTCTGGCTGCATGGGAACCCAGGGACTGGGAAGTCCACTATGGCCATTTGCCTTGCCGAGGTACTCCGGGAGCAGTTCCGCCACTCAGACCAGAAAACCCTTTCCTGTTTCTTCTGCGATTCCAGTTTCGACACCCGTAGGTCAGTAACGTCAGTGGTCCAAGGGCTTATCCTGCAGCTCATCCAACAACATCCGCGACTTCTCCTCGACTACCTCCTGCCAAGATACCTCGAGCGCGGAAAGAAGATCTTTGATTCATTTGACGCTTTGTGGACTGTTTTGCACAAAATGGCCGCCGATGAAGCTACCGGCCATAAATTCTTCATTATCGATGCCTTGGATGAGTGTGATCAAGAATCGCAGCAGATTCTCATGAAGCAACTGCAGCAAGATTTCCAACACAAGAGCTCTGCAACCAACATCCAGCTACTCGTCACAAGCCGACCTTATACAGAAATTCAAGAAGGTTTAAAGGCGTTTTGCAACAAGGACCTAGCCTCATTCCCCGAGTCAAAGAAAGATATTGATCGCTTTATTAGCGAAAAGGTTATAGAGCTTGCGGCCAGAAAGCAGTACACGGACAGCGTAAAGAAGCAGGTCACAGATATCTTGGAAGAAAAATCCGAGAGCACTTTCCTCTGGGTCGGCTTGGCATGCGGGGAGCTAGACCAGGTTCCTTCGAAAAGTGCGGTCGACCACCTGAAGAAGATGCCGTCTGGGCTGAATGCCTTGTACAAAAGACTACTTGACAATGCTCTTAACGCTCCTTGGCAAAACGCCAAAGTCAAACAAATTCTAGGTCTCGTCGCGGTATCGTTTCGGCCACTCAGCGTCTCAGAGTTAGCTGCAGCTTGCCAGACTTACCTTGACGAGGACCAAGAGACCCGCATTCAATTCACTCGGGATGACATTACTACCTGCCGGCTTCTGGTCGTCATTCAGGATCAGAAGGTTCTTTTACTGCACCAGTCGGTAAAGGATTTTCTCCGTGACAGTGCGCAACCGCTTGTTCAGAAAGCAGATTCCCATGCGGAAATGGCATACAAGTGCGTGGATCAGCTTATCCGAGATTCTGAGCTGGTTAAGGATCGACCACAGTGGGAAGAAGAGTTCTCACCTTACGCATCTGATTACTGGTACTCGCACGCTCGCCTCGCAGGAGACGTATTCGAAGTCAAACAACCGCAAGCGACTTTTTTCGAAGTCATGTCTCTATCTAGAGACGCTTGGCTTCATCGAGCCAGTGGCCGGTACAGGGTTCATTTGACACTCCCAAGCCGAGCCTCAATTTTACACATCGCAGGATACTGTGGCATCCCGGCCATTTTTTACTACGTATATAACAGTCCACATCAGCAGATGGCTTCCGATATTATGGCAATATTAGAGTCGGACGATAGTCGCAACAAAACTCCACTGAGTGCGGCAGCCATTGGTGGGAATGAGATTGTAATCACACAATTACTAGAGTACAAGGCACAGATGAGTATCAAAGTGGCCAAGGCGGCAGCAAGGAACGAAGAGAATGGCATGGAGGTGATGGCGCTGCTTCTTGACCGACGAGGAGACGAGGTCCCCGTCACAGAAGAAGTGGTCAAGGCGGCAGCAGGGAACAAGAGGCATGGCAAGGAGGTGATGGCGCTGCTTCTTGACCGACGAGGGAAAGATGTCCCTATTACGGAAGCAGCAGTTTCTACTATTGCCCGAGGCTTCAATAAGGAAAGAATGGCGCTGCTTCTTGACCGACGAGGCGACGAGGTTCCCGTCACAGAAGAAGTGGTCAAGGCGGCAGCAGGGAACGAGAGGCATGGTAAGGAGGTGATGGCGCTGCTTCTTGACCGACGAGGAGACGAGGTCCCCGTCACAGAAGAAGTGGTCAAGGCGGCAGCAGGGAACAGAGGCAATGGCAAGGAGGTGATGGCGCTGCTTCTTGACCGACGAGGGAAAGGTGTCCCTATCACGGAAGCAGTAGTTTCTACTATTGCCCAAAGCTTCAATAAGGAGATAATGGCGCTGCTTCTTGACCGACGAGGAGACGAGGTCCCCATCACACCAGAAGTGGTCAAGGCGGCAGTAAGGAATACAGAGCATGGCAAGGAGGTGATGGCGCTGCTTCTTGACCGACGAGGAGACGAGGTTTCCATCACAGAAGAAGTGGTCAAGGCGGCAGCATGGAACGGAGGCAATGGCAAGAAGGTGATGGCGCTGCTTCTTGACCGACGAGGAGACGAGGTTCCCGTCACAGAAGAAGTGGTCAAGGCGGCAGCAGGGAACGAGAGGAATGGCAAGGAGGTGATGGCGCTGCTTCTTAACCGACGAGGAGACGAGGTCCCCGTCACTGAAGAAGTGGTCGAGGCGGCAGCATGGAACAGAGGCAATAGCAAGGAGGTGATGGCGCTGCTTCTTGACCGACGAGGGAAAGATGTCCCTATCACGGAAGCAGTAGTTTCTACTATTGCCCACAGCTTCAATACGGAGATAATGGCGCTGCTTCTTGACCGACGAGGGAAAGATGTCCCTATCACGGAAGCAGTAGTTTCTACTATTGCCCAAAGCTTCAATAAGGAGATAATGGCGCTGCTTCTTGACCGACGAGGCGACGAGGTCTCCATCACAGAGGAAGTGGTCAAGGCGGCAGCAGGGAACAGAGACAATGGCAAGGAGGTGATGGCGCTGCTTCTTGACCGACGAGGAGACGAGGTTCCCGTCACAGAAGAAGTGGTCAAGGCGGCAGCAGGGAACTATTGGTATGGCAAGGAGGTGATGGCGCTGCTTCTTGACCGACGAGGGAAAGGTGTCCCTATCACGGAAGCAGTAGTTTCTACTATTGCCCAAAGCTTCAATAAGGAGATAATGGCGCTGCTTCTTGACCGACGAGGCGACGAGGTCCCTGTCACAGAAGAAGTGGTCAAGGCGGCAGCTGGGAACGAGAGGCATGACAAGGAGGTGATGGCGCTGCTTCTTGACCGACGAGGGAAAGATGTCCCTATTATGGAAGCAGTAGTTTCTATTATTGCCCAAAGCTTCAATAAAGAGATAATGGCGCTGCTTCTTGACCGACGAGGAGACGAGGTCCCCGTCACAGAAGAAGTGGTCAAGGCGGCAGCAGGGAACGAGAGGCATGGTAAGGAGGTGATGGCGCTGCTTCTTGACCGACGAGGAGACGAGGTCTCCATCACAGAGGAAGTGGTCAAGGCGGCAGCAGGGAACTATTGGTATGGCAAGGAGGTGATGGCGCTGCTTCTTGACCGACGAGGAGACGAGGTCTCCATCACAGAGGAAGTGGTCAAGGCGGCAGCAGGGAACACAGGCAATGGCAAGAAGGTGATGGCGCTGCTTCTTGACCGACGAGGAGACGAGGTTCCCGTTACAGAAGAAGTGGTCAAGGCGGCAGCAGGGAACGAAGGAAATGGCAAGGAGGTGATGGCGCTACTTCTTGACCGAAGCCTACTGACCAGATCGTTTATCTCTAGTGCTGTTTTACGTATTGCTGCTGCTTATGGCCAACTCGACATTCTTCGCTTCCTGTCCCGCCAAGCCTGCATCGTCACTGTTCAATAGGAGGACTTTGCCATCGCCAGACTGTATAACGCGGCAGCATCAGGAACTACAACCACAGTGAAAAAGCTTCTCCAGACCGGAACACCACCTGATATACAGAACATATGGGGCATGACACCATTGTGGATCGCAGCGGCACATGGTCATGAACAGGTAGTCCGCCTACTCCTGACTACGGACAAAGTCAGCGTTATCTCGGAAACAACTATCCGAGATGCACCTTATACTCAGCCGTCTTACGACCCAGGGGACACTGCTCTTATGGTAGCGAGAAAGAATGGGCACAACAGAATCGCTGAGATTCTTGAACAGTGACTGTTTCTGAGTTTAGAAACTCGACTTCCTTAATAAAAAGTGTCAGATGGTCGGGAAGCAAGGAAAACGACCATAACGTCATACATAAGTATTGCAGTGCGTGTTTAAAACGAGCGGCTTGCGGGCTGTTCGTGCTTGACGTTTAGAACAGCATAGGCGACAATGGCACCTTATCCCTTCCTGCCTGTCGACCTCTTAACTTGTGGGCCGGGTTACAGAGCGCAGTGCTTGACGATGTGAAGAGCACCGCATTTGCTAATACATTTTACTCTGTTGCTGTCACCATTCCATGCCACGAATGCCATCATCTAAATGCTGACAGCTGCCATAGGATCGCCACTGTCGTTGTCCATGATCCACCAGGTGATCCGGTTACAGCCAGTGTGATGGGCCGTCTCTTGCAAGACCCATTCTGCCTCGTCCCGAACGATGAAGCAGCCAATGCCATTGCCTCGTCCATGCCGACCTCTTGGGCTTCGAATGCCATCAGCAGTCTGGCCAGCAGCCGAGGGACGTCATCCGCAAGCCCATCGCGGAAGGCAACTGCTGTCAATCGAATGTTCTGCAGGGTCGCGCGTATGGCAATATGGTTGTGGCGGGTACTGTTGTATGGACTAACGGTCTCTTCGTCGTTGGCGTATAGGAAATGATGCTATCAAGGGCTGCGTGCTGGGTCGTACTTCTTGCCATAGCTCAAACAGCAAGCCAAAGCGGCAACCTTAACTCTTGCCGTTTGATAGCTAGCAGTGTCCATATTGAACAGTGGCGGAGTTTTAGATGTAACGTAGATGGCGGTAGTATCAAGGGTGTCGGAGGGCAGGTCCGTAGGTAACGCGTCGCGTGGATTCGGTTTGATAGAGAAGGATATTTGGAGCCAAGTCTCTATGCGCACATCCAGTTAGTAGTTGTAACATCAAGGGAGGAAAGGAGCAAAGGAGCTGAGACCAAAACAAAAACATGTTGACAAGACCGGCTGATCTGAAAACCTAGCTGCCAAAGGTGATTATGATGAAATGGGTAGCGGAGGGGTCGAAGGCAGGTAGTGAACCCAAAGGAATAGGCCTCCCCTCGATATTCTGCTTATGTCGTGGAATCTGCGCTGACAAATACGTACCTTTTCTGCCAAACCCCACCAAGGTACGTACCGATTCTGCCACACCTAGCCGTAGGTACATGCCTTTTCTGCCCATCTTATTCTGCCCATCTTATTCTGCCCATCTCATTCTGCCCATCTTATTCTGCCGGGCATAATGACAGTACGTACCTTTTCTGCCCATCTTATTCTGCCGGCATGACGACGGTATGTATCCTTTCTGCCGGTCTTATTCTGCCAGGGCCTGCCATATGGCCTATGACATCAATCTACTGACTTGTCTTTCCCAATAAAGTCACGCTGATTAAACCTGTATAACATGGAATACACACTGCATAATGCCAACATCTATCAAACAAAAGCGCCATTCAAACTCTAAGAAAACGCAACAAAGACACATGAAATGCCTTATGAACAAGCCTTTGACAAGACACTGTTCACCCCGTTATACCTCCCAGCCTCCTTTTAGCATAATAGCCCAATGCTGTGAGACAGCCCCCTCGCTTCGGCCCAACCTGTGCGCAATCCATGGCCATCCCTTCTCTTCTATTACCCAGGCCCGTAGTTGTCGTTCTTCAAGTTCTGTCCATCGACTTCTCTTGACCACTGTGTCGTCCTCTTCTTCTGAACCGGCACTTTCGTCCGGGACAGAGTCATAGCTACCTGCCTGGCTTCCTGCATCGCTATCGCTCTTGTCGCTTTTGATGCGTCCGTTTCGCATGCTGTTTAGAGGTATTGGCGTCATGGAAGGAATAACAGAGGGCCTGCGAGCCACACCGTTATGGGAGCGGTTCATATCTGCAGCCTGCCCGCCTTGTGTGGCAAGTGTCTGGGTGGCATGGTTGCAAATGAAACCAATAACCAGCTGCATTATGGTCATACTGTTCTCCGTTTTATGTATAACTTCAACCAAATTGCATAACTCGAGGATATACCCAGCGGAAAAGCCACCAGTGTTACAACTTGCCGCAAGTGGTTCTGGGACTGCAACAGTAGGAGAGGCAAGTTCTCTTAAGCTCGGTACTTCGTGACCAGGCCTGCCACTACTTCGAGTGCTTGCATGAAGGTTGTCGTATTGTAGATTTCGGCTTTGAAATTCACGTGACTGAACTCGCTCGGTATCTGCTACGCCCTCCGAGATAGGCGTTCTCTGTTTGGTTCGGTCACGGAGGAATCGGCCACTGGCTCGTCGCTTCTCTATCGGTAGGTTTGCGGGCGGACTTTCTGCACGCCGCTTTCGAGTACCGGATGACCGCTTGGTTTGGCTGGGGGCATGATGACTGATCGACCCGCCCAGCTTGCCTACTGGCATTCGAGAAGGCAGCAAGCGCAAGCTTCTTGGCGGTGTTGCCCTTTCTGTAATAGAGGAGGGGGCCGTCGGTAGATCAACAGATGATTCAGCCCGAGGGTGTATTTTGGTTCCTTCAATGTATTCCTTTGTCTGACTAGAGCTCAAGACAAGGTTATCAGAGGACCTCTCTCTATCAGATTCTGGATGGTTGTCACGAGACCTTATGCGGCGGGGTCGGGAAATGTCGTTCAGAACGGGCTCGGAAGCATCGGGGTTCGGCATTAGAGCACCACTGCTAGGGTCGGCAGCCAAGGGTTTTTGGCACAGTTGAGGAGATGGACCTTCGGAGAAAGAGGTGACCGGTATATCTGCAGATAGTTTGGCCGCTGGAGAACGGGCTTCAACATCCTCGAGGTCGTTTGTGCAGTCCAGGCTCGACGCAGGTGTGGCTTGAGACCAGGTAGAGTCGTCGGGGTTGGCATTCTCCGGGCTGCTATAATTATTGTTACAATCTTCAATACCTGCTATTGGGTAACAAGATCAGTCAAAGCTTTCTCGTGATAAGTATATTACTTACACATATCCACAATGTGATTAATGTCATGGCACGCTGGTGGCTGTTCCGTAGAAGCAGCGGCTTGGCAAAGGCTGATAGTACTGTCGTCCAAGTCTGTACCACCAGCATTTCCAAGGAATGCGCTGGGCTGGCTTAAAATGCGTGCCGGGTCTTTATTGGATGGTTTCCCGTGACTCAAAGCTCCAGTGTCCTGTTCTAATAGGGTTTGAACAGTGAAACCTCCCCAAGGGGACCGCTGGACCCTCTGGGTCTGAAGGCAGTTGAGTGCCTCATTGTCGACTGGAGGGCCAAGATTGCTGTGGATTGAAGGCATCTGGAGGAAGTTCATATGCTGATGAGGGTTTGTTGTTGATGTAAGATCAGCACTTGTTCGCTTCTGCTTCGGCTTCCGCTTCGGCTTCGGCTTTGGTGGCTCCCATGCCTTGAATTGCAGAGTAGACATTTGGACAAGATAAAGCAAGACTGAGTCAGAACACTTTCCCCTCAAGTGATTGAGGAAAGATAACTTATATACTTTACACCCTGCCAAAAAAACCAGCTCTCATTACATGTTAGTAGCAATGCCTGATTATCATCATCTACCCGGGGTTGCCGAGATAAGCTGAGGTGTTTGACGTCTAGAATATGTTATAGCTCTCAGGAAGGCGGTATATGACCATCTGCCACGTCTCCGCCCCTTTCCAATCCTTGACCATCTCAAAATGGCAATACCAGCGAAATATCATACGATAGTCTGTAGCCACATCTGATTCCATTTCGCCAAGATCGTCAAGAGCGGGTCAACGTCAGCCTCACGGGTTCTCCGGCGGTAAGACCCTTTCTGCAGATGGTTGTGAAGGAGTATACGACCTTTCAGAAATATTGACCTGGGCTAATCGGGAGGCCCGTTAAGGGCTGGCTAGCCGGAGAGTCACATCCGGCAAGGTTGAAAAGGGGTCACCAGCCATTCCTCTCAGAGGTGCCTTAGCATAAGGATACGGGGCACAGGAATAAGATACCTTGTCCATGGCAGACGAGGCGTTTACTCACGCTTACATAGCCTAATACGCTCCACCTTGATTGTGGGTGATCCTGGCCTTTGGTCCAGCTCGTCATTAGCTGAGAACAAGCATAAGCAGATGATGGCGAGGCTGAGAGCAGGCGTGGGGAATGGTGCCAAGTCTGTTGCATTGGTCCATTGTATCTTGCGCAGCTTTCGCCCAGGTACTATAGCTTCGCGAAGACCTGGAAAGTTTCTCAAAGCAGGAGGTGGTTCCGACTGCCTACCACGACAAGGGTTGCAGGGTTGTAGGCAGCAACAATGGATAGCTGGGTCAAATTGGCAGGTACCAGTCGAGGAGCATCCATCTGCTCGATGGCTTAACCCTGACAGCTTCAAGGGTTATACAACAAGGATACAGATACTGCCAGTCCAGGTGGCACCATGGTCGGCATTTTGGTGCACGACTCTATAAGCAGGGGCACGCCACTTTGCGTTTGTGAGCCCTCGGTAATTAGCATCAGCTTGACGGAGACAAGAAGGCATAATGGAATACATAATTCCCTGAAGAGGCAGTCTTGTTGGCATTGTAACCCTCGTGAGCATGCGTTGATACGTCGTATTGCTTCCATGGAAGAACCCAATGCTAATGTTGAAAATCGAGACCAGAAACTGTTTCTAATAGATGGGTACCCCGTTTGAGATGACTATTGCCTTCCACTAAGCTCCATCGCCGCTGTGACATGCTGCAGGTATCGGGGGAGCCGCTGACCCTTCGGCCTTGTCCGGCTGGATGTTGGCTCAAATTATGACCTGAATAGTTGCCCGATGAGGAAAACCTGCTGCCATTTCTCGCTTCTGGCATCACAAGCTGGTGGATTAGGATTTCATGCCCCTTGTGGTTCGGAGAAGGCCGTAATGAGGTGACGGCGCAAACCTTTGTGCCGTTTCTCACTAGGCAGGTTTAGAGTCTGGCCAGACCATGACGTGAGTTTTTATTACAGATCTGGTTACTTCTTCCATTAGTACTCATGTAAGTGCCCAAGTGGACTGCGACGAGTTGACTGTTTGGCCCATTCGGTGACTTATGAGGCAACTACAGCGCGCAAGTTCAAAGGCCAAGGATAAGTCACAAGCAATATTATAATAACACATGCGATGAAAAAGCCATATGCTAATTGCAGGGTGTAAATATGCTGGAGGTTACTGATGCCAGTGATGAATAAAGGTTATTTGGAATGCAGACAGGGCCGTGACGGAGTCGGGGCGTAGCGTAGTCTGAGCTGAGCAAAGGAAAGAAGAGGTACAAGTGGACTTGGGAGGTACATGTGGGTTAATCCCATTTCTGGGTTTGAGAAAAGCAGCGAGAGGTTGCATGGCCGAGAATTACCCGACAGGGCAGGTGCCCGAAATGGCATGTTCGAGCCATCATTTCCGGAAGCGGCCTCGCCGTCTCTTTTTATACTATAATTATTGATAAGGGAAGAATTTTAAACTTTATAAACTAAAAGTGCCTTAAAATAAAATAACACTTTAAACTTTAACATCAAAGAACTCAACCTACTTTTAATAAAAAACGTAAAAGAATTCGCAAAATTATTAAACATTATAACACTTAAATAGCTAATATTATTATAAATAATAAAAATATATAGGGAAAGCCTTCTTATAACCAAACCTGAGCCTTGATTTTTAATAATAAAATTTTTATATATAAACTAGTTTATTAGAATCTTAGATACATTTTTAAAAACAAATACCCAAATTTTAAAAAGGCCGGAATTAATTTCTTTAAAGGCCGTAAAGGCTTTAACGTTCAAAAGCTTGTTAAAAAGTTTAGACTTATAAAACGAAATACCTATTTAAAAAAACAGTATTTAATTTCGGAGTTAGGAACTAATACGTAGAGAAAATACCCTTTGATTTTTTGATATAAAATTTAAAAGGTAACCCCGTTTAACTCATAATATGATAGTTATTAACGGATCATTTCTTTGGATAAGATAATTTATAAATATAAATATGAATATTTATTTAGATATAAATTTGAAATCTATAATAGAATATTTAAGATTTAAGATATTTTAATATTAATGAAATTAAAGGATTTAAAACAGCTTGAACCACAAATTTAATGATAAAGCAATATAGTCAGTTAATATAAGCTTTAAAATATAATTTTACGTTTAAAGTTGTATAATTTACAACGTTTTACTACTTGTAAAAACTATAAAATACGACATTATAATTAGAAACCAATTTTTACCGTTATTATAACGTACTCATAAATTTTTTGAAGTAAAACTTTTCTTTCTTTTAAATTAGAAGTTTAGCTACTAAGCTGGTAAAGAGATTTCTCTAAACAAAGCTAGAAATTTTCTTAAAAACCTATCCTTTAACTAAAATAATAAAAAATCAAAATAACTAATATAAAAAAGATAATCGTCGTAAAAATTTTCTATCTAAAAGCATTTTAAAAAATACAAATTGTTAAAAACATCCGTTTATTTTACTTTAAATCTTTTTAACTAGCATAATAAAAAAAGTATAAAAAGGTTATTTAAGAGTATTAATCTTTATTAATAATAAAAAATAAGACACTTATTAATCTTTTTTTCACTATTTAAAAACTTTTTAAAACCTACATATATACCAATAAAGTTTTTAAAGGAACCCCGATTATAATTTTATAACAATACTTATAATGTTTAATCAGATCGTGTTTTAGTAACATAAAATAAGCTTTTGATTAAAAATAACTTAAAGATTTCTATTACTACCCTTCTTCTATAAAGATATTTATAATTATTTTTAATTCTCCTAAATAAATTATTTAAAAGAAAGAGAATGTGATATTGATAATTGTTGGAACAGGCTTAAACGATCAATCATAATACTCGAGTATGGGGTCAAGGTCATGATGTTGCTGATGGTTGGATTGAGAGGAATCTAGCTGGACTCAAAGGTCTGGCCAAGTGCCCTCTCAATCCACTATCTTATCTTATCTAATATACATTTGGGTCCTGGTATAGATGGTTTGCAGTCTGGAATCGCATGGATCCAACACTTAGTAGCGTTTTTTTTAAAAGAACCTTGTAAAAAGTAAAACTAAACTATAATATTTACAATAAAAATTTACCGCTATTATAAAAACATCACTACCTTAAACAAAGAGACGGCTAGTGTGCTGCCTATTCCGGCATGTTCTGCATCCAAGTCCGGCAGTGCATTTGCCAGCGATCTGTCGCCGCTTTAAGCTGCGTACCCTACTATGCACCACCATGCCCATGGGCCTTGTACTTCGATGTATCGTTCAAAGTACTCATTTCCCCAATCACGACACAAATCCTGGACTCTTATTCAGTTCAGTATCTGGCACCGATGCTGTGTTCTTTCCCTTCCCTTGCTTGCTCGGCCTGTCAGCAGCATAACCAGGGATGGCTCATATATTCCTTTTAATACCAGGTCTCTTGCTCCTATTGGTTAACAATGTTTTTGCGTTTTCTCTTCCTCATTACCTCCAGTTGAGTGAGCGCAACCTTTTCTGATAAACTGCACTTATTATGATCGAGTATCCCTTCCAGCTTTGTTAACATGGCCCGCCAACGCGTACACGATGACCCATGCAACTCACAAGTCATCGACAACCTGTACGACACAGACGCATCTTTCTTCGCAGTAAGGGATGCGGATACTGACAACCTCCTTGATATAGACGAGGATGTATCCAGCTCAGAGAGCGGCGCGACGGACTTAGAGGACTTTAGTGACAACGATTCTAACATTACGGATCAAGTCCACCTCTTTGTAGGGAATGTTCATCCGCTGGATTACTACCAGAAGGCGCTACGAGAGTTCAACGAGAGTGCTTCTAACGGCGGAGATTACAGTCCTGGAAGCACAGTGCTACTTGACGTAATCGAGAAGCAGTGGCGGACGTAAGTCATTCTAGTGCTTTATTTCTTCTCATGCTAACAATATTTTTCTGGCAGGTTCTGCACCGACGTAGTGGGACGGGATCCCAAGACTTGCTTTGAGTCTATTGATATCCGTCTCCTCTACAACTTTTTCGATTGGTCCTTGAACCAAATGGTTGGTAAGAATGGACAGAAAAAAAGGGGAACGAAGAAGAGCAGTTCACTAAGAACAAATTGGAAGGTCTTTCGTCTTGTGTATGAGACGGCTATGGGTGCGAAGCTTGATCCAAAATTGAATCGCAACATGCATAAGGTAAATAGGCATTTGATAACTTACCAAAGACCTATCTTTAATATTTACTTTTAGGTCTTGAGATCACTAGCAAAGAAGTACAAATTGAGCGACCAAAAGAGGGAAAACCGCTCTATGACCATTGACGACCTCAAAGCGCAGATTGAGACGACACTGAGCACGACGAGGAAGTCGTTTGGCCTTGGTGAGCTCCGGATTCTTACCGTTTTATTTCTTTTCTTCCTGGCACCTGCCGGCTCGCGTTTAAAATCCATCTTACGGCTCTGATTTGGAGACATCCGGGTTGTATTAGCGCGAGACCCCGACGGCGGGCCACACAAGCTTTTGATCAAGTTTACTCTCGAGTTTATTAAGACGTACCTTGGGACAAAAGATGCGTAAGTGTTTTATCCTAGCAACTTAAGGCTCTTTGATATTGATACCACGGGTGTTTTAGTAAGACCTTCACGATCCCCGAAACCATATTTGATCCATCTTTGTTTCTCAGCCCTTATGTCTTCCTTCTTGGCATCTTGTTCCAACATCAAGCTTTCTGGGCTCCTAGTCTTGTCTCTCCTCGCCATCTAGACGATCTTGATATCTACCCCGGCGAGAATGAGTTGCCTTTGCCACTCAGAGACGACCTCAAAGGCGTATACATATTCCGCCGAGCCATTACAACCTCTATCGAGCTACAGATATCACCGGCAGAACCCATCACCTATGAAATGATGCCAGGATGAATTAAAAGGATTGGAGAGATTCTAGGCCTTCAATACCCAATCATCGCATATTCATTGCGCTATAATACAGGCAATGAATTGGACCAGAGCCATACGTTCTACCTGTACTTCTAAGGAATCTATTGTGCTGATGTTCTAATGCAGCCGATGTTAGTGAAGCACTCCGTAACCTGACGCTAGACCACGCTAACTCGATCCCTTTTCAAAAGCATTACCTCGGTCGTGCTGTTTGCGCAGACCTATGGGGAATCCTTCGCGGCCAGAAGCCGCAACAAGTACTATTGAAATAATATTATAGTATTGGTCATTTGATGAGCAAGCGACGTCCAGCAGATCTTACTCCTGAGCAAGCGGCGTCTGTTAATGCAGATCCCAACGTGAGGCGGCTTACAAGACAACTCGAGAACCTACAACTAGGGACGAAACAGCAGATCGACACGTAGCGGGAGCTTCGAAATCTAAAACAGAGGCTGAAGAGGTTGCTCCTCCAAAAGATCCGAGAAGACTGGACAGACGAGCAGGCTATAGATGACATCGAACACCAATTGCAGGGCGTCGCATTCACCAAGCCCGTACCGGTGGACATAGCCCATCGTCCGCAACTTCCAGCGCAGAAACGACTAGTCACGGCCCTGACTGCGCCTGTCGACCCTATTCTCAAAGGCCAATATTGACCAAGGGATGATGCCATCAATGCAATCATTACCTATTCTAGCGTTAAGGAAGGACGAACTTCACGTCGCAAATTCACCTTGCCGACCAAGGAAGCATGATCCAAACCTATGCATGGGCCCCCGAAGGATAACCCCGTGTCTATTGCTAGGCTGTCTGTATTTGTCCACAATAACAAAGAAAGACCTAGGAGATGCTTCCTATGCATTGTAGCCGCGCTCCCTCTGGAGCCTGATGACCCTCGTGTAGAAGATCTCACGTATGAATACTACACCCCCGGAGATCTGACGAAGCACTTTAAACGGAAACATTTATCCCTTTTGGCGCAAGATTCGATACCAGAATGTGAAGTCTGCGATTTCATACTGTCTTCTAAGATACATCTACAAAACCATGCCTTGCGGGTTCACGGCACTATGTCATAGGGCCTTTCATGTATCCAAGTGTAGTAAAGCTGGGAAATAGGTAATGGGGACATAGAGGTGATATGGGGTCTTAGAAACAGCGGATAATAACTTGAATTTATTAATCGAAGTGCTTTTACTAGATATAGTCCTATAGAACGGTTTTATAAATATATTTTAATATGTATGTGCCAGGTTCTTTGTTAATCCTGTGTTTTGTATCTGTATGCTGATAGCTCGGTCTACCTGACCTGCCTCGTCTGACACCGCCTACCCGATCAAGACGCCTGTTCAATCCAGATACCGCGCACCGCATGCCTGTTCCAGACACCGCCTGCTTAACTCAGACACCGCCTGCTTAAATCGGACACCGCCTTGGAATCAGGTGGGTGGGGGTAGACAAATTCAGTAGGCGGTAAGCAAAACAGTTAGGCGGTGAATGAGCTGAGCAAGCGGTAAGTAAGAGGGCAGGCGGTAAGATAAACAAGCAGGCGGTGAGCAAAATGGGTAAGCGGTAAGAGAAAAAAGCAGGCGGTGAGCTGTAGGGATATAGGGCGGGGTTTAGGTAACTGGCGACACCGACTTAATGGGAGTGGCCTATGCTTTATCTGCTCTGTGCTTAAGCTAGTGCGGGACCAATTCTCTTGGTCGACATTCCGCCGCAGTCTCGGTCAACTACATCTTCTCCCACATACAACCAACTCGAGTTGCGTGCTATCACTCTTGCATGTGATCGCCTTTACGCGTGTAGCTGTCCCTCTTGTATCCTTCAGAGTCCTCGGCTGGATACTGCCTAGTAGGTATACTTTCCGATAAAGTACATCCTCCTCACATGCCTTCCATCATCCATATCTTCGTCTTCGTACGTCATACCGACCAGCTACCAGCACACTCGACACCGCCTTCTGTACCGATTCAACGCCGTCTGTCTCACCGATCCAATACCGCGCATATTCTATCATGAGCGCCGCGAACCACCGAGTTGCACAAGTCAATGTTGCAGCATTGGCCCGCTGCCCTGGATGCGCGAAGGACCATGCCCTTGCCGGCCAGTTCGTCTGGGTGAATTGCGCAGAACAGAACAAGCTCTAGATCAGTTTGTTCTTGGGGGGCCTTTTTGTATGTCGTGACGTCCGTGGCAGCTACTCTCATGACTAATTGGATTCCAGCCCCCAACAGTTGCAGACCTTCGATCTGTACAACAAGCTCGACGTTGCGCTTCCGTTCAGTGTTACCGCTGAAATCGAGATTGCGGGAGGAAGTGTTAGCAATGGCCTCTTCCTATACTTCGACCACGAACATTGTGTTGGCCCCTGGGACGAACGAGTCCACGATTGCGAGAGTCTCTTAGTAGACGACAGCTTACGAGCCATCCAAGTTGCTTCGGCTGCGTTTCATAACGGCCTCCACATCAACGCTGGTCCCCCGATTTAAGCAAAGTTACTATTGGCTGTCGAGAAGCAGAATAAAAGCCTGGATACCATCATGGCACTCGCTGCAGCACGTCGTCTAGATGAAGCAGGTTGGGCCACACGAATTCAATGCCGCCTCGCCGGTCTCGAGCGCCAGACCTGGCGGGTTCAGGAGGACGACGAAAACCTTTCACTGTCTGGCAAACAGCTGCGCAACCTACTCCAAGCGCTGCTTTCTGTCCTCGCCGCGTGGCGACGTCTCTGTGCTTCTCGTTCTGGATGGACTACCCGGTGTGTTGCAGGTTTCTAAGAGATATAGTGGCGACTGTACCCGCTTTGGTTGGAACTAGATGTATGCTCATTTTCTTCGTTCTTCCCGCAACGATGCTGATATCGATAATAACACTAAGGAACAGGCCATGGCGAAACAGAGATGCTGACAGGCACGTCTCAACCATTCGTGAAACCTGTGGCTGCTGGGCAAAAAACGACAGGACGTAAGTTTCGCTGAAGTGAGAGTAGACGTATTCCAGTGGAGAGAGCAAGGCGTCGCACTGTGACGTGTAGCTGATCGACGTCAGCACTTCCGGTCTTTACGGTATGAGGTCATCACGTACTCGTCGGGTTTGATGTTAATGTGCTTTGGAAATGCGTGACAGACAATCTTTCCTGCCTCTGCCTTCCAAAGCGGCGTCTCGAGTCGGGACCGTAGAAGTTCTGACCTGATGACATCGCCCTGTTTCTCGACACGCTCTGGACCCGTGCTGCCGATATCCGTCTTACGCCCACCAAGTGAATCGCCTTCCACACATATTTCTTGGTGACTGGCCTCGCTGGCTTTCGAAACGGCTCGGTGCTCAGGTTGCCTTACGAACAGGTCCAATTCGGATTGGCACGAGGTCCCCATGACCCGGCGGCTCTGAAACTGGTCGCTCATATTTTGATCTTTCAGAACAGGCGCAAGAAGGACACGATACAACGCAATCAGGATGAAAAGTAAGCCTCCCCCCCCCCAAGACCTGCGGTGGGCTAACCTCTCTGCACGATAGGGTTGCGTTCAGCATTAGCGTTGTTCCAGCCCACACCTTTTGCCTCTTGAGCCTCCTTGTCGGTCGCGCCCTAGCCGATGATGCTTTCGAGGCGGAGTACCGGACTCTTGACGAGCTGCTTGACAGGCCACGTCTGGAACCGGGTATCGGCTATCTAAATATGCCGCTCAAACAGGACATGGGGAAGATACCAGCCATTTTATTAACGCAAGAGAAGCTGAATGAGATATGGAGTCGTGTCTGTCTCGTCTCTGAAATGCGACAGTACAGAGCCTTATATGATGCGTGTCGGTGCTGCCGGGAGGTTGAACGGTACGTAACGAGACTGACCTGGCGCGTCTTTTTACTAACGAGATTCAGGTGCACTTGAGCCCTCCCTACGTGACTACACCTTGTTGCACTTTTCGACCATGTTCCAACGGAGCTACCAGCCTCAACGCCTGAAAGAAGATCTAGCAGGGATCTCTTTTGGAAGCCTGGGTGGCAGCAGTGGCGACGAGAAGTTAATCCACGTTCTGCGTAATGCATCTCTCACTCGCGATGAGCGGGCCCATGTTAACCCAACTGCGGAAGATATGGCCGAATTCGAGCAGCAAAAGGACATCTGAGAACTGCGTTAGGAGCTTCACAGAACCGTCGACTCCGCTACTCGAACCAATATTGGACATCAAATATCTAGCATCATCAAGTCGCTATCTAAACTGCGTGTGAAACAGCTCCGGCAGGAATATTTCATAGCGGCCGATAGGAGGCGAGGCGATGGACTGTCGACGGATGACCTCGCTCGGGCGCGGATGATCTCGCTCGGGCGCCGGCGGATGTGCAGACGCCAGTGACGCGTGTCGGCCAATTTCTGCGCCTCGAATGTAAGCAGCAACGGGACCCCAGGCGCTTGCGTGCAGACTACGCAGGACTTGTATCTCCTCGAAAAGCCTGTTCCTGCCAGTCGCGGACGATCTTTATCATGTACTGAGGTCTGGAAAGTGATCGGGTCATCGTGGATCCCATGGGACGAGATGGACGGGAAAGACGGGAAAGACTCTCCGTCAGAAAGTCTCCCAGACGTGGAGGCCTGCCGAGGATGAAGGACGATGGCAAAATGTCTAGGAACATGTCAACTTGATGTGAACTCTGTCTATAGTGAACCCTTGCTGCAAGACGTCGCGGCGCGGCTATACTGGGTTGCGGTTTGGATAAGTTGCGGATTTAGCTCATGGTTTAGGTTGACTTAATGATATTTTCTTAGCGACATCGAGCAGGTTGGCTGCGGGACTCGGGTCTTGATGGGGCATCCGCTATCTTGTCTGGTATATTGGATTGGTCTACTTCGTAGCAGAATCATCTTCCGAGTTCTGTGGTACATATCCAGGAGAGTGACTCTTAATGGAGTGTCATGGCGGCGCATGGTACAACATAGGCAAGTTGCCTTGTTTTCCTGGCCGCCCGTCGGGATACGTCCTAGT